TAAATTTTTTTATAAAAATTAATTAAAATTATTCTTTTATTTTAACTAAAAAATAATGTTTTTTCTTGGCCATACTTTACTAAAAATTTTGTTGAAAAAGTTACTTTATTTTTTACTAAAATTTGGTGTGCCTTGATCATATTTTTTTATAAACTTGTAAAAAAGGTAGGAAAACCTTGCCAACAGGATTTTAGTCGTAACCTAATCTCAAAAAAGAATAACTTTGTTACAATTCTGCTGATAGAAATCGACAAGATTTTTTACACTCCAAACTCAATTAAAAATCTAATTTTGTGCAAAAGTTATTTTAACTTTGAAACTTTTCATTCTTTTCCTAAATAGTTATTTACAATCTTGTACGGAATTTAAACAAAATATTGGTGTTAGAAATAAAGTTTAGACTATATTTCGGTTACAAGCCAGTCAAATTTTTTTAACTTTTTATTATAGGACTTTTAGGGTATTTTTTAAATACTCACCTCTTTCTATTTGTTAAGATATCCTTAAAAAAAGAGTTACGAAACTTATAAGTATGGCGATATTTTAGATGCTATAAACCTAACAAGTCTATTGACTTGAATTCTTAACTGAGAATTAACGGTAGTTTGTAAACACTTATCTCTTACCAAAACATCTTCTAATAACAAAATTGTAAGGCTCACGCAATGCAAAACGCATAATATCTCATATACGATAAGCTATGGTGTCTCTTAAGGATATTTTTTGCTTGGTGTATTTTAAATCATTTATTTTCCTTCAGCTCGTTATTAATTCATTGGTATATGCCGATAAAACAAGGTCATTGCTCGTTCCCATTTTGCTTTTTAATTACTTTTGAATTTAATTATATTTTTTGTTTTCTCGTTGTCAATGCAGTCAAGCAGTACTTTAATTTTATATTTCAAATTATGATTGCTTTTATGTCCACGATGGTAACTTTCAAATTTCTATACTGTAATTTATACTTACTTTTCTTTCTTTGAAGTGCACATATTACTTTTATACAAATGATTATTTGACTTAAAACTAAACTTGGGCGCATTAACATTAACATTACAATTTCCATTAGAAAAATCTTCAACTCCAGCGATTTTAGTTGGCCAAATATCATGCATATCAACTAATCCAGGGTCATTTATGCATAAATTGGCAGCAAATTACACGAGAGAAAGTGGAATTAGGGATCATTCTGAGTTAAAGAACAAGAACAATTCAAATGATTGAATTTGCGATGTTAACGAGGTTGAGTTGTTCTCAGCTGAATGTGTCTTCGCCATCTATGATTTGATCAGCATAAGTGCCGGCATGCTTTCCGCTCTATTCCCACGGATCCATGCTCCTATCGTTCTTTCTCCTCCTCGCATTTATTTCAATTTTTTTATTTATCTTCTTTTCAATGCTCCACATTCGATGTGTCACTTCACGTGCAGGATTTAACACAAAACAATTTTATAATTCAACATACATATTAAAAAAATATAATTTTTTTTAATTTCTAAAGAATTTTATTGAAATTTTATAGTTAACATAAACTTGCTTACAGTAGTCCTACTTAACGGGGTTTTATAAGAACTTGACCTGAGTTGTTAAAGCCAAAGAAAACAAAAATTAAAACCTAGCAATATTATGCAGTAAAGTTCAAACTTATCCTCAAATCAATGCATCAGAACAATTTTTAAATGTTTCATGTACATTATTAGAATTCATATTTTTCTTTTTGTAAGAATCGTTTTCGAAATTAAAAAAATAAATTGAAGGTTACCTTAAACAGTACTTGCGCGAAGCATATAATAAAGCCGAAGGCAATTTAATTCCACTCGAGGGGTAGAGAGATTCCCGGAGAACCGTGCGTGGGCTTAATATTAAACCCATAAATCATCTAATTCATTAATGTGTTTTAAAATCATAAGCTCGATTTCTTGCCAATAAAATAATGAACTATACGTGCAAGACAACTCAGCCCCTGCTTTGTTATTTTATTCAAATTATTGAACTTCAAAGTTCAAACGCAAAAAGAAAGAGATTAGGGAACTGATTGTTAATTCATTACCTTAGTTTTTGAGCGGAACTCGTTCGTAATTATTTAAGGAAAACTTTTAGCTGTTTCCTAAAATGATAATAATAGTATCATTTCTTTTTTATTTTTTGCTATTTTGAAAATAGTTCAAATAGAGACAAACCTTCGTTTAAGATGAGATCTGAACCGTCCATTCTCCCTCTCCCAGGCTCTCTCTCAGAGTCTCAGCTTTTGGACACAAAAGGGACAGCTCAATGAAGTCCATGCCCAGCGAGCGAAACCCCATACTATCTTGTCGTTGTCATCTCTTGACCATAGTACCCTTTATCTTGCAAGTTGAGGAGGAACAGTAACAAAGGGTAATTGAGTCATTTCATTATAAGCTCCCCAATAATTTTGGTAATGTTCATCACTCATGCATGCCATACAAATAAAATTACCAATTTATAGCTAGCAGGGGACAAACCCAAGGTTTTTCTTCTTTCATTATTTGAAGAGTAAAAAATGTCACTGGGCTTTAGCTTTTGTTGGTCTACGTGTAAATAAACTACAATATACATCAGCATGTGACCGTACACTGTGAAAAAAAGGTTCTGATGAACGCTGAGGAGAAAGAAGGGGAAGGGGCTTCGATTGAGATGCAACGTGCAGCTTGTTTGTACTTTAATCGATTCTTCAGATTGCTCTCTGCTTCTCTTATTTCTTTGTTTCTCCTTGTTTCTGTTTCACTTTTTTTTCTTCTTCCTCGCTACTCGTATGGATTTTCATTAGCTTTTAAATTTGTAATGGTATACACACCTTATTATTTTGTTTAGGATTTACATATAGTTTGCCTATATAATTGAACAATATTTTTATGTCTGTGTGGCTTGAATTTATCTTAGTTTAACGTTTTTTTAAAGTAATGTTCAAAGTTTATTTTATCTATATAAATTATGTTCTCCAAACAAATATTTTTTTCTAGTCGTATAATAAAGTTAATTAGTGAAGTAGTTAGTCTATACTTTAACTAAAATACATACATGGAATATTAACACAAGTGTGTGTCAAAATGGGAATTTGATGGGAAATATAATATAAAAAAATCACAGCTGTATGTATAATATGTAAAGAAGTAGAAAAGAGGTGGTTGGTGCTTTGAATTCTTTATTTCCTTGGGAGGTAGCTTGACATGATTGAATTCTTCCTATATAGAATGTGACTGAATATATTCTATGGATAAAAGCCAATCAGTTCTTGCCTTACTAAACTTGTTCATCTACTTGGTTTCTTATTGGATATCGCCACCTGGGCTAATCTAACACTTTTTAGAGAATTGCTTGCCAGTGAGAACTTAAGATAATAATATGATTTAACTGGCTAAAGTTCTATGATCAGCATCTAACAAAAAGGGCAAAAACATAAAGATCATTGACCAACAGGGTAAAAAGGTTCGCGTTCACGTGATTGAGGGGATGTTTTACTGGAGATTTGTATGCTATTCGAGGGTTTGGTACTCCAATGATTTTGTAGATTTTCAAATTAAATTCCCCAACACAGTCATTTAACAACCAATAATACCTTCAATTAATTGAACCTGCGCATTGTAGAATCCTTCATTCGCGCTGATGGGTACCCTGCTTTTTCCTTAAAGTCTCTGCTCATGGTAATATTTTCCATAAAGTTCCATTTTAGCATTTTAAATAGTAATAATAATAAATCTAAGTATGTATTTTTTTTCTTTTTCATACTCAAACAAATATATTATTATTATTATTATTACTGCTACTGTAAAATTTAAATACATACAACGCGTCAACTCATATTTGTATATCATATTGCATTATTTTGGTTTTATTCATATGAAAAAAGTGAGACGAAATTGATTTTTTTTAAAAATAAATACCAGACAGAGAGCATTCACATGTGTACCAAAAAATCATTTTAAAAGAAAAAAAGGATGACAATAGCGTCAAGGAAAAAGTAGATGGGTGATAAACGTGTATAGAGGATAATAGATAATAGAATATTTTCAAGAGTGCCGTATTTGAAATGGACACACAAGTGTATTTTGAAGTTGGCTGATATCGAAATTAAGTCTCACCTAAATTAGGTGAGATCCAAGTTCACTAAAACTGTTTTGCTTTAAACAAAACATGATTATTTATAGAGAAAAAAAGGGTAACATAGGAATTATGATAATACAATATTACACATTGATTGGTGATAGTATATTTTCACAATTGCAGAGTGAGGTTAACTAATGCGGTCTCATTGGTAGTGGTAGCATGACCATATGGTAAATAATGGAATGGATGATTAGATTAGAGAGAGTGTATAAATAAAGTGGACCAAGGTTTGTTTTGGGGGGTCTGATTGAGTAAGAAAATAAGTTGGATACGAAATGTGTGTGAAACTGGAAACAAATATCTGACTGTTAGAATCAGAGAATGAAACAGTCACATATGATTGGACGGCCATGATGTCATGATTTCGAGACTCCACTTCATATCATTCATTCCCTCAATAAATATAAATAACACATTTTCTTTTAGGACTGAAGAAAATATATAATGTCCCAGCATCAGAGGTGGTCCCCACCGTATCCTCCTCCCCATCTCTTCAGATCCAGCCGTGCAACGCGAATCATGAGATTCCCTTCCACACCCGCTTCGGTACACATGATAACACTTTATCAAACCCCTCTCCGCGATAAAACCTTGTCGGTCTTTCCATTTCGACGAGTCGCGAGAAAATAACGACAAGTAAAAATATCGCTCCCCATTTGGTCCACGGCTTTTACGTACACCCGTTTTCTGCGGCTGCTCTTCCATCCCTCTCAACGGATAAGATCAGCTTCTTACACCGCCAATCCAACGCCTCCTATCAATTTCTGTCACCACGTGTCTTCTTCATAATTGCCGATACCTCTCTTCACAACAAAACTCCTCTTCAGTCTCCACCACCTATTTAACCATAGTTAAATTCTAACCTTACCGGGCACAGCATAAACTCCTTATCCTCTCTCTCCGTCTTTCTCTCACTCACATCACATGCTACTCTTTTTCTAGCAACTACGAACTTGTTAATGGCGTTTCAGATCTAACAGTGCCACTGCGCCACATTTGTCGCTCCTACTGTTTGACACAAGACGACGCCGTTCATCGGGAGAGGTCCTCTGTTTGTTGTTTTTTCCACATGAAGAGAATGGCGTACTCGTTCCCTGAAGAGGTGCTGGAGCACGTGTTCTCCTTCATTGAGTGCGAGAAGGACCGAAACGCGATCTCACTTGTGTGCAAGTCGTGGTACGAGATCGAACGGTGCTGTAGGAAGAAGGTTTTTGTTGGAAACTGCTACGCAGTGAGCCCTATGATGGTGATCAAGCGCTTCCCGGAGGTGAGATCCATTGCGTTGAAAGGGAAGCCACACTTCGCGGACTTCAGTTTGGTACCTGACGGCTGGGGCGGTTACGTTTGCCCTTGGATCGCCGCCATGTCTTGTGCCTTTCCGTGGCTCGCGGAGATCAGGCTCAAGAGAATGGTCATTACCGACGAGAGCTTGGAGCTCATTGCTAAATCCTTCAAAAACTTCAAGGTTTTGGTCCTCACCTCTTGCGAGGGTTTCACTACTGATGGACTTGCCGCCATTGCTGCCAACTGCAGGTTTTTTTTTATGTCGTTCTTCTCTTCTTTTTTTTTTTTTTTCGCTTTTTGGTTGGTTTGTGTTTGCGTTTTGTTGGAGCGAGTTTTACATTTAGTTAAGTGAAACGAACTGGACACTCTTGATTGAAATGCGTTTTTACTTCGCTGGAGTTTGTGGATTTTTATTGGTAGTTAGTAGCTAACGTGTTCTCTCGTCGCCGGAAGATCTTCGAGTTCGGATCTTCGCTTCTGCGTGGTTTTGTAATGTTGCAAGTTATGACGGTGACTCTCTCGCCGTTCAAGGTTTTAGTTGGCGTATTTATGGCCGGGTTTGACTCATTTGTGTTGACCGTTAAGTGAAATGAGATGTTTAATATTTCGGATTTTTACCAAGTCTTCGAGTTAGGGCTTAGTTCCAATAAAAGATATTCGAAGCAGAATTATGTTCTATCGGTTTTTATTTATTCATTTGTTTTATTAATGAGTACTTAGAATTGGCGTTACGGTGAATTCGACAGAGTTGTCGTTATTTTTATTCGTTTTTCCAGGTTTATGTTGGATCCCTCTTCCTCCTTCCCTTTCGAACATTCATTACGCTTTTCTGTATAGTTTATGTTTTGGTGCTTTTTTCTTTAAAAAAATGAAGTTTTTGAACCGAGTGTGGTTGATTTTGGTTCTCTAGTTATTTGCCTTAGTATTGTGATTTCGGGGTTTTGCTTTTCAACGTTTTGGTATAATGACTGTTGTAGTTTGGTTTCCACGAGATGCGATGTTGTTGTTGTTGTTGCTTGGGTTCATTGTGTTTTTAAAATTTGGATCGTTAATTTTTTTTAGCTGTTGATTTCACTTGCATCCCGGTTATTTTATTTTTCCGTTATTTAAATGTGGAGCCTGAATGTTTTCCCTCTATTCTTGGTGGGAAACTTTCCTGCGGAGAGGGACAATTTTTTTGTTTGATGAAGGATTTGAGGTGTTGGTCTGAACCATTTGGGTAAAACTTATTTCCGTTTGTTCAATTCTTTTGTTTTATGCTTGGTGCAATTTAGTGTTGTATGGGATAATAGTGCTAATATGGAGTCATTGTCAATAACAGTGATGTTAAGTTATGGCTCTCTTTGGTTTAATTTACTAAATTATTTTTAAGAAACCCAGAGAATGCCAGTTTCTCAAATAAGTGTATTGACTCTGTCACTGATAAATCCACTGTCTGCTTATACTTTGTAGGAATTTGAGGGAGTTGGATTTGCAGGAGAGTGAAGTGGAGGACCTTAGTGGGCATTGGCTAAGCTATTTTCCTGATTCCTACACATCACTTGTTTCACTTAACATCTCTTGCTTAGGCAATGAGGTGAGTTTGTCTGCGCTTGAGCGCCTGCTTGGGAGGTGTCCCGATGTGCGTACTCTCCGCCTCAATCGTGCTGTGCCCCTCGATAAATTACCCAACCTGCTTTCCCGGTGCCCTCAGCTGGTTGAGTTAGGCACAGGTGTCTACTCAACTGAGATGCGACCTGAGGTCTTCTCAAACCTGGAAGCGGCATTCTCTGGGTGCAAGCAATTGAAGAGCTTGTCTGGCTTTTGGGATGTGCTCCCATCCTACCTTCCAGCTGTCTATCCTGTCTGTTCCAGGCTAACATCATTAAACTTGAGTTATGCTACTATTCAGAGCTCCGATCTTATCAGGCTTATCAGTCAGTGCCCAAATTTGTTGCGGTTATGGGTATGTCTTATTTACGTGATGTTTTCCATTCATTGTCACATGTATGTACTGCATCTCAGATTCAGTGACTGGACTCATGCTTCAAATTCTTGTGCTACAGGTGCTGGATTACATAGAAGATACCGGTCTTTATGCCCTTTCTGCGTCATGCAAGGATCTAAGGGAGCTGAGGGTGTTTCCATCTGACCCATATGGTTTGGAACCAAATGTTGCGTTGACAGAACAGGGCCTTGTCTCTGTGTCTGAAGGTTGCCCCAAGCTCCAGTCAGTTCTATATTTTTGTCGTCAAATGTCTAATGCAGCCCTACATACAATTGCAAGTAATAGGCCTAATTTTACCCGTTTTCGCCTGTGTATTATTGAGCCTCGAACTCCTGACTATCTTACGCATGAACCACTGGATTCCGGTTTTGGAGCTATTGTAGAGCATTGCAAGGATCTTCGACGCCTATCCTTATCTGGTCTCCTTACTGATCGTGTTTTTGAGTATATTGGGACTTATGGGAAGAAGCTGGAGATGCTATCTGTGGCTTTTGCTGGGGATAGTGATTTGGGACTTCATCATGTGCTGACTGGGTGTGAGAATCTTAGGAAGCTGGAGATCATGGACTGCCCCTTTGGTGACAAGGCCCTTTTGGCCAATGCTGCAAAGCTGGAGACAATGCGATCCCTTTGGATGTCCTCCTGCTCAGTGAGTTATGGAGCATGTAAGCTTCTGGGTCAGAAAATGCCCAGACTTAATGTTGAAGTCATTGATGAAAGAGGACCTCCAGACAAGAGGCCAGAGAGTTGTCCAGTTGAGAAGCTTTACATATACAGGACTATTGCCGGACCAAGGTTAGACATGCCTGGTTTTGTCTGGACAATGGAAGATGATTCTTCATTAAGGCTTGAGTGATTGTGCTGTGGATTGAGCCATAAGAGTTGGGCATGCATGGTTTTGTGTGGACAATGGAAGATGATTCTTCACTAAGGCTTCAGTGATCGTGCTGTGTGGACTGAGCCAAGGGACTGATGCCAATTTGATTTGGGAAGTTGATGGCAGGTACATGCTCAGTAGTGAATTTACTGTTGCCTGGCTTATGCAGTTGTAGTTATGGTTTGTGGTTGAGCTTGGTACAGGAGAGTAAACAGAAGAAAGCTTGAGCTCGATTGCCATTCATTTTACACTTTGGCTGAGCTACGGGATATGCGAATTTACTAATTAATAAAGAGATCTAAACTATGTTGTTGTACGTGCATTAGATACAATTGTTATATTCTTCATACTGTAATATTTACGGGCTTCAATAGTTCAATTTATTTGTATGTCAGCTTCGCCTTTCGTAGTAGGATGTTGGACACATTTATCACTATTAGCCTTCCCGGGGAATAATATTCATAATCTAACGCAGTTTTGTTGTTTCTTCGCATTTTGATGCATATATGCCATTGCATGTTGCTCTTTCTTGTTTGATTCAATAGTAATTCGAAGCTAAACACAGTTGGGATGAGCCACCGACTTCTAACGCGAATATTGTGTGAAACCAAAAATGGTGTTACTGTTCAAGAGGTTTCCGTAGTCCCATGGAATGGTTGGAGCTATGTTAATTTGTTTTCATTGGACTTTAGGCCTTGGATCAAAACCTTGGTTTTGATATCGGACTACGTTGTGCTTAGTAAAATATCCCCATAAAGTGGTTTATTTTCGATAAACTATCGAAAGTATAGAATCAGACACAAAATAAACAGGTTTTATGTAATATTTCACGATTTTTATTACTTTTACTCTATCATTTTACGCTACTGAATCATGAGGCATCTTAGTTCGTAGGCTTTTTACTCATATTAGCTGAAAAAGAGAGGAAATATAAGCTTGCTGTGTTTTTACCGGAGCATGATTATTTTACAGCTTGCTAAATTCAAATTCGAAGGGGTGTCAAAAAGGCTAAAAGCCTGCAAATGAATCTTTGGAGCTCTCTCTCACTGAGGACTGGAGGAGCTGTAAGCTTTTTAAAATTTTACTTGCGGAGGAGAGCTATCAGATTTTAGGTGGCTTAGGCAGGCTATTTGGTGAATGGCCCAAATTTTGTGGCACTGCCATTTTTGATAAAGCAAAAGAACGAAGATATTTTAGCTTTTAAGATATGTTGACCAAAATATAAAAATAAATCTTTTAGGGATAAAATATGTATACAGAAAAAGAGATAAAATGTTTTTTTATCTCGTTATTTAGCCTTTAAGGTATTATATATTTTTTGAAAAATATTAACTACACAGGTTAACATAATAATTTTTTTATAGAAATATCTTTATCAAATGAATTAAAATAAAACTATGAACTTATTCAAGTATTCGAGTAAAATATTAATACAAGATTTATTGTTGAGGATTTTAAAATTTGTTGAAATTAATAATAAAAGGTAAAAATGTAGAATGGTAAGTTGGCTACAAAGGTAAATGGCTCAGGTGTGGTGGTGACATCTGCTTTTCATTCAATGTTTTTCGGGGAAAGAGAGGAAGGAGGAGGGCCTCGACTGGTGAGCCACGTGATAGATTCGGTGACACTGGATGGTGTCCCCAGCTTTTTGCTTCATTCAACTTCTCTTTTTTACAACACACCACTACCCACCTAATAAGAGTTACCCAGTAATAATCTAATCTAATTCTCTATTAATAATCAAACAAATTTTTATTTTCAGATTCTTTTCTAAGTAGAGTAAGTAGCCTCCCAACAGAACCCTACACTACCATGGTTTATGTCAATTAAATTTATGAGAAGAGAGTGAGAACATATTTTTTGATGAAATTGAAAATGAAAGAGAAAAAGAGATGACAACGTGGGGGCAGGACAAGTAGGCAAGACAAGAACATTATGTTGCACGGACACTTTGGTCCCCACAAAACTTATCCAATCAATAAAGAAAAAGCAGTGAAAGAAAAGGGTGAAGGTGTGCCGAGTAGTGAGGCCTCGTTTCATTAGTTAATGATGGCCGCACGTTTCATGTTCATGATCATCATCATTTATATTCTCTTATTACTATGGTCCTTTGATCATTAATTCACTCTCAGTTCCCTGTTCCATATCTTTCATTCCGATCTCACTATTCTCTCCCACACTTATTACATTACAGTTGCAAATGGATGCTGTATCATTACAAAAGTTACCATGCACGCTGCAGCTCAGAGTTATCAGTTTTGCCTTGCACTTTGCTAGGTACCCATTCCCACCTTAAAACTCTTTCATTTTAACAAGCAATGAGGAGTCAATTTTGGACCATTTAGATGTCCAAGTTTAAAAACATCATGTTACAAATTAATTGTTCTAAAAACTTAAATTATCAGATGAATGATTCTATTACGTCTCTGGCATTCCAATTACGTACGGTGTAATGTGATTCTTTTTTTCTAATTGCCCGGGCCATGGGTTGATCTTTATTTTAGGGCCTCATCAAGTGTACTTGGTGAAATCATGGGTGGTATTTCAGCCCAGCCCACAATACTAAATACCTGAAATACTTTAATTTCTTACTAAAATATGTGTATTGGGCTATTCGATTTGAGGAATCGAGGGGGACAACTACACTAATCTATCTGAGTAGAGAAGCTCAAAGCACACACCTATTAAATAAAATTAGATTAACACCTCAACGTTCTGTAAAATAACCTATGTTTTAAAAGTTGTTTTTCTTAATATATATCTTTTATATTTTAATTTTAACTATTCATAATAAGATTTAATAATTATTTTTTCGATTACAAAATTTTCGATTCAAATTTAAAAGTACTATATTTATCTGTTAAATTAAAAGGTTAAAAGAAAAGGTGCTTTATTTTACTATTTTTCAAAAAGACAATATATGTTTTATCACTTAAAAGGAAAAGCAATCCTTTTATTTTCTTTTACTTTTGTCTCGACTAAATAAAAAATTAATTAACTTCTTCCTTCCTTTTTATTCATCCAAATAAAAAAAAAGCATGTATCGAGTGGAGTAAAAAGGGATCTTGAAATTCACATACACACATTAACGTATATAATTAAAAAAAGTATTTACTTTAATCGTCCCTCTCAATACAAAAATTATTATTATTTTCTTTGTCAAAATGATTGGTATAATATCTTTAAAGTTGGAGTAATGGTAATTATACATCGGTACATTAATATTCCACTTTATAATCTGAATTGGCTTTCTGTTCTGGAGTTTCTTCAATTTTGTTTAAGATTAGTAGCAAAAAAAATACAAATAAAATTGTTGTCACAAAATATCATATAAACTATAATTAATTAATGAATAGACCGGACTTGTAATAAGGCTTATGTAACCATTTATGGGATTTTTTTTTTTACAAAATCTTTGTAAATACTTTTATTTTTTTATTCATTTTATACTAATAATTAAAATGATATTATCACTTTTTTTTGTAACAAAAAAAAAAAAAAAAGAAGCAGCGTTATCTTTAACGCCTCTCCCCTCATCGTTGGGCTCTCGGCTGAATTCAATTGTCGGTACTTGCTCCGGTCATCGTTACGGTAAAATCTTTCTTGGCTGTTACATATTCAAAGTTTTCAGATTATATTTTCAGAGAGGGTTTTTTCTTTTATTATTAAAGTACATAGTTTTGATATGAATTTTTAACGTGTGGCTCTTCGCGAAATTTAAAAAGGGTTTATGTGATTTCAACATAATTTTGCCAGTGCCGTGTGGGTAATGAGTTTCATTTCCATTTAGTTTCACAGTGTCAATTTCAGGTGCAACCCAACCAAAAATTTGAACTTGTTTTTCTCACGCATCTCTCTCATTAATAGAACATGTCACGTAATCCTTTTTTACTTTTATTTTTTTGTCAAACATGTCACCTAATTTGTTTGGTTGGTTTGCTCGGTTTCTGACTGTAACTAGACTACTAAGAAAATTAATAATTAATAGAACATGTAGTTTAACCTATTAATGTGTGGGTGTGGAGAGAGAATCTCGATTAGTCAAATATTTGGTATGAAAATTAGTAAAAATAATAAAAAAACGACCGATTTGGTTTTCTCTGTTCCTTTTCCCGTCTACAGTTAAGGAGATTTTTCCAATTTAATTTAAGATGGATTTAAAACAAAACGCATTTTATCTCATGATGAGGAATAAATAATATACTGATTTTCATCGAAATTGGTTGATTGAATAGACTTTGGTTTGACTCTAGACAGCGTAACTAAATCTTAAATTTTTGGAACCTAACTGGGAACCTTCTGCACGGAGTGCTCAAGTCATCAACTAAAAGTTAAGCCTAGGCTTAATCCCTACAAAAATGGTACATGAGGTTAGTATATAATACAAGTTGAGGAAAAGAATCTTGTGTATGAAATTGAAAATATAATATAAAGAATCTTGCGTATTATAGGGGGTTCAGAAAGTCAATTAGAAAAATGGGGTGCTTTTTTTTTTCAATTTGAAAACAAAGCAGAGATTAGTTAACATAAAATGAATATTAGTACACCATGCCCTTTCATTGAGTCGACCTTAGCATAACTCAACCACCATGCAATGCAAGGATCCGTCCTGAGAAGCTTCGTAAATTATAATTAAATAAAGTTATATAGACTTGCAATGGAGCTCATAATAATAAGTCAATTGGTAGATTAAAATAGTCAAGTCGTGAACAAAAATAACAAGAATGCCATGGGCATAAATGAACTTATTTTGCCTTAGCTCCTTTATTGAAGAGCAGGACTTACACTAAGAGGAAGGCACATAGCAATGGCTTGCAAAGAGATATGTATTGATTTCATGGGACTTGTGATGGCACTGGTAATTGCTGTCACTCTCATGCTCATCTGCTCTCCTAGGAAGCGGGTTGTGGTGTATCGCTGGCCTTGAGTTTTGTGTGCATCGGGTAATTTTCATCCTCTTGTTCCCTTACCGTTTGTGATTTTATCTTTTGTAATATATATATATCGCCAAAAGTAGATAAACACTTTTTTATTTAGTTACTCTCTGTCCATGCAATTGAATCGAATGAAATAAAAGCTGCATTTCAATCAGAGATATACCCACATGCAAGTGTTATTTAGTTTGCATATCAATTAGGATCTACAAGCATTTGCGGTTCTCCTTTTCCCGCAGATGATGGCTGTATAATGTTTTTTCTCATATATCTCGTGTAGTTGAATTTTCAACGAATTTCATTTATGAAAAGTTGTATAAAGAATTGGAGTTGATTACCAATGAAATTTCTCTCAAGTTACCTTCCCTGAGTTCCGAGAAAATATATGCAACTACCATTATTCTCTACTGCGTTTGGATTGTATTTACCAGAAACATAGCAGACAAGATACAGATTTATGGACTCAACTATATAACCAATAGATTAATTAAATTGAAGAAAATTTACATGATAAACATTCTTTATTTCATATTTAACTGTTTCCGTATTGGCGCATGTCAACTTATTGCTCACCGCGATTATCACGGGTATTGCATAGAAATTACCGGCATCAATTCTGGTACAAAATTTGATACAACCAAGACATAGGTGAAGCCGGTAACTAATTGTCTGGACAAAATTCCGATGAATAACAGAATAACCTGAAACACTGCATAATCAAATTTGCTATAATCAATATATTCCCACCATTAATCCTCAGTAACTGTTCTATCCATGTTTTATGTCACTAAGTTAGCTGATAAAATTCAACAGAAGGAATGCTTTTCAGAATTGGCCTTCTACTAATCCGCTACTCAGGATTTACTGTCAGCTGCATTTTTAGTTGAACCTTGAATAGTCTCCAAAAGATGCTCAATTCTGTATTTCATTACAGGCTGCCCTTTCCGTGTTTTCTTGAGCATTTTTTCCCGCATAGCCTTTCTCCGTGCTTCAGTACGTTCTCTCTCTTCCTTTTTAACCTGAAGGATTGCCTCTTTCTCCATTCTTTCTTTCTTTTTCTCTTCATGCTTCTTCTTGTACAATTCTTCCAAACTAAGGGCGCTATTCTTCTTGTTTCTCCTCTCACTCTTTTCAATATCCTCTTCACTTTCATTCACATTCTGTAAAGAGCAAACAGAAAGGAAAATGAATAGTATACCAAAAAAATACACATTCAACAGAGTAATTTATGAGTGTAAGCAAGTTCTTAGGCATCGTCACTTTGACAATTATGTTAACAACCTCAAAACAAGTAGCTAATGTGATATCAGACCTTAACAAGTCTCTGGGCCAAGGAAGGATCATTTTGCTGGTTTTGCTGCTTTAACAACTTCTTAAACTTATTCACATTCTTAGCGTTCTTATAGAACTCCCTTTGCTTCTCTGACAAAAAAGAAAGAACATCCATGAGAAGTGAGTACCGTTAAATGACAAAGGAACTTAAGTTATAATGTTACCACCATTCTCATCTCAATTCATAAGTCTGCATAAGGATATAAACAGAATTATCATGACAGGAAACACCATGTCCTAAAGACCACATAAAATCATCGTGCATGATTTTAAACGTTCGCTGGCAGAAAAATATGTGCAACGAATAAAGAAAATTCGAAAATTAGCACAACTAGCATCATTAATCACTTTCTAGATTGAAGATATTATTGAACATAAAAAATAGATGTTTCTTCATCAATTCTCATACTCAACAGGAATAATCAAAAGAATATAATCTATTATACACAATCAAAATTCCAGCTAATCATTCAATTGAAGCCAATAACCACTCGCCACCTAACAATTTCAACGTCAAAAAAGTATTTTTGTCAGAACTTAAAAGTAACAGAAACGAAGAAGATGCCCCGCATTTTATGTTTTTCCCAATCTTCTATTCGTCTCGCGAAAAGCAAAGTATAACTGAAATGAATGGCCAATATAGAAGACACAAAAAACCATATAGGGTTGAAAGCATTGAGAAGAAGTTGAGCGGATAAAAAAGAGAAAATCGTACATACTTATGAGAGCAGGGTTATACTGATTGTTCTTGGATTTCGCATTGGCGAAAGCGTCCAGAGAAAGCCCACTTCCTCCCAACCTCGAAATGTTCTTCTTCTTCTTCATTATTATGTGTTTCTTCTTGTTCTTGTGATTACCGCTTCGTTCCTCATTCTTCTTCATTGTTGGAAGATGAAGTTTCTTCAGAGTAATCGAGGGAACAACAATAGAAATTGCACACCCTAATAATTTGCAGGGTATCAATGTCGCTGCTCACGGAGCCGAAGATTCAGTTTTGGGCTTTCCTTCAGCCCAGAAAAGCTTTAGGACTGAGCCCAATTAGAAAGACTAGGGGAGTATCAAGGGCCGTTGGCCAAAAAATTGGTAAAGGTCCAAATTAAAGTCTGTTTTCTTTTATGGAATGCTAATTTTTACTATGCCTTTAAATTAAGAGATTATTTTATATGTTTATATATAAAAAATAATAATTATTATTAATTTTATATTAAATATGTATAATATATAATAGAAGTTAGTGATCTATTTTAAAAAAAAATAAATATTATTTAATTTTTAAAATATTAAAATAATAATAACTGTTAATTTAAAAAGAATATATTTTTTTTTTCAAGTTTACGCAATGACAATCAACTTGTAGAATTTTAAAATGCCACAATGCCTAATATTTTGTTTTAATCCTTGCATTCTTTGATCAAAATAAACCAAAAAAACTTAAAAATCCTTGCATTCTAATTCCTAAATCCATAAAAGAAAGCAGAATTTGATCAAAATATTATGGATCCTACCTTAAGTAATTTGGATGTGCCTGAAGGCCTAATATTTTGTTCTGCCTCATGCTTGGGTCCAAAATCCCTAAAAGAAAACATAATTTGTCAAATATCCTTGCAAGTCAATACGAGGGAGAGCTAAATAACTACTACTAAATAATATCATATGCACATAACTTCAAATAAATATTATCATACATAATATACTACTTACATACTTCTAAGCATTATTTTTAAGAAATAGTCTTGTGTGTGACCCGTAGATACATGCTAACTCTCAATTGAAATATAAAAGGTCATGATTTATGTTAACCTAAGATGCTTAGCCAACGGTTTAAACATATCAGACCAAAATATTTGGAACTAAATTACTTTTATCACTCACACTTGAGCTAGGAATAGAGTCTAGTTCTTGAAATTGAATTTTTAATACATATGGTCAATTTTAGGTATTACCCATTTAACAATATATGATGTGGTACAAAACATTTAAAAAAGAAAATGAGGAAGGATTGAAGCATTGAGGAAAGATGGTTGATGACATTAAATAGGCAGAGGCCGTACGAATTGTCTTGAATGCAGCTCCAACCTCCCCACCTTTCTCATTCATACATACATACAACAGCAACGTTCTCTTCCTCATCAATTCCTTATATTTCAAACACTTTCACTACTCCTTCATCACTATCTTTATCTTCAAGTGAAGAGTAGTATCATTATCATGAACACCCACAGCGATGTGAAGGTGGTGGAGCAGGGGCCAACCCGAGAAAGGCCTTACGATGTTTTGCTGCGTTTTCTTGCCCTCTCACTCACTCTTGTCGCCACCATCATCGTTGGCGTTGACAAAGAGACTAAGATCATTTCCTACGCTGGAATGCAATTCACAGCCACTGCTAAGTGGCAATACATGTCTGCTATTGTGTAAGCTCTTCTCACTCAGTCCACGCTAACTTTTTCTTTTCATTTTAAGTATACTCTTTTTATATATGTTATTAGTATAAAATATTAATACATTGTTTACTAATGATTTGATAATTTTTATTTGTAATATGTACATATATGAAATAAAATAAACTATTAGGTATATACACCATTCAATTAATTAGTTATGTGAAAATAATGAAACCATTATTTTTATATATGAACTCTTTCAAGATACTCATTCATATGTTCAAATATGTAACAGATGTATCTAACTAGTGAAAGACAGGCAGAAAAAATTATACCCCAAATACTAAAGAAAATATTTTAAACTATTCACCTATTTTTTTTGGTATTTTCTGGTGTGATGTGAAGTGAATGTAAATGTGGAATAGGTTTTTCTTGGTGTCAAATGGAATAGCATGCTCCTATGCGGGTGTTTCATTGGTGATGAGGGTGATTGGAGGAAAGAGTGGAAAAAGTAACGTAGCTGTGTTGGTGCAAAGCTTTCTAGACCTTGTGATCATGGCACTTTTGTTTTCGGCCAATGGAGCAGCCATTGCAGTGGGAGTGATAGGACAGAAGGGTAACTCGCACGTGCAATGGATGAAAGTGTGCAACGTGTTTGATGCCTATTGTCGCCATGTTACTGCCGCTTTGGTCCTCTCTCTTATTGGTTCCACTGTCTTTCTTTTGCTTATCCTTCACTCTCTCTTCAAACTCCATTACAGGTCAGCCTAAGTGTTGTTGTTTTGACTTGGACCTTGTGCTTGATGGTTGATGGTTGATGGTTGATGGTTGATGCATGAAAGAACTTTTAAATATTTAATTTGTTATGCCCTTAGCAGGTAGCGATTAAATTAAAGTGTATTATTTGCTTTGTACTAGTAAATATCCTTTAATTACCAGATGGTAGTGGTAGGTCTATTTATTTAAGAGCAGTAACACTAAATACAGCTACTTGCTTCTGAACCCATGATGAAGTCCGTTTTACTTTCCAGAGTAGGTAAATGTAGTAACGCTGCCCTTAGCTACCCAATATCAATTTATCACATTCTCTATCTTCCTCCTTCAAAGCAAATAATGTTTCCAAGTAGTATCATATCACTTTGTTAATACTATCATTTTTATTACTTTTTAAATGTCATCAAAGACACATAATAAAAAATTATATATATTATTATTATTTTATTCTTTAATGTGTATTTTTTTAGCATACATTAGAAAAATTATATTTCTATTTAATGAATCATCATATTAAAAATATAGAAATCTAATATATATAAAATAATTTAAATATTTAAACATAATCTTAAGGTAAAAAAAATGTGTGATAGCACAGTGTTGTTTATTGTAACTAGTCGTTAAGAGAAACAAAAACCATTTGCACTAAATTGCGCATATATATATATATATATATATATATTCTAAGATCAATTTTTATTAAGAGACAGTGTCTTGAAAATAAAAAGGGGGGATCTTGTAGCCGAATGCATATATTATTGAAGGCACATGGCACAATCAAAGCCTCTGCCAACATCTTATATGACACAGAACCAGCCAATTCATTATAACCGCCAAAATTTTCAATCATCCGATATCTGAAGCAATTTACCCTTTCCAGCTTGTATTGACTGATAGAGAAGGGATCTCTATGATAAATGAGCCAAGGTGGAAAGTGCAGATGCTATCAATTTAGCTTCCACCGGGTAAAAATTTGTGTTGGATAAATCTTTTAATAAGTATTTACAGAAAAAAATGAATTAAAATTGTAATAAGTTTAGTTTTGTTTTTTACTTCCAAATTCTTATGAAAAAAGTACATTTAAATTGGGCCTAAATCTTCATTCCATTATGTATCGTGGGTCAAGAACAATTGAGACACCTTTTGGATTTCGTTTTTATTTATTGTACTGAGAATTATATTAATCAATCACTTTTTTGGCATTTTTTATAAATACAATTTATTTCTGCAAGGGTGGTGTAAAATGGGAAAAAAGAACTTTGAATTTGAGCCTAATAAAATTTTGTTGGGGTATGGGTCATACAATATGTAAGTCAATTGATAGACCTTTACTGAAAGTCCAAACTATTATCAAATGCTTCTCCAACTATACAATTGCTTGGAGCCCAAATGTATATTCAGGGGAGATTATTTTATTAGTAATAAAAATATAAATTAAAATATAATAGTTTAAACTTTTACTTTTAAAAAAGTTAAAAACATAATTGATGCAATATCATCATAATAATATTATTAAATATCTTGTTATACTTAATAGTAGTTAAAGTTTTTTTATATAAATAATATACTTAATAAAATTTAAATTATATTTGGTTGTTAACTGGTTAAAGAGAAAATATTATTTAAATTAAGATACGTGTTTTAAAATAAAGAAAGTACGTGATTACACACACAAAAGAAAAAGCATGCATAGATAATGAAATCTCAATTTATAATATTGATTAGTAGTCTTAGAATTTAATTAGGTTTAAATTGGGTTTCTATATTTCCTGACCAAATTATACCAATTTTTGGTCGTACTACACAAATTAGGTTTTTCGAGGACAATTTGAAGTTTTAGCATGCTGAACTTGCATTACAAGCAAATTCTAAGAGCATGTTTGACATACTCTAAAAATTTAGTTTTTTTTTTTAGGTAAAATAATATTTAATTTATAAAAAATTCGTTAGCTTATATTTGGGCTTCAAGCAATGAGTTAAACTTCAAACCCCGAGATGATGAACTCATCCTATATTTCCTTTTATGTCTTTTGTTGAAACTTCAAAGACATTAAATAAGAAAATAATAAGCAATAATTTTTTTTATTAAAAATCATAATATTTAATATTATCGATATATTAAATTTTGTAATATCATCTTATTTCTAATAAAAATTAAATATATAAGTGATCGATTGCGTGTTAAAAAAAAGTTCATTTTCTTTGACTGAAAAGAAAGGAAAATCCTATGTTTCCTTTGGGTCAATGTGAAACCTTTGTCTTAACGGTGGCAACATTAATTGTTGAATGTGATTTTTAAGATGAAAAGAACCTTTGGGATATTCGAGAAGCGTTCGAAAGGGACCTCACTGGTTCGCATCATCGGTTTTGGTTCATACTTCATAGGAAGGTGATGACAATGGCATGCATGCAATTGTTGCCAAGGGGACCAACCAACTTGTGGGGATCAATAAATGTCTTCGATTTGAGAAATGTGGCATCCACTACGATGATCCGTGGTTCATGTATGAATAGAATTATTACTCATCTTTGCTCGATATAGTTTTTTTTTAAATTATTATTATATTAGCATTGTTTGTGTGCCACGGTACACTTTTCTCTTGATCTTGTTCAGCATTACCTATAACTTTTGTGCCATGCAAATTTAGAATGAATCAGAAAAATCACATTCAGCATAAAACATGGTAATGAAAAGAACTACGCAAGTTGTGAGTAGGGTCAGCATCACTGCCCTCATCACCATTGTTTTACTTTCTTTAAGTAGTCTATGTAATGGATCACACAGCTCCCTAATACTATTTTGTTTCATTCCCATTTTGTAGGTCGACATAATAATGTTGGGTAAGGATGAAACATTTTACGAAAAACACACGTTTTTCTCACACTATTCAAATTTTACGCTACTTATCTTGGTCATACATGAATAATAAGGAGATCGATAATATGTGAGATATCAATCAGTGAAAACTTGAATACTAGTTAGAGAAGCGAAATTACTATGATAAAAAAAATGTTTGAAAGAGTTTATAAACAACCATGCAATGGCTTTTCGGCACAGATTCCAACTTCCAAGACATTCACAATTCATGTTCTTCCTGCATCATCCTTCTGCTGACTCGTCTAGTAACTCGCAATTTTATTTTATTTTGATACATATGCACTGTAATAAATCGTTGTGATAAATGTGTACAACTAACATTTTACAGCTTTATATTGTTTAAGCATTCATAATGAGTGAGGGCATCTAAGAAACTTGTACAAGCTAGTGTTTTGAAAAACAACTGCAGAAGAATGAATTAGCCGGCAAAATGCTTTCTCCTCCGATGTATCTTTTCGGCTCCATGTGCACCAAATATACTTCAGATACTTATGATATCTGTCCCACATGATATCAATGCTTTAAATAGGCATGATTTGGAAGTGAGGGGAAGATCTAAAAAAATTATCACAGAGAACAAGAAATCAGAACGAGTATCACAATTTGAAAGTTAACAAACTTGAGGGTCTATGAAGTTACAAGGATTGCCTCCCGTGCATTACATGCAATAAAACATCAATGAACTAAATAACGACTGAAAGTTAGTTGGTAATCCAAAATGCAAAAAGAACAGATTTTACTGCTTTTCAATATTAGATAACTAGAACATAATGCTGTTCATCAACACACTCCATTGTATACCAGACAATTAGTCTGACAAATTAGACACTTCATGTCCTTTGCATGTACACGTAACATTTCTATTTGCCCGTTTTCCCCTGAGTCGGTGGTGTTTATTGTTCTTGAACTACTTGGAAGCATATATTCAGGTAAATCCAAAGGAGGAAAAAGCATGCAGGCTCAGCTGAGATCAGATCCAGTAATATATACACCACCTCTGATCAAACAAGAAAAGATGAAATTGCAGGAGTTACACCACATTCTTTAGTTCATAAATCTTCAGCTAACATTTTCCGAGTTGTTATACCTAAACTTTCATATTCTCAGAATACTCAAACATTAAGTGTAACTTGCTCTTGCTCCTATAGAATGTTCAGCACCTAGGTTCAAACCAATTTAAGGAGTCTGCTAGCTATCTCAAGTGATTTATTATTTGAGAATCAAGAGGACAAAAGTCTAATTCCACAGGGTCCCCTCTAAATACGATCAAAGGCCAAAGAACTCCGCAAATTTGATTTTGATGCACAGAAAAATGCACCTATTTGTCTTCATCATGTGCAGTCAATTATGGTGCAATGATGACAAAAACACTACACTGTCAACTGTATTGCAAGAATATGTCCGCATTACATCCAAGCACAGGGACCCAAGGATACATCACTTGCAAAATAGAGTCGATGTTCACTACACAAGGGACATGTGTTACATAATGCATGGGATTTGAACCGGGAATTATCATTATGATGTCATAGCAGCCTACCCTGATTTCGTTCAGTGTTCCATCTTGGCAAATCGCCCCTTGACTCTTGCCCTGCCTTCTGCCCGGACTTTTCGTGATTCATACCTTATGTGCTTGTCATACCTGTTTTCCATATAAAGTATGAAAAGTTAACAATCTAGGAAAGTTATATTAATCAACAATATAACAATCATTTAAAATTGCGAGGAGATGACAGGACATGATCACTACAGAATCACAGTATTTTTCCAGAAATTCTGAACTGAAACTCTTAGTCAACATATTGGAGAAAACTATGTTGCATAGTATTGATTAATTCTTGATATCTCTCAAAGAAATATACCAGAAAGGAAAATCCCAAGAATATATCCAACCATAGTACCTGGAACCAGTGTTTATACAACTTCCACAAGTCAGAGTATTTAAAGCTTCTTTTATTTATAAATAGAAAAGAAAATAACTTCATAGAATCTAAAAATGGACATGGTGTAATAAGAATTTAATATGTGAGAAATTGTGCAGCTAAGTCTCAAAGGTGCACTTTCAAACATTAGATATTGTTACCGAGAACATGCACACACACAGAGCAAGCAAAGGATACCATAATAGTAATACCTTCTTGTTTTCTTCTTCTGCTTGTACCGTAACAATGCAGAATCTCTTTCTTGACTTGCTAACTCGCATGGTGCTGCTTTAGGAGTAGTTGATAAGGTTTCAGACTTAAGAGAAACGGATGGTGTCCCTCCACTGTTGCCATAGGTGAGAGTTTCCCCAACAGCAGAAGTAGAATGGTTAACTGGAATTTTTTCAGTATAAGCTCTCAATGATGTGTCAGGAGGAACAACTTGATACGTTTGCTCACTGCTTTCTCTATGCCACTGAAATACACGGTCAATATAGCTGTACAGTCAATATTTTATGTATATACTACTTCAGCAAGAAAGTCGTACATATTGAAGAAGGTAGCATTGAATGGTTCCACCATTAAAAGAGCAACCTAAAGACCTAGCCCCGCCGTAACAACCATAGAACAAGACAGGCTAAAGGAAATAACAAAGCAAGATAGATGTTGCTGGTGATTGGATTTACTAAAGATTTATCATAACAGAAAATTGGGATTCATAATTACAAGAATATTGGACACACTAAAGAACTTTCTAAAGGTGAATCAAAATTCAAATTTCATAATAAATAAAAAGTATGTTGAGAAAAGTTTTCCAGTCAAAGTAAAGTGTATTAAGAGAATCCTTCATGAACCACCATTACATCAAATATGAGATATCTATCAGGAAATATCAGATTCTCATTCTTATTCTCGCTTTAGAAATGCAAAATCCTTGTATTAGACCTCGTAAAAGGTAATTTCACTACACCTATCCATCAGGTGTTTCCTGGCTATGACTCCAAGCCATCTTACACTAACGGAAACCATTTGGTAAATCTTCATCAGATGGATTGTTAAACTGTATAATACACTACATGGAGTATAAGTGCCCATACGGTATCCCCAGGTAAACCTTTATCAGTAGTTCAGTACCCTTACAAGTGGGTTGAGATACCAGTAGATATCCCAATTGATGCAAATAATTTCTTGTAAAACGAGATAATAACAGTTAATTCTCTCCTGTTTAATGAATTAAGGTAGTCTCCACAGAAAATCACATAAAATTCTTCACCCATATTTGAGGAGATATGATTAATGTACAAGTGAAAAGGGAAAATCAAGCAAAATTCAATTTAGAGATAAAATAGTTCATCTGTTGTGCAGGCACACAAAGTTGAAAATGGTCTTAAAAAACACAGAACCCATCATCAGCACCAGCATTGATAAGAAACGATAAGTACAACAAGTGAAGTAGAAGCTTTACCTCATGAGAAGGAAAGATATCAGCCTCCATGTCACGTTCGAAACCAGTGGACAAATTCCCCGATTGAACATACTGTTCTTCAGGGTCCAAGGGCTCAGACTTTGCTAGTTCACGAAGCTGACCAAGAATCTCTTCTCTATGTCGCCCACAAGCAGCCTTACGATTCTGAATCAATAACAATACCCTGAACAAGTCAAAAATTGTAGCAATGCACACAGTTTTTCAATGTCTTCTATTACGTCCAAAGAATCCAGATTTCCAGAAGACAATCAAAACGAAAAAAAAAAAATACCAATGTTTTTTTTCCACCCTACACCAAAGCGCCTGTTTAGTTTAGAGTTTAATAAAATGCACTTTCTAATAAAAACACATGTTCTAATAAAAATTCATCACAAAGATTTACTTGGACACATCTCAATTATGTTCTAACACTTCAAAATTAAGGACAATGTTAACCTCAGCTCTAAAAGTAACTAATAATAATAATAATAATTTACCAAATAAAAAGTATTTATTACACTTTTAGATTTCATCATAATAAATGTGCAATTTTTCAATAAAAAATTAGTACTTTTAATTGCCTAAAATCAGTTCGGAGGGCTAAATTTAACAAAACCTCAATTAATTCTATACAAATCAATTCAGCTAAAACTTTAAAATAAACCACTTCTAACCCTAATTCCAGCATGTCCAGCTGAATAAACAAGTGCTAACAACAAAAGCAAGTCCTATACTGTTAAAAAACCGAGCTTTAACCCACAAAATAAATCTCTATTTCATTCCCAATTGTCCCAGCACCAAATAAAAAATCGGTTCTGTTAATCTCAGTTTAAGCACAAAAGTAGTAAACTTTTTTTAAAAAAATATATTAACTTAAAAATGCAAAAATATCATAAATGTTTTTAAAATAAAATTTTATTATTTTTAATGGGTAAAACTTCAGCCCCCAACACCTATAAAAAAAAGGGAACAAAACAAATAGTGAAGAGAAAGATATTTAACACACATATATGTGTATACCTTGGGCATAGGAGGAACCTCCATAGCCTGAAAGTTGTGAGAAGAAGCAGAAGAAGAAATCAAATCGTCAAGACTAACAACAGAAGGAGCATCCCAAACAAACAAATCCGAAGATAAACCTTCAATTTCGCACCCCAAAAACCCATCACTTTCTTCAGGCGAAAGCAGAGCCTTTTTTCCGATATCTCTGAACCCCACGATGGTTAAGAGTTCAGTAACTGAAGGGCACCCAGTAAAACCCTCAAGGGGCCTTCGTTCGTGAAGGGAAGAGAGGGAAACATTGTGCCTTTCCCAGTCACAGTTCTGACACAGAACAGAGGTTTCAGTGGAACAGAGTATGGTTGCAGGGGAATGATCACATGCGTCACAGAGCAGGGTGCGCGTGTGTTTCGAGAAAAGCTGGTTGGTGGAGTGAACTTCGCGATCGCAAGAGAAACATAGTTTTGCTGAATCGGCTCTGCAATAGAGAAGTGCTGTGGAGTGGCCACAGTAATCACAGGGTCGCGCTTGTTGTGTAGAAGATGGAGAACCACTCATAGCTTCTTCTTCTTCTTCTTCTTCTTCTTCTTCTTCTTCTTCTTCTTTGTGTGAATGCTATGTGTTTGATTTTGTGTGCAAGAGAGAGAGAGATTGAGAAGGGAAAAGGGTAGGTAGTGGATTTTGAGGTATGGCTTCAAATCAGCGCTAAGGAGAATTTGGTATGTGAGTGGTGTGGATGGATATTCATGATTTGTTTCTTGGGGAACAAGGACTACTTCATAAAGCTAATACTTGATTTTTTGTTACTATTATTTCAATTTTCCTTTTTGGAAAAGGACGTAGGATAATTCAATGAAATTTTGTGATTATGACCAAATTGATCAATTTCGCGTTTAAGTGATGTAAGCAAATAATACACTTTGGTATATAAAATTGTGTGGAAATAATTTTACGTGTCATTTGTTGAACCTTTTGTAATTAGTGTGTTAGTTAGGAAAGCAATGAATACAAAATTTCTATTAAAAATTATGTAATTACACAAATATATTGTTATATTGTTAATTACTGTTTTAAAAATATTTGTTACGTTATTTTTAAATTGTAAACTTCAAAAAATAATTTACCCAATTCAGGTTTTTTAATTAAATTTTACTACTATTAAATATGAAAAAAAGTAATACACTTTGGTTCAGAATGGTAAACAACTTGATTTTCCTTTATTAGAATACTAAGTTCGACTCTCCAAGATTAATTTCACTAACAAAAATCATTAATTCTCTCGTGAAGAGGTAGATTTAATAATTAAATTTGATTTGATACGGAGAAATTTAAGCACAGACTGACAGACAGCTCGATCAATTATAAAAAGTAGTGGGTTCCACTGTGGGACCAATTTGTATTTATTTATTATTAATATTATTTTTTCTCGTGGAATCTTCAAGCATGCACAAATATATAATTAAAATGTGCTAATATAAAAATATACGCAAAAGATATTTTTTGGCTGTTTAACGGAGATTGAGGTCAAATCTTGTACCTAATTTATATAAACTTCTGCATTGTTTTAATATAACCTAATGGGTGTGATTAGGAGTTAGATTTGGACGATAAGAGTAGCAATCTAATATAGTAAGTCAAAGTACTATGGTAGTAACGGTACCATCTTCCACCAAAGATTTATAAAGGATGAAAAACACGTTTTTTTTAAGTGAATATTGTGATTTGAGCTTCCCCGTTTCGTATCATAAGGGAATTATTATAGACTTGCACAAAGTCATGATTTATGTATTCTATACATGTTTCAGTACAAGTATATCAATACTTTCTTTTGAAGCATATTCATCCTTGAATCATATAAATATGTTAATAGGTATGTTGTTTTGAGTAATATGGGTACCCTAAGAGAAGATTTTTTCTTCTTACAAGAACACATAGGAATTCTTTCAAAAGTTATTGGTGGGCTGCTATTAAGAGTTTTTTGTTAAGAAAATAATAGAACTGTAATCAATTAATCAAGTTTTTTGGTTAGAAGAGTCAATTGTTTTTATCTGAAAATGTAATTATGAGGTCATATTGGCGAGTCATGGATTGCCCGTTTATTATGGCAAAAGATTTGACAAAATAAGAGAGGCATGCGACATCTTGTGATTGTAACAAAAAATAGGATTGAAGTTTATCCTAAACAAAGAGCAAAAGAAAACCAAAGGAATAAGAAGGATTTGGTTTTGGTGGTGTATTTTTCTTAAATGATTTTTTGGGTTTGAACAAAGTTTTGGAGTTCATTAATATTGAAGGGAATAAAATTCAATGGCTTGTTAAGTTGAGCCAACCACTGAAGGATTAGAATTTAGAAGAGACAGATACTTCGCTTTCACGAACCATCGGTGGCATTGATATTTACGGCTGTGGGCCAACTTGGGGAACGGCCTTTTCAGCCGAACATGCTCGAAACGAAGAACTGGACCCCTCCTTCTTACTTCTGACCCAACAACCAACTCCAACTTTAATCATCCTAAATAAATTTTTATTCTTTTCATATATAATTCTAATAAATATATCAATCAAATTTAAAATAATATTTCACGTAAAAATATTATTGATATTATATTACATTTTGTGTCATATTTATTTCAAATTTAATTTTCATTTTTTGTAATAACTTATATTAATTTCACAGTATTATAATGATAATAAATGATATAATAAGTTTAGAAATAATTAAATTAAGTATAAATATTTTGTATGAAAACAAAATTATTAAATACAACTAATCAATATTTTTATCCTAGTTGTTAAAAAAATGTTTTTAAATGCATTTTTTCTATTTTTTTCTTTATTTATTATGAATTTTTTATTAATAAATTATTCATCTATTATCTATATAAATAAATGAGTAATTATAAATTCTTACTTTTTTATTTGTACAAGTTATTAAATAATAAATAGTAAATATATTTTATATTTCTAAGATAATAAATAAATATTTTTTTATGTTATGCTTATTATATAAGACAAGATGATTTTTGAGAGGATAAAGAAGAATAAATAAATTTATTTATTAATATATAATTCATTAAATTAATAACTTAATATTGTAAATATAATACAAAATTATAACATTATTAATTTTAATTTTAATGATTTTATCCTTTTTTTTAAAATAATGGGAAGCAGTATAAAGACAAAGTATATTTAAAGTTTTTGCCAGCAAGGCAGAATGCACAAGTGTTCACACTTTACAGTCATTAATTGCCCCCATCTAGAAGTCTAAAACTGTCCCCTGTTCATAGGCTCCAATAACATTCACAGAATTTGAATGAGATGAGATTAATGTGGAAAGACGTGACAAATTAATGATTGTTGCTCTGTTTACCAAACGTATTGAACGGGTCATACGTATAGTTATTACTGAATAGCAGACACTTCAACTTTTTAGCTGATGAGTTATTACTAAAAAGAAAAGGGAATAGTAACACCCAACCATCCAGATGAACAGTGATGCTTTTATGGTTCCATTTCTCTCTTTTCAAGCTGATGAGCTTCACGTACCAACTTGTAGAAAGAAACAATTCTTTCAATAGTAATACCTAAGGGTCCCAACTCATTAACTCTGGATATCAAATAGTACTCCCAATTTTCATGTGAAATGGTAAAATAATTAAATTTATTTCATTTCACCCGATCCATGGCCCATTTTTCACAATTTTCTACATTTTTCTGTATATACATTTACAGTACCCGTTGGACGTATTAATTGGTCCACCATAAATGAAAGAAAAATGATAACTAATAAGTTAAAAAATAAAAAGATTTTGTTAATAAACATTAAAGTATATCCAACGGGAAAGCTTAGAAGGAGGGAGAGCAAAGGGTTAAAGGCTATGAACAAAGCCTTCCTTCGGTGCGTTAACGACTCAGCAAGCATGCTTCATGCCTGTTCACGATTTAGGTCAACGTTACTCAACATTTTCTTTTCCGTTTTTTGACTTGACTCCACATTTTCACACTTCATCATTCATTTCACTATCGATAGAAAGTTTCAAGTCATGGAAACTCGAAAGATTATTTTTCTCTACCAAAAAGCATTTTTTTTATCAACAAACCAAAAATCTGTTTAACAGTTAAACAGAGCTCCCCGAAAATGGGCTGGCCCGGGGCTAAAAATGTTGATTTGATAAAATTCATCCAAAAAAGATTTAATTGTTTTTGAACTACTTTTGAAAATCATCTTTAGCCTTTCTAAAAAGACATGAAAATTTAGTTTGCGTCGAAAACTTCTCTAATTATTGTAATTTTTTAAAATACATTCAACTATTTCACCCCAGTCCCCCCTAAAAACACACAATTAGGTCCTAAATACGACTTAGCGACGTGTATCCAAGATCAAAGTAAACCAACGATGGATAGCATCAGATTAAAAATAATATTTCTTTTCTTTTTGGCTACTAAAGTATCAAGCAAGCTTGAAAAGTATCGAGAATTTGGATGTTCCAGTTTTACTCACATTGATACTGACATATCGAATATCATTCACTATTTTATTTTCCTTCAATGCGCGAATACAAATTGCTTGCACGTAATGTAGGCCACCCACAATATATCTGACCCACAAATTGAGCCAAGACTATCAGCAAAATCAAATATATTCACCTGTTTCCTACACATTGGGAAAAATAGGAAAGAGTGAAACATTTCAAAACAAAATGCGAAAAGAATAAATTAAGAAATTTAAATATTTTATAATTGGGTTTCACTAACACCCAAACCTTCACTGATGTTCGGGTGAGGAAATCCTACGGGTGTTATACGAACTGCAGTGTCTGCACTTATGACCAAATATGTGAAAAGAAACTCTGCTGGTAGAGTTACAATCATTGCATAAAATTGAAACCTGTCACATACCCAAGCACTCGGTAGTTACATTGTATGCAAGAGCAGTATAAGGGTAAGAGACCAGAAATATTTGAGAATAAAATAAAGTTACTGACAAGTTTCATCATATGATGAAAAAAGAAAGAAAACCCTCTCTAAGATAAACATTGCCATAGGTAAAGAAATATGAATTCCTATGTGCGTGTTGGTGCGTGTGTGGATGTACGAATATGAATGAATCACCACCCAAAACGTTCAACATCGCTTTTGCAACAACACTCACATAAGATCACAGAGGCATTATTTAGCTGAGATATTGCTAAAGCAACACCAGAATAGAAATCTTGAATTTGCCTCCACTGTCTAACTATAAACTAAGCAATGCCTATCTAAACCCAGATAGACATGATATTGTAAACTGATTATCATATATGCACTGACAAAATATAGTCATCAAGTTGTTGGAAAGGGAAACCGAGCTGTGTCAGATTGTGTGAAATTTTAAATGGGCAAACTTCTAAATGATGCTCTTTAGTCTTAATAGATCAATCAAAGAGAAAACACATAAGTACCTCAAACTTATAGTCCTCAGGCATAGGAAAAGCTTCAATCTATCAAGAAGAATTATAAGCGTGTCCATACAGAAGAAACAAATTTCACAGGTGAGGAAAGGAATAATTATTGAAATAAAATACCTAAGTACAAAAAAGCAATTCCTAGAAAATCCATAGCTTTAAATAGTTGATAGATTTATTAAGTAGCAAGCACGAGAGCTTCCAAGACCAAAGCATAAACGACCATTGGCAATTATTTATATATTAAGAAGGATGAATGTGAAGTTAACCTTGTTCTAAGATACCACTCAACAGCTTATAAATCCTGAGTAACACCAGTCAATATATTTTCTCTGATGTATTCATCAGCCAACAAGTGATAAAATAACTGAGAAAATAGTTCTTAAATGATTTTAAAAAGCTGACAAATAGTTCTCCCACAACTTCTGTTTTAAAAAGTTAACTTTTCAAAAGCTATACTGTCAAAGTATCTTGTAATCAAGCAGTTACCTCATGTTTTCCTCTGTATGAAGAGAAATTTTGAGTTTAAACCCTAAACCCTAAACCATTATTGACCAACAAGAAATGTTTTTAAACAATATTTAATATAGTTCCACACACCTCCTGATCTAAATGTTTCCAGTCCTGAGACATATCAGCCATTGTCCTCAAGCAGATAGGGCAACGGTACCTGATCAACGAAACAATGGTAAAATTATCAATTGAGAGCTACTATTTAGCTCATAAGAAATATGATACAAAAGAAAGAATTATTAGGAAGTCAAGTTAACTGTTTTTGTGTTGTCATCTCCTGATAGCATTCCAAATGCATTGTGTGTCCACACTTAAAAATGATGCTGCCTTTTATTGAATCAAAAAGGTACTATAAACATGTAACCACATTGTCAGAAAAGTTTTAATAAGAGTTTTGAGGAAATGAAGCAATTAAAACTACCAAAGACAGACCTCAAAACAGACAGGGCAGGAGCTCTTCATTGAGTTCTCTACACATGAGTGGTTGTTTTGCAAGCTCTGTGAATAGCAAGAACCTGAATTCATAGTGTTGCTAAAAGATGGTGAGCAGATTCATGACAAAAACATATAAAAACAAAGGGAAATTTGCAATGCAGATGCTAACGCTAATGAGAAAGGAAACACACAACTGTATACTTTGTGATGATATATGGTCCTAATGCTTGAAGAAAGAGAGATGAATAAATTACAAAGGTTCACCAGAGAACATACCACATTTCTTACAGTGAAAGAAGTTATTACGACCACCAACCCTGAAAATAAGAAAAAGTTAGAAAAAACAGAAAAATCAATATTTCAGTAAACAAATCAAAGAATTTAACTCAATCTATAGTGTGTTAGATCAAGTTCGGAGTCAAATCTCTCACAAATTTCTGATTCTAACCTGCAAATCCCACATTCATCACAATGGAATTGTCCTTTATCCGTCTGTGACCGTAAAAACATCATATGGTATCAAATTAAAGAGCCAAAAGATATACATATAACATAATGAAGATACAGGATTTCAGTACCAATATTCAGAAGGGAAGTACACTTCATATATATAACTAATTTGAACTAAACATCGTACATCATCATCATAGAATTTGCAAATCTCGCAATAATATTCTCCCATGTTGACACCACAATTAGAACAGACCTTGGCAACCTGAATCGTCAAAATCAAGGGATAAGTCTTCATTTCTTTTTCTGTTTATAAGTAACGAGGTTCTAAATAGAGTCAATGCTTTTTAAAGCAAAGAGAAGATAAATGAAAAAAACACTCTAGATTCTACCTCCTGTTCAGTATTACAGATTGAACATATAACCTGAAACAATCAAAATGCACAATCACATTAGGGTTTACAAGCAAAACCTACGTCAAAGAAAACGCAATACATGCAAGGGAAGAAAAAGAAGCAACAAGCTTCTCTTACTTGCTTAACATCGCGTCTAACAAGTTCATGATGATCCACGGGGTTGCTAGATGAGCTCTAAATGGCAAAAAGAATCGGAAACTAATTGAGAAAAAAGAGGTGATCGATATAAAAGGAGTGAACGTTAGGGAGGAAGAGAGAAAAAGACCATGGCGTCGTTGTGGCAGTGACGACATGGAAAGATCTGATTGCAACATGGAGCTCGAATTTTACATCGTCTCTTGTAGTGCTCGCATCTATACATGGAACAATACGTGTATTTAAGTATTAAACAAGAAATGGAAGAGAAAGTGAAAGAAGTTGTGTTTGGAAGATTAAATTACCCATACTGCAACTTCCCAAACTCCTCTCTCCTTTCAGATGCAGAGTTTTCCTCCATTGATTAGGGTTAGGGACAGGGCGCCAAATGAAGTGAATCGGATTTTGATCACTATATACAACACAACGACAGGGCTAGATTGTCTTTAATGTGTTAGTTCAGAGCGGCAAGTGCAATTCTGTCTCTCCATTTGTTGGTGTGATTTTTAATTTTATATTCGAGCAAGAGGAATGCCAGTTAAAACTCTAACTGAATGTATTTTTTTTTCATTTTTAAATTAATATTTTTATAATTTTTAATAATTTTACTCAGTAATAAATTTTACGTCAAAGAGAATAGAATGTTGCTAGCCTTTTCTATTTTCAAATATTCAACTAACACTGTTTTTTTTTTCATGCCCTTAGATGTTATTTTGGGCATGAAAATAAAATAATTGCGTCGTATCTTGCAAACAATTAAATTAATTAGATAAATTAAGAGTGAGTTCGGTCCATGCCCCACCAGTACCTTGTTGGACTGGGTGGATTAAAAAGAAACATGTTTAAAAAAACATGAATTCTAAAAATATAACTTTAAAAAAATTTGTGAGAAAGATGTCAGCAAAAGTTATTCATAACATAAAGTAAACCAAATCCGTATTTAAATTAATTCATCTTTATGTCCACAACTTATTTTTTGTTCATTACAACTTTTTTTTGTCAGCAAAATTAGTTTAATTCAAACAAACTATTTAATCCATAAATTTAAATGGTGTTTTTTTATATTTAATTTAGAGAACGGCTCATTGACCTTTTCTTCTCTGCATTACATAATGCACAAATCATGAACGGATTTTCATCTTTAATATCGACTATTCAAATGAAATTTTAATTTCATTTAAAAACAATCATAAAAATATTTGTAGTGTTGCACTTACATTTGTACAAAATCTTTAAAATTTTTAAGTAAATTTTTGAGTAGTCATAAAATAATCCAATAAAATATAAATCCAAAAAAAAAAAGAAAAAATTGAATAATTTATACAAATATGAATAATTTTATAATTAAATTATAAGTTTAATTTAATACTTTATGCATTTTTTTTAATTTAGTCTATATCTAAAAATGTTATAATTTAGTCAAAAATTATTTTTGAATTAATTCTTGTCGCTGAAAAACATGTTAACAACATTAAATGAAAAGGATTAAGACGTAAAGACAATTATATAAGAATTAAAATATAATAAAAACTATAAGAATTAATTTATAAATAAATGTCAACTATAAAAATTAAATAAGTATTATAATAAATAATAAAAAACAAATTATGAACTTATTTAAAAAATAAAAAAGATACTAAATAAAAAAGTTTATAAAATTTTAAAAGACTAAAAACTTATATCTTCAAACAAACTTATATTTAGTATAGTTTTATATTTCAAAAATAATAAATTTGTTCTTTCTCATTAAAAAATTAATTTTCAAAAAATTTATAGAAACTGACATTTAATATAAATTATAAAAATTTAATGTTAATACTTTATTTATTTATTTAAATGTAAGATAAAAGATAAAAGATAAAAATATAAAATAAAAATATATTAGTTCCAACTCTTAAAAACAAGTTTGAACAACAAATTATAATATTTTTTTTTAAATAAAAATTATTTATTATATTTTTATAACTTTAATATAATGTATATATTACTTTTTAATTAAAAATTTTACTTTTAAATATTTAAATTCAAATTCAACATGAAGGTCCTTAAGATTAACACAATTGTATGAAATAAAGTAAATTTTTTATTAGTCAGTAATTAAACATGTTTTAAATACCAGATAAACAAAATTTAACCTTAAAAACTTAAATTAATATTTTTTATTTTATATATTTATCTTTTATCATACATTCAAATAAACGAATAAAATATTAGTATTAATATTTTTATTATAATTTCTATTGTATATTAATTCTTATAATTGTAAAAAAAGATAAAATGAGATTAATGCATAAATTAAAAGAAACTAACCCAACATTTATTATCATTAGTTCTAAAAGTATAATAAATATTTTTTTAAAAAACAAAAATTGAAAAATCAAAGCAACCCAACATTTATTGTTAAACAAAAACAAAAAAACATAAAAGTACAACAAATATTTTTTAATAAAATTTTATTATTATTAATTACTTAAACTTAATATGTTCAATATATACATTTTTTTTGGCTGAGTTGAATCATTAAATGGTGAAGTGCTAGACTTAAGATCGGTTTGGAAAAACTTATAAAAAGCCCTTAAAAGAAAACATGAGTATAAAAAAAAAACAATTTTTTAATAAGTTAAAAGCAACTCATTTCCTCTAATTTATAAAAATATTATGATTTTTCATATATTTTTTTTCTCTTGGAATAACTTCTCTTAGTTAATCCATGTGAATTCAACCATGTGTAAAAAGAACCCGGGGAAGGGGGGGAGGGGAGAGGAGTCGTCATATTATATACTTCCAAACAATATGCATTCATCGAATGTTGGGGCCGTCTGATCTGGAGTATGGCCAAGGTTTGTGCCCTGCAACACTCTTATTGTACTCGTTCAGGTCAGAATTTTACAATGCTAATATCTGATGATTTCACTCCGAAGACAATGACTAAAAATGAATCGAACATTAAAAGAAGCAAGCATGACAAAACCAAACATGTCTTACGCAATGCCATTGGATAGCGCACTGCCTACCCATCATCCCGAGAGTTGAAAAAGCAAAAATGCATCCTTATCTTCAAGGGCAGCACAAGGTATGCTTCCTAAACTAGAGGATAGTGCATGAGCAGGAATTCATCTTTTGCTTGTTCTCCTGATTCTTCTCTGCAAGCAAACCACAAGGGAAAAAGCACATTAAAAATATATATAGTAATGTTTTGGTCTGTCAATCATCAGATATATGTCTCAAAGGCAACTTAATATAAATCACTAAATGGATATATGTAGCAATACAAGTCGTAAACCGGTCACCAAAAAAGGACCGTTTTATCTTTTTAAATACATTATTCATTTATGCATATTTTCACGATTTACGATCATGTTTTTATTTTATTTTTAAATTAACATAGTTTTACAAAAGATGTGATGTTACATACTTACATAAGAGTTGCTTTTTGTTTGATAAAGCATCACAATGAGACAATCTCGCTCAAGTACAAGCTTGTATCAGACAAAACAAGCTCTGCTAATAAATAGATAGGTTTGCACTTTGCAACTAAATATGACACAACGCATTGACCCTTCAAACCTTACGCCTTCTTTGGCTAGTTTTGCTTACTTCATATATTTATAGAATTTTGTTGAAAGATTACAATTAAAATATCATTAAATTATACTTATCTTGTGATTTTAATTACTTTATTATTTATGTTTTCATATTTTTAGTATATTTCCCCGCATTTATATCTTAGTTTTTAAAAATTGTATTGTATCCTGTATACTATCAATACTAATACAGGTACTCTTATGGCTCTACCCGGATCCACGCAACTTACAAGCTTGAGTAAGATTGCAGATGAAAAGATTGAACAAACCTGTCTTCTTTTTAGTTACTGGAGGCTGTACTACAACATGCACGGTAATACCACCTCCAGGGATGTCACCAAAAGTTATTCTGGAATCAGCAAGAGTTTTGCTGTTTTCCAAAAATTTACCAGCATGTATAAGTTTTAGGTCACTTACTGACTTTGGTGTAACTGTTTTACCTGTAAACAGAAAGATTCCATTGAAAGGTAAGGCAAAAATGTTCCAGAAATGAGAAGATGAAAATTGAAATCAAACGATAGACATATATATGTTATATTCATCGGAAAAGGCAAATAAGTCATTCATCTGCAAGAATGATCATGTGCAAGACTGGATTTTCTCATATTTTTTTGGCAGAATACATGAGCCTGCAATACTGGGCTCACAAGTAGAACTACAGGATAAATGCACACAGAATGGAATGGTGCTAGGGATGGTTGCTATTGTTGTTGTCAACCATGCAGCAAAAAATAGTTGGATACATATTACAGCCAATTGCCAAAACAAAAATCTAATGTATGTTTTAAATTAGTACTTTGTGAAATACAATGTGAATAGAGTATCTAAATTTAACATAAAATAAAAGAAAAAATTATCAACATGATATAAAATTGAGGTTACCAAAAGAGAAAAGTTGCATTTCTGTCCTCCAAAGTTACACTTGATATCATTCAAATCAGTCCTACGCGTGACATCAATTTGAACCATTTTAATGGCACGATAAATCTTTGGAGGACTAACTTGATCTCATAAATATTTGGAACAACCAATTAGTTGCCAAGTATATTTACATTGACCCAAAATGCTAGCAAAGTCTTGTATACAGACACCACACATTCCACAAGATGACTAACCTTGAGGCCACTCAGCAACTAGCCTTTGCTTAAGGGTACCAATTGTCGTTGAAGATGAATAAGTACTGTGTGCTATATCAGTTCCGTCATATATGCGGAATTTAAGCTCAATACGCTCCTCACCTTCTGCCATGCTAGCCTGTGTCCTCCTCTGCCAAACTTATGGAACTGCAAAACAGTACTTCCTTGGATCAAAAGATTCAATCTCACCTTGCTCACCTGCAAATCAATTCCCATTCCAATAAGGCCACAACTCCAATCCACTAACGCACAATTTAATTATAAAAGAAACACCCACGTGCCTACTAATCACCTCAGTTCTTAGAAAGGGGAGAAAAAGAAACAAAACTAATAGTCGTATTAAGAACGATAAGGCAGATTTGAAACATTCTCACTCTCCGCAATAACGGCAATTGGCAACTAAAGCATGTTTTCAGTGACCAAAAAATAAAAATCCGGGAGCATAAACACGAAGAGTGAAATAAGTATGCATACTATCCACAACTAACCTGTGTGACTCTGAGGGAAATTTCCTTATTATAGCAAGCTTGCAAAAATTGCACATCTGAATTGACAACTGGAGAACCAAGTGAACACCTCATATGATCCAATTGCTTCTCCAAACAATCTTTACGAGAGAGATGTCTCTGCGTCCAGACAGGGGAATTTTAAAACCAAGATAGAGAGAGACAGAAATCGGATTCCCACAGATCACACTAGATTCACATGAGAATCGATTCAATCCGAACTAATCGAAACCGTAGAAATGAAAAGCAGGACCGATTTATAAGTTCTGAATTGTTCGATTTCCTAAAATTTGGGTAAGCGGAATGCGATTCTTCGGTAATTAGCACAGCTTAAACCCTAGAATGAGGAAAAACGAAGAATCGAATCTAAGTAAAGAAACGCGCTTCGATTTCAATATACCCTTGGTTTCGCAGAAAGATAAGGCTTAGCTAGAAGTGAAATTCCGCATAGAAACTAAAATAGAGAGAGAGAGAGAGAGAGGTAGAGTTTAAGAAATTCATAATACCTGATCAAGAAGCCATTAACGAAGGATCAGTGACAGGCAATAGTGTATTAGGCAGAGAGAGAGAGAGAGAGAGAGAGAGAGAGAAGGAGAGATCCGAACGTGACTTAGGTTCGTTTGTTCACTGCGTTTTTTCCCTCTCTTTTCTTCTTCGATTTGTTAAATATGTATCTCTTCCGATTGAGAGAGAGGATCTAACAGTACCAGAGCGGTTACTGAGGGAGAGGAAAGGAGGAGTCACGAGAGAGAGAGAGAGAGAGAGACCCAACCTATCTATTTTTATTCTATGCAACCAGATCTACAAACCCATTGTTATCTCCTACTCCTATTGTGCCACGTCAACCGAGTTCAAGTTCTTCTTTGTGTTTGGTGTGGCAGAACACCTCTTGTCTGGTACCAATTAAAATTAGGTATTGCACTTGTAAGAAATTTTTTGTAAAGGTTGTAATTAAATTCAATTATAAGAAAAATACGACGGTTGTTGAACCAACCGACTGTACGGTCTCACAAAGACCGTTTTCTCTTTTTTCCTTTTCCTTTTGTTTTTTGGATTCGAATTGACTCTCCCGATTTAGAACAAGGACCAAGTTCAACTTGAATAGATAGCTACCATGTCTAAGAATTTATATTTATTACTTTTATTTTTTGTACCTATTTGGTGGTTCATTAGTGATCAAATACAATTTGTTTTACACTTATCATTTATAAGCCTAAATTAGTAATCTCTCATTATGTCTCGTTCTTAATCTTTGACCCACATGTACAATCGTGGAAGATTAGTGATGAATGTTTTTCGCTTTTATAATCACCTCGAAAACCTAAGAGATAGTTAATTTGCTAATTGCTTATTATCGTTCTAACTTGTCAAACTCTTTTTCTTCCTATTTTCTTCAAAGTCACCGTCTTAATTCACATGCATCATTTGACCATTTTCCAAAGTAAAGAGAGTTCCTATATAAATTGTTGTTGATTGTCAACTTTGACCGATACATGCCTCATTTAACCCTAAGCTCAACTAACATGTTATTAACCAACTACTATCATGATTGACATGTTCGTCGACTACTGAATTTCTCAACTTACCTGTTCATTAGCTAGCCTCATTTTCGACTAATGTATTTGTCACTACTAAACTTATGATAGGAAGCTCTGTTATCTAAATATTTATGTTCTTGAATCAGGCTATATTTCATTAGTTGCTTCCAAACTAATATTTTGTCTTAATAAACTTGTTATGTTCACTTTCTCAACTTAATTCCTTTTAAACTGTTTTTGCCTCTACAATCTGTTTTTAATTAACTTATTTAGTCTATTTAACTTTTTTCTAGTTAACAATATAAATTTTTTCGTGTGAACAAAGGCATCATCATCGCTAAGCATATCTATTATAAGTGTTTTAATGACTGCAATTTGCATATTTCTTTTCAATCATTAAGTGGAAACAATTAAGAGAACTTGAAATAAAAAAGAAAGGAAAAAAATACACTAAACTAGAACATCATGCACGGTTTTTATCATGAAAATTAGGACGACTAATATCATACAAGCCATCAACTCTTTGTCAGCCTAAACACATTTCTTAATCCTCCATGTCTTGATCATTTTTAGGCTACTTTTGGTGACCGAACATTTAATTATTTCTATGCTTTTTGGCATTAGTCTCAGCCAAAATCGAGTTTGTTATTTTTCATATTATTTGGCTTACATATTTAAATTGAAATTTAGTTATAAAATACTCGTTTGAGCAAAAATGTAAAAGTCTTATTTCTGCGTTAGGCAACTAGATTGGTGGATATTTAAAAAAAATTGCAGAATCACTTTTTTAAACATTTACACATATATTGCTTTTTACTCTAAGCCCACTTTTTAACCATCATTAATTTTGTAAAATCAACCTCATTTATAATTGAATTTATATACATTTACTTAACAAACACTCTATCTATTTATGTATATTATATGCGTGAGCAATAATATTAACAGTTAACTTCTCAATTCATATTAATGTAGTCCAAAGGCATTAAATGACACACCCAAGTTATTAAATTAAATACGGATAAAACTAGGTTAGTTTAGGCTAAACTTTGTTATAAAGGAGTTTTGCCTAATCTCTCAAACATATAATTTTAGTCTAACCTAATTATTTATTGTAAGAATTTTTAAATGCTTAACCTGATTTTAAAGGTATGAGATTTAAACTTGGCCAATCTACCTACCTATGAATAAGACAACAAACCTTCATGTGGGTTAAAGAATTAATGCTTTTAAATGATCTAATAAGCCTAAAATATTCGACAAGTTTTTAAAACTATTATTTTAAATATTTGGAAAAGCATATATATATATATATATATATATATATATATTATAAAAGAATGACCTAACTTGTTTATAATAGATCAAACCTAACATTGCTAGCTTATTAGGTCATAAACTGTGATGGGATGCTTGACCAAATTTATCCTTATTCTTAAGTGGGAATTTTTACTAATGTTGTGCATGCAATTGGGTGTGAAAATTACATGATTGCGCAATTTATAGCATCTTTCAAAGCATGCAATGCAGAGTAGGCCGAGTCATTCAATGGTTCAATAGTGAGTGGCTCAATCAATTTTAACATTGTCATACTCGGTTTTAAGGAGAAAATTTTCCAATTTGCATGATTTGGTATGCCTAGACATGAGTCATAGTTAAGAGGTCCCATCCTGAGTTTGGGTCTGGACTTATTGATCAGGTACAGTGCACAATCCTTGTCACTTAGGTTTGCAACAAACCCATAAAAGACAAACCTTGAACATATATGAACACACGAAGATAGTTGAATATATTTTTAATCTAGTTGCGTCACCTTTTTATTTTAATTTTTGTTTTCTATTTTAAAAAATGTTATAATTTATTTTTGTTAATTCTTTCTTGTCTTGTATGATTTTTCGGTTAATCTTTCATTTCTTTTATTATTTAATAGTTTATGTGTCAGTTAAGAATAAGAGACTAACAATATCCGTAATATTTGGAATAATTAATAAATTAAATAAATTTGGAATATTTAAATTAACGACATAGAATGACATTCAACAGAAAAATATAACACGAAAAATTAATAAAAAATTATATGAAAATGAAAATTTAGTTATATTATTTTCAGAAGGTCAAATAGAAAATATTATATTTAAACGTTTAAAAATCGTATTTAAACTTATAAGAAACTAGGTTTTTGTACGTACAAGAAAATATCCTTTGATCACAAACATCCAATTTATCAAATGCCTTGAGAATGTTCATAAAATTAACATCATATATTATTTTCTTGTTTAAATTAGGTCAGTAAATTTTTAAAGAAATTCTCATAGAAGAAAAAAATTAATATAAAAAATAAATAAATTTTTTATCATAAATTTGAAAATAATTTATTTCTTTAAATTTTAGAAATTTAACTTAAAAGAATTTATAAAATAAATAAATATAAGTTGTTTTTTAATTTATAAAAACTTCTTTAGAAATTTACTCAAACTGAATGTAGTCTACTAATTATAGATATTAAAAAAATGGTACTTATGTATCATTTACATGTTTATTTTAGGTTTTTTTTACACTTTAAAGGCTATACTTATCTTACTCTTTTTTTTGTATATATATATATATATATATTTTTTTTTTCCCATTAAATTATCTTTTACATTTGTTACTTTCTTTCTTGTCCTCTTAAAATGCATATATCTGTGTAAAAAGAGATGTGAATAAACTATTGAATAAAATATTTTTATCATCTAATTCTAATTTTTACGTCCCTTATTTTTATTACATCATTTATCACGTTTATTATTTTATCTCTTTGGCTTAAGCTGTGTACGCTTTCAAGAAAAGTTTTTTTAATTTACAAATTAGCAGATTACTCGTGTAGAAAATTAAATAAGAAAGTATAGAATAAATTTTTATACAATTTTGTATTTTATTAACATATTTCAGTGTTCAAAAAGGAAAAAAATGATAATTGTGATTATTTATATTTAGCATTTTATAATTGTGGACATTATGGGGCTGATTTTTGGGCACTGAAATATGTTAAATCTGAAAGATACTAAATATAGGGATCACATGAATCTGGCGGAGCGTAGGGGACCAAATACTCACAGGCATTGCCTCCACGACACCCACAGTTGCTATCTGCAATATATGCCCTTACTTGTCTTTGACTGCTACGTAACTCCTAATCCTATTTTATCATCAACTGTCACAATAATTGACCCATTTTGTTCTTCAACAGCCGTCAAATTTCCTTCCTTAGTAAATAGACCATTACTTCAACTACAATTAGACACTTATTTCCCAAATAGTTGGGAAATTCAACATTCATAAGACATGGATAGGAAATTTGATTTGATTCCTATTTTGTTCAGGAAAAAAATAAATATGTTTTAACAGTTTTGTTAAACTTTGTATTTCAAGTTGAATTAAAAAGTAGTATTTTTTTGTATAAAAAAATTATTATATTTTTATATTTTTAATATAATAATTTTTTTTAAATACTTAAAAGTCAATTTAAAAAAGCTGAGATAAGAGAATTGTTATTTTAACTTATCCTGACATATATTATATTATTTTTAACTGTGCTATTGCCTTCAGCTGTGGAACTAGAAGATCATTCATTATATATTTGGAATTGATAACCACCAGCTTCCTAACAAAGATAAATTAATTATATACCTAAATAAACTAAGGAAAGAATTTTGTACAAATGCTGGATTGGTTTCACAGCACTATCTCTGGAATGAGAATGACCCTGGTGTAAGTTTTGCTAACTAAACCTAAGGTATGCTTTCCCACAGTTCGATTTTGACTGCTATTTGTGGGGGGAAAAGAATAGAATAAAAATAAGCACAAGATAACAAAAGGTAAGGAATGTAATACCTTTCTTTATCGTGGGATAAAGTTGAAGAATCCATAGCACTAGCTATAAAAAGCTAGGATTTCCCTACTAACTTTTAAATATGTGGACAATGCCAAGAGATGGAAAAGTTAATGCCAGCACAATATATTTCTTTTCCTATATGTTGCCTCAAGATTCTATTCTCCCCCTCGAAACAATTTTCAAAGTTTGAAAGGTAACACTTTTTGGCCCATAGAGAAGCCTCCCTTCTTCAATAGTCCTTCTATGAGGTTAACATGAGAAGGATTGGCAAAATGTGACAGGAAATTTGATTTTGACCTTTATAATGCTTGGTAAGGCTGAGACATGCAAAACCATAATGGGTTGGCTAGCTGTTTGTGTTTTATTGAGTATGATGCAGATTACATATCTTTCATAGAATATTTTCTTTACATGAAGGAAGAATGGACACAGTCACACACATATTCAAAGCAAGTGATTGTAGATACTTTCATGTTACTAGGATGACTTCAAGGTTATTGAATATTACTGCTGGTAGTTGCTAGAAAAAAATTGGATTAAGAGGGACAAAGAAAGGAAGGAGAGAGGTGGTGGAGCTTTTTCTAAGATGCATAAAGGAAGAAACTTTCAGGGTATGCTCTTTAGTCATTACTATATAGTTAGTACCACATGTTATCTTCTGAGATTATTAACCTTAATTAATTAACCCAAAAACTGCATTATAGCAGTGTGGGAAACAGTGTGAGTTGGTAGAAGTATGAGACTGCTACAGTTATATAAATCAAGCTTCATTAAGAATATTTATCTGATTACATTATAGCTAATCAAATGCTGGAAAAACACTTCATAGACATATAGCACTACATAGAATATCAGTACTAAGCTCCCTACTCTACTGATTCAAGCCAGTTTATTCTTCCAGCAGGTATCAGGAAGTGTTTTTGTGTTTCATTTCAAGATAAAGTCTGATAAGGTTTCAGCAATTGAGTGAGTGAACCACTTAGGTGGAGGGACATGACTTCATTGGTGGATCCCATTAGCTTCCCTCCAATGAACACAGCCGGGACAGGAGCATTACAACCTAACCTGAATAGAGCTTTCTCCATTTCTCTGCCTTCAGGGTCATGATCAATCTCATGAACCACAGGACTCACCCCAAGTTCTTGAAACAGAATGTTGACTGCATAGCAAAGGCAACAAGAACTCTTTGTGAAAATCACCACACCCTTTTCAGACGCCAACCTCGTCACCTTGTCCATCCTGATATACTACTGTTCAAGTACCTGCTCTTCTAAATATATGTCCAGAGACAACACAAAAAGAAAAAAAAATATAACACAAGGAAGAAAAATTAAAATTTTAATTTTGAGAGATGTCTCTTAGATTACCTTAGACTTATTAGAACTCCCAAACCATCAGACCGAATCCAAACTGAATTCGATCCAATGGCTATATTGGGTTGGCAGTCTAAGGAGAAGATTTGAGGAATAGAAAATTATATGAAGCTTGAGGTTATTTCAAATGAGGTGGTATACTAGACTATTTATAGGGACAGCTTAGGAACCGCTTTGTTAGAGCAAGAGCAAAGCACATTCCAAAGAGGTTGTGCTTTTTAGATACCCAACTAAGTGTATGATCTTATTCGGTTGTGCAAGTTGGAAGACATATTTACACGTATATGCCTCAATTGGTAGACTAGCTATGAGACCAAAACCATATAGTATGAAGATTTTCTTCAACATAAACGAATGTAAAAAAAAAAAAAAAAAACCAGTATCTCCCTTGCCTGTGTCAAACGTGTGCCGCATATTAACCATTTGTTAAACTTGCCTCAGATTTTCTGAATGATAAAGATGCTTGCTCTCCCTCTTTCTCTCTAAATAAAAATGGAAATACTAGAGAATGGTCAATTTATATCAGATTCTCACAGATCACAATAAAGCCCTTTGAATCCTTATGCCGAAAGAATGAGAGACTGAGATGGCTTTTTCAGTGGCTACAAGATTCTTTGTGTTGCACCCACTAACTCGCAGGATTCTCTCTGACACTCAAGCAGTTTAATTTTGGGAGTTTGCAGACTCTACATAGATGCAGCACTCACATCTATAGTGTTCTCACGTGTAGATGAGCACATGAATGAGTGAAAAATAGTTGCCTTTTGAGAAAAAGATAATTAATTCTCTTCCATTAACAACCGATCAACTAACAAAGAATCCGGCATCATAATTAACTACACCATTCAACTTCTTATCCGTGGGGTAGGTTAGGTACAAAAACACAATTACATAACATGGGCACGTGAGTTTTGGTTTGATGAATATGTTAGCAAAACGTAATTACTAATAAATATGAACATAAACTATTGCTCATCGTGCATGCAGCTTGATTGTCACGTCGTGCTCTTGTAGATAAATTATTTTAGAAATTAAATTATGCCTTTGTATATATATTATATAGTCTACACATGCATGGAAATCGTACATGAAAATTATATATCCTGCCTTGTGGATATGAAAGAATAATAAAGGAGACAAAAAGTGCTAGCATTACCTTTTTGTCTCAAGGTTAGGAAGGCGCCATGCACGTTCTTGACTAAAAAGTTTGAAGCGTGATGTGCCTACTTGATTTTTATCCCTCGCACCAGGTGCCCAAATTTAGCGGTGAGGAATCAACACCTAGTTATGCCTTAACACTAGGAATAATAGTGATGATATGTTTATATATCTGAGCTGGCTTTCATGAAGAAGGGATATTCCTTTTTCACGAAGCGGATGAGCTTAAAGAAAAAACTATGTTTTTAATTAAAAATAATACTCTGCGGAAATTATTATTATACATCAAATTTGTCAGCAATAGAGTGAGTCTTTGTAATATCATCTTAAAAGTGAGGAACATGTTATGGTGAAATTGGAGGAAGTGTGTAACTAAAGCACTTCTTTTTCTTAAGGTTTTTAACATAAAAGTGAATCCCAGAAAGTTTACATTTGCATTAACCATGCCATTTTCTCGATCCAGCATGATCAAGTTTCATACAACTTAGTAGACATAGTGTTAGCCTTTAGAAAATACCAACAAAAAAAAAGTTACTTTTTTATGCAGACTTTTTTTGGCTTAATTTAATCTGGACACTCAAGAAAAAGCAGGAGTGTCCCTCATTAAACACTGTCTCTGCAAATAGTATACTAAAGCTCCCTCTATACCACTTAAGTACATGGAGCTCTTTGGTGAAACTAAAACCAGATGGCCTTTGCTTCCATGAGCATTTGTTTGAGAGTGCCATCAACATGGAGAGATATCACATCTTTGGATGAGCCCACAAATTTTCCGCCTATGAACACTGCTGGGACTGAAGGGTTACAACCCATACCCCTTAAAGCCCACTCCATTTCCCTACCATAGGAATCATTGTCAAGCTCATGAACAGCTGGACTTGCTCCAAGCTCATAAAAAAGTTGCTTGATGCTGTGGCACATGCAACATGAACTCTTGGTAAATATAACGGCAGCCTTCTTTGATGCCAAATCCTTAACTCTATCCATTGCTTCAATATCAGAACTAGGGGGAATATGAAACTAAAAAATATTCAAAGCTTTTTACAGAAAGATGAGTGTGAGAAGCTTGTGAGATAGCTAAGGCTTTGTTTTTCCCTGGTGAACTTTGAGATTTCATCACCTCTTATTTATAGTAGTTGGTGAGGATAGTGGATTGAATTGTATAAGCTAGAAAAAAGCATAGAAACAAATTAATTATAGTTAAATGGATAGGAAAGAGAAAGAAAGAAAGTTCCTTCAGATATTTGTTTGGATAAGGGAAATGCCTCTTGATCATTTGGTCGATGGTGACACTGCCAATGCCATGAACAAGTTGCGTTTAGCATCACACTGTAAGTGATAATTCAAATCCCTTGGGTGGCCGTACGAGCAATCAATGCAAGAATAAGAACAACGTATAGTTTATTAGGCCAAAAAACTCTTTCCGACCTAGTTTCAGCATCAAAAACATTATTCTAATGTTAACATGAGCAAACTTCTCTGAGGCAGGTGGCACAAAACCAATGCTGCGTTGTCAACAAAATCTATCAAAAGCAAGGAATCCAATAGAATTAATAATATGCAAAGTCAGAGACCCAGAAGTGGAAAGAAATTCCAAGTGTCATCTGCATGGTTATCAATAGGGTAACCATGGGCCAAACCTTATACCCTTCCTATATATTTTTTTGGACCCATATCTATTAATTCATACACAATAGAGAGATATGAAAACATAAAAAGGGAATAAAAGAAGAAGCAAAAGAAAAATGGTTATGCTAATAATTCATACTTGTGTTATTTAACCAGTTACTTGTATATTGATGTGGTATTACTAATTATTATTTCTTACACTCTTGCCAATTTCCGCAACACGTTATAGTTGGTTCAGTTTCTGTATAGTGGTAGGTTGCGAGGCTGATGCGGAGAAAGATAAGGGTTTATCCAATTCCCTTCCACTTTTTCACTTTGGTCCCCGCATCAGAATCATGGAATACACAAACAGTGGTAATGTCCAGTAATTTTATGTGCATTTGGCTCTTGGGCATGGGAAGGGATTCTTAAAAATTGAGGGTGTCATGAAAATCCTAATTAGTGCTGTTTGATATTTGATTTCATCAATATGATTCGAACTCCCTCGGTTTAGATTCCTTGGCTGAGTAATCACGTTTAACTTGGATGAATTCGAGTAATCTTGTATGCATATCCACGAAAGCAAATCTAAAGGATATGAGATTCTTCAACATCAATTTTTAGTATCAACTAATGGATGAGAATGTCAACTTGAAAGTGAGAATTTTGCTAGAAGGATAAGGTATACTTCTATAGTAGGTTTCTAGTTGTTCATGTCTAAGAGTGGAGTGGGTTAAAGATTGCACCTTATTTTGATATCTTATGCTGGGTAGTTAGGCAACTCGACTATAATATAGCACTCTAAAGAAACCGACCAAATGGGTTATACAACATTCTTTAACTGTTCTATGAAGTTTGTTATGCAAAACATAAAGGTTTTGAGTTATTCTGTTTATGTATACTATGTTTCTTTTCTTTTATGTTCTAAGATTTCTGTAGAAACTTCGGGACGGATATATATATATATATATATATATATATATATATATATATATATATAAGCTATTAAGCAAAAGATACTGATAGAATTTATAGTAGGATGACTCTATCTTGAGGAGGGATAAGCCTCCACTATAGTGAACTCCTGAAAAAAAAATTACAATAATTAAGTATCTATTCTTAAAATTTGATTATTAAAATCACAACGTATTTCAAATTAATTTATTGGTTACCTGTGAACTTGAGAAACTCATTTTGATTTTTTTTTCTTCTCTCAACTAATTAAAATCACAACATAATTTAATTGTGCAAAGTAGTGAGAACACTTGACCCTATAGAAATGATAATGTTGCATTTACAGAGATTTAAGGCTAATATGTTCACTGTTAACGCTACCATTGAGGACAAGATGTGGTGCACCTTTGAAACCATATTTTAAAAGAAAAGATTGAAAAGTGCAATTTCAAGAGAACGAGTAGCCTCGCTAGTCACACTATCTCAGTCATTGGGGGTTCTTTCTGTTGGACTATTTTTTTGTCAAGTGGTGTTGTCTAGCACTCTTGTTAATCATGTGCCTCATACACCAATTTCATTTCACCATTTTACTTTTTTTTAAAAATATGTTAAGATATATACCCCATATCAACTAGATATATATGTAGTTAGAATATTCTTTATAATTTTTTTTATAGTGAATTAAATCTATTTTTTGATAAAATATAAGAATAAATAATGTCATTAAAAATGGTGGATTCTTGAGAAATTTTATGAAAAATTATTTTTGTATAACTTAAAAAATTATTTTATTTATTAAATTTTTTTTAGATGTGCATATATAAAAAAATTAAAAAATATTCATATTTTCAAATAATAGAATTATTATAAGGCAGGGTTTTTTTAAATGTTATTGAAATTTGGGATTTGAATAGCACTTATAAAAGATAATTGCAAATATTTTCTATTATTTTTAATTATTTTTGGAAAATATTAATAATTTTAAAATTTTTAACACGCTATTTAATATTAATTGAAATATTATATTAACATGTTACTGAAAATGGACTTAAATTACTTGATAGAACCAACATAAAATTTTATCTTATAATGGTTAAAGAAATTATATCAGTAACATTCTCTTTTTTATTTATTAGGTGATTTCAAGTGTATACCCACAAACAAAGAGTGACTTATATTATTTAGTAAGACTTTTGATATGATAATAAATTTATCTTTATATAAAAAAAATTGATATTTTTTAATTTTAATCAACTAAAAATAAGTATGATGGTATGTTTATAAATTAAAAAAATTAATTGTTATCAAATGTCTTATAAAAATAACTTTTCCCAATTATTTTTTCTTATATAGTTTTAGAAGTTTATATTTGTATATATGGCATATAATTATAAATACAGTGAATGGAAAATTATTACTTAAATACTAAAAATAATATTAAACAATATTTTTTTTTGTATATAGTAAATACTATATTTTGTTACCATTATTTTGTTATAGATGTAAGAGTGGTCGGTCCCAGAACTAACGATATAAGCAGGGTGAACTTGAAGTAGACGAGAAAGAGCTAAAGCAGTGGTCATGACTCAATATTCTTCCATCTTCCATTGGTATAGTTCTGTGGGTACACAGCTCGTAGAATCAAGTTGATATGGAATTGGAAAGTGAAATTCTCACATGATTAATGTAATTATCAAAGGAGGATCTAAGAGTTCTCCTACTTGTAAGGTAATTTGTTTATAAATAAATTCTGACTATTTTTTAATCATAAATACTAACTGATATTCTAAAGATATCAGCCATACATTTAAAAATAAAATAAAAATGATTGAAAACAGTATTAATAATTTTTTATTATAATCTTTAGCGTAGTTTTTAACAAATTATTATTATTATTATTATTATTATTATTAAGATATTGATTATCCTTTCTTAATTAGGTAGCTTTATAGTGATTTTATAATTAAGATAAAATAAATAAATTTATCTTCATAAAATTTTCTCGGGATGCTGTTTTAGGGTGAGGTATTGGGTGTTAAATATTTCTTGAAGAAACAAAAGTCATTATATTATTAACTATGCCATAAAAGCATAATTATAATTATATAATCATTTTTTTATTCTGCATGATTATTATTAAATTAAAATTAAAAATGTAATATATAATTTTTAAAATTTAATAAACTTAAAAATATTTTAATTATTAATAATGGATATTTTAAAATATTTCTAAAAAATAACTATATTTAAAATTTTAAACTTATATTAAAGTATAATAGAGGCAGATAATGCACCTAAAAAATATTTATAATGTGGTGTCTTGATTTAATGACTTAAAAAAAATAAAATCAAATTTCCATTTTTTATCTGAAATGGTATGTCGATGGGCCATGGTGACTCGTAGTCCAAGTAAGATGAATCGGCCCAGCCCACGACCTTCTCTTGTAGTTGTGTTCTCTGTTTGCGTTATTTGTGAGACAGACACACAAACATCGTCGTCTCCGCCCTAGGTAATAGCTAGCTACGTAAGCAATTTCTCTTCCTCTTTCAATTCACTTTTACACTAAACTAGTTTTTTCTTCTTCTTCTTCTTCTTTTCTATTACTCTATTTATTTTATTTTTAAATTCTACCATGCACCGTTTCCTTTCTTTCTTATATCAGTAAGCAAACTCGTACTGTGCCCCAAACGTTTGCAAATGCTGCCATGAACTACCCTTTTTCGAAAATTGACCTAAGTTTTAATCTGTTACGCACTCTTGATGTATATAATAGCTTTGTAATTGTATTGTTCGGCTTTGAGGGTTTGGAATTTACACATCTCTCTCTCTCTTTCTAGAACTGTTGGGTTTGCAGTTTGCTCTCATCCATTCTACGATTTTATTCTAGTTTTTTTTTTTAAATTTAATTATTAGTTAATATCTTTGATTATGAAACTTCATTTTTCCATTTTTTATTTGTTTATTGTTGTTAAAAATGGTCTGTGAAATTGATTCTGATTCATGAATCGGATGTGAGTTTGCGTTAATCCAGGGATTCATTCATTCATTTTGGTCAAGGGTGGGTCATCTTTCTCACATACACATTGCTGGCTGTTTATAGTTATTGGTTTACCCATTTTGTGCATGTGCATGCAAGGGGATTTTCCCGAGTGTTGCCACGTTTTTTGTAGTTGGAATCTCTGATTGCATGTTAGTAGTTTCTGATTTGCGTTACAGTCCCCTTATCCCTCTTGTGTTATGAAGTTTGTATTCTTGAAAATCTGAAGTCTTGTGATTATTATTATCACTGAACAAGTTTGGATTGGAATTTGATGTTTAAACGTGTCTAAGATTGCCATAATCTGCATGTGGCGCTGTATTTACTGATATTATCTTCTCTGAGTTCTCAGTTAATGGTTAGCTATCTAGTTTGGGAATTTGTTTTAATGGCTTCATAACTTACACTGCACTATCTATGTGATGTGAGTCATGTTTTCACAAGTTAGATATTTGGATAAGAGGAATGACATACAATTTAACACACTCTTTCAAAAACATTGTCAATTATTGGTTTAAATTAATTCAAAATTACAAAAATCATGTGGCCCCGCTCATAATATAATGATTATCACTCATTTTTTGTAGTTTCCTACGAATTTCATCCAATAATTGAGATTTGAGAGCATGTTAGAAAGAATGTGTTCCTAGCACTCTTCTGTTTGGATAGTTAGACTTTAACAAATCAATGGGATTTTGAGGACCTCAATGGTATCGTTAGACGGCCACATTATTTTATTTCTCGTTATGATGATTGGATTTTTATGCTTTTTTATTAAGATGTTCTCATTGATTTTGAAAATTAGGGTTTCTCCAATGGAGGATACCCCAGAAATTGAGGCGAAGTCACATGAAGAAGTGATTTTGGACAAAACAGCTGAGAAGAAGCAGGAAACGCTTGATGAAGTTCTTTCACGACACAGGTAATTCATTCTAAATAAGATTAACAACATCCGAGCTCACTGTTTTTATAAATGTATTTAGTCTTATATAGATGTTCATAGAGGTGGATTCTAAAACTCACACTACTAATATTTTCCCATTCTGAAGTTTTGAAGTACTAAGTCATTCGCATAATTTATTTCTGTTCTGCTCTGCAAGATAAAAGCAGTTTTATGGTAAATTCATAGTTATCAGACAGCACTATAGCTTAATCAATTATATTACATCTCATTCATAATTAAAATACCCAGTAGGATGTGGTTTCAGTAGATTAATGGTGACGGAAACTTAGATAACCATGTGTTTAAAGTAATCTTGGATTCAAAATTATCTTTGTTGAGGATTCAATCTGTTGATGTAATGTATTTTGAATGAGTTTCCTTTTTCTATTTTTATAACCCGGTTGCCATTAGCTCCATCTGGTGCTTGATATATGTCAAATTTCTCCACAACCATGCGATCTCACTGTTTTTATAAATGTATTTATTCTTACATAAATCTTGGCCAGTTGCCGTCTAGGAGAGTGCTTGGCAAGGCATTCTCTCTTTTCAAAACGTTCCTCAGCATATTTCGTGACCTTCAATTCAACCATAGAATACCAATACAAAGGTTCCATAACAACATTTATGCCGTATTTTGTGGATTTTGGAGTTAACTGGGATGTTTGTGTTTTTTCTTCTGAGCCAGTGCCTAGAGGTTTCTTACTTCTACTCTTTTTAACCCTTAATTCTTTTCAAACACACACAACTTGCTGAAACTTCCACTCATGTCACCTTCCTTAAATCACATTTTTAACTGTTTTTTGTTTTTTTTACATGAATGAATGATATAAGATATTAAAAAAATGGTGATTAAGAGTTTTAGTTATGTATTTCTTTTAGATTTTCAAATAATTTATTTTTTTCTATTTATTGATAATAAATAAATTAAACAAGAGCATTTCCTTCCCTCGGGGTTTGTACCTTTGGGATTTGGCTTCTGGACAACTTATACCAATTGCCATTTTCCCCTGGCAACAGCTGCGAAGTAAATTAATCAGACACTATATGGTTTAAGATTTATTAGTTGAGAATCTATTTGAATTTGACATACCAGCACTGCCATATTCTATTTGAATTGACTGCATGACTCGCTACTGCTAGCTACATTTGTTTGGCATGGTAGTCAAGTCAACCTACTGTCCTTTGCTTTCCCTGTATTTGAACTTAACTTGAACTTTAATGTTTGTGTTACTTTATAAGTTCTTTTGGTTCCCATGTAATGCATATTCTCCCAATGACTGATGTATTTTCAGGAAAGAGATATCACAGCTGCAGAAAAAGGAAGTTGAGATGAAAAAGGCTGCAGCTCGAGGTAGCAAGGCTGAGCAGAAAGCTAAGAAGAAGCAAGTGGAGGAAGAGGTTTCCCAACTTTCTGCTAAGCTTAAGGAGAAACAAGCCAAAGAACTGGCTGCCTTAGGCTATAACAGTGGCAATGGAAACGAAAAGAGCAATTTGGACAGTTTGGTGAAGGCCATAGCTGGAGTATCTGTTACTAGTCAACCTGAGCATACAAAGGTCAGCAAGGCAAAACAGAGGCGAGACAAGAAAGCTCAACAAGAAGTAGAAAGGGAGCAGAGAATCCAAGCAGAGCAGAGTGACATTATAAGCGATCGAGAAATTGAAAATGAGAAATTGGAAAGGAAATTGAAGCCTCTAGGTTTGACTGTTTGTGAAATAAAGCCTGATGGGCACTGCCTCTATAGAGCTGTTGAGGATCAGCTGGCCCTCCTCTCCGGGGGTAGTTCTCCTTATACATACCAAGAACTCCGAGAAATGGTGGCCACATACATGAGAAAGCATACATCTGATTTCCTTCCATTTTTCCTGTCAGAGAATTTGATTGGAAGTGATTCTGATGAATCACCTGCTCAGAAGTTTGAAAATTATTGTAAAGAAGTGGAGTCCACGGCAATATGGGGAGGACAACTAGAGCTTGGTGCCTTGACTCATTGCCTGAAGAAGCATATTATGATATTTTCAGGGTCCTTCCCAGATGTGGAGATGGGCAAAGAGTATAAACCTGATGATGGCACTAGCTTGTCTAATTCGAGTATCATGCTTTCTTACCATAAGCATGCTTTTGGGCTAGGAGAGCATTATAATTCTCTGGTCCCAACATGATCAATTGGGCATATATATCATCATCATAGGGATGCTTATCATGTCTTTGTAGCATTTTTCTTTACAGCCAGGCATTTGGCTTTAAATCTCTAGAAACTGAAGTTGTGATTTTGAAGTGGTTATAACTGTACATTTCATTACTGTAATTTGTATTTTCTAGATGATTACGTTGATCACCATGTAAATGCTCTCCTGGCATCTACCTGATTTTGAGCGTTTTAGTAATCTTCAAATGAGATGAGATTTGAATAACCTGGTTAACTTGCATCTGTTCAAGCACTTTTATTGTTCTGAATGAAATCACTAAGGTAAGGATTGAACGTGTTGTTTTTAAAAAGTAAAGCACACTTTCTGTTTGATATTGGAGAATTATTTTAGCTGTGATAATTCTCCTAATTGTGAGCTAAATTTCGCGAGTTTATTATGAATGAACCGATATTTATCACGTTGATGAGTTAATTATTAAATATAATATATGTATCGAGGGAAATCTATAAACTTTTTTGACATTAATCCTTCTAAATATATTTTTCATTAATGGATGGAATTCATGTAAGCTTTTACTAAATAAATAAATGAGCCTCATTTCCTGTCTAGTAAGTTTCTCATAGATTTTATTAAATAATATTAGTGTGTTAAAACATTGTATATATTACTACCATTCCTCTTTGTATTGATTAACCACCTAATTACCTAGTTATATCCAACCAGAAAAACATTTACTGATTGACCAGTTATTAAAAGAGAGGTGTAGAAGAAGCATTTTCTTCTAGCAGTAGCTGAAATATAACATATGCTGATTCACCGGTTATTATCTAACCCAAAGTTTAGCACGTGAAAAAAAAAAATTAAAAAGAAAACCGACAAATTGCACTCATAAAGATTCCACTTACAGAATCCTGTGAAGTTGACATGCACATTGTACCGTTGTGATGAATTCAAATGATTTTACTGATTGTATATAGCATTAGATTGCAGTATAGAATGACCATATTTTTTATATGTTCAAACATATAATCAAAGGAATATAAGCTCCACTTTGCATCTAGGAAAGGGTTAAAGTAGAAACATATACATCGTGGTCGGAACAAGCGGAGAGAGATAATATCTAAGTTCCTTAATCTGTAATCCATGACTGTATGCTGAAAACCGTCTTCGTTTTCATTACTTAATAGTGTCCTAGTCACGCTCATCCACAACTATTATATATTCTTATTCCCTTTATATCTTTGTCTCTTTCTCAACCACTTTTGCCATATATTCGTCTTATCAAATCATACTCATCTAGAGTTACAATATATGGTTGAGGTGGTGAGTAAGGATTGGAATTGAGGTGTCAGGTTTGAGTTGCGCGAATAACTCATCTTTGAATAAACATATAAATACATAAAATTATGGTTTCATAAATAAATAAATGACTGAATAGTTTAATGATATATCTTGGTATGATATTTACCTTCATGAAGGTGGTTGATGATCACCTGTGTTTATTCCTCCCTTTAAGAATAAACAAAGCTTTAGATCAGACTTTAAGAGCCAAAGATGATAATAACAAGGAAGAGCCTTAATTAAGGTGGTTGATCAATTCAGTGTAATGCTGCTAATGCAGGTTGGGCATTACAAAAACATTTTTAGATACTAATCTGCTGAAGCAAACTACACAGCTGCATTGCTTGTTCTCAATTATTACAGTGTTCTATGACCATAAGATTTTGGGTGTAAGCAAAGACATGACAGAAATAATATTTACAGTTAAGAATGTGTGATTTTTCTAAGATAGAAGAGTGCATGGAAAATGTTATATGGCCGGCATAAACATTTTCTTGTTCGGTCTTGCATGGCCATTATGTAGGGTGCTGATTTTCTCGTTGACAAGAGTTCCGTATCTTTCGCTTTTAACCATTTAATTGTATTCTTAATCACTTCTATCATCTTTCATGTTTTCTCAACTGAAAGGAAGGGCGCGAATCTTTTAATGAAAAAAGTTGATTTCAAATCCAAAATAAACAAGAAAAACTCATTTTAAGAGAAAAATTAAAATAGCATATTGATTTTTGTTTATTGGTTCAGTTTTGTTGCTAATGCTGTACCATGGTGATAAGATCTCATGTGGCATATATATTAAATTTGCGAAAAAAAAAAGAAAATATATGCTTCATGCACGCGACCATGAATCTTATTCTTGAAGAAAGTTCTGGATTCATTAGATTGACCTTAATAGCATTCTATAGCCAACTTGCTATCTACAACACATGCAGTACAGTGGTAAAGGACAGTTATCGGGAATCCTCTGAATTCTCTTCTATGATCTTATTCTTCTATTATGAGGCGACAATACAATGGCCACCACATTCAAATAAGCTTATAAATAACCCTTCAATGAAGCTCATTTCCACATAACCAAGCCCAAGTTGAAAAACTCTTCACTCTTTCTCCTATATGCTCTATCATTTCATTGTATTTCATCTATTTTTTCAAGCGATACATCATGGACACGATTACAAGCATGGTAGCTGATAAGCCTGTGGTGATATTCAGCAAGAGCACATGTTGCTTGAGCCACTCCATGACATCATTGATACGTAGCTTTGGCGCAAATCCCACTGTTCATGAGCTTGATGAAATGGCGAATGGGAAACAGATTGAAAGTGCATTGCTCCAAATGGGATGCCAACCAAGTGTTCCTGCTGTGTTTATAGGACAAAGGTTCATAGGTGGATCCAAAAAAATCATGAGCTTGCATGTCCGCAATGAATTAGTACCACTGCTCAAGAATGCTGGGGCTATATGGATTTGAGACCCAAGTGGTTTCTACAACCATGAATACTAAATGTTAATTAGAATTTAGAGATGAATAAGATGGTTTTGTAGTCATGATGTCTAGTTTAGATTATTTTGTAGTCCTGCTACGTAGTTATACGGTGGTGTACTATACTAGTATACGCCCTACCTACACTTTTACTTATTCCCTTTTTCTTTTCTCCCTGAAAATACATATATTATATGAATGATCATGTAACGAGTGACATGAATTATATTGCTTATTTTGGTAGAGCATTTCATGACCAACAGCTAGTGTTCCACCCATTGTTGTTGTTTTTTCTTAAATAAGGGAAATATTTTGTTAAAGTTTAAGTTTCATAAAACGTTTTTATGAAGTATATATAACCCCAAAAAAATAATATATAGCCTTAATAAAGTATAGGTTTTCTTAAACTAGATATATTATTGCCTTTGATACTTTTTTTATGGTTCACATCTTTCTATTTCATCAAAACTACCTCCACAGGACTCAAAAACTCTTAAATTTTTTATTTTTATTTTTTTCTCAAATTGCGATCTTATTTAGAGGTGGTAGACGTATAGATGTTACTGATCTGTAAACATGATGCTTATATTTCACGCAGACTGGCTTTTGTTGGTATATAGTGTATTAATCATGTGGTTACACCTAAGATTATGTTCCGTAATTCGTGAAGAGGAGAGAGAACATAAGGCTAGATAATGATCAGAACACTTTTTAATCAAAATGAAAATTGTTAAAATCAGAATGCATTTGACCTAGAAGGAAATACACCAATTTGTATTAGGACAGAAAATTCGGCATGGTCCTTGCCGACCTGAAACTCTTCATATAGTTCAGATCACAATGAGGGAGGTGGGAAGGACATTTTTATTTTGTTATACAAACATATATATGAAATCGTTGCAAGGTTTTTGGATTAAGTTTTCACACGAGTAGATTCCTTTATTGAAGTTTATATCTTTGACCAATGATTATGATTTCAATTCTTACTATCTCATTCTCTTAGAACGTGTTTGGGAGTTAAAAGAAAAAGAAAAAGAGAATAACTCTTCCATTATATATATATATATATATATATATATATATATATATATATATATATATATATATATATATATATACTATTTGACTTGAGTTACATACTTAAATATGGTAGATGAATTTATCATTTATATCTAATTGAATTAAAGTGTGTGAAAAAAAAACTTTATAAATATAAATATAAAAACTATTCAAAAATTATATATATATATATAGCAAACTTTTTACAAGTTATTGAGAATCCTTTAAATCAAGTCATGTAGTAGTAATTCAAGGAGTTCTCACAAAGAATAAGCATATTCAATTACAACTTAAATTTATTTTTTTATAAGTTAATACAAGAGAAAAATATTTTTTTTTATTGTACATAAGATTTTTTTATTATTTTTTATTTATTTATATTCATAAAAACTATTTATAAAAAATTGGATAAAATAGTTTCAATTTTGTTAGCCAAAAATGAGAAAATGAAATCTAGATAAATACCAATACATATTATGAGTATAAGAATCAAAATTAAAATTAATAATTCAAGATTTTTTATACTAAGTCATTTGTCAATTGAACAACTTCTGTTGTTATCCAACTTTTATTTTAAACTATATATACTCCAAAATATATTATTTATACAACAAATTTACATAATAATTTTTATAGCAGTATTATTATTTTTTTTATCTTTCTCATTTCATGAACCATTTTGTCTCACAGCCTCTCTTCTTTTATATCTCTTTTTTGTTTATATATATATATATATATATATATATATATATATATATTCTTAAAAATGGAAAGTATGCAAACATGACTTTGTGTTTTACCTACCAAAGAATGAGCATAGTCTAAAATGTTGTTGAACATAAAAGAAAAGAAAAATCTCATGATTTGATGCTTGTGTGCACTTTTGGGTCTGTCCAGAATGCAGATGCAGATAACTACTTGGAGGAGTTCAACAGAAACACTACGAGGATCAAGTGACCCTTTGATTCACGCTTGAGCCGTTTTTTCATGTTGATGGAACATAGTTGACGCTACAGAATTCGGAACAAGGAGCCAAGGGTTGTTTCTACAAGTTGCAGGCACGTGGAAAATTCTGTTGCTAAAAGATTACGAATAATGTCTAAATATGAAAAATGTAATTTTAAATGTTATCTATCTGCCCATGATAATGCCATAGAAAAAAAGTAAGATCCCCATTGATGCAAAGCTAAATCGAGATGATATTGAGCTATTACCTCTTTTGTTTTTTCTTTAACCAAATAACAAAGGAATCACTTTTTTCTATATTTCCAATTCCCCATTCACATTTCTACTTAAGTAATGACAACATTTGCTGACATGGTGTAGGTGACCTCCTTAATTTACTCAAATAAGTCAAGAATGAAAACTCGATTAACATAAGATAATAATGTCATTAATATATGATGGCATATTATGCAAACTTGAGCTAGTTTTGTTTTTGTAAATTTTATGATTTCTCAGTTCTCACTTTTAAGAACAGAGCGACTTGTAAAACAAATTTCGACCTTTTCCTTGTTAGACTTTTGTGTAAGATTTTTCTAATGAAAAAGAAAATGCCTTGACAATTCCTCATAACCCAGTCAAAAATAGATGCTCAAGAAGGATTATGTATCCTTATGTGACAATTATCAAAGATAATTTTCTAACAAATAATTCGGGAAGCAAATAATAAAACCCTAACCACATCATAGTACTTTTGAGTTGACTAAGGTTTTATGCAGCATTTAATTTACTAACCCATTTAGTCCTACAGATAAAAAATAAATGATACTTATGATATAACGTCAATAGAATAATACATTGAGTCCAAATGTTCATCAATTTAATGAAAATCATAAGCTCTACCCGTAGGACTAGGAGCATAGAACATCTTCTCAGTATCTTTCTCTTCCCCAGTGTAACAGCACAAATTGCAAAAAATGGAAAATTCCGTGGGTATATGTAATTTTTTTATAAATTTGACTTTTCTAAATAGAATATTTGTAAAGTAATAAAATATATACTTGAATTATTAATTTAATCAAGTGTGTATTCAATAATGAAAGAATTTATAACAGCAATTTCATGAGAAGCCTATTAAAATGAGCTAAAACTTTCTTTATTTTAATAAACTATACTAATAACTCATTTAAATGAGTTATAAAAAAGAACTTATGAGTATTGTATGTTATATTTTATAAACTCTTTTGAACATTCCTAAAATAAAACTCTATTCATTGTTAATTTAAACTCAAACATTATAAACATAAGTAATTTTAAATCACCGATAAATAGAGCTTTACTTTTTAGTTTTTTTTTTATTCTCCTTAATTTAATTTAAAGAAGTTAAGTATGTAGATTTTTATGATATCAAGGACCAGCCAATTAGAGTAGCCCAAAAAAGCCAAATGCTATTAACGAGTTAACCTTTAAATCAGCATCTGCCAAAAAATAAACCAAATAAAATAAAAACTCTTTAGTTTTCCTCACTTTTCCAGTTTCCACTCTGCCTTCGTTATTCGGTGCGAATCTTGTAAAAACATAAAAGTTGCTACTTCTTGTCGATTGGATAAACCCGACACCTCTTAGGTCCCTTTTATTTAAAATTACAAATTTTAAGTTTTAGATATTTAAAAAAAAATACATTTAATTATTCAATTTAAAATTCATTTATATCAATTATATTTAAAACTAATCACATATTTGAATTCACATTTAATCGAGCATATGTTTATTTTAATATTATTAAAGTAGGATTTAAGATAATAACTTATAATAGTAAAATTTTATTAAAAAGATAAAAAAAATTATACTTTTTTAACTTGAATGTAGGCAATTATATTTTTATAATTTTTTATTTATAAATACTTAAACTCAGCTCTTGAAAATTAAGATTAACAAAAGTCAATTATTAATTATAACTTTTAAGTTAAATTTGTATTTGTTTATAAGTACACGCTAACACGTGGTGGGTAGACAAAGCTTTGTTTGTGACATATAAAAAACAGAGGTAAAAACAGAGGAGGCTAGTCAAATTATGATATACTTATGTTAAATATTTAATGTGTTAGTGATTAATTAAATTCCATGTTGAGGGAAAAGTTTGAGATGATTAATCATTCTCCGTTCTGGAATAATTTTCATAATGCTTGCTGCAATTGAATGAATACTACTAACACTAATATTCCAAGCTAATGCAAAGGACGGTGGGTGCTATGCCTAATGTAGCCAAAAGCTTGGGTTGGATTCATTGTCTCACTCGACCATGAATTACCACTTTGAAACAGTACTTGGGGAATCCATTTTTCTGTTAAATAGAATTTTTATTTCCTCATTTAAATGCAAAAGGAGTTTAGACAGTCATATCAAACACGTCCTTCTCCTGAGGCTATGTGTAGATTGTCATAAACAATCTCAAAAGTTAAAGCCGTGAAGTGTTTAGTAAAGATGCAAGAATGGTGGTTTTACATCTCCATGCTTTTTTCACATTAGAGATCTTTAGACTTAAAGTGAGACTCGTGAACCAGCTATTTCAAAGGCTTAAGTAAAGATACATGAATGGTTTTGAATCAATTTGAATGCTTTTTCATATGACATTTATTGTATACATTAAAAACAACTTCTACACATAAAACTTTATTAAAAACCTATCTCATTTAACTTTTATATGAATACCTATAAATTTATTAGTACTTTTATGTAAGTTTGGAATCATATTCATTTGAAAAATTCTTAAGCCTTTATTTTACTTCTCTCACATTAATATCAAATGGTGTGTGAACAAGGATGGAAAAGAATGGAGTAAGAAATAAAATAAAATATTGTTATAATGGAATAAGAAAAATGTTCTGCCTCATCTCAAATTAACGAAGAGGAAAAAAAAAAGTATTGGACGATTGTTGTATTTCATTTCGTTTCATCCTATTTTAAACTATTTAATCAAAAACATAATATAATTCTATTTCATTCCTTTTCATCAACCCAAACAAATCTAATAAATGAAACTCACTTAAACTCAATTGCACTAACCGTGCAGGTTTGGGGAATCCATCTATGACATTACTTTAATGTTTATTCCTTTTTCAGATGTTTATTCCTTTCTATGTGAAACTATCCAATCTCATCTACCAGAATAAACCATCTACAACTGGTATAAATAGACCTCCACTTGATCTCAAGTTCCTCATAGCAAAACAAACTAAATTCTTCAATTCACACCTAAACCACATATTTAGCCTTAACCCAAATTATATCATAACAATGGATGTGGTGACAACATTGACAGCTGACAAACCAGTTGTGATCTTCAGCAAGAGCACTTGTTGCATGAGCCATACTGTGAAGGCTCTCATATGCGGCTTTGGTGCCAACCCTGCAGTTATTGAGGTAGACAAAATGCCTAGAGGACAACAAGTAGAGAGAGCATTACTCCAACTTGGTTGCAGCCCAAGTGTACCTGCAGTGTTCATTGGACAACAATTCATAGGTGGTGCTGATGAAATCATAAGCCTCAACGTTCAAAACAAGCTTGCCCAATTGCTTCTCAGGGCTAAAGCTATATTCATCTAGGGTAGGTGATGCAGTTGAAAACTCCCCCCCACATGATCAAATAAGAGGTTCCAATCTAAAAGTTGATGATGATACTATTATTGCAGTCCCTAGCTATTAGAATCATGAGGCGTTTTAGTGTAGAAATGCTTGTACTCGTCATTTTTCTTTGTCTCTGTCTTTCTTTTTTGTGGAGCAGAAACTGCACTCTTTCTTTTGTATAATGCAAATCAGGCTTTGACCATACATGGCCTTGTCATGTAATGCTCACCTACAAATAATCCGATTTTGAGTTCTGTGGACAGACGTTTATTAATTAAAGTTAGTATATGATAAATTTTAGATGAATTATACCAAATTCGAAGATTTTATCTGGGCAATATGGAAGAGATGTGTAATTAATAATATGCAAATAGCACTTACTCGAAGCTACTTAAACATTGACAGCATCAATCACAAATATATAGTTGTGGTAATTGGTTAAAATATATATTCAAAGTGCGTACATATGTTCAAGCGTGTATACATAGTAATATACTATTATTTGAGTCACATAAATTTTGAAATTAAGCAAATATTCCCACTCTTTTGGGTACAATGAAATTATACCGTATCCTAATTCGATGACCTCTATTCAAAATTTTATCTTTTAAAATGTATATGTGTAACATAAATGTGTTATTATTGAATAATTTTTTTTAGTATTCCAACTTTTTAGGAATTGAATTCATTTTTTACTCAATTTAAAAAATATTTACTTTCAAAATTTTATATTAATCAAATTTTTTATTTGCCAGTTTTTTCTTTATTATATTTGAATGCAAAATTTTAATGTTATGATTTTTTAACATGCAAATTTTAAATAATATTAAAAAATCAAAACATGGATTTTTTTTACCATATTTTTATGATTTTAATATTTCTTATTAGCATAAGGAGATTAATAAATCAAATTGAAGAAAACAATACAAGTTACAAAAAAGAAAAGAAAGAAGTGCATGAAAAGTAATCCCATGAAGGACAGTAGAACTTCCTATTTGTAGTGTTTATAGATACATTGAAACTATTTAAAGTAATAAGTGATCTAAAGGGTATCGCAAGGAAATTAAACACCAGTTTCTACGTACATTGATGTAGGAGAGTAGCCAATATGGCACAGTTTATTTACTTTTTTTACGCACATATTCCAGCTTTATAAGTGGGATATCCTTAAAATATGAGATGAGTGAAAAGTAAAAAATAAAATATGCATATTAATTCTGAAGCAGAAGCTATTGTCGAGGAATCCATAGTCCCCACTGCGATGCCAAGAACTGGCCTCGCACTAGTTTTTCTGTTCCATACTAATTGTAGAACCGCATATGCCAAGGTCCTTTTCATTTTTGTTTTACAAGGGTTGGTATATGCCAACAATAATTGAACTTGAAAAAAAAATATGCTCAAGAGAGTGTCTTTATAGTTTATATTTAGAATATAACCTAACCTTCTTTTGAAAAACAAAATAATATTGTATTAATTCAGTCCTTCTCATTTATCAATTTCAAGTTTAATTTTCACCCCCTCAGTTTATTTAAGCTTAAGGTTATTAACTTTAAAATGCTTGCTATAATCCTAAAAGATGACATGACATGTACAACGAAAAACAGTGTTGTTTTGACAATCTTAAATATCGTTTCTGTACAAGTATAACATTACATTTTAGAATATCCATATTTTTTTAGATGAATTTCGACTAAACGATATCATTTTTGTATAATCTGTTAAATTGGACAAGCTGTATCATTTTTATCATTACTAATTAATTTTTAAAGTTAACATTGATAAACTCAAATAAATAGTGGAAGAAAAATAATTAAGAATTTCAAATATTAAAGATTGAAGTATAAGATTAATTTATGAGACTACGTTAGTAAAATATATACTTTTTTTAACATATTATTTTTATCCGATAAATCTCATAAGATCCCATTAAAGAAAAACTTGGACCAGTTTGTTTTTAGTGAAACTCACGTAAATTCACTCAAAAGTTAAATGTTTTAAAAGAAAAAGAGATGGTTGATGACGAACACCTTTTGAAAAAGTTCATTATTATACACGGCCAAGAGGAAAAAATGACATAAGATCTGTTGTAGTAAAAACAAAAAATTGTTAAAGAAATGTGTTAAATAGTGTTCTAACATTTTTCGGTGCATTAATTAATCAATATTTGTATTTGGATAACCAAAACACATGCATAAGAGTTGCTTTGAAAAACCAGAACCTTCGGGTTCAAAGGAGCTTTCACCTTTGCATAATGCTCCATGTCAAAGAGCGTGCGGTTTCCTTAGCTGATAAACCCACCGAAAGCTTGACGCATGTTTAGGAATTGGGCTAGATAAAATCCTTATTAGATAATACAAGCAACAAGATAATGGATCTACTTCATTTCTCATCCTAGTTGATAAATAGATTTTGCTATAAAAGTTGAGTCTCTTTAAGCAATTTTAGTGCACTTTTGACGTGTTTTATATCGTTTTTTATGAGAGGGGTGTCAGCTTTGTGCCTAAATAGCTAAGCAGAAGAACTCCTTCCCGGTCAAAGATCAAACACAAACGGCTTACGTAACTCAAACCCAAGAAGAAAAAAGATCACTAACAAACAAAACTTTCTCCCCTCATTTTCTTGCATCTTATCCTTAAATGGTAAATGCAATTGAAACACGGCGAAACTGCGATGATATGTTTTGGATGTTAAAGTAAGAGAAAAAGATACGTTTTTTATTTAAGATTATAAATAATTAATAGTACAATTCACTAATTAAATTTGATAAAAAAAAATCATATCTTTTTCTCTTTAACATAACTATGCAATATTACTTAGTTAATAACACAATATTACTAACATAAAGGATTAAAATTAAGAAGAAAAAAAAAGGATAACGTGACATTATTTATTTATTTCTCTTGGAAGGGGCCATTATTCAAGAAACAGAGTTTTCACAACTAAAGTACCCCAAAATACACAAATTCAGAAATAGGTGAGACCCAACAAAAGCAGATGGTAAAAAATCAAGATTGATTATTCCATAGCATAGTGCATATCATCATATTATAGTAAAAACATAATAAATGACAAGTTTACCAAAGTTCACTTGTGAATATAGTCCTTTAAAACATGATGATTTACGTTGTCTTGAAAGGTTGCATTAGTTCGCCAATTGGCTACAGCTTTAGAAACCGTAGCATTAGCCTTACGAATTTCCTCAGCAGAAAACTTGTGCTCTATGATTCCCAAGGGTCCAGGCTGCAGCACCTTTATCACAGTCTCCATTTCTTCCTCAACCTGTCTGTTACCAACACAAACAATTAACTGCCCCATTTTAACATAACACAACAAAACCCTAACATTTTTTTTTGGAAAAAAAATTGAAAGAAACAAAAGAGGAATGCTATAATAATAGAGAGTGCGAGGAAGCAGTGAAAATCGATGGATTGGATTACCTAATTAAACCAGAAAAGGGCAACGAGCTTCGAAACCCTGCCAATGAAACCCTCATCCTTCACACTCCACACTGCTGCAACACGCCGATTCCAAATCCAACACAATGTTTCTGTTGCTACGGCGTCGTTTAAACACTGGGCCGCACAGCCATTGGGGTTGAAATACGTGATGGGCTGGCCCACGGAAGAATGTACAGACTGTTAATTGTTGACGAAAAGAAGACTAGTGAAAAAATGAATGAATAAAAATAATATTAAATATTATTATAATAGTGTATTAATAATAGTTTTTAACAATTTTTTCTTCATTTTTAATTCCATAATCGATGTGCAAAACATTAGTTTGTGTTGATTTACATAATGTGATGTAATTTTTGGAACATATATATATATATGTTGGTCTTTGGGCACCTTCATGATTTGGACTTTGGATTCCTATTATTGCTCATAAAAATGGAGTGGGAAATAATTATTACTTGTTTCGTGTATAATACACTTTCCCTCTTCCTTTTCTCATTCTTCTTGTGTCTCCAATGAGTTGTTGTATCTTAAAAATCACGGTATTGGTAGCATGTCATCACGCTTATACCTCTCAAGTGACGACAAATTCTTATTTCGAGTATCGGTATAGAAAATTTTGATGTCTCAGAAACTGTTTCCTGTTCTCATGAGGGTGATACTATTATAATTGAGCACCCCATTTTCGAATAGTTCATCAGGGTAATGATAGGAGCACTGAACACAGCTAGCAAGGACATAACTCAAAAAGCTGTTGACTGAAAAATAGACACAATCACACCATGCATTATGTTTATGCATAGTATTACTATACATATATTACATATTTGAATATTGTCATGAAACTGAGTGGCGCCTTCGCTTTGGAAAAGGGAAGCGAGTTTCAGAACTAGCTTTGCCCCCAGTTGGCTTAATACTATTTATCCGAAATAGGGTATTGAGTTTGCTTAGTTTTTTGGTGAATGATTTGAAGAGCTTGTTGGCAGGGTGAGACTTAACAAGCTCCTGCTTCATAGAAACATGGTCTTTCTCCAAATCAGTGAGCCTCATTCTCATTCTTGCAACTTCAAGCTTCAGCTCTCGGTTCTCTCTTCTCACTGATGCATAGTTATCTCTAGGGGAAATGGCTCCACTCCCTGCGCCACTGCCAGAACGTTGAGGGAATTGACCAAAGAAGAATTGGTTGTGCCCTCCATTCATGGCATTGCGAAGCCTTATTTGCTCAAAGTAAAGAACTTGAACTGCCATTTGCACTGGTAGCCTTTCATTCTGAGCTGCATGACTGCATGCTTCTTGAGACAGTTTCTGACAATCAATGGTTTTGCACAGCCTGTACCTGTCTGTCTCCTTCACGTTTGGATGAACCTATCATAAGGAAACAAACACCAGATACAACATTGGTTACTAGAATCAACGATAATAGTATATTTTAGATGACATTAGGAGTTGAAATTATGACACCTTTAAAATAAAATGTGTTTTTTATAATTGTAACTATACTAAAATATAACTTCCTGTAAAAAAATTCTAAGGAAATAAGTGCATGTTTGGTTCAGCTTATTTTGAAGAAACAATCGCTTATTTTTTGACAGTTTTGTGAGTGATTTTAAAATATAAGTGATTATTTTACTAAAAAAAACTTGTACAAGCATGCACTTAATCACTTTCTAACACAATCTGAAACCATAAAGAGTGAATTAGAGGGGAGTTTTCACCTTAAGGAAGATATCAACGGCTCGATAGAGTCCATCACTCACAATACGTGCATGATCTGGGAGTAGCTCTGCAAGTGCTATGAATTTTGATGGCAACAAGTTTGAGTCTAGCGCTACTTCAGCGAGGTAATTGTCCAGTAATTTAGATACCTTAAGAATTGAGCTTTGTTTTGGAGATCCAGGACTGTCAAAGTCATACACCATTTGGCTTTCATCAACAAAGTTATCACTGTCTTCGCCATCCTCCTCATCCAAGTTAAGGAAAATAGAAAAGATCCTCAGAACTGAATCTGTGTCATACATTGTGACGAGGGTATTTGGAGGTGAGTTTGTTGGAATCAAGATGTCTTCAAGAATTGCCTGGTCAAGTTGTAGACCAATTCGCCTCTCCAAATCAGATTTGCAAGGAGTTGAAGCTGATGTTGCTATTGCAGCTTTCAATAAACTAGAGAGAAATGCCATTGGAACCGGACTTTTTCTTGATTGAGTTGGGAGTAAGCCAACTATGGTTTCAACAATGATCCTTTGTTTCTTCTGTTGTTCCATGTCAATTAGACTTCCTTTGACCACTTGAGGATCTCTAACACCAATCCCTTGAAGGGAACTATGTGCATAGTTCATCAAAATCTTGCTGATCATGTCTTGTTTTAGTCCCTTTGACTTCACAACAGATACAACTCGTTGGAAGAACTCAAGACTAAGAACATTGAAAGACTTGCCCCACCAATCTGAGGGTGTTTCTGGTTCCATGGTTGGTATAGATTTAGAAGGGAAAGTGTGATCAAGTTTTAGTAAACCAGATGTAAGTTGCTCTTTGCATGCGTTATTTGCAATTGCAATGATTAGCTTATTGACAAGGTTTATTTCTTCTGACATGGGAAGAAGAGTCTCACAACAGTGAAGAACATGTATGGTGTTTGGTATATTAGGGAGCACTGTGTCCCTTAGATATGATTCAGCTCTAGACTCTAAGTTTTTTTCTGCAAGTTCTTCTGTCATTTCAAGAAAATGAGCTGTGCAACGTAGCAAAGCAACATTTGAGAGTGTGAAGTCAACATTGATTCCATAGCAGAATTTGGCAGCAAGCTCAAATGCCTCTGCACCACCTGGCACACTTGGGAGACTTACGCGTGAAACTTTTGAATCTTTTGCTTCTAAGACCAGCTTCCGAATTCTTCCACTCCGGGAAACAAGAGGAAACTGGTGAAAATTTTGCAAGTTCACGGTGAAAATGTTTGCTATGAATTTTCTGTTTTCATGATAGCTTAACATTCTAATTTATTTCTTAAGTTTATTTTTTTTACTTTTTTAACTTTAGTCATGAAGAGAAGTCACCAAGAATTCTTAGCATATCAGCCCCCAGCAAAAGCAATGAGCATATTTTATGATTCTATTTTCACTTACCAGCCACTATTGTTAGTGGACTATGGTTGGGCATGAAATTCTCTTTAAAGGTGCTAAAAATATATGTTTGATAGCAAAAATAAAATAAAACAACGATCAATTCAGAAAATTGCCAAATATTTATAAACACCTAAGAAAATCATGCTGAATATTTAATCTAACAGAATGGCAGCTTGTTTCCATTACCTTGTGAAGTGCAAAGGTTGATGTTCCTACTTCAATGGTAAGATCACTAGAGACGTCAGATATTGGCCTGCATAAACAAATCTGGCTTAATTATTATATGACATAAGACATGAAAATTTCAATATTAAGCAAAAACTTCAACTGCAGGCATACATATTACCAAAATTAATTATCATAGAGTTTGAAATAACCTCTCCTAGCATGTATTTTCAATATAAATGGAGCTCAAGCCATGTGCTTTTGATAAACCAAAAGACAACTTAATCTTCCAATATCAAGATCTTAGGTGAGAATGGCCCCTACTCAATAAATACAGAATTTGGGCAAGACTAAAATATAAGCACTACTGCAGACAACATTGTTACATGAGTTTCCATGTCAAATTGATATTTCAGAATCGGTTGTGTCACTGCAGTGGAACCCATTACTTCAAATCATTGAACAGCTAAGATAAGAAGGAAAAATCAATATTAGAGCTACTCTAGAATGGTGAGGTTGATGTTAAGGGTTGTCCTGTTCTATGTGCTGCCAAAAGGTTTACATAGTCGGTGAGCTCCTATTACATCATCCCCTCACTCATTTAGGGCCTAAAGATATAAAAGCACGAGAATAATTGACAGACAAACATTAATTGTCGTTCACATTGTTGACAAATGAGATCTGAACATTCACCATGCAGCACCATACCCCTGTCAGGTGGGTAAAAAGCACTACATGAAGGTCAATGTTACATCTTTATCTACAAATCTCAGTGTTTTAACCTATGCCATGATGCATGAAATGTTGTTTTCTTTCATAAATTTGGACAGGCTGTGACTTTGTCACATGAGAAATTTTGGAAGATTGAAAAAATACATGAGTTGGATTAACACAACAACCAGATAAGACCCTACCACCACTAATAGCAACAACAATCGAAACTTATCTCACTAGATGAGGTCAATTACATAAATCATACAACGTTATTAAGCACAGTCAAAAATCAAAGAAGATATTATTTATTGTCATTGCACTATCACAATGGCAGATAAGGCAAAATAAAAAAAATCACCCTCATTAATGTATATAAATGTCTCATGTATGATTGCAAACAAACACTAAATGAAACAAAACATCTTGGGAAACAGAAGATTATATACCATTCAGCTGTTTGTCTTATGCTTGAACTTGGACGAAAAGTCCTTTTTCCTGAAACGCTAGGCTTCAATTCACCAACAGTTACAACTCCCATGTGTGAATGTGATAAACTGATAATGCTTAAGCACCAACCTCCACCAAAGAATTGTCACTGATCAGCCAGTGATGTCACTGTGTTAACGACCTATTTCATATCAGTTAAATCGAATCCAACAGAAAACTGTGTTTTGAGGACCACTTCTTGAGCCCTCTTCCTTCTGTCAATAGAAAGTTGAAGTGAAGTGTAAGTCACATGAAACCATGCAGGCATAAAGGATGGAGATGACATGGAAACATACTTTATAATCTTAAATAAAGGCAAATGCAGGTGTGCTTGCACTTTTCGGTGAAAGCTATAAGTGGTCTTCGCTTTTCTTTACATGGTTTTTGTTTTAAGATATTGCTGGAATCCCAAAGAGTAGAAATAATAATAGTAAGCTAAAGATACCCACGTAAAGAATAGCATTAAAATAAGTAGTTAAATACATGTATTATGTGTAAAGTTCGCTAAAAGTGGAAATTAAAAGTATGAATAGCATTGCGTGTTACTACTATAATATGAAACATGGTAGTACACTAATGAGCCAAAATACGTGTATTGTTTAAAATGGTGGAAAATTAGCATGTTGCAATCTCTTAGACAAGCTTCCAATCCCATTATTTTAAAGTTAAATTAGGTTCAGAAGCAACTAGCAATAACAACTAAAAAAACACTTGTTTATTTAAATCACCCACAAAATATTTTAATATTTTTTATTAGAAATAATTCTATTTGAGGTGAATAAAATTATTACAGACGGTAAAAAAAATTCTGAATATTCAAGACAGTAACATTTAATAAGACTCATTCTCAAAATCACAAATTAAACTAAGATAGTCCGTATTAATTGACACGAGATAAAGAAATAATTATTTTGACGTAGGACAGGGACAATGCATGATTGGAGCTTATTCGATGCGATAGGAACTGAAGTTTAGTGCATTGTCTCCGGCAACATGCATTAAATTAAATAACATGTGCTATTTCTTAATATTATTGGTTAAGAAAAAATTGAAAAGTTTAATTTAAAAACATTTATTATATCATAAAATAAAAAACATATAAAATAAAATAATTAAGTGTGATAGAGAATAATAATAATAAAACATTATGAGTAATATCAATATAATATATATCACCATCACATATCACTAAAGTTGTTATCACAATTACTCATGTGACAACTGTTGGATGAATCATGATAATTGACTGCGTCCATCTGGTGGTCATGATGAGACCATCAATTTCTTTTGTCTAATGGCTGAATAGTCCGTGTGGTAATCAGCACAATGAAATATTAAGTTTAAGATATTTTGTTATTTGGTTTTTGTAATTGTGTTTGAGGATATTTAAGTTTATAAATAGAAAATTTACTTTTAACACCTTAAACTTTAAAAAATGTCATGATTTTTAAAAACTTTATAAATTCTTATTTATTTTTAAAAATATTGAGTAACCTATATTTTCAATTTCTCATAATATCATAATGTTTTATTTTGTCTCCTACTTTTAGAAAGTTATTTGCTAGCTCTCAAAAGAAATTTTCCATCCATCTTTAATACCCCTATTAGACTTTTATTTGTTTTATTTCTTACTTGACACTTTAGACGAAAGATATAATAAAAAACTTATAATATTTAAAAGAATTAAGTAAAAATATGATATTTAAAGAAATCATGCAATAACCAAAAATTAATAGATAAAGTCAACAGAAAGCTAATACAAAATTACATAAAAAATGAAAAGAAAAACCATAATTTAACCTTAAAAACTTATTTTAATGATTTCATTCATTCATCAGAACTTCACTGTCAACAACCCCACCAATAGAAATAAGAACAGCTGAAGGTGGTACAGTTTAACTCTGCAATTTACTCTTGTCAAAGTGCAATTAGCTTTAGAGTCACATGGTAATAAAAGAGACTCAAATGAGCATAATTTTGTACTCCTTTCCTCATTCATATATATGTCAAAACCGCTCCCTTATTATCTCTATCATAGGATTAGGAATCTAACTTCAAAATGGACCGTGTGTCTCAAACCTTAAGAGTGAGATCCTAAAGCAGAACTATGATGTAGTTAGCTGCATTAGCCACTACTTTTTCTGTCTTCTTACTTAAAAGGGTAAAAAGAAAAAGCATTTCTTAATTCTCTCTCCCTCTCCTGAAATATTTGTTGTTTGATACGATATAATTATTCTCTATGTTTGATTTGCAGGATAAGGTAAAGGCAATGCTGATTCTTGTATCAAGTCTATAAACATAGGAGACACACATGCATTAATTCGTGCCACTTTGTCTTTACATTTCATCAATACTTAAAATGCTCATATCAAGTAAACTTTCTTAAACTCAAAAGTGGCTTTGTTCGTGCTTGCTAAAGTTCGTCAAGATTAATGGTTCTATATATCATAAAATAAATACTATAAAGTTGAGTGTGCTGTGACTCTTGATATTCAATTTGACTTTTACACTCAAACTATCATTTTTCCTCTGTTAATTAATTAAATAGTTTATAGAAATTATATTAAAACCAATTAAATAAGAATAATAATAGATGCATTAGCGTGTTAATAGACATTCTCTTATAGCCTTATAGGCAAAACATTATGAAAACGGATGTTTGAAGAATCAATTATGGGTTTTGCTTCGTTTTAAACATTAATAAACATATTACCACTTATGTTCTTTTACACAGTCCATTAAATTCGAATCACCATTATTAATTTAAGTCCAAGTACAATAAAGTGTAGCTTTTGGATCGCTGAACCTCCTATTTCTATTTGCTTTTGGAACATAAAAAGTTCAAAAACATTGTTAGTACATAGCAACCATAAAATTGAAAGAGAGAAAATCAGATAGCCACAGCCAAAAAAGTTTTAAAAGAGGACTTCTTACACAAATCACACATCGGGATGAAAGAGGTTATATATATAATAAAAAATTCTTAACACCACACTTTTGTAATTTTTAATTAATAATTCAAAATATGTCGAAAAAAAAATCTTAAAATAGTATATTAAAGAGTGTTCCTGAACACTCCTGCGTGTATCATTAGACATTAGTGCAGCAGGGGTGAAAAGAAGGTGACCACATCATGATGTGCACTAAACATTTGACCCCACCCTTTTAAGACTTATGGGCAGTGGGGACACACACTCAAATTCTAAGCATCGCCTGGGTGAGCCAATAGGTGACGGAATAGTGGATATGCAGCTAACCTTGTATGTTCAACTTGGCTTCAATTATATATATCCACTTATCTATGTTGATAAATTGGATTTCTGATCATTTCTCACTCTACATGAGAGAGATCACTAAGACATTAGCATTAACATAATTGTACCCATCTGTGTATGAAAACAAATGTGGCCTTTTCAGAATTAGTATCAAATACTTTTTCTTTGTCAACAAATAATCAGTTACTACATGTCTGTCTTCTGCTGATCAATCACTTGATATAGCTTTTATGTTTGTATCAAATCACTTTTTTTTTTCAAATATTCATGAATTAACAAACTCTAACGACACTTACTATGCTAAATATTAAAAGCATTACAACAATGCATACTAAATACACATTAAAAGATTAAACACATGAATACTAATCACAACTTATCAATCCTCCAAATACTAAGCACAATAAAATTTAAAACTAATCTTCCACTTTCTAGCACAACAAACTTAACTTTTAGATTGGCCCAAATTTGAAAGTAACTCCAATGAGGTTTCTTCTTCTTCTTTTTCTTTTTGAATTAACATAAGTCTGAGGTGATTCTAATAAATTTAAATCCAGGAAAAAAATGAGACAAATATAGTAAAAAAAGAATAAATATAGATAAATGATAAAAGGAGAGATAAACAGTTAGAAGAAAGATTGAAAAAAAAAAAGACTAAATAAAGAGAGACAAAAATTCATCGTATATGAATAAAAACTTTATAAGAGAAGGAAAAAAAAATGTTATAAGAAAAGTTCTATCAATCACTTAATAAACATTTATAATATCAAAACGCAAAACCCTTTTCTTACCACTTTTTAAAAATTAATTTTTAAACTTAATTTATGAAAATAATTAATATCTTTCAAATTTTTGTTTTTAAAAAATTATAGTATGATTAGTAAAAATTACTGGTGCAAAAAATAAATTCCAATTGTGAAGTATTATTCAGGTGATATGTCTGGAGCCCAATGTGGGGCTCGTTTACCAGAAGTCTGGGCCGCACTGGATCCAAATGCTCGGGATGCTAAAGCAATCTCAATGTCATCATTATAATATAAGCACGCGAGATATGGTTAATTAAACACTCAATCAATTTGCCTAACCATATATTCCATCAGTTATTTATTTTAATGATGATATTAATGTTATGATTGGCAAAATGTATCATAAAGTTTATAGTTTTTCTTTTTAACATGTGTATTTAGGTGTTTAAAATCATAAATAAAGACAATGTAAATAACATAAGACTAAGTACATATTTGAATTAAACATGAAAAATATAAAACTATGAAACGTTTCTTTAGGCATTTATTTTATATTTTTCCACCACCATCTCACTTTAACAACGACGCTTATAAATCTCGTATTCAGTACGTGTCATTTTTAATAATAATAATAATAATCATAATAATAAAATTACCATTAATTTAAAATTTTAATTACATATAGACTACAAAACTTATTGACATAGGAGGGTATTTTTTATTTCACATTATAAAACATTGTCTAGTTAAGTTCCGATTTAATTTTTTTTATGACTTAATTGTTAGTATTGATTAAATTAATATACGTTGTCTAACATGTCTTTTGTATACTGCAAATAGGTGCACTCGAAAAGGGAAAAAAGGCTTTATAACACCAAACGAAAAAATACAGGACTAGAAGATATAGAAAAAAATCTCATTAATTATTAAATAAAAAATATTTTAAAACATAAACTTTTAAAATGACATATATAGAATAAAAAAATTTTATACTAGTATAAATTTAAAAAAATTTACACTTAATTTAAGTCTTTTATTTAATTTAAATCTAATGAATTATAATTTATTACTTTACTGATCATTAGATTTAAGTTAAATAAAAAATTTAAATTAAGTCTAAAAATTTTTAGACTTACACTTATAAAAAATAATTTCACCCATATATTATATATAATACGAAAGAAAATGTAACGAAATTAGTAAAAAGTCAAAATGGAAGAAGGCAGGCCAAGACATGCCCAATTGTTAATGGGCCTCAGAAATTGACAGAAGAGTCTGACCCGAAACCGACCCAACGGAAACTGTCTCTCATCTCATCCAAACCGTAACACAACCACTCTATATACGTGTCTTGCGCTTCTTCACCGTATGCTCTGCGACCATGAGTAGCTTAACGGCGAGCTTCACACCTCGAATATGTGGCACACGTCGCAACCTACTCCCAATACGACACCGTCCCCTTCATCATTTCACCAACAGACGCGTCACCACCACTCTCACACTGCCAAGAATCGTTTGCATGGCGGTGCGTCACCATAATCACTGAAATAACAATACAATTCGTTACTTCAATCCACTATTGCATTTTGCTTTATTCGTTTCGAATTTCAGGAACCTTATCTCATAACGAAGCTTGAGTCCGCTGAGAAAACATGGAAAGAGTTATCGGTATGTCAATGTCAATACACGCTATGCTCCAATTTTCTGCTACAAATTTTGTCTCAAAAGTGAAATTTCAGGTGAAGCTTGCTGATCCGGACATCGTGTCTAACCCTAGCGAGTACCAGAAGTTGGCACAATCAGTGGCGGAGCTTGATGTGGTACTCTAATTTATGTTGTAATCAAATTTTCGGCACTTCAACTTTGCGTATTGACACTAGTGTTGTTTATGTGGTGTAGGTTGTGTCTACGTACAAGAGATTTAAAGACTGTGAAAAGCTTCTAGAAGAAACCAAAGGTTTGTTGAACTCAACTCTCTTTGTGTTAGACACTTGAAGTTGATATTGATCGTTTTCTTTAACTGTTGTTAATTAGCCTTAGCGAAGGATGATGGCAACGATGAGGATATGGCGGCAATGATATCTTATGAAATCGACTCTTTGTCCAAGCAACTCTCTGAGCTTGAGGACAAACTTAAGGTTTTTATGTTTTGTCCTGGAGAATATTAGTCACATTTTCGCTTGAAAGTTTGTGTTTAGTTTGGTTATTCTAGTTCAATACCAATGTAGCAAACATCAATTCAAAATGTTGAATCAGCTGAAATTTCAAAATCATGGGGAGGAATTTGAATTCTCTTCCGTAATATTCATCATATATACTCTCTGTTGTCATTGGCTATAATGAATGTTCATTCCTTTTTTTTCAAAACCATACCATGAAACTCCTCGATTTTGTCTCTCATTGCTCTCGCCCTTTTTGTCTTTGGCTATCTTAAGTTTTCGAGCCTCTCCTCCGTATTTTCAGTTTTTCCTCACTTCCCTCAGTTTTTAGCAACTTATTTATTTTTCCTACACAACCACAGGTATTACTTCTTCCCAGTGATCCTCTGGATGCAAGAAACATAATGCTTGAAGGTACATTGTCTCTTTCAGTCTTTCTTTACAGTATTGTTGGAGCCCACTGATTTTACGTTATGGCTTAGTTGAATGTTTCATGAATCACGTCATAGACTTATGAAATAGGACATAAAGCTAATTTCTGAAAATTTAAATATTATTTGCATTTTAATAATGGGAAATGTGGAAAATATGTTAGATTCAGGAATTTATTAAATTGATAAAAGTGAGAGTGCATCATCATATGCTCATAACTGGATTTAATGGTTACAACTTGCTCATTGATTTGATTTATACATCACAGAAAGGCATAATTTTGGGCTTCCCCCCTGTCCCCATCTTGAAGTCATCACTGAATTTACATTCTAGAATTTCTAGATAGCTTAGCTTAACATATTGATGCATGATCATCTCCATTTATTTTATTTTATTTTTCAAGTTCTAAATGTTATTGTCATCGTTGACTTTTGCAGTACGAGCAGGTACTGGGGGTGACGAGGCTGGAATATGGGCTGGTGATCTTGTAGGTACATGCTTTCGTTTGTCCTTTCTAAGTATAATCCATGCAGAATGCATGAAGTACACACACATATAATAATTCTGTCATTGGATCATTTCTGAATTGCTTAACTATCTCTAAAACATTTTCATTGTTGTCATTCAAATGTTTTAGTGAATGAACCATTAATGTGCAGTTTAATTATAGGCATATTCTGATGCTGCTTTGATATTGAATCAGGTCCGAATGTATGAAAAATATAGTGAACGGAATTCTTGGAAGTTTTCTCCTGTCTCGAGCTCTGAGGTATTTCTCATGAAAACTTTGGAAGAAATAGCTTCTCACCACTTATGTAGTTTGTATATTTTTTTGCTGTATTTTAGGCAGAGAAAGGAGGATACAAAACTTATGTGATGGAGATAAAAGGGAATCGTGTTTACAGTAAATTGAAATATGAATCTGGTGTCCACCGAGTTCAACGTGTTCCTCTAACAGAAACACAAGGTCGTGTACATACTTCTACTGCAACAGTGGCCATCATGCCAGAGGTGGAGTACATATTTCAGGCTTTTAGCAATAGAATATTCATGATCCTAACTTTTAGTTTTGAAAGCAATCAGGGAATTATTTAAAAATTAAAAAATTTGCATTTGGACAATTGTTAATTTGATATTTTATCCTAAAAGTTACTGCTTTTGTATATAGATCCAGTGTTTTGTCAATTCTTTGTCTAGTATCGTTGAAGGAAGATTAAATTTTGTGATTAAAGGTTGATGCACTATTGAGTTGTTTGTTTTAATCATTTTTAAATTCATGTGTTTTAATCTGCAAAACTTTTAGCATACTGATACAGTTAGAATATATTTGGCTTCCTTCCTTCTTTTAAGGTTTGAGAGCAATATCTAAATCTATAGGCCTGAAATCTTTGTCTAGGCTGATGAAGTTGAAGTTGTAATTGACCCAAAAGATATTGAACTGACAACAGCACGTTCTGGGGGTGCTGGAGGTATAGATCTATGAACATGAACTATTCCAGTCAAGCAATCAAATCCTTCTATTTCTTGAACAATAAACAAGTTCCTCCATGAATTCACATGCAAAGATGTCTTGCAGGGCAGAATGTTAACAAGGTTGAAACAGCCATTGATCTTTTCCATAAGCCAACAGGAATCCGCATCTTTTGTACTGAAGAAAGGACACAACTTCAGAACAAGAATCGTGCTTTTCAATTGCTCCGAGCAAAACTGTGAGCATCAACATTTCCATTTTTTTTTTTTTGCTGACTTCTCAAGTCTGGTTTTAGAATTGAGTCATGTTTATGTCTGCAATGTTTTCAAATTGTTTTTCTCCTTTTCCTCTTAAATAATGTTGGCAAGATTAAATATCCCAATAATTCTTGAATTTCAATTATCATGAGGAACTAAAGGATATTGATGTCATGAAGCCAAAAACTAACCAAATGCTGAGTTCATTAGTATAATTTTTCTGAGTGTTCTCTTTAACCTATATGGTTTGGTATGTCGCATGTAAAAATGATACAATCTTTTACAGGTATGAGATGAAGGTAAGGGAGCAGCAAGAGTCAATACGAAATCAAAGGAAATTACAGGTACGCTCCTTCTTGTGTTTGTGTTCAAAATACTAGTTAGACATTAAAATTCAAATAGTATACTTGCTATATGTGTGAGCAGAGGAGTATGGAATTAAAATTCTTTGCCATACTTTCTCAAATTACAGGTTGGTACAGGTGCACGTGCAGAAAAAATTCGGACATACAATTATAAGGTACTCAATGTTGCTTGCAGTCTAAATATTTTTTCACATACATACACTAGGTACATGTAGTATCTCCAATCCCCGTCAAAAAAACTTTATGAGTTTCATACATTACAATTATTCATAACAATTTTTCCCTATATAAATGTGTAAGGTTAGGAGGATAAGGTTATGTTGTTGTTGTTGTTTTTATAAATTTGTAAGGCAAGCAATGTTGATGCTGTTTAGTTAGAAAGAAAAGTTAAAAATATACGATAAATATGACATTGAATTATTACTTTAAGATCCCTCATTATCATGTTCGTTAAATGAAGTAAATAAGATTCAATGATCTAGAGTTGTGTAGTTCCTGTCAGTATAGTGGTTTGAGGTGGAATAGCTGAGTGTTACTGAAATTTCGTTTTGCCTTGATGTGATTATATTGTTTACTAGCAATTTTTGACACTTCAATTTTTCTTATTAGGACAACAGGGTTACTGACCACAGATTGAAGATGAACTTTGAGCTCACCTCTTTTCTTGAAGGTGATATTGAAGATGCTGTTCAGGTATTATCTAGGACATGGAATGAACTTCTGTTTTGGATACGTTTCCTATTGTTTGACTCCGTGCAATATAGGCTTGGAAAGTGGTATCTATTAATTAATGTAGGTGCACCTGTGCACTTTTTGAGGCGGCTAAAGGTATATTGATCAAAATAGGTTTGTATTGAGATGAAAATGGGTCTGGTAAGCAAGGACCTGCAACAAGAAAATTTTGAAGGGTTTCTGAGAAAACCAATATTTAGATGTTTCATAGCGGTTAAGAAATAAAATACTCTTATAAGGCTAGAACAAACTTCGTTTGATGAGCTAACTTTTGGAAGCAAGTTAAACCCAATTTTTTAATATGGTCCAATAGCTTATCCAATTTGAATGTTGGTTTACCTACATATTTCAATCCTGCAAATTCCATGCTCCAATTATCCAGTCTTGAATATGAGGATCGAGCAAGAATACTTCTCTTATAAAACGAGTGAATTAGGGCCTAGTTTTCTTATACCCAAAAATAAAATCATTGAAATTCCTGGATTGGATTTGTAATGTTGAGTGGGGTATTTGGGAAGGAGATGGTGGGATGCATCAGCCAAATGGCATTGTTTCTCTAACCGAAATTCACATAATCACATCAACCAACAAATAACTTGTTTATTCAATAGTACCCAAACACGGCAAGGGTGAGCAATGGAAACCCCAGCAAAACAAAGGATTAGACCTCTCCCCACAGGTTTGCACTCTGCTTGGTCTTTTAAAAGAAAAAAAGTGAAAACACCCTTGACTAATCGCAACGAATGCCAAACACTAGACTGACCAAAAGTTGCACTGGTGATATACTACAGACCTAGCCATTAATACGAGTTAATATGAATGAAATTGTTTAATTGATATCGAGGCTCTTCATTATTAAAAAACTTTTTCCTTGCAGTCTTGTGTTACAATGGAGCAAAAGGAACTTCTGGAAGAACTTGCTGAATCTATAGGTGCACCTGCTAGCTGATATGCAGCAGATTTTGCCTAAGTTATTTGAAAATTTTTGTTGAAGCACTTTTCATAATGAAGATCTTCCATATTGTTGTTCTCCTGAATGTGTCCCATCATCCAAAGTTTGAGACATACGGTATCGAGTTGATTGATTGTCATAATGTAGTAGATATGGGGCACTTTCACATGTAACATTTCATTATATACAGTACTCTGTAAAAAAACTGTCTTATTATGTAAACCGATGCAATTAACTTCTGCATTTTGTGCTCGCTGCATTCTATATGGTGTTGAACGACAGTTTGATTCTCCCTCGTACGTTGGAAGTAGGAACTCACTTCCTAGTTCCAAGCCATCTATAGTCAAATGGATTATTGTTAATACTAAAAATATGGGTCAAAATTAACAAATTTTCAAAAATTAGACAATAAAATAAAATAAATTAAAATTGAGAAATCTATACTTTATACTTCTATTTATAACTTAATTATTCAAAAATTGATCATTCGAAATTTGTTTTGATTTATTAACATGCGACAATAATTTAGGCGGTTGGGTTTTTATTGATTTTTTCATCACAATAAGTTTAAGCTACTATTTAATTTGAATATATGAAATCATAATTTATTTATTCTTTCGGTTATCTACAGTGTTATTTTAAAATTTTAAGACTAATTATTTAATAAATTTAAATTTTTATCAAAAGAAAATAAATTTGAGTATAATGCACGTATAGAATATTTGAAAGATTAAGAAAAGGAAATAATTTTATGTAAATAGTCAAGGATGTTTTTGTCAAATTGACACAAAATAATTTACCATTAACTAATCATTTTTTAAATTATTGTTTTATAAAAATAAATAATTTATTTATTAAGATCAATAAAAAATAATTATATATTATAAATTTTTAATTTATTTTAAAAATATTCCTAGTAATAAATAGTAAAATTAATAGTCATATATTAAATAGATAAATATAATTACTTATAAAAGATAAGATAATAAATGAATGTCAAATTAACACTAATTTAATAATAAATAAGAGTATAAAAAGAATTTAATAATTAACATATCTAAAAATAAATATTTATTTTTATATCAGATTTATGAAAAAATAATAATTTTTATAAACAATAAAATTTTCGTATAAAAATAAATAAAAATAAAATTAGAGGAATTTCATTTCCCCTGCATTTAACAATTGAATTGGATTATCGTATAAAGTTTTATCCATTTTTAACAGAAGTGTGTCAAGAACAGGGCACTTGTGGACGAAAAAGCAGGTCCAACCCAAGCGTCGAGAAGTGAAGTAGTACACATGGCACCTCAACCACCCTCCCTCACAGAGACGCAAATATACAACAGTCACAGTGCCAATACTCCCATTCACAAACACAGATAGCAATAACAGTAACACCTTCTGAACTCTTCTATGCTCCACCGCATCACCCATTCCTCTTCTCTTCTTCTTCTTCCTCGTCTTCTCTCTCACCATCACCAACACCTTCCTTCAAATTTCAATTTCCCTTTCTCTTTCTCACCAATACCTCCTTTCCCTCTCAAACTCAATCTCCTCTCAATGGCAACGTCTCTTTCTCACCACAACCACACAAATCGACTCGCTTCCGAACAGAGTCCTTATCTTCTCCAACACGCACACAACCCTGTGAGTTTAACTTCACTCAATTCTCATCTCACTCCTTGTGCAATTGCTTCGTTCTCACTCATAATCCATTTTCTCATATTCAATTGAAGGTTGATTGGTATCCCTGGGGTGAAGAAGCTTTCGCCGAAGCACGCAAGCGAGACGTTCCTATCTTCTTATCAAGTAATTCTCTCTTTTTTCGATATTCTCTTTACAATTTTCGTTTGCGTAATTAACTGCTGCTTTTGTTTGTGGTGTTGATGGCGATTCTATTCGAAGTTGGTTACAGCACTTGCCACTGGTATGTGTGAGTCATAACAACTTCTGTTGTTCATGTTGAGTTTGAATTATGGATTGATTTTTTTGGGAATGTGAACTGTTTACTGGTAAGGTGTCATGTTATGGAGGTGGAGTCTTTTGAGGACGAGGGGATTGCCAAGTTGTTGAACGATTGGTTTGTTAGCATTAAGGTAATTAAGGAGTTTTGTTTCTCTATTGCTTTGGATTGTAACAATCTTCTCTCCATTTTGTTTTACTTTGTTCTGTAGCGTTTTAATATGTCAATGTCACAGGTGGATCGAGAGGAACGACCAGATGTTGACAAGGTATGTCAACTGTTCAGTTAATTTATGTATATATTCTTTCTTATGGAACCCAAAAAAAATGCTCATAAATTATCCTTAAGTTATGCTCGTAGAAAGTTTAAGGCGTTCCACTGGTAACCAAGGTTTACTGAAAGAGTTTTTCTTCAGGTGTACATGACGTATGTGCAGGCTTTGTATGGTGGTGGAGGTTGGCCCCTGAGTGTGTTTCTTTCACCGGACTTGAAACCTTTAATGGGTGGAACTTATTTCCCCCCCGATGATAAGTATGGGCGACCTGGATTTAAGACTATACTTAGGTGAGAACTATCGCACATGTCAGTTTGAACGGTCAACCTGTTTAGACTCTTTTTCGTGGATAAATTTGGTGGACAGCATTTCACAACTTGTTGAGTGTAAAATTTCAGGCCAATTGTTTGAAGTTATTATTCTGGTTCTTGATTTTCTTGTTGGTATACTATTTGTTCCTGTTTTCTCCAGAAAGGTAAAAGAGGCTTGGGATAAAAAGAGGGATATGCTAATCAAGAGTGGAGCATTTGCAATTGAACAGCTTTCTGAGGCAATGTCTGCTAGGTCAGATTTTGATAAATTGCCTGATGAGGTTCCAGCTGATGCATTACGTCTATGCTCAGAGCAGGTGATGATTTGAGTATCCGCTTTTTTTTCTACTATTTCAATTTTGTTAGAAAGCCTTCCCCTCATTTCTTTGACACATAAAGGAGAGAAAAGGAAACGGGAAAAAGAAAAGAGTGTTTTCATATATACGGTATTGCTATCCTTGTGTAAGCTGCGTTTTATGGGTTGAGAGTGGGGAAATTGTTACCAAAATAGCAATCATGTCTTCTCATTTATAAAAAATGAATTTATGGATGATAGTAACCAGTGATATATTGTAACAACAGAGAGCAAAAAAATATCTTTTTTTTAATGTGAGATAATATCTCTGCATGTAGTTGTTGAATGTTTTGGATCCTTAATTCATATTGAGTGTTTCAAATTTTGAGTATCATTCAATCTACTATTTTCTTTGTAGCTCTCTGGGAGCTATGATTCAAAGTTTGGTGGGTTTGGATCTGCACCAAAGTTTCCCAGACCAGTTGAGATCAACTTGATGCTTTACCACTCCAAAAAGTTGGAGGATACAGGGAACTTGGATGGAGCTAATGGAAGTCAGAAAATGGTTTTATTTACCTTGCAATGCATGGCGAATGGGGGGATTCATGATCATATTGGAGGGGGGTTTCACAGATACAGTGTGGATGAGTGCTGGCATGGTAAGTTTACCTTGAACAGCAGTCATTTCTGCGAGTAAATACCTGAACATTTTATGTTAAGTAGGATATGCTGTTGCATCCAATACTCTTTGTTCTGAAATGCTGTAAAGATGATTTAATTGTTTAGTTGTCATATCTTTGCAGTTCCACATTTTGAAAAGATGCTATATGATCAAGGGCAGCTTGTTAATGCTTATTTAGATGCGTTTTCTATCACCAAAGATACCTTCTATTCATGTATATCACGGGATATCCTTGATTATTTAAGGAGAGACATGATTGGTCCAGAAGGTGAAATATTTTCAGCAGAGGATGCTGACAGTGCAGAGACTGAAGGAGCTGCAAGAAAAAAAGAAGGAGCTTTTTACATATGGACAAGCAAAGAGGTCTTTCATCCACTTTCTATCTGACTTTCCTTAATATATTTCTTATGGATAATTACATTGTAGATCCCTGAAAAATATACAATTCTTCATTATGGTCGCCGGAAAATAAATTGATTCAATTAGATCATTCCAAACTTTTTATCTTTCAGTTGGGTCCAAAACCATATAGATCTATCCGAGCTGACATAAAAACTGTGACATGGCCTTCAAGTTTCTGACATTGCCCAATAACCCACTGATGTAGCAGTTGATTAAATTTTTTTTTAGGATTCAATTGTATCAATTTATTTTCCTCATATATGAATTAACTTTTTCAAGAGCACAATATGTTGTTTAGCCTGTTTCTTAATTAACTGTTAGTTTGCTAAGGACAATCTAACTACAGTATTTTTAAAGTTGATCTGGAAATTTTTGCTGGAACTTGTGAGCTATAATACTCCTTCGAATTTTGTCATTTATTTTATATTTTTCAATTTGTTGTTTTGTATTTGTTCTCCTTGATATTTATTGCACAACTGTGGATATTAAGTTTTTTATTTGTTTGGTTACAGTAGGCCTCTATATTGTACTTCCAAATAGAAATAGAATATTTTAGTTGATAATAAGCTGATAATTCATAGAGATCATTTTTGCTGAATAAAAACCGTGTTTTAAATTGTTTGGTAGTGTCTTATAATCCTGATTCCCTCATGTAGTTATGCAATTATATCTACATTGTCCTGACAATTTCTCATAGAAGTATTATGATTAATGATTGGTTTGTCATTTTTGGTGGTCACTTTCAACCCAGTTTTTTTCTGTTTAGGTTGAAGACATACTTGGAGAGCATGCTACTCTTTTTAAAGAGCACTATTACATCAAGCAATCGGGTAACTGTGACCTATCTGAAATGAGTGATCCTCACAATGAATTCAAGGGAAAGAATGTCCTGATTGAGAGAAAAGATCCTTCAGCAATAGCATCAAAATATGGCATGTCAGTTGAGACATATCTAGAAATTCTTGGACAATGTAGGCGGAAATTGTATGAAGTAAGGTCAGGGCGTCCAAGGCCACATTTGGATGATAAGGTAAATCTTACTGATTTATTTAGGATCCTCCCACGATGATTTCGACTCCCAACTTGTATGCATATTCTCAAGAGTTGCTACACTTCTAGGTTATTGTATCTTGGAATGGACTGGCAATCTCATCTTTTGCGAGAGCCTCTAAGATTCTAAAGAGTGAAGCTGAAGGGACCAAATTCTACTTTCCCGTTGTCGTCACTGCAGTAAGTTTTCTCCCTACTGATATAGTAGTGCAGTTAGAATTCTAATATTTTATTTAGGTGAAGACTACCAATATTTAAAAAGATGGGAGACACTCCTCTTTAATATTATCGATGCTGTTTCTGGTAGATGTCTGTGAATTATCATAAGTGTACAATTTTATTCCGTTGATCTCACAATTCTTGCTCTCAGCAATGAATAGTTTCTAACTGAGTTAAGAGGGCATCAACTGTTTAAGTTATGAAGGAATGGTGGATGTTGTTGCTGGAGGAACACCTGTACCCACCTTGATTCTTTTCATTGTGTTTAACTTTCTCTTTCTTTTGATGGTGCGAATTCCAGCCACAGGAGTACATGAGAATTGCAGAAAAAGCAGCATTCTTTATTCAGAAGCAACTTTACAATGTGGAGACTTGCAGGCTACACCATAGTTTCAGAGGTTCTCCATCTAAAGCTCCTGGTTTCTTAGATGATTATGCTTTCTTGATTTCTGGATTGCTGGATCTCTATGAGTTTGGTGGTGGAATTAACTGGCTTCTATGGGCCATTGAATTGCAGGAAACCCAGGTAAAATTGATGTCTGGGCTCAAGAAAATTTCTTTCGTCATACCAGGCAATAAGTTGCTAATGATACGAGTTGCTTGCAGGATGCTTTATTTCTTGATAGGGATGGAGGTGGATATTTCAATAATACAGGAGAAGATTCTTCAGTTCTCCTCCGTGTGAAGGAAGACCATGATGGGGCAGAACCCTCTGGAAACTCGGTTTCTGCCATAAATCTTACAAGATTGGCTTCAATGGTTGCTGGAAGTAAGGCTGAGCAATACAAGCGAAATGCAGAACATCTATTGGTCTGTAAATCCCTCTCCCCTTTCCTCCTAAAATCTGTTTCTCTCATTTATCTGCTAACAATGGTGGGATGGGATTATTAAAGGGAATCTCTGTTATTAGACCACTTAGTTGCAATTAACACGAATTCCCTTCAAACGGTAATGCAGGCAGTTTTTGAGAAAAGATTGAAAGACATGGCTATGGCAGTGCCTCTAATGTGTTGTGCAGCAGATATGCTGCGTGTACCTTCCCCGAAGCAAGTGGTGGTGGTCGGTGAAAGGACGTCACAGGAATTTGAAAGCATGCTCACTGCTGCTCACGCAGTATATGATCCCAACAGAACAGTGAGCATCTTACTCTATAAAATTGCATCTTCACATTTCTTTCTGATAGTCATCAATAACATTTTTGCTGGTGTTGATCGTAGGTTATTCATATAGATCCGAACAACAAAGAAGAAATGGAATTTTGGGAAGTCCATAACAGTAATATTGCTCTCATGGCGAAAAATAACTATGCAGTCAACAGGGTTGTAGCTCTTGTATGCCAAAACTTCACTTGTAGCCACCCTGTAACTGATCATTCGTCGCTTGAAGCATTGCTCTCTCAAAAACCTTCCTCTTCGTTAACATAAGCTACTGGTTCTGATTTGAGTAGGAAAAATAGTTGACGTCAGTGAAAGATCATCATTAGAAATCCCCGTCGTCATCTACGGAACTTGTTCGTTGTGACTTGTGTGTCAAATAAAAGTAGGTAGTATTATCCGTTGAGTTGAGGGATTGATACATACGACTATAGTTTGCCTGTACTTGGCCATTCGTGTCAGGACAATCTGTACAATTGATAGCTAATGATTCAAAAATAAATGTGTTCAACAGAATCATATAAACACATGGTGAGAATTTCGGGTATTAAAAAAGATTTAATTATATATTTTTTTTTTCCATACATATAATTTAACATATGTTAATTTTGGTCCTCTTAATTTGTTTTTCTAAATTCTTTAATATTTAAATTAAGCCATTTACTTTAAAATTAAAATTTTTATTATAAATAAGCATTAAAAAAAATTAAGCGCCCCACAAAGTACAAAAACTAGTAAGAAATGGGTTTCTTAAAACATTACGACACTAGTTTTTAATTAAACTAAATAAACTTCAAGTATACTATTAATCTTCAAAAGACACTTTAAATATTGCAACAATAAACGTTGCCAACGTTGTCTTCTTCCATGCCTTTGTCGATGAAGATAGGGAGTGAAAATAAGTGGAGTACATGAATAACAAAAAATAAGAACACTATTTCTTTCCATTGGATCGAATAGAGAATAAAAAATGGAAAAGAAAATGTGGGGGCCATCCAAGAAAAGAAAAACGAAAAGAGGATAGGCAATTTGTTAAAACAATAATTTACCCACCAAGTGACCTTCCACTAATATACTAAAAATAATTAAATCGTTTAACATTATAGTAATTGATCATTTTCTTTCACTTATTTTCGCATGCAAAGAATGTAACGGGATAGTACTATAGTAAGGGAGTGCGAACAGTTGCGCTATAAATAAAAGGATAACACAAGCGTTTCTGCAGCAAGGTGAATCTTAACACACAAAAACAGAGAACTAAAAAAAATTTAACGTATGCAAGATATAAGGTTCTTATACATGCAAAACTTACAAAGTCTAAACCAACAAAAGATACTCTTCATAACTACTATTGATTGTGCTGGCGCCATCAATGATTCAACACCCTTTGAATTTCAAGGAATGCTACTCACTTCTTGGATTTCTTCGGTGCTCTGCATGAAAGAGATAAATTTAGGCTACAAAACAGACGACCAAAAGCTGTATATAAGCATAAGCTGTAATATAATACTCACTGGGCAGACTGGGGTGCTGTGGAAGACGGTGCACTGGGTGCTGTAGATGGTTTATCACCCGGACCCTAAACATTTTACAGAAGATGGAAGTGTAAAAATTTCCATTACCACCTTCACTGAAAATACTTCCCAGTGCAATAAATCCCCAAGTTTCATGAAATATACAAGTAAAAAGATTCTCAAGGCATTCTGAAACTCACTTGGGCTAAGCGCTCCTCCCTCCGAGCAATTTTCCTTTCCCTGCTTGCTTTGTTCTTTGCGCGCTTTGCCTCAAACTGATCAGACAAAGTCTTCTCTCTTGCTTTCTCAGCCTTGGTTTTGTGAATGCTCTCCATCAAGACTCTCTTGTTCTTGAAAACATTACCTTTCACTTTCATGTACATATCATGGTACATGTGTTTGTCAATTTTCTTTGATTCCCTGTACTTGCGAAGCAATCGTCTAAGCACACGCATCCTCCTCATCCAAAGTATTTTTGTGGGAAGCCTTGCCTCCCTTGTACCCTTACGCTTACCTAATATTTTTTAGGTGAACAATATAATCAGTAAATGATCCCCCTGCCCCACCCCAAATGACCATAGAGCAATTTATTTTATGGCCACCCATACCCACTAATGCTCAGAATACATATAGTATATAACATTGTCTCATAATATATTTAGCAGAATTCTAACATTATTCTTTCAACTGATTAGCAGCTCAGTAAAACCTTGACATTTTAAACCGACTAAGCCCTAAACTATAAAATGACAAAAAAATCCATGACCATGACCACAGCTTCTAAACATGCATAAACTGCAAAATTTCGAGAATTACATCCCGACAGAAAATTTCCAACTCAGGGGTTGATATTCATTGTACATTAACCCCGTAATAGTTTGGGAATAAATACCATATCCGGAGTGGCGCCCCTTCCTCTTAGCTTCCTTCATCCTTCGAGCACGTGAACGAGAGTGAATCTTGGTTGGCTTCCTGATAATAAACCCATCCTTAACCAACTTCCTGATGTTTTGCCCTGCAAACGGAAACTCACCAAGCTAAGTAATGCTTTTATTGCAAAAGATTTGTATAATAGAATATCAGAGTAGATATTATATACAATTAAAAGGGTTTTTTATTCTTTCCAATGGCTTAAGCTCATGCAAATTTGAGCCACGGTGGAGGTTCAGCAAAGCCCCCCAGGTGCCAAATTGAGGATTAAAAACCCCTTGACACTGCACATAAGATTCCCTTGAAGTCCCATTCCACTTATCAATAAGAAATATATTCAAATAAGACGAAAAAAAAGTTTACAAAGTGTTAGATGCAGAACTCTTATGCGTCATAGCTTTTATTTTGTTGTTAGCAAATAGCATTAGTTAAATATCGCAAACAACAATAAGCTTCGGATCCTACACAAGTTATCGATCCTCAACATAATCATAAATAAATGGTGAAGTGAAAAGAAATGACAGCAACGGAAAACAACGAAGAAAAAGAGAGCGTACGAGAATTGGCCATGGAGATTTCATTGACTTCATTTGGGTCAAGCCAAACCTTTCCTCTTCCACACTTCAAAACGCTTGCCGCCAGCCGCTTCTGCAATTTCAGCGACACCATTTTCACACCTCTGTCGCTACGATTCCTCAATCGGAGGAAGGAAACCCTAATTGCTTCATTTTCCTTGATATATATAGGGCCCAAACTATCTGGATTGGGCCGGGTCTTTCCTTCACCAATTGTCTGGGCCTAACATTTTCGGCAATGTTGTGTACTTGTGTGTCATTTTCGTATTCTAAATTAATTATTGACCAAAAAAAAATATTATAACGTAATTTTGTTTAAGCTGTGTAAAATGTTGGGACTCAAAAGTATCATATAAAAAATACGGTGATCTAGAAAAAAATTATAAACTAATTGATTTAATTTATAACATTTAAAATAAAAATAATGATATTAAAATTTTAGATATAAGAAATTATTAAATTTAATAAATAAATAATAATATAATTCAAACTGAAGAGATGAAAATTACAATAAAACTTGAAAAGGATCAGCTAACGAGCGAAGATAACCTTTGTTAAAAAAAGAAAACAGAGACAGTGTATCTGAGGAAAGAAGGGGAGATTAAAATGGTGGAAGCATTAGCATAGCATAGCATAGAAAGAAAGAAGTGTAGGGTTTGTTGTTTTGGATGAAAATGGTGGAAAGGAGAAAGCCTCTGATACTGTGTTCCACCAAACACATAATCAATTCCACTTCCCCAAACACCAATCTCTTCCAACACCAACCTTCTCCCAATCTCCGTTTGCCTGTTGGTATTCTCCGTTTCTCCAATCTACCAAATCCCTCTCTCGACCACTCTGCAATTCTCGCCCTCTCCACTCCCCTTCTCAAAACCCTTTCCATCACTTCTGGTTCCCCGGTAACTCAATTTCCCCCTCTATTTGTAATTTCATACTTGTTTTCATTCCACTTCAATTTTTTTATTTTTCAATTTTCTCAGGTTCTGGTCAAAAATGCTGAAATGAACATACACAGAATTGCACTGGCTATTGCTCTTGATCCTCCAGGCACACCCACTAATACGAACTCGCTCTCTTCTTCTTCTTCTTCTTCTTCTTCACGGATGATGCTTCTATTTCCTTCTTGTGATTTCCCTCTTAATGGTCCTTTATTAAACGATCACGTTGCTTATTTATCTCCGTTTTTAGCCTTTAACCTTAACTTGCACGTAGCATGCTTAAAGTCCATTTTACACCACGGCCAAGACGCTTTAGCATCATATTTCAAACCTCAAGGTAAAGGGGGTGATGAGGATACTGCTAGAAGCGTTGTAGATTCTGTCATCAACGTAGAATTGGAACCGTTTCTTCAACCTCCAAGGTTTGCCTCTCTTCTCAGGGTTTCTTTTGTGAAGATTCCGGAATGTGGCATCCTTGAATCTATTAGAACAAGTTCACCGATTGAGTCTCAAGAGCGTCAAGACATGATTGACTTGGCTTTGCAAAAGTACTTTGAAGTCGATAGGTATTTGTCAAAGGGAGATGTTTTCGGAATTAACATAAACTGGAACTGCAATTCCACCATTTGCATTCCTTGCAATCAAAGAACGCCAAATAAAGATGACAACCTTATTTGTTTCAAGGTATCCTTGAGCTCAGTTTGGATAAATTTTTAAATAAACATTTGTAGGAGAAGAAAATAATGAATTAAACTTCTGTCTTTAAGTTAAATTTAAAACCTTAGTGCATAAGTCAAAATTAACTTGTGTTGTATAAAAGTTTATCTAAACTGGGCCTTAACTCTCATATTCTGGCTAAACCGCAAGAAATATGTTGAGTTTGTTGGTAGAGTGTAACTTATATCTCCAGGTCGTTGGCATGGAACCATCAGATGAACCAATTCTCCGGGTCAATAAAACATTAACTGCTCTCGTGCTAGTAGGGAGTTGCCCATCTGCACTTCCTCCAGATTTGATGATTGGTGGACCGCAAGGACCTGTGCCTTTGCACGGGGACACTGTAGATATCTTGGCTTCAATAATTACACCAACTGTCTGTCCGTCCGTGCTTTCTTCCAAGTTTAGAGTTTCAGTTTTATTGTATGGTTTGGCAGGTATGTTCTATATTGTCCTGCTTTATTTTCTCCTATAATTCATTAAATTATTTTGTGAGTTGGATTACCATTTGATATCCTCAAATTGTTGTTCATTTAAAATGTCAAAAATGGTGGTTTTGGATTGGATTGATGGTGCATGTATTTCCTGAACAACATAAATATGCAGGTTGTGGGAAAAGGACTGTCATTAGATATGTTGCTCGTCGACTGGGCCTGCATGTGGTGGAATATAACTGTCATGATCTAATGGTGTCAGATAGAACATCTGTTGCTTTAGCACAAGCTTTCAAGACTGCTCGAAGGTTATATATTGAACATTTGGAATGATAAGAACACATAAAGTGCCAGAAACTTTGTTCCTGCACATTTTTTTGTTTTGGAATGTGGTAGAATGCAAACTTTGCTATCAGGACAGGAATATATAGTTCCATTAATTTATCCACCTGCTTTTTCCTTCAGTGTCTTTTCTCTCTACTTAACATTTATTAAATTATCGGGCTTTACATGGGCCACTTACCTAATTGCCTGATTATGTCAAGCTCTCAGAAGTTTACCATTTTCCATATGATTTCTCTCTAAGCTTCTAGTCTGCACTTACAGGATGATATTGTTACAGATACTCGCCAGCAATACTTCTTCTTCGTCATTTTGATGTTTTTAGAGATTCACAATCACCCGAGGGTTCACTAAATGACCAAAGAAGTAATACAGCTGAAGTTGCATCAGTTATTAAGAAATTCACAGAGCCAGTTAGTGAACATGCTGACAATAACTCCCTTGGGAAATCAAATGGTGAATTTGTAAGATCTAACCTAGTTGAACTTTGATATTGCTTTTACTGTTCTTTGTACTATAACTTTCTTTCTTCACATCACAAGTATTATATTATATCTTATATTGTAAATCAAATGAAATAAAACTAGTTAACCTCAAAGAAATGGAGAAATAATTGCTATACTTTGCCAGTTCTCTAATAGATTTTTTAGAGGTAGGGGAGGGAGGCAACTATTTCCTCAAAAATAAGTGTTAGGTACTTAGGTAACATGGCTTAGATAATTAGTAAGCGATAATATCAGTTTCTGTAATAGAAAAGAAATGTGATGAAAAAGAATTAGTTTCTGGGAACTCTAAAAAGTTGAGCCAACCACTCCGCTGGGGACAAAAGCTTGTAAAATTGACTGTTTCATTCTAGGGAAAAACTACTATTAAGTGAAATGCAATATACTTCAAGACATATAAAATATATCTTGCAGAAAGTTTCCTTCACCATGCAATTTACACTCAAACACTGCTCCTTTAAGAACTGAATATGTCTTTTATCATCAAAAACCTGGGTTTCCTGTTAGTTTTTTATTTTAACTAGAATTGCAAAGATATTTACTTTTACACAATGTTGGTGAAGGTGGAGAAGAATGCTGAAAAGACAAGTGGGCATCAGGTCTTGTTGATTGCTGCTGCTGACAGTTCAGAAGGTCTGCCTCCAACTATTAGACGTTGTTTTAGCCATGAAATAAGTATGGGACCTTTGACTGAAGAGCAAAGGGCTGAAATGCTATTCCAGTCACTGCAAAGTGTTTCTGGACTGCTCTCTAATGTAAGTGTGGAATGGAGCTTCTTCTTCCTGTGTTTGTGTCTTATTTTGATTTTTCCTTTTATGGACAAAACATAGATCAAGTTCCATGTATCCTTGTCATCAACTTCTCAAATCAAACAACATGTGGCTGCTTCATTCATTATTAAACAGCATTTATTAAGAATATGTTGCAGAATTTCCAAAAAAAAATTTGGCCCTTCCATTTTTTATTTGAGAATTTGTTGGAAAAGTTATAAGGAGTTGGTTTTAGTTTTTTTCTTTTTGGTAAATAAATTGGCTAGTAATGGCAGTACTGACAACAATTCTCTCTCTAAATTTCAAATAACTCAGTAAAAACTGACTTAAAAACTAATTTGTAAAAGAAAACAATCTTGATAAGAAGTTCCTTTGAAGTTGGCAGTGGGTGTAAGAGGTGGGGCCATGTGATTATTTGGAAATCAAATTTTCTTCTTTCATTTCAGCTAAAAATATGACACCAGGCTTCTAGGAAAGGGGAAAAAATGAGATTCCAAATATTGGAACATTCTTGTATAATGGTATAGATGTTACATGCTCCTTCAAATTATTAAGAAAGGCACTTTGCTACCAAATATTGGAAGTTGGAACATGCTTTTTATAATGGTATAGATGTTTCATGCAATATCCTTCAAGTTAATAAGAAAGGCACTTCACTATTGTGCTCCAGAATCCTTGTTTTTCTGTTGAGTGATAACTTTGATCAATCACATTGTTGCTTCTTGCAGACTGATTCAGAGGCTTTAGTAAAAGAAATAGTTGGACAGACATCTGGTTTCATGCCCAAGGATATGTGTGCTTTAATTGCTGATGCTGGTGCCAACTTATTTCCCAGAAACAATGCTAAGGTAGACAAAGATGGGCCTGATGATGTAGATAGTTCTCTTTGTTCTGAGATGACGGAGGATAACATTCACCAGAAAGTTTCACCTCAGATTCCCGGGAAAGAAGACTTGATAAATGCTTTGGAACGATCAAAGAAAAGAAATGCATCAGCATTGGGTACTCCAAAGGTAAATTAGGTGATCAGGCTTTTATGGTGGTTGTCTTATGACTTATCTGCATTTAAAATCCAGAACAATGTGCTATTATTTTATTGCCAAAAAGTGTATACATTGGTATGTAACATGCATTCTATGAAAAAATGTTCCTCAATGCAAATAAAATTTTAAGGATCTTGTTTGTAGGTTCCAAATGTGAAATGGGAAGATGTTGGTGGACTTGAAGATGTGAAAAAATCAATCCTGGATACTGTTCAGGTGGGTTCTCAAGCACAACTCCCTATTATGTAAAGTTCTGCTTAATATATCGGGGACAATACCTGTCACCGCAACTTGAAAATATATTTCGTGGAAAAAGAAACTCTGGTTATATTTATATGATCAACATTCCAGAAGATACATTAGGTTGTCATATTTTATAAGCAGCATAAGAATAAAAATTAAAGAAGAAAGAAAGAGTGTGCTTTTGGAGTTTCAAAAGTGAAATTTGAATGCAGTACTGAATTCTGCTAAAAAGAGATTGAATAGGTTTTTCTACTTGAGCAGAAAGAGAGGACCCTTCCCAAAATGCATACAGAATAATGGGATTTTCCCCTCCACTGTCAACTTATTACTGCATATGTTGACTTTTTCTTTTGATTGGCAAATAACATTCTTCTCTTTCAAGTCGCTTATTTGTCTATTTTAAGAAAATTCCTCAGGCTTTTTTCTTTTCTATTTTAATATTTATCTTCCTAATTCATGTGTTACCAGGGAGATACCATTTATCGTCTGTAATTTCTGAATATCTGATTTTCTGTATACCATATTGTAGTTACCTCTCCTACATAAAGATCTGTTTTCATCTGGATTACGTAAGCGATCTGGTGTTCTTTTGTATGGTCCCCCTGGAACTGGCAAAGTAAGTTGTAATATACCTGTAAATGACAGTATTCTATCTCAGTTTTCTTACTTTTTAGTTATAAAAGGTTTCTAATGGCATTTTCTTACTCTTTCTTTTAATGCCAGACATTATTAGCAAAAGCTGTTGCTACAGAGTGTTCCTTAAACTTTCTTAGTGTGAAAGGCCCTGAGCTGATCAACATGTACATTGGAGAGTCTGAGAAGAATGTTCGAGACATTTTTCAGAAGGTATATAATATTTGGGTTATTTTGATCTAAGTAGTTTCTCAAGTTGAATTGAATATGTATGCATGTATGTCTTTCCTGTGAACTGGACAGTTCAGAACAGAATTTGACAAAGTGAACTTCAAAATAATTCACAGGCCAGATCAGCACGTCCATGTGTCATCTTCTTTGATGAGCTTGATTCTCTTGCACCAGCTCGGGGTGCTTCTGGAGATTCTGGGGGTGTTATGGACAGAGTGGTTTCTCAGGTGATTCTCTTTCCTGAGCAAGACTGTGATGTATGTAGGTTTTTTTCTCTTAGTTTCCGTATGTAATATATCTCCCTTTTTATTAGATGCTTGCAGAGATTGACGGATTAAGTGATTCAACACAGGTTTTTTGATCTACTTGAAATAGTTATCTTTTCGCAAAATACATTATCCTATTTTGCTTCTAACAAGTGATGTGTTTGTTGCTGGTTTAATAGGATCTGTTTATTATAGGTGCAAGTAACAGACCAGATTTGATAGACCCAGCACTTCTACGCCCTGGTAGATTTGATAAACTGCTATATGTTGGAGTTAACTCTGATGCATCTTACAGGGAGCGGTAAGTGTTTTTCTGGCTCTCTTTACTGTGGAGTATCTATTGTTGGTAACATATTAGGGTGCACCTCTGATCTCCATCTTTCCCAGGGTCCTGAGAGCTCTTACCCGCAAGTTCAAATTGCATGAAGATGTTTCACTTTACTCTATAGCAGAAAAATGTCCGCCAAACTTCACTGGTGCAGACATGTATGCTTTGTGTGCAGATGCTTGGTTCCATGCTGCAAAACGCAAAGTAAGTCCAGCCAGGATCACTGGATCCTATGATTACTTTGCACATATTTTGTTTGTTATTAGGCCCGTGTTGTATCTGAGATTGTAGTGGGCTATCAATTTATAGAGGAAATTGCAGCCTGTATTTACTATCGCAAGCAGTTCAAGTGTTTAGAAACCTAGGATTCAAGGTTCTTTATCTCACTGCTTTCTTCTAGGTTTTGAGTTCAAATCCAGAGTCTTCCAGCCAAGATAATGGGGCAGATTCTGTTGTTGTTGAATACAATGATTTTGTCCAGGTAACTTGCACTATTTCTTGATAAATCCAGTTTCACGTGGATCAAACTCTCGTGCACTTTTAGAGTTACCATCTCCTTCACCAATTGATTTCCCAACTGTTTCTGGTATCTGTTTGTGTGACTGGCATTCCTGGACTTTTCAGGTCTTAGCAGAGTTGCCACCTTCCCTCTCCATGGCCGAGCTTAAAAAGTATGAGCAACTGAGAGATCAGTTTGAAGGCACCTCTAAATGAATTCTGTTTCTATTTTGTTGTTACTGCTGTTTCTCGGATTATAAAACAAATATGCATCAAATATTATTTTTTTTTTGGGGGGGGGGGGCAAGGGGGTTGGTTGGTGACATTCCCTGTATTTATAATTTTTTTGGTAAAATAATGGTTATACATTATATTTATTTTAACTTAATATGCAAGCATAAAATTATTTTGAAACTTATGTATCAACATATGAAAAACAAAACTGTTTTAGATTTTTATTTTTTTTCAGTTATAATGGATAGAATTGAGATTAGCACCCCCAAATTTTTGGAAGACAGACTCAGTTCTCTTTATAAACTAACAGCGAACTTATAAGAATATTTAAATCATTATATAGTAGGTAAATTATTTCGTTTTTTTTTTATCATAGCTCCCGTTATTTTGAAGAGTCTGGGTGAGGATTTATTACCCATGGTATGCCAATACGTTTAGGTGGGGAATGGTGGCTGTGTCTTGGAGCTCCTTCGATTCGTTTTCATCTCACGCTCACACAGTGACTGAAACCAGCGGCTACGGGTCTTTCCGGATCTGGATTGTCTCCAATTTAGGTGGACCTCTAGTTCTTTTTTCGCTTAAGTGAAAATAGGTTATTTTCGTTTAAAATCATGACAAAATGACTTAAGCTAATTTTTATAAAACAAATGGCTTAAGCGTAAAAAAAATAGTTTAAGCGAAAAATAAATAGAGAGTTTTAATTTTCACTTAATTTTCTCTTCTCCTTCTCCCTAAACATAATATTTCTTCCTCAACCTCTATATTCAACCTCCTTTAATCTCCATATTCAAGTTTCTTTTTTCTCTTATACTTAATTCTTCTCTTTCCCTCTTAACTCTTTTTTCTTTTAACCTCATACTTAACTCTTCTCCTCATCTTTTCATTCTCACATCACCAAATATTTATCTCTCCCTTTTTTCTCTATACTCAACTCTTTAATTTTCTCTTCTTCTACCGTTACTACTATATCACTCGCTCTTCTTGTCTACATTTATTCTTAATTCTCTCTTTTCTCTATACTCAACCTTTATATTTTCAAACACACAAAATTCACTTAAGATAAAATAATTCGCTTAAGCGAATATACTATTCACTTAAGGCAGAAAAATTAGCTTAAACTAATTTTGCATAAAAAAATTTTGGCAGTGGAGGAAGAAGAAAGTGAAGAGTTGAGTATAGATAAAAGAGGGAAAGATAGACATTGGGTGAGGTGAGAATGAGAAGAGGAGGAGAGGAATTAGATATGAGGTTAAAGGAAAAGAGAGTTAGGAGGGAAAGAGAAAAATTAAGTATAAGAGAAAGAAGAAAGTTGAATATGGAAGTTAAAGGAGGTTGAATATGGAGATTGAGGAGGAAATGTTATGTTTAGGAGAAAGGAGAAAGGAGAAGAGAAAATTGAGTGAAAATTAAAACTCTCTGTCTATTTTTTGCTTAAGCCTATTATTTTCGCTTAAGCCATTTTTTTTTGCTTAAGTCATTTATTTTATGAAAATTGACTTAAGCTATTTTGTCATGATTTTAAGTGAAAATAATTCATTTTTGCTTAAACAAATTTTTTTGCTTAAATAAAAAAAAAATTAGAGGTCCAGTTCCCACCTAAACTGGAGACAATCCGGATTCGAGTCTTCCCCCATTCATTTTCTCATACACCAAGTCACTTTTACATCCTTTTTCTTTTGCTACGAGCATCACCGACAAGGCCCTACTCATTTTTCTTCTCATTGCCATCTACATTAACAATCACCAATGACCGTACGTTTCTTATCTTTTCCCTCAAATATACCAACCTTTACGAGGATGAAGGTTAATTATGCTGACATTTTCTTGTTGGGTAACTTCCCAACAAGAAACAGTGGGATTCTATTTGATGTGTAAAACATTATGGGTTAGAGTTTAATTTTGATGTCAATGCCATAGAAATTTTGTTGTGATCGTAATAAATGTTACAACGTCATTTTATTAACTTCGGGTCATAAGATGTCAATGTTAAATTGGTGACGTGAAATGATGAATTTGGTGATGCATGAAATTTCCGAGGAGTAAGTTTAGTAACAGAACTATTAAAAGACTAATGCGTAACGTTTTGAACCTTCGAAGACATGAATTTGGTAACACATCTTTGTTGAAGTAATATAAAGACCCACATAACAAAAGATAACGTTTCTTACATATTTAAAAGCATGTTGTCAAATCAATAACTGAGACATGATTTTTTTCCGACATTAAATTGAAAAGAAATCACATGTAGAATTTAATCTAAAATTTATCCGTAAAAAATTAAAAAAAATTCTTTTCCAAAACTACACATGAAAATGAAAAAAAATAACATTGTGCGTGGATAAATAGAGAAGGTAAATAGAATTAGGAGAAAGAGAATTAAAAAAATGGAGATGAGAGTGTACTTGGTTGGAGAGAAAGAACTTTGTATATTATGGTGCCTAAAATAAAAATTCTTAAATTAAAAAGAAATGAGAAAGTGACTTTTTAAAAATTTGTGTTTTATTTTTTAGGTCAAATAATTTTTATATAATATAAAAACATTAAAACATTACAAATATTTTGCTATCAAGTAAAAATAATTTTTTTTTTCTCAAATTAAATTTATTATGATTATTATTAAAAAAAATAAAGCTTACTTATTTTTCTACTATTTTTTAACCTGTCTAAATAAATAAAAAAATTCACTTCTGTTTATCTAAATAATACATTATTTATATTTTATTTCTACCATACATTTCATATATTTATTTATTCTCTTTTTTTATCTCTCGTCCAGGCACACTTTTAATTAATCATCATAAACATAATTTATCCGATTCATAGACCCTCGATCATGTTTTTGAGGTACAAACATGGTGCAGACAATTAATTTTCCTATTTTGATTTTGACAAACAAGGTGTACTATTCTTGAAAATTCCATATGCACGTGTCACATTAAAGTTTGGATTCATTATATCAACTTGAGTGCGCGTGTTAATTGTTATCCATTCGTGACCGTTCCCACATTCTTAATTTGTAGGTTTGATGCGCAACTCAGATAGCATATTCTCGCCATATATGCTTTGAATCAGCACTGTATATTCCAATGCTGCGTGTAGTAGTTTTTGTGAGTAGCGAATGATGGATATGGTTTCCATCACTTTCAACTTCAAGGGCCCCAACATCAAAGCTTGAATGACTCCTCCACTCATGGCTCGTTTTTCTTATGGTCAACGTGAGTAACATTAACTTTATCTCCTATTTTCCCTTTCCATTTTCAATCTTCAAACTTTCCATTTTTATATATGTTTTCTTGTAGCAAAGGTTCTTTAGTTGAATAAACATAAATCAATATGTTTTGGCAATTGTTTTGGACTATTATGTAAGATACATGCACTCTATTCGGTATATCATATATTTCCCAACTTAAAAATCACAAATTTTATTATATTGATAATTTCTCCCTGTACCCTGAAATTTTACAGGATAGTTGTTGTCCCCCTATCAAAAATCAAAATGTAATAAATGGTCATTGTTTCTCCACATCACACTTAGTTTTTACTCATTTTAATAATAAACTATTTGTTTTTAAGGATTTGATATGTTTCTTTTTTTTTTTTTTTTGCAAATTTGAAGTTGGCATTATTTATTATTTTGGATTGAAATGTCTCTCCATGCCTTGAATCTACTAGTAGGTGATGCTGTGTTTGGATTGACAAATTGTAAAAGCAAATAAGATAAAGTAATGAAAGATAAACAAAGAACATACCTTGGAGGATGAGAGGGAGAAATGCTTTGCCTTTTTTTAATTTGTTTTATTGCCATCAACTTTCCAATCCATTCAGATTATCATCTTCTCCACTTCATCGCCCAGCCACAACCACCTCTGTTATGAACAACACACTTGCTACACTGTGTCTCTTATTCGATGAGTATCATCTAAGATGGTACAAAGCACAAGCTTTCAATTCACGTGGAAGATTAATGGTTCTGTCATGAAGAGATAAAAAGAGACATTAATATTAAATAAATAAGTTATTTAATTTTTCACATGTATTCTTTACTAAATCCTTAAAAGTAGTGAAATATTATAAAAATAACAGGTCCTCTATTACGTGGATGAAAAATGAATACATATTATAAAAACCCCTCTAAAAAATAAGGTATAAAATTATAGACCCACTTCATCGCAAGAAAAGGAAAAGAAAACTCTAGTCCCGAATTAACATTGTGTCCAACTATAATTGCGAATGATCTAAATGAGTGTTTAGATTCTTAAGAAATCTCTAAAGAATTCTTCGAGAAATGATCTTAATGACGGGAACCAGACTTCAATTTTATATTAAAAAATTAATTTAGAAGCATGATGTGTTAAATTAACTAGACCCAGTTTGAATTTTTTTAATAAATACTTATAAAAATAAATTAATAAATAATTTTCATTTAAATTAATTAAATTCAACTTATATATCTAAATTTTAAAAAAACATACTATTTTATCTATTTTTATAAACATATAATTTTTTTTTATAAATTGAGATTAAATCTCGATCAATTAAAAAATCAACATAAATTAGAAGCTAATCTGAGCTAGCTAGCTCCTGTTGCCGATGCATATATTAGGTTAAGCGTAGTGATTTGCATGAAATTTCTTCAAACTAATTCCAACTATTCATTCAATATGTTGTAGGTTTCATGAGTTGACTTTTTGATATTACCAAATCAACTTTGATACCCAAAAATGTCTCAAATGTCGCATTGATAAAAATCAGTTCTTATACGTTGAATGTATTCCTTCACACCCACGTCACTTGCTTGCGGTCAAATACGAAACTTACTCTATGTATTGTGAATAAAAATAAATTATGCCAAATATCAAATTCTAAATTAATACCAAACTAAAAAATAAATACATAAAGTATATGATGTTATTTTGCTATATATAACGATAGTGTCATAAGAGAAAAAGACTTGGTTTTCAAATTATAGATGATTTTAGTTAGTTATGCATAGGTTGTTTACCTCAAATCCTCTACTCTGTTATATCTAAGTTAGGTAGATGCAAACTGTCGTAATTTTCTTATTTCAGAAATATTGCATCAAATAGATTCAATCTGCGATGATGACGAGGTTGAGTCTGTCATCACTCAATCTTAAAACTCGTATGGTGGCTGTAGCATTAACCGGAGACAATTATCGTAACAGACCACAGCGAATGTGGCGACAAATTATTATTTTATTATTAAAATTTAAAAATTATAAGAATAATTTTAGTCAATTTGTATATTTTAAAAATTAAAATGGATGTTTATTTATTTTTATTTATCTTTTCTTCAATATTAATTTTTTTATAATTTTTTTATATATTTTTAATGTAATAAAATATTTATTACTACAACTATAATATTTATTAAATTTAAGATAGTTATGTAATTTTTCACTTATTTAAAATATCAATTTAAAAATTATTAGTTACAATAATCGTATTTGACGTGGTAGAGATGTAGATGATTTATCTTGTGAGTACTTACAAAAATTATTTACAATGTATAAAATATTTATCTGTTAAATAGGTACAAACATAAGTATAAGAAAATAATTCTAAATTTTAATGAGAATGAATGCATGTATGAGTATCTAAATATATACATCGTCCTATATCCAAATATATATATATATATAGGAATGATATTTTTATATTAGTGTAAGTTTAATAACTTTTATATTTGATTTAAACTTTTTATTTAACTTACATTTAATAGTTAATAAAACAATAAATTATAACTCAACTTAAATAAAAAAACTCATATTAAACTTATACTAATATGAAAGATTCTTCTTCATATATATATATATATATATATATATATATATATATATATATATATATATTAATTATGTAAATTTTTATCTATATTTAAACTTTATTCTATAACTGTGTAATAAATTTTTTTATTATTATACTACTTAAAAAAAGTTATATAATTATTTTTTGATAAGTGATTGTATATAAATATTAATTTTTTTGTATAATATATAAAGTATTTATAATTCATTAATTTTTTATTACTTACACATTTTTATTATATATATTTTTTCACTATTTAGCAGAAACAAATATTAATTATCTTTAGTCATCTTTAATAAAGATAAGTTTTATTTTCTTTCTTTTTTTTCTTTTATTATATTTTTTGTATAATGTGTTTAGAATATGAATAATTTTTTGTTTATACAACACTTCTAAAATATTCTATTATGTTAGACTTTAATTTTTTATATTTTTAATAACAAACATTACTTACGTAAATAATATAGGAAGTTAATAAGTAAATATCAATATCTTATTTTAAAATATAATAATAATAATAATATGTATTGTTTTATAAGATTAATATACAAATATTTTTTATTGGTAAAATAAACTGTAAAAATAATATTTTTTTTAATAGAAAAGTTTATTTACTATTTTATATTATTTAATTAAACTAATATAATTTAATTATTATATAATTAATATAAAACTAATTTTTTAATTTTTTTACATATTCTATATATATATATAAAATGTTTTTTATACATATTTTTTTCAAGTACAACTACATTAACATTTAAATTATAAAATAAATAATAAATAATAAATATATTTTAAATATTTTATAAATTTCAGAATTATCTGCTATTCTAGCAAACTTATTATTTATTTATAATATTAAATTTTAATTTAAAATAATATTTTTTTTTGTAATATATGTATGACAAGTACAACTATAATTCATTAAATTTAAATAATATTAATTTTAATTTTTTAATTTAACTTTTTATATATGATATTAATAAAAATAAATTTTATCAATTTAATAATTTATTTATATTTTTTTTATTTTAAAATATTAGTTACTTAATTTATATTTATTAAAAAAATTAAACAATTATTATTAATATTATTATAATATATTAATTATATATATATATATATATATATATATATAACACTCCATGAATATATATATATATATATAACAAATTTTACTAAAAATTGTAATATGTGGTTGCATTTATATATTTTTTATTTTTGCTAATCAAAATAGCTAAAAAGTCCAAACAAAGCATAACAAAGTTACAGATCCGATCTAGAGGTCCAAAATTGTAACATGCAGTTGTATCGATACATTTAATTATTTTATTAAAAAATTACTATACATAACTTATATAAATTAGAAAAGTTGACAATATAATATTAAATTAAAATAGGCAATTAAGAAAAAAAGGATAATATATTCATTTTTAAATCTAAAAGGTTTATTTTTAGATTATCAGCGAGCTTAACATTTAATTGATTAATTTTAATAACAAATAATAGTTAAAGTTATTGATAATTTTGTTGCTTCGAGCTAGTGCTATGCATATGTAAAATACATACGCAACAAAATAGCATTCCATTCCATTCCATTCGATGCTATTATTCTCCATCAACAAAGGCAAAAAGCTTTTCAAAGAAGAAAACTGGTTGGTCTTGAGTAACTTTCAAGGGCATCTTAACCAATACAAATATAACAACTAATTTAAGCAGTTTGTGAACAAATCCATTATTTTTCACCAATTTAAGGATTCTATAGGCTTTATTATTTTCCTTAATAACCTTATCTAAAGTTGTTCTCAAACTTTTATTGTGTCATTGCATGCTATATTGTTCACTTCACAATAATAACGAAACTTAACTCACCAAATCTCTACTTTGCCGTGTTCATAATTTTTAAAGATACTATGTTCATAAAAACATCAATTTTATTTTATTTTTAAATGCACAAGCACTATTCCTATGTAACCGATCAAAATGACAAAATATCAATATAACCGACACTAATATTTTGATAAGTACGTAGTCAAATATTTTAACAACAGATGTTAATAACCGTCTTATTTTTATTTGAGTAACTACCAACACAATGTAAGAACATATTAAAGCTTTTAAATTATTTTAAAAATAAATATTATATTAAAATGTTTCTCATGCAACAAATTAACCAACTTTTTTAAAATTTGGTCTATTTTACAAATAAAATCTAACTAAAGAAAATCATGGATATTTTCATTATTTTTTTTACATAATGAGTATTTTGCATTAATAAGAATACATAAAAAAGAGAAAATTTAAAACAAAATAATATGAAATGAATTTAATTAAATTCATGTATATTATTTCTACTAAAAATGTGTGTCAAATTTTAAATTAAATTTATGAGTATTTTAAAAAATAAAATTTCATAATAAATTAAAAAACAAGTTTGAAATTAACCTATGGTCTGGAATACAATTATCAACAAATACAGTTAAGTTGAACAGAAAAAGGGTGAGGGTTAAAAAGAGGTGGATGGGAGTATAAGCACGCGGAGGGCGAAGTGTGTGGATCTATGTGGGAAGGTTGGAGGGTTTGAAGGGGAAACATAAAAACGATGGAGCCAAATGGTAAAATGGTTTCTTTCATACTTTTTCCCTTATCAACTAGTCTTCTCTCTCTCTCTCTCTCCAAGGGATTAAAATATTGTTTTTAACGAAAATAAAATTAAATAATTAAAGAAAAATAAAAAAACGCGGCTGCTGTATTCACCAAAAACAGAGACACGGTGAGAGAGAGAGAGAGAAAGAGAGACTCCGTTGATCGATCCCAGCTGAAGTTTCTTAACATCGAACACGGCGTTTTTTGTTTTTCGATTGTCCGAAGGTTGTGGTTTTTATTACTATAATTTTCGTAAAATTTGAGGTTGTGGTTTCTACGCGAGTCCGCGATCGTGTGGAAAATTTCAATTATTTGCGGGGTTGAATCCTTTCGGTGGGTTTTTGATTCTGAAGGATGGATCGAAGAGGAAGTGGGATTTCTATTGGGACGAAGGGTTCTCAATGCGGAGGTTTAAGTTGGAGGGTTTGATTTTAATTGTTTTTGGTAATTTTTTGGATGATTTCTGCAGGAGGTAGGGATGCAATAAAGGGTCTAGGGTTAGGGTTAGGGTTAGGGTTAGGGTTGGGTGCTGGGAGGAGAGAGATGGTGGAGTCTGAGCCTGAAGAAGGTGAAGCATGCTCGTTTCAGAACCATGAAGATTACGACGCCACCGTTGATCCCGATGTTGCCCTCTCTTACATTGTAAGGGCCCTTGTCTTGATTTTGCCTTCTCTGCTATTCTAAGTAGACTTTTTGGGTTGTGAAGTATTGATGCTCACTTGTTTTACTTCGTTAGATCCATGTCCTGAATTTGTTTATGCGGTTGGTATAGTTGACGTAATTTTAGGGTGTGGAGTGCTGAATTATGTTTTGTTGTGAGTTGAATTGAATGGATTTGATATGTGTTTTACATAGAGGATGTTGTAGGAGATTTTGAATTTTCACGGCCTTTGTTATATAAACACGATGCATTGAGTTGTTGAGGAAATTCTTGATCAATCTGCCTGATCTGCTGATGGAAATGATGTTTGAATCAGGCTAGTACTGTAAAGGATTTTTCCTTTTTTCGTTTCATGAGAAGTAAATGTTCCATTTTTATGTGGTGCTTGTAACTTGGTGTTTACTGTTTTGGAGTGCCATTTTTCCTTCAGACTGACTGATATATAATGGCCACTGTGCACCAAAAATATGCTGTTGTTTTCTCTGTTATCTCCTTTATAATTATGAGACTGCATGAAATACATTTTTTACTGTTTCTGGTTCATAAATTCGTATTTTGGAAGTTGTGAATTTAAACAGCTTCCTTAATTTGAAAATTGTGCCAACTGTGAGATGACTACTTGGCACATCCTGAGTTGTCCCATCATTTCATTATAGGAGGCTGTTTGTTTCTCGATCATAAATACCCCTACGTCAGTTTGATTCTGTCAGTTAGATTTAGGCTCTTTTCCTTTTTTAATTACTTGTTCTTTTTTCATTTTTCTCAATGATTTACTTTTCAAAAAAAAATTTCCTAAGGATGAAAAAATTCAAGATGTTCTGGGACACTTTCAGAAGGATTTTGAGGGTGGGGTGTCTGCCGAGAATCTGGGTAAGTTTGAACTTGTTAGAACTGTGACTCATTTAATTTAGGCCTACACAATAGATAGTTACTGGTTCTAATGATGTTGAGAGACAATTGATCATTACAGGGGCAAAATTTGGTGGTTATGGATCATTTTTGCCTACCTATCAGCGCTCTCCTGTTTGGTCTCATCCAAGGACTCCCCAAAAAAATCATAGTCAAAGTACATCCACATCTACCAATAATTTGCAAGTGGAGGTAAATTTCTGAAATTAACATGGGGCATGTGTTTGTGTCTAATGCTTTTTCCTAAAATTAAATTGATGATTGTATATGAGGTTTTAGGACTTGCCCTCATGTTATTTTCATTTCCAACTTATTACAAACTAATATTGTTACTATACAGGGTGGGCAGGGGGATGCTGTACAATGCTCAACAGGAAGTCAGACATTGAGACTTGGTCCAGGTACTGCTGCCTCTTCAAGAATGGCTGCAAACAAGGGACTTTCTTTAGATGATGGAATCAATCATGAAAAATCCATGCCAACCACTAATGCTGAGGCATTCACTTCTAAGCATGAGTCTCTAAACAAGAAAGCTGCTAGCACATCAGACCAGAAGACCCTGAAGGTTAGAATCAAAATGGGTCCTGACAATTTGTCAACACGAAAGAATGCTGCCATATACAGTGGACTTGGTCTTGATGTATCACCATCATCATCACTGGATGACAGCCCCTCAGAAAGTGAAGGGATTTCTCGTGGTCCTCAAGATGCTACCTTTGAATCTCCAACCATTCTCATTCAGGTGAATTAACTTCTCACATTTAGATTCTCTATTTCTTTGTGTTGACGTTGAAGATTAGGTGTAATTTTTTTATAATGTCTTGGAACAGATTTTGACAGCCCTTCCTAAGTTGTTGTCACCTCTTCCTGATGATATCATTGAAGTAACTGAAAAGGAAACTCGTCCCAGAGATAGCATCACTGGTCCTGTTCATATGGATGACCCGGAAAGTTCTGACATGTTACTAAATGAATCTAATATTCTAAAAGATGACAGAAAATTGTCAGGATGGAGGAAAATGAAGTCTCTAGAGGGTTATGAATCCTCAATGGAGATCAAGGGTTGTAGTAAACAGAATACTCGGAATGATGCTGGAGTGCTGTCACGGAAGGAACAAAGTACAGATGCATTGAATATGGAGGACCTAGTTTCAAAAACTATGAAGCTTCCACTTTTATCCAGTTCCTATTCTTTTACTGATGACTCGGTAAAGGCTTTAGATGGACTGTGTGATTCATTGAAGGAAGCCAACAAGGGTATGGTGAGAGAGAAAACCTTCCCTGATCAAGGACAAAAGGAACGGGTAGAGCCAACATCTACTGAGGTGAATGGTTTTTCTGAGAGGGTGAAAGGAAGTTCAGGAAGAAAAGTTGTGGGAGACAAGGTTTCTCTCAATGACTCTACAGTGAAGGACAATCCTCATGTAGACAAAAATTGCCACTCTATAACAAATGAATCTAATGTTTCCAAAGTTAGGACATCATCAAACACTGAAGAGCCTCCTAAGAAGGGTAATCAGAGAGGTAGCTTCTGTGAACAAGACAATATGGCATTACCTGTTTGGACAGAACATGGACTTGCAGGGGGGAAGAAGAAGTCAAAGGGAAGTCATGGCACGATGGTTATGGAGAAGGAAAAAGAAAACTTGAAGGTTGAATCCTCTTTGGTTTCCAAAACCAAAAAGAATTCCGACGATGGTTCTGCATCAAAAAATGAAACTGAAGATGTTAGAGTACAAAAGGGTCTTGGAAAGGCTAGAGATGCATACAGAGATTTCTTTGGGGAATTGGAAGATGAGGAGGACAGAACGGATTCACTGGAGACTCCTTATGAGGAAAAACTGAAGGAATCTGAGGTGGTTGGGAGGAGTGCACCTACAGCTATTGGTGGAGCAAAGGAGAGATCTGGTGGTAAGAAAGTTGATAAGCCATTAACAGCTGAAATGTACCCTAAAACAGCCACAAATGTCTGGTGCACTGGAAATGCAAATGGTACTGAAGCTGAGAATGGTAAAGGGGTTCCTGTAATGTTGCCTCCTGTTGAGATGGAAGATAATTGGGTACAGTGTGACAGGTGTCATAAATGGCGTCTTCTTCCTGTGGGCACAAATCCTGACAACCTACCTGAAAAGTGGTTGTGCAGTATGCTTAATTGGCTGTAAGTTCTGATTCACAGGTTAAATCTTTTAAATATGTTCATAATTAAAATACTATGCATTAATGAGCTTGTAGATCAATGGAAACTGGCCCAAGCCCTTTAAGGTTGGAGTGTGATGATGATTTTAGAGGTTTGATACTCCAGCAGGCCACCTATCCTCCCCTAGCCAAATGCTTGCACCTCCAATGTACACACAATGAAGAAGAAAAAATTACTAGGGAAACTAGATTACTGGTTAACACATAATAAGAACTACTTACATTGGTTATAATGAATAGCACAAGTAAATAAACTTTACCTACTTCAAATTAACAGTGTGTGCATAAATATGCAGGCCTGACATGAACCGATGTAGCTTTAGTGAGGATGAAACCACTAAAGCACTTATTGCATTATACCAAGGGCCTCCTCTGGATGGTCAAAGCAACCTGCAAAATGCCTCAGGCAGTGTTATGGTGGGAGGAACCATGGCAACATCCCAGCATCCTCACCTGCCCCAGCTAAATAATGATCTGCATGCAATGTCTGGGGGGAAGAAAAAGGTTGTGAAAGAGATGTCAAATTCTATAAATAAAGACAGCTTTTCTCAATCATCACATTCTATAAAGAAAAATTTGACGTCAGCAGTGAAAAGTAGGAGCTTAAATGATGTGAACAGATCTCCTGTCGTGAGTGAGGCTGATGTTCCAACAGAGAAACACAAAAATAAGCAGAGGATGCTGGAGCACAATTCTGATAGAGGTAACTTAATCCACATAGTCATTGTCCTTTTCTGCTTAGGAATAAATAATGTTTAGATTCTCAAAGACCTATTGAATTTCTATGATGCTATCTTCATTTCTGGAAATTTGCTGGCAGGTGATATAAAGAATATGAAGGTGAAAAGCAGGAGGGACCCTGATCAAGATTGTTCCAGGCCATCCAAGAAAGGTAAGACTGATAAGGTTCATTCTACCAATGAAGAGTGGATTCCAGAACCGGGTGGGACTACTAGAAAAGTGGGTCATAGCTCAAATAGCACTTTTCCAACTGCTTCAGTTGGCAAAGATCGACCTAGACAGAAAGACCACTCCTCTTCAAGGGACTCCAAATCAGGAAAAGACAGGCTGCCTGTGTCTGCTGAACACACAAAAGACAAAGGTCATGATTCTTTAGATGAGGGATCCTTGGATTTGGGAAATTGTGATTCCATTGGTAGTGTGAAAAAGAGGAAGTTGAAAGGGTATCAGGATGCTCAAACTTGTAGCACAGGTAATCCTCACCTACAAGAGAGCAGAACTTTTGAACATGAGTTCAGTGATTCCAGGAAGGACAAGAAGGCAAGAAATTCAAAGTCTGAAGGCAAAGAATCAAGTGCCAATAAAGGCAGTGGAAAGGCTGACAAAAAGGTTAGTCATACAAAAAACCATAAATTCAGGCAAAATCCTGAGAGCAGTCTGTCACAACGGAGTTTAGATGGCATGGACTGTTTAAAAAGGGACTTGGGGTCTGTACAGGCTTCTGTTGCTGCCACTTCAAGTTCTTCTAAGGTTTCTGGCTCACATAAAACCAAAGCCAGCTTCCAGGAAGTGAAAGGATCGCCTGTGGAATCTGTTTCTTCATCACCTATAAGAATTTTAAATGCTGATAAGTTTGCGAACAAGGAAATTATTGGGAAAGATGATTCTCATGATATTTCTGCTGTTGATAGTCCAAGAAGATGCTCAGATCGTGAGGATGGTGGTGGGAGTGATCGGTCTGGAACAGCTAAGAAGGATAAACCTTTCACCATGGCCCACAGGTCAGATTTTCAGAACAAGGGTGTTAATCATATGTCAGATACTAAACTGAAAGCTCAAACAACCAGCTATGGTACCAATGGTGGTGTGGACACTACAGCTCAAGATGGGACATATCCAGGCACAGACCAGATAAAGCATCAAGGTGAAGACCGGACTGATGTTTATTATGCTAATATGTCTCATCCAAGGAAGAATAGCATAGAATCAGGTTTGGAGGACAACAATGACAGCTATAAGTCAGAGCCCTATGCAGAGAAGAACAAGAATCCTAGCCCTCCAAGTCAACTGAAAGAGCAGTCTCCTCTATGTGAAGCAAAACATAAGGATGGAAAAATTAAGTTGCAGGAGAAGTTTGGGCTCAAGCCTGACCAAAGTGAGAATATGCATGCTAGCAAGAAAGATTATACAGGAAAAAATGAGAGTAAGAAGAAAGAGAGTCACTCAAATCAGGGGCATGACTTTCAAGAAGTTAATATAGATGCTATGTGCAAACAGGAGTTATTGCATGCTCCCCTTCAGAATCAGTTGCCAGACTGTGATACTGAAAGATCTTCAAAGAGGTCTCTTTTGGAAAGAACTGATCAGGAAGTACTGGGAAAAGGGAAGCCTTTGTCATCATTGCCATATGAAGGATCTCAAGTTGAGACATTGGGTCGTTTCCCAAGACCAGTTGGCTTCCATAAAGGAAATGTTGATATGGAAGTTGATCCTTGCAAAGCTGATGATGTATCAAAGCTGCAAAAAAAGCAATTGAAAAAGGCAGAACATCAAAATGGAAATCAGCAAATTGGTTCAAGAAATCCCGTTGTTAATGGACACAGGTCCAAGGAGCTCGATGCCCCTAGTCCAGTTAGAAGGGATTCATACAGCCATGCTGCTAACAATGCTGTGAAAGAAGCTAAAGATCTTAAGCATCTGGCTGATCGTCTAAAGGTTTTTACACAGACCCCTTTAGATTTTATGCATTTGCTCTTCTTGGTGCTTATTTTACCAATTTCGGGTTTATTATACAGAATTCTGGATCCACTCTTGAGAGCACTAGTCTTTACTTCCAGGCAGCCCTCAAGTTTCTTCATGGAGCCTCTCTGCTAGAGTCTGGCAACAATGATAATGCTAAACACAATGAGATGATTCAATCAAAGCAAATGTATAGTAGCACAGCAAAGTTGTGCGAGTAAGACAAGAATTTTCTTATAATTGTGTTTTAACTTTGCTTTAAAGATCATACCACCTTCCCTTGTTAAATACTGGTGTAAATATTCTTTCCCTTATCTACTTTTATATTTGGTTGCAAACATGCCTTCAAACCTCATCATTGTACTTGGCATAAATTATATCTTTAGATTGATTTTATGCTATATACTGCAGCATTTATGATTGAATATTTTTGTAGCACCATCATGATATTTTCCTTTTGATAGGTTTTGTGCCCATGAATATGAGAAATCAAAAGATATGGCTTCAGCTGCTCTGGCCTACAAATGCATGGAGGTTGCATATATGAGGGTAGTATACTCTTCGCACACCAGTGCAAGCAGAGACCGGCACGAGTTGCAGAGAGCACTGCAAGTGATTCCTCTTGGTAATGAATTTTGTTACTTGATTTTCACTGCATTAGCATGATGCAACAATTCTTTCTGAAGTCCTCACCTTCCATTTGAGTTTGTCCTAGACATCCTATCAAGTCCCATCTCCATTTGATGTTTTGATGAATAAGTGTGAATATTGTGATAGTTCATGTCACATGCATTATAATAGATTATCTAACATCCATATGACAAGAATTCCATACAGCATAATGATGGATGCATATCTCTGGTTGTTTGTAATTTAGGGGACATTTTTCAAGATTAGCTATGGAGCATATTTGGACTTACAAATACGGCATATGATCTTATACGCACTTTTTAGTTCATTTTAGTAAATTTCATGGAGAAGCTTATCAAAATAAGTTTTATTAGCAAAATTTTAGTAAGCTTCACAATCAAACTTGTGAAAATATGTTATTCATTTTTAACATTTTGTTAGATAAGTGTTTCATTATGCTGTTTGGCCAATCCCTCCCTTAATTTATGAATAAGAGAAGGGGGGGAAGAGGGGGGGAGAAGAATGAGAACAGGATTAGTAGATGTTAGATATGGCTATTATGTTTAATATTATTAACTATTTCGTCTCTAAAACATGTTTTTTCTGTTATCATGTGAATAGACTATGTTTCTCTTTCCCAGGAGTGTCAGAGTCATTGACAGTGATGGGATGAAATGGGAGAATTTTAAAATCTGATCTTTCTTATTTTTGTTTTGGAACTTGTTTCATTTGCCAGGCGAGTCTCCATCATCATCTGCCTCTGATGTTGACAATGTTAACAACTCAACAGCTGCTGACAAGGTTACTGTATCTAAGAGTGTCAATTCACCCCAAGTAGCTGGAAACCATGTTATTGTTGCACGGCATCGTCCCAATTTTACGCGGTTGCTCAATTTTGTGAGTATTTTTTTTTTTTTTTCACAGAAGGATGATCTTAACAAAAGAGAGGAATATGAAACTCTGATGACACTTGAACTGTTGATTGCATAAATTCACTCAATGTCATGCTTTTGATTATTGTGTTGTAAAATATGACTCCTAGTTAGGTTCTTTGATGGAGCTTGCAGGATTTAATTTATCAGACCAAGGAATGTAGGATCGTGCAAAAATATAAGTGCCAAAAGTTTAATAAAATTATTATATTAAAAAATGCAACAACTTAAATTATAGTAAGTCATGAACTTGACACACAATACTTATCCTTTTTCAAGCTTTCACAAGGAGAGTGTAGATTTAGCCTTCGATGGCTGAGCTAACACAGAAATCAAATTTATGTTCCTAGTAAAAATAAGTAAATTATTGTATTTTTACCTGTAATTATAAGGATGGCCAAACGAAATCTACAAATAAGCCATCTGTTCAACTTCAAAGCAACCTATTGTTTCCCATTATATCATTTAAATGAAGCAGATCATCAAGGGACTTGGGATATAGAATTATAGATTTTATGGTCTTATTTTCTGAAACTTCTATTTGCTATGCTATCCTGTTGCTAAAGGATTTGTTCAAATTGTCCAGAGTAAAAAAAATTCTTCAAATGAAAATCTGGTCTGTCCAGTGGGTACAATCGTTTTGTGATCCTATTTTATCCCAATTCTATTCCTACTTTAGATTGATAGGAGATGTTAGCTTTGTAAAATCAAATCATTCAGTCTTGTGATCTGGTTTTGCAATTTTAGTGTTCACAACAATTACTACAGTCCTGCCAAAAGGAAAGCCCGTACCAACAACTATAATGCTAGCTTTTTTTGTTGACTGTCTCTTGTTTTGATTGCATATGATGTATTGGAATTAAAGGCGTGTATCAATTGCAGACTCAGGATGTGAATTTTGCCATGGAAGCCTCAAGGAAATCACGAAATGCTTTTGCAGCTGCTAATTCAGGCCCAGGTGTGGGCAAGAATGCCGATGGTATCTCCTCTATCAAGAAGGCTCTTGATTTTAGCTTTCAAGATGTGGAGGGGTTACTGCATTTGGTACGGGTTGCTGTGGAGGCCATTAATCGTTAAAGGATTCATTTAATCATGAGATGATTCTAGCCTGTGAAGAACATGTGTTTCTTGATCATGTATAAAATCTTCACTCTGACGAAAAGGCGTACTTAATTAACTTATGAAGGGCAAGGTATATTTTGTTGAATCTGAATCCAGTCTTGCCAACTGATGAAGCTATACTGTCTCTCTACATAAGTTTGTCATACACAGTGGAATGGAAGTTTCAGTTTACAGTCAGAGGAATTCAGTTGCTCTATGTTGCGTAAATGAATAAAATCTTTGCAAACCTTGAGATAGTGTGAAGGCACTCAGACGTCAACTTCTGTAGAGCAGATTCTAAGCTACTTTGATATGTGGAATAATGCTACGTCAAGATTATAAATTCAAGATATAATTGGTGGACATGGATAGACTTAGAAGTTTGAAACTAATTGCCATCTTTTGTCCTCTTCTCATTCTGGAGAAATTATTATTTTGTCAATCTGTATATGTGTAAAGTTCTAACTTCTGGAGAGAGGGAGTTGTTGATTTTATTTTAAATGTAACCATGCTTCAATCGATGGGTACTGCACTTTCTCCTCTTGGTCTGTATGGGGGAAGAAGAGTCAAAGGGAATCAGACTAAAGTGAGTATTTCTTTCTTGTTAATACGTGGCATGCATGTTTTTCTTGTAACAAAAGATGCATGTTCTGTTCCCTTAACTTTTTATTTCTCAATGGCCATTTTTTTCCTGATTCAAATGTTGACTTATATGCAGGTTATCTTGTACAATTTCGGGATTAGTGGTAGAACTATATTCTTTACTCATTTTGCTGTTGATAGAGATTAAGCCAAAAAACAGAAAGGGAGGGATGTACAGCAAGAATTTTTTTTGTAGTGCGAGCAATTTATTTCAAATGGTTTGTCAATGTAGAGGTATAGAAGTATGCTGGTCTTGTAATATATGTTTTGGTTGTTAGCCAAGTGGATGTCAATGCATCTCTAACTCTTATTACATTAACATCTCACTCTCTTTTTTTCTTGAAGGTACACAGTGGACGTGTAAATAAACATAGAATCAAGTTAGGGACAGGCAAGGTCGCTGCTGCCTTATGCAGAATGACAGGTATTTTGGCTTTTGACCATTCGCATATTCATAATGATTATATTACTGCTAAACTAGCAGTATTGTGCATTGCTAAAGAAAAATTTCTTATAAACATGAAAGTGTTACAAATTTTTATATAAATAATTATACCAAACACTGGAATCAATTCCTCCCATTGTAACATGTTATAATGTAAAATCTATGATTGAGATTAATTGAATATATATCTCAATTATGTTCCATGATTTAAAATTAATTTTATTTTTACTTAACTTTAAAACAAACAAACCGAGGTTTATTGTCTAGTTTCTACCGAACCATAGAGATTGTTTCCTCAAACATGAACAGCACCTTATGGAAATATACTATTTCTTACTGCTGGTCTTTTTGTATGTACAAACGTGCATTCATCTGGGTACATAGTAGTTTGTGGTTGTTTTGATTTCAACCAAAGAATGCATGTGGTTGCAGGTTTGAACAGCTGAGGCAAATTCCAGGTGGAGCTGCTGTTTAGATGGCCAACTCTAACTGACCTTGGAGGAGGTCTTTTTATTTTTCTGGTTTTCCCTTGGTCAGTAGGATTACATGTATTTTTCTTAACCGTTGCTTGCCTTGGGCATTGGACATTAAATTTTGACTTACCAGCTTACCTGTTCTTTTTTAATGTACAGAGCTATATTCATTTACCTTGTATGTTCTAATAAACTGAGAGTCTCTCGTCCTTTATGGTGCATCTTGTGAAAGTTAAAATGGGGTATAGAATTCAAGGACAGGTGTAAAGTTATCCACGGAATGTTGTATTACGTTTGGATTAGCTTTTTTATTTAGCAGTTTTTTTTCTTTCCAGTTCTTTTAGCTTTTTAAAATTGATTATTTTTACTTTAATTAAAGATAAAACAGACGTGCATCACCATAGAAAAGTTCTATTTATTGCAGAGAAGGTATTTTAGGTCGGGATAGTGTTCAAGGAGATATTGTTTTAAAATAAAAAGTTGTGGAATTATGCCAAGAGTCATCCACAGCTTCCGGTATTTCTTTTGTATAAGGCATAGCATAAGGTTGGACAAGATATTTGCTAAAGGCTTAGATATGTTTATTTTTATAAAATTTGCAATATTTTAATTTAGTCGCTAAAAAAATTGTCAAAATTTATTTCCTAACAAATTGAGTAAAAAATTAATCCCTACAATTAATCTTTGTCAAATTAAGTGTTGAATTGGCTAAAAGAATTATAATTTAATATTGTCACATGATGGACATTTTTTCCACTCAGCACATAATATTAAGAAATATTTTTAAATTAAGATTTAAATAAATTTTTAGTTCCTATAAAAGTTGTGGTTGGAATTAATCTTTAAAACTTTTTTGTTGAGATTAAGTCTTAACAAATTAAGAGAATAAAAAATTAGTCCGTTAACTTTTATCTATTAAGCATAGAATTGGCTAATGTTGTACTTGGTGTCATCACATCGTAATAATCTTTATAGCTTATTTAGTAAGATAGAAATAACAAAAAAAAAATGTAAATTGCTTTATAAAACTTGAGGAAAAACTTCTTTCACTAGTTAAAATACAAAAATTAAAGATTTTGAAGGAAATACGACTTTAAATCATTATACTTGGGGATACACAGGAAAGATTTATCCTGTCAAGCAAACTGGATATTTTATATTTACTTTTAAGAGGGTAAAAAAATTAGGATAATTTTTAATTTCCATAAGTAATACTTGATAACCATCTTCCTATGTGTGCACTAGGAGTAATTATTATGTCTTCAGACAATGTTCTTTAAAATTGTTCACAAAAAAAATAATAAAAATCAAATATGCAAATAACATTAACCAAATACATACATAAATTCTATCCAATGACCTATATTCCATATGCACAATTTATTTTTAATGACCACACAATAGATGAGAAAAAGGCAAAAAAAAAAAATGCTTGTATTGAGAGAAATTGATTAAAGATATTTATGTATAATTAAAAAAAATGGATATAATTCAACTTAAAATCAAGGTATCGATAAAATTTATCCATTTTCTCATGCTGTGCTCTCTTTGCTTTTATTGCAATTAATAAATTTTAGGGGCAAATTGAAATTATGGTTTAAATGTAACAATCTTACTTTCTTTGCTTATCCTAATGAACATTTAATTGCTTTATATCTTTGATCAGTTGTATGATATATCTAAAAAGTAAACTAAAATAAGCATTCGCTTGATCAAATGAAAATATAATTTGAAAACAAATGATGACAATAATCCGAAACTAATCGTAATTTCATAAATGACATCAATCGACGTTATGTCAACTATCCCCCTCCCCTTTCCATTCAAGTAACCAAGAATATAACAATACCGCATTTAGTACGATATCTAGCTTCGCTCCTGTATTTATATCTCTATATATCAACAAAATAAAGTAATAACTAAATCTAACTCTCAGGAGGTTAAGTATGGAAAAAAAAAACCTCGCTCCTGGTGCTATTGAATTAATTAATCGACTACGATTATTTACAGCATTTTGTATCCTTAAGTATTCCCAACTGTACTTCCCTAAGAATCAAATTCAGACAACCCCAGTGCTCAATTGCAGGCTTTATAACTGACCACTCTCTATGCCTTAGTAACTTCCATTACGCCAGATACCTGAAGGTGTTTGGGTTATCTTTGTCCCTTTCCAGGTAGTCCCGAGTGATGAGATCTTCGATCCGCTTCTTGATTGCTTTGATGTCAGGCTAAAAATAAAAAACAAATGCAAATTGAGAAGGTACAGAAAATCATACAGCTAACCAAAATCTATACAGCAATTAAAATACTTGCTGAACAAATCTGTCACGTTGACAATAATAAACCAAATTCTAACATTTGATACCTTGAACATGCGACCCAACTGCTCAACACACTCCAAAACTAATTGTTGATGGCCCAAAACTTTCCTACTCTTCATAATACGCACAATTGCTGCGTCAATGGCATATCTCCTATCCTTATCAACATCTTCAATAACTTTTTTCCTTTCATCGATCGGCGGTAGAGGGATCTATGATCAACAAGTGCAAGATTTATTATCTTAGAGGGGGAGAAAAGAATGCATCCCAGCCAACAAGGCTTCCAAATCTAACGGTTTAATAAAACAAGATATAAGAATTATGGCTACAAGTAGACACAGACCTTGATCCTTCTCATTTTATCTGTAAATTTGTAGTTGAACTCGAAGATGTCACTTGGAGATATAGTTTTTGAGTTCGGCTCCTTCATAAGTATCTTATGTTTTGCACATGACAGAGAATGGAGTAATCTAACAACATCTTCATGGGCCAAGTTCAGCTGAGTCATAATCTCTGAATAGCTCAACCTATCAGCATTGTTGAATAGCAGTAGAGCAGCAGCCTGTAAAACAATTTTCAAGCCAGCAGCATGAGTTCATAAATCTCCAATACCATATTGTTGAAATTTTCAACATAATGGAATAGGACCAGTCTTGGCTGAAAGGAAGTTTACCTGATACGTTGAAACAATCAGTTCAATGCTTTTTACTTCAAATTTGCCAACAACATGGCAAGTTCCCAGTGAGTAAATCCATGTAAGTTTTCTGTGTTTTGTCTTTGTTTCATAGAAGTCCTTAAAAACTTCCACACACTTGACCTGAGAAAAAAATTCAAAATAGAGTATTAAATAAGTCTTGTCTTCCTCATCACAAAAGAATAAGTCTTGTCTTCCTCATCACAAAAGAACACAATGGAAACTTGAATAACTATCATTACCACCATATTCTTACCATCTCTGATGGAAGGTTGAGATCGAAAGACTTGTAACTAGGCCAAAATCCCGTGGTAAGAACAGTCACTGTCAGATCAATTCCAGGATTTGCTAGTGAATCACAAAGATATTCCTCAAATTTCATCTGATTATCCTTGGCCAAGTTCAGATCTACCACCTGAAAGATACATATTTCAATTAAATCCTTAAACAACCTGATTTAAAATAAAAAAACAAATGACAGCGAAGTATGCTAGGAACAAAGTCAACTAACCATCCCCTCCATCTTTGATGTGAACTGGCCACCACACTGTTGCTTTAACTTTGTCAATATGCACTTTTCATGGTCATCATTGGCACTCCGGTCAAAAAGCAATCTCCGGGCAAGCTTCTTCCTGGAAACAATAAAAGCATTAAGAAGGACTTCACATAATAATAATATGGAACCTAAAAAACAGATAAGTAATATATAACTGAAAAATTTAGAAAAGAGAAGTCTCACCTGTAAAATTCTGCAAAAAGATCCTTATCACTGATGTATGCAAGCAGTTTGACCACCTGAAGGAATTAAACAAATTTGGTAACACAAATCATAGTGATGGAAAAAAAAAAAAAACTAAAAACTACCTTCTCAAGGGTTTCTTCGATCCCTTCATCACTTAGCTTCTCACTTCCACCCTTTTTAAGGATATTGTCACAGAAAATAGCTAATAGTTCTGCACTGGAACTACCAGCAACAGTTTTATTGCAGAATACCTCAAATGCTTCCTTCAATGCCTGCAAAAGCAACCAAAATGAATGTACTGCTTAGTAACTATAGAACATTCTATTATTTAGCAAGTTATTGCTTCAATTGCCTTAACAAACCTTGTGGAATAGAGTGTGATTCATAAAGCAATCATTAACATATGCCATATACTTGTCATGGAGCTCTATGAATTTTCGGACAAGGACCTACACAATGTCACATGATTAACCTTCAGGCCTTTTCAGCTATTATATAATTAAGTAATAGAAAGCAAGAAACAGTGTGGGGACTTGCTTCCTGAAAGATAGAAGAACCACTTGTAGTCTGGAGAAAACAAAAATGAAAAATTTATTAGCAATTAGCAACAATCAACTACTTAAGACAGAATAAGATGCATTAATGTCTGTAAAATAATACAACAGAGAAAATTAAATGAGAATAAATCAAACAGAGCAATTCAAAATCATAAAGTAAGCCAAAAAGTATCAAGTGGTAACAATAAAATGTTTAAACTTTGAAGCTCATCAAAGATTTGAAATTAGAAGAAAAGTTGTGTTTGCATTTCTGTAGGTAAAATAGACAAAAAGCCCAAGCAAGGTACATTTGTATGATCAAACTAATATGAAAACACACTTCCTCACACTGATCCATCTTCTCATTATGTGAAAACCACTTAGCAAACTAATCCAAAATTGCACTTCAACAGAATGTCCTTCAAATGACATAAGCTTTCAAAATGAAGTATCAAGTTTCTACACACCCAAAATGCTTACCCAATATTATCTTGTTTAGAGGGGGAAAAAAGAACATGGACAACATACATATTTTTAAACAACCAGATTGCTGAAAAGGTAATAAAAACATGGGTTAAGCTTGTACGCATTGTATCCATGTTACATAGACTAAAATCCTCCATCCAACTACCAGAACAGCCAAATCCATCACACATAATTTGGTAAGCCTTAGCTAAAGCACTGCATGAAGCGGGTGAGTCATCACATTGTTTGATTTGTCTTCTAAAATAAGGTAGGAAAAACAACAAATTGTAGCACTGGCTCATGTGAATGCCAGCAATACAAGTACATAAAATGCCAGATCAAAATAAGGTTACAATGCACAATTTTTCCTTACATCATCCACATTTGACCATAAGCACAACCAACCAAAATGGTAAACTTATGGCATGCAAATTGAATTTAACTAACAACTCCATGTATATTAAACTTCAATACGTTTGCAAAGATTCTACCCTGGTATTCGTAACCTTTTATTGTTAAGGCAACCCCAACCCTAGATACTAGCTGCAAGATCAGACAACATGATAACAATAAATCCATTAAGCAGCAAAGGATATCAATGCAATCACATTGTTCAAGTATAAACTGAACCTGACTGCAAGCAGCTTCTTCAGCAAGTTGGACCAATGCTGTACCCTCAGCTGTAATATGCTGCAATCAGATAATCATCATAACACAGCCTTGAAAAAGTGTAAAAACAAAGAGGCTCAATTTAGTCGCCAAGCACAATACACAACTAAAGAAACCAACCTGCTTGAATACATTAGCAACAGGATCCAAGCCTTTAGGTATTTTATGGTAAAGTCTATACATCCTAGAGAGATCTTCCACCTAGGGAAAAAAACAAATTGGAAAGATAGTTAACCAAAATAGGCATCGGTAAAATGATTGAGTGCCATGTGGCTAAGACTTTTAAATAATTGGCTTTATAGTTTCCAGTTGTGTGTATATTGTAATGTTTAAAATTTAGGAATTTTTTTTTTAAGTCTTCAGGGTTGTGCTTGTTAAATCTATTTTTTAGAATTCATTGTAGGGATATGGTTAAAAAAAATACTGTGGCTCACTTTCTAGAATTAATTTGGAAGAGACAAGTTACACTGCATTTACTTTGAAACCCCAAACATGATGGCAACCCGATGAAAAGAAATGGATTGGGCTGTGCAAAATCTAAATCAAGCATAAGCTGAGAAAAGATCATCAAACAAAACAATCAAGTACCTTATCGTCTCTAAGCAAGGCGCGGCAGCCAGAGTTCTCTTTCTCTAGTAATTGATTTGCATGAGTCACCAGCAACTCATGTTGCACTTTCTATTAAAATGAAAAAATAAGAAAATAATAAATATGCAAAGAGCGGAAATAATTTTAACAGAAAATTATGAGTAATTCGTAAAAAGGAAAAATCTTTCAATAAGGAATATTTTTGTTTTGCCGTTTGTAAACTCAATCACAGTTATCAATCTCAAATAGCTACACAAAGCAGCTAACCCCAAAAACGTTAAAGTGGGATGGCCACTACGCATAATTTTAACATACAAATTAAATAATTTATACAATGGGTGCATTTGGAAGAACTAATGAAAATATTTTACAATTATTATAAGCTTTTTTCAACTCATTTCAATAAGCTGATTCATATAGCTAATCAAAACAAGTTATTTTCAGTTAATGCTAATAAATCTCATGCTCAAGTTTATGGTGTATACCTGTTATGTAGTAAAAGTTTATTGAATAAGTATTTAATTAAGATGTTATCCGGATACACCCTATATATGTTCAAATATTCAAAAATTAAAAAATAATTACTCAAAATTCATGACATATTCATAATTAACAAAAGAAAAGACAGATCTTGAGCAAAAACATACAAGTAAATAACAATTATCGTCAAGAAAAAAAGCAAAATTCAAAAGACCTATTCATATTTCAAATACAAGGCATTATAATTTATAAACATTAACAAAAGTTGAGGTTGGGGGTTGCACAGATATTCAAAATCGGTATTCAAACATCAAGGTTTAAAATAGAAAAAAGAATAAATGATCAGTGTTGTCAGAAATACTGATGAGAGAGATGGGTGGGTGCTCGGTCCAAGTGTGGGTGCTGTAGAATAGACAGAGGTATTAGAAAGTACAAACTACATCCAATTAGGAATTTTTCAAATTCTGAAAAGGGGAAGAGAAATGAGAAATCTAAAGTTTGCCCCTACCCCCCCCCCCCAAAAAAAAAAAAAGATGTTTTGCCACTAATCAAAAACAATCCACCTTTCAAGCTTTGTAGCAGTCCATGGTCACATCGCACTGGCAGCACTACTATACTGCTATAGTGGCACTGTAGTGAGCTATTGATTTTGAAAGTGAAACTTCTTCCCTCAACTTGGAAATAAGTTTATAAAATAGTGACACCAACATGTGCTTCAATTTGAATACTTCATAATCTTTGCAACTATTCATTTAAAACTGTGAATTTATCAACATAAAGAGATTCAAGTTTCACACATAAGGCATCCTAATTATCCCCAACATTTGTGTAATGATGTGAGCTCAGTTGTACAAGTAAATGGAAATAGACAAAAAATTAGCAATATTAATCATTCAAAAAAATTATTAAAAGAAAAAAGACAGATTAATGACCTCTACCAATTTCTGCTCAGTGCTAGCATGTAAGTAATGAGACACTCTCTCTCTCTCCCTTCTCAAGCAATCCTCAGCCTGGCCAATAAAAGGGGGAAATTTGTTACAGAATGTCATTGTCAACCAACAAGATACACAATCACAACTCTCAAAGCACAATATAGACCGACTTGCCTTTAGCATATAATCTGGACAGAAGTCAGTCTCAATCCAGTTTGTTGCCTTACTTCTGTAGTAATCAGCAGTATCTTCAAGCATCTGTATCTCAAAATCCTGTTCATATTTGTCCATTTCACTCATACCAATCTCAACAAAAATATCAAGAACATTTTTCAACAATGATCTATCAATTTGTTCACCCTCGCGTTCTTTATCAATCTGAAACGTGAACCATGGTTATTCTATAGGTCATCATCAGCAACTAAGTATATCATCATAATATGAAGTGATAAACTTACAAGAGCAATCACAGCTTTCCTAGCATTGGCTCGTACTTCCATATAAACCTGTAATGATGCACCTAGTATAAACTCATCTATATAGAGAGAAACTATATGCTTAAAGAGATATAACTGACCAAATCACGAAAGCAAGTGAGTCCAACTGCATTGAGTCCAGGCAGGGAGCGTCGAGTAATGAAGTAGCGATCAAGATAATAGAAGAAGCGTGAAAGCCACCTGACCATGACCTTATGGTTTAACCATCTTTGGACGAGTTCCCGCAGCATAAATTCATCATGCTTCTCTCTTAGGGACGGCAAAACCTATAAATGGAAGAAGTTGAAAAAGAAACAGGGTATCAAACTCAATAAGTTAAGCACACTACTAAAAGCAAATAAAACAAAAGCTGAAACAGTAAAGTGAAACAAATGATAAATAGCAGAGATTTCCCTACAATGGATTTAATGTATTCATCAAAAGCTTCCTTGTACTTGTCATAAAGCTGTTGCGAAAAATCATATGGTGGCTTCTGAGTACACATATTATAAATGGTTCTGTGATAGTTAAATTAAAGAAAAACAGCACATAATACCTAAAACTAGCGTTAAAAGACATTATAATAGAACACAACAACATTATGGACAACAATAACGGAATCCGTGAAAAAGGATACGTGTATAGCATCATGTACTCCTCAGAACTGAAAGGAGTTTCAGGTAACCCTTCGAGAATTCTCTTCAGCTTGGTAATCCCCTTCTGCATATAGTCCCAACCTTGGTCTAAATCAGTGGTCTTCCGCTCCATATTGGCTGCAGAAATAGCAACAATCTTCAGACTATACTATATTCCACGCACGCACAAAAACCACCAAAATCAATCTCATAACACGCAGAAAGACAAAAACACGTCCATGTCATGCGAAACCAGATTTCAAGTATAACCTACACACACCATGACCTCCTGGATTTCAATAACCAGTGCGTGAACCAAGACTAAACCCTAGTAGCAGCAAGAGAAACATATGATTTCTGACAATGCTCAACGCATAACAGCACACGTTTCAAATAACAATACGCAGATAGCAAAGAATAAACCCTAAAGCCCCAAAACACATCGATCATCCATTCAGTAGGGGAGAAAAACAAATTCGCGAGATTAAGTTTACGAAGAGAAATAGCAATACGAACCCTAACTGTTGCGTTGAAGCAACACGATCCGATGGCGTGACCTGTTCGGATTCAAAAGCAAGATGGTTCAAGAGTGGCAAATAAAGTTGTTTCGATTCTCTCTGTTTAGTCTATTGTAATGTGTAGAAATATTATTATAGTATATTATATTATTATTCTTCTTACTAACGCGATTTTTAAGCACAAGGTATAACAAGGATGTAGTTAAGCACGATGAATGAGATTGTAGCAGATACACGCGCGTGCACACACGCGGTGACTGTATCAGTTGCAGAGAAAGAGAAACAGAGAAGGCTTTTGCAGTTTGCAGCGCTACAATCCTGTTCTTCTCTCCTTTTTGTACGTATGGCCAGCTTTGGTTTAGTTAGAGAGCCTTAAGTTAGACCTCAACAATGACTCATTTTCACGCTGATGACCAATTATTAAACATGTTAAATTATAAATTCAGTTTCAGCGCTTTTTAAATTTCTTTTTATTATAAACAAATTACAATTTATTCTTTACATGAATAAATATTTTTAAATTAAGTTTTACAGTTAAAATTATGTACAGTAAATAGGGTTAGACAAAAATATCTAAACATAAAAAAAATATTTATATAAAAACTAAAATATAAACTATAAAAATTAATTTACAAATAAATGCTAACTATAAAAAATAATGTATATTATGATAAATAATAAAAAACAAATTATAAATTTATTTTAAAAATAAACAAAATACTAAATAAAAAATTCATAAAAATTTACGAGACTAAAAAATTATATTTCAAACAAATTTATATTCAATATAATTTTATATTTTAAAAAATATAAATTTTTTAGAAATTTTTTCTTAAATATTTTATCAAAATTAATATAAATAACAAATTTAACGTTAATAATTTATTTATTAATCTAAAAATAAAATAAAATATAAAAAATTTTAATTTCAACTCTTAAAAATAAGTTTAATTAATGACTTATAATAAAAAATTAAATAAAAAACATTATTTACACTTTTATAATTTTATATTATTTTTAATGCAAAACTTACTTCTAAATATTTAAATTCAACGGATTAAGCTTAATACAATTCTATAAAGTGAAGTAATTTTTTATTAATCAATAATTAAACGTATTTTAAATATAATAAAAATTTTTTAACTCCACAAGTTTAAATTAATAATTTTGTATTGTATATTCAAATAAACAAATAAAACATCAATATTAATATTTTTATTGTAATTTTTAAAATATATTAATTTTATAAATTATTTTAAAAGGTCATTTTTAAAAAAATATTATTTTTATAATACAAGATTATACTAAATATAAATTTAATCAAGTATACAAATTTTTTTTTTTAAAATAAAATTTAAAAATATGACATTTATTTATAAATTAATTCTTATAATTCACAGTTATACTTTAGTTCTTATATATATATATATATATATATATATATATATATATCATATGTCTAATAATAATAATAATTAATTTAAAAATATTTACTCACATGGTAAAATAACTAAATTGAAAGGGCATCAAAGAAATTAAATTTATAATTTAACCTGTTTAATAATTAGTAATTCGAGTGAACAAATTAAATTAAGTTAAATTAAATTAAACAAAAACATATTCAAGAAAGCCCCATCCGGCCGTTTAGTTTGTGCTGAGGTGTTTAGTTTAACAGTGTGTTTTGAACTTGTTCTGTTTCATTCTCGTCAGTTAGGATCGAAGTTAAATTCACTGTGGTTTGGGAGTAGATTTGGATTATTCTATTTTAAATTGTATCAACTAAGGATGATATTTTTTTAAAAAATTATAATTTTCTTATCAGTTACACGTAGATGATAACAGTATTTCTTACGTAATATAATATTGTTTTATATTGATATTTTGAAAATATATATTGTAAAAAATATCTCCATTGAAAACAAAATAAAAATAAAAAATATCTTCATTTTAATTATGCATTTTCTAAAAAATATTATTTAATTATATATGACATTAAAATTTATGTACTGTGATAATAAAATTGTGTTAATCTAAACATGTTTAATGTATTCCAGTCTATTCGAATTCAATAGATAATGTTATTAAAAAAAGTCAGTTACATAAGGATCGAATAAACTCGTTATATTCCCATCCTTTAAACATGTCTAAAAGTTAGTAGTTACTAAATAGTGATAGCTTTTTAGAATAAGGAAAAGTGTTTATTTTGTAGTGTTTGTTTTTAATATTGTTTCTTGCAGTCAAGTTTAAATATTTAAAGTGATAAAATGTGTTAAAAATACTAATTATATTAAAAATATAATAAACATTTAATTTTTTTAAATAAATAAATTTAACCTAAAAAATCAACAAAATTATTTAAATAAACAAATATAGACACAAAGAAAATAATAAAAAATTACTTATTAAAGATGTCAAAAGTTAATGATAAAAAATTTTAAATTACATTATTTTGTATCTATAGTAAATTTTAATTTATCACTTAACAATATAATAATTTTATTATGTAATTTTAATATCTTTAAATGATAATTACTAAATTAATTGACAATAATTAATATTATATACTAATATTTAAATTTTTTTTATTTTGGATAAGTAATTTAAATAACACTACAAATTTTTTTAAAAAATGTGTAAAAGTGTAAGATATTTAGATAATTGTAAATATTTTTATAGATATTGAAACATAAATACTGACCATGTTCACAACAATAGGGATATGGAAGATGGACAATCACATGTTTGGTTGCAAATATGGATAGAAATAGAATTAAGCCTGGGTTTTGACTTTTTTATTTGTCATATATTTTATACTGAAACATTAAAAAAAATTATTTGATTATTTTTATTTAGACAATACATTTTGTTAATTTAGAAATAATAATAATAATAAATAGTTACCTATAATATAAACAAACACTCAAGAAGATGAAATGGCAATAAATGTAATTAAAACAGCAAATTAATGTCATACCTATAATATAGGTCAAATAATACTAACACAACAAATTTCAGCAAACAAATTTTTTTATTCTTATTGAATATGCAGTACGCATACTCTTTAAAATAAAAATTTATAATTTAAAATTATATTTATTTTAATTTTGTTTATTTAATATATTATTATAAATTTTAAATAAGCCTAATTTTTTTAAACTCAAAACTGACGTATTTAATTAATTAAATTTATAAAAAAATATAAATTAAGTTCATTATTAATAATAGGTGAAGTCAATTTTCAAAAAATTAAATCGTAAATTTTGTTGAATAATCAAACTTGTTTTCATGTTTAATTATAAATTAAGTGAAAAAAAAAAAAAGTTAGATTATGAAGCGGTGAAAGAAACTCTTCTAAGCAACGAGTACAAAAAATAAAAAATATAAAAGTTACAAAACAACACATTTTTAAAGGAAGTACGCTTTAAAACATTTTACAGTCAATATTTTTCACTTGAAGAGCATCTACTAAATTGATAATTCAAAAAAATTTCTTATAAATTTATACATAATTTAAGTTTTATTTTAGTACATGGTTATTGTCATTTATTATACAATAACATATGAAAACTCTAAATGATAAATAGTGATTAATATACAACTTTTTTTAAGTTTTTAATGATGTAACAAAAACATGATATTAAGATTACTTGCTATTATAAATAATTGTTGAACTTAATTAATGATCATTATAAAATTTAATTTAAAATTAAATATTTGTCTCATAATTAAATTATCTTAACATTACTTCTCTTTAAGAAACATGTACTAACCTCAACATTGATTGTGAAAACAAACTTTAAATATGTTTTATTTATTATAAATAAATCATGACTCATGCTCATATTAGATTTATATGTAAACTATAAACATCAACTATGATATTCTTAAAACATTGCCAGCTTTGTTAACATGTTGCGCATATTGTATAGCTGCTGAATGCGTATTTATACACAATCGATTATAATATGAAGTATGTATAGTACAAATTATCTTAACTAATAGTGTCTATATACTTTAAAGAAACCTTTGACCTAAATATGTTATTTTACAATCTTATATTCTTATTTTAATCAAATTTTCACTGCGTCATATAAGTTTTTCTTGCAATAATATTATAATTTGAAAATGATTAAACAATACGCATTAATATAAATTTCATTTTTATTAGAAGTTTAGATTGTCATTAATCTTAGTATACATGAAAAAAAATTATTAAATTGAATAAATTAATTTTGATTGGTGTTCACAATAAAAAAAATACAATGTAAAATATATTGTTAGTAATTTTTATTTTTTAAATATACAATACTTTTACTGACACACTTGTTACCTTTTTTTTATTTGATATTTTTCTTTTATTTTTTAATCGATGCCACGAAGCAATAAATGTTATTTTCCTATATTACATAAATATAATTTAGTATCTTTACTTTTTATTTAAATACATATTTATGGAAATATACTATTAAAGTAAGAATAAAGGTTTTTATTAAAAATAGTTATTACACAAAAAATCAAATATTATTTAAGATTATTAATATTATATGTTTAATATTTTTTACAACATGTTTATAATTGTAAAATATAAAAGAGCTTTGTTAATATCATATTTTCCACTGTTTCTCTGAGTATTTTAATAAAAAATAAAAAGAATTAACATATCAAAATATAAATAATATTTAAAAAATAATTTTTTTAATAATTCGTTATAAAAAATTTAAATTATACGAGTGTAATTTTAAAAAAATACACTATTAATAACTTTACATGAAATGTAATTTGTGAATCTAATTATTATTAAATTTGTGAAAATTTAAAAATTATAATAATGTAATGAATAATTTTTATTTTTATATATTTTTTAAAATGTATTATATTAATTTTGACCCGCATAAATAATATCTTAAATAATTTATATTGATGTAAATCATATTTTTAATATTATATATTTATTAAAATTATTATTTTAGACGAAAACGTTATTTTTAGTATTATTTTTTTCCTTCCAGTTCATAACATTACCATACACGGCATCAATAATCAACAGCTTCTAGTTTTTTAATCAACATCAACATAAAAAACAATTCCCGAAATTAAGGCGAGTCCCGAACACGGCCTAATTCTCTCTCATCTCATCTTGTTCAGTACCCTCTATCTGACTTTCTCTCTCCAAAATTAGTTCCAAACCAAACCCTAACCAGTTCCGTTCCCAACTGGGAACAAAGAGAGAAGCATTGGGATTCGATTCCCGTAAGTTAAATGCGTGTTGCTACACATTACGGCGAAGGAACTTCGATCTTCGTTATCAACGATGGATGTCTGGAACGAAGATTTTTTGGAGCTGGACGTTGGGAGTTCCGTGGAGTCGTTCCAGAGGTTTTTGGTTTCGCAAAGAGAACTCTTCCACAGCCAGATCCACCAGTTTCAGGAAATCGTCGTCACACAATGCAAACTCACCGGCGTCAATCCTCTCTCTCAGGAAATGGTGTGCTTTCTCTCAATTTCCACCTTCTCTCGAACCTTTGCAACTCTATTTGTTTTCTGCTTAGTTATGTATACAAACTCGTTTAATTTTGACTAATGAAAAATTTGCAAGAGCCTCTTGGTTGCGTTTTGTTTGACGATTTCCTCTGCTGCTTGAAACGTTGTTTTGGTTTTTAAAATGTATTTTGTCGAATAAGTTGTAAGCACATTCCGATTGTAATTTTTCCCTTATATGCAATCAACCATTTTAAGGTATCGTCAGAGTGTTTGATCTTGTTCATTTTTGTGTTTTTGTTTTTTTTTTTGTGCAGGCAGCTGGTGCTCTGTCAATAAAAATTGGTAAGTTTTGGTTATTAATATAATTTTGTGCAGGCATCGTTCTGCTTCTCGTTTCATGTCTAAACTTTCTAACTTAATCCAATTTTGCAGGGAAAAGACCTAGGGATTTATTAAATCCAAAGGCTGTAAATTACATGCAATCGGTTTTTTCCATTAAAGATGTCATTAGCAAGAAAGAATCTCGTGAGATCAGTGCTTTATTTGGTGTCACTGTCACACAGGTTTATATTACTCTACTTCCTTTTTAGTCCATTGTATCTGAATTTATGGAATGTGGTGTACGTAATTGAGACGCTGTATATACATATATTTCCCGTCCAGCACCTTTTTTGCTACTCATCTGTTTTTAGTTTGTTATTCTTTCCAAGCTGTCCCTAGATTATTATTTGTTACCCCTTTTGTGGACATAGGAGGGGCTATTCACTTCAAATTTTATCATAAGATAACTTGTTACCCAGTTCCTGTTGTGAATTAAAATCATGAAACCTGGTACTTTGGTTTTAGGTGCGAGATTTTTTTACTAGTCAACGTTCAAGAGTGAGGAGACTAGTGCAGTTGTCAAGGGAGAGGGCTTTAATATCTAAATCTTGTGAAGAATCTCATGATGATCAAATAAACACTGATCCAGTGAGACCAATAAATCTGGCTCCCTTAGATTCTGCTGGCCCCACCAATGCTGAAGAAGCATCTTGTTCAGCACAGGAAGCAGATTTGTCTGACTTAGATGACTCAGATAAACAATTCGTTGATAACATTTTTAGTTTAATGCAGAAAGAGGAGACGTTTTCTGGGCAGGAGAAATTGATGGAGTGGATATTGACAGTACAGAATTTTTCAGTATTGTTGTGGTATACAATTAGTTTTCTCAATAGTTGAATTATAATTCTTAATATTTTCTGATTTAGTTTTTCTGTTGTATGCTTGTAGGTTTTTGACCAGAGGGGGTGCAATGACTTTAGCAACTTGGTTGAGTAAAGCTTTTGTTGAAGAGCAAACGAGTGTCCTTCTTCTTATCTTGAAGGTAGATTTGAATCCTCTGGTTAATATTTTGAATTGTTTTAATTGGCACCTAACTGAATACGATTGAACTTTCTGGTCAACTGTTTTGCAGGTTCTTTGTCATTTACCTTTACATAAAGCTCTTCCTTCACATATATCAGCTATATTGCAGAGTGTTAATAGACTAAGATTCTACAGGACATCAGGTGTGTTTTTGTCTTTTTCCAGGCCCAGTGCCCATCAAACTTGAAACTGGGATTCATTCCTCATACTCTCCCCTTCTTCTGGATGTATATTTTCCTTAGATTTTTCCTGGATAATGTGATAGACAATGACTGTAGTGGGCTGATATACGATAACAGTTTACATTTCTTGTGTTAGGACTTAGGAGACACTTCAACATGTCATTAGCTTGTTTGACCATGATGATTGTTCTAACAATTACATGGCTGATTCAGAGTTGTCAGTTATGCTTGTTTCATTGTGTTTCTGATTTGTATATTCCTGTTTTCTCTTCGGTGTGGGATGCTGATCAACAGTGAGACATGTGTTGGGATTTTATTTTCATTTCAACCATGAATTCTAGGTTTTATACAGTAGTTGGAGAATTGCTTGTTATTAATGATAGTAGGACTTGTGAGATATGAGGACCAGATATAACAATTTGTGGATTATAATCTCACTGATTTGATAAACCTGGTGATAAATTTGTGATAAACTTTATGAATTATAATCTTTGTTATAAACTTGATAAACTTTTTGAATTATAATCTCACTGATTTGAGGATCAGACATATCAAACAGGGCAAGGGTTTTGTTGTCAAAGTGGAGCAAATTATTAGCAAGGAACCAAGCAATTAAAAAGCCCAATGGTGTTAAACCTTCTAGTGATGGTCAAAAAGCGATAATGCTTTCTCAGAGGTAAGCTTGGTTTCTTTTTTTTCTCTTTTCCATACAAATTTTGTTGGACCTCCTTTCTCCATTATTAAGATTTCTATATTTGCAGTATTGGTCAATTTATGGTTTCTGAATCATGGCATTCAAATATTGATGTTCCTGTAAGTGTTTTCTCAAAGATATATGTATCAGCTAGCATTGCCTTTTGAATTTGCATGTTTATTAGTGTGGTCCTTTTTTGTACTCAGGAAGATATTCTTGCTCTCTCAAATGAATGTTCAGATAATGTCAGGTATGTATAGGCTGTGGCTAATCACTTTCAGTCAATTTTTTTTTATTGAAAATGTCTTTCTTCCAATAATATTGTTTGGATTTTGTGCCATACCTGTTTGAGTTAATCTGCTTTGCTTTTGCTTCTTGTGAAAGTGCTCCAATTTATTTCTTCTTTGTTCAGGAAAGGGGAATCTTCACAATCTGTGAAATTGTTGCCTCCCAGCTCAGACGATTCTAAAAAGCCCACCCTTGGTGTATCTTCATCTCGTATCCTTGGAGGTTTTTTTGTTGAATTGACTATATCTTGTTAACGCCTTCATTTTCCGCCTTATATATTGGGCCAAATGCTGATGGATTCCATCTATATTCTATAATCATATCAAATCACATACGTGGGAATTAAAAAGCTTTAGATAAAACCTTTGAATGATATTCTTGAGTGCTGATGTAGGTTCATTAATTTTCCTTTAAACAAACAAATTCAACAAAACTTTGGTGCAGGTCAAATGATTTGATCTCATAACTTCACTAACTTGAAACTTTTTCTAGCTTCACTAGCTACTTACGTTTCATTATATCTGGCTATTCCAAAAACCAGATTGATGTTCTTATTTTCTTGAAGTGTTATGGCTTGAATTTCTTGTGTACCCTTATGTTCTTATGCTGCCTGATTTTATGTAGCTTCTGCCTTGAAAGTTCTTTTGTGACATACCGATATCTTCGAGACAGGACAACTGCCAATTCTTGAAAGATCATTTTGCCAATTCTTAATCTAATGTAACTTCTGCTGTATACCTGAAACTAGCCAGCTAAATATAGAATTGGAGTAAATCCTCAAATGGTAATTTTGTCATTGAATGATATCAGTTTGGTCCCAAAGAACCATAACTTTTGGACTATTTTGATGTCAAAACATTATCATTGAAAGGACCATGTTGATATCATAATGTTTCAAACTTTCAAGGACTGAAGGGATAGTTTACTTCAAAAATGCTGTAGCATATCTCTAAGACACTCTTTCGGACATGCTATTTTTGGTTAAAATTTATTAATACTTCTGAAATTATGTGGTTCCCATTCCCTATTTACTGAATATTCTTGATTTCATGATTCTTAATAAATTTCTATCAATAATAAAAAATTCGTCTGAAAGTGTGTTAGCAGGAGCACTCATCTTACATAATTGCCAATGGTTCATGTCAGGTGTTGAGTCATGCAAAATGTAGGTTAATCTCTTTTCTATTCCTTAACCCCCTATCAGAATCTAGAGAGCGCAGGAAAGTGCAACTGGTGGAACAGCCAGGCCAAAAATCGGTGAGCAGAAGCTCACAAGGGACAAGAGCAGGGCCTGTAAGTCAAGGCCGACCCATGTCTGCTGATGATATCCAGAAAGCAAAAATGCGTGCATTATTTATGCGGAGTAAGTATGGGAAAGCTGGCTCTTCGAAAGAAAGTAAAGAAACAAAGATTGATAGTCTGAATAAACCTCAGACAAACCAGGCCAGCATTGCAGCTTGCTCTGCTAAAGTTCCTACTTCACTCAAAATTGAAGACAAGAAACCTCTGTTACTTGCCTCTAAAACCACTAATAGGCCAGAAGCTTCTTATTCAAAACCGAAAATGGATTTGAAGGAACCTCTTTGGGAGAAGTGCAAGAGGGTGCAAATCCCATGGAAAACACCAGCAGGTACTTTTGCAAATTTTTTGTTGGTTCCATCAATTATATGTCTATAATATTAGGATAGAAAAATTGGTGCGAAACTCTTTGACAGCCGATAAAAGAAATGAAAGACAGATTGAGAACAGAACCTATTAAGAGGTTTCCCAACATTGAGTTAAAAAGAGGTATATCTTAGTCGATTCCCTGCACATTTTCTTAGAGGACAATTCAGACTCATTCTTGCTACCTTTGACGCTAACTCTTTATTGATCCCATCCCCTTTTTGCAGCTTTTATTATATAATTAGAGCAAGAGTCGTGGTCTAACAACATGTTCTGCAAGTAACTTGGGTATATTGGGCAGTTGTATATACACCTACGATTTTAGTATTGTTCAATAGATTAATAAAACATTGCTGTACAAATCTGTCTCGGGATTTTGATATTCAAATACTAACACGGATTTATTTAAGGATTTTAGTCTCTTCCATTCCATTATCTCTCAAAAATTAGACATTGGTTCAAATTGATTTTTTCCCGTCATCATACCTGCACACTTTTTGCTAAAATGCTGCAATACTCCCAAATATCTAATAAAGAATGGGCTTTAAAATAATTCGTTTGAGGACTTGATAGTTGTCTGTCCCGAGCTATGCTATAAATATTGGGTGTGATCGCGTGGATGGAGGATCAGTTATACAAATTGGCAATATCATGAAGATCATTGTTACAATGTCTTCACAAAATACAATATTGCTATCCAGTTTTTTTGTAAAAATTTTCTAACGTATCGCAATTAAATGTTTGTTCCTTTACACCTTGACATGGCTCATGGGAATCAAAGTTAATATAAGGATGGATTGGTTTGGGCATGACCCGGTGGTTTAATCCATGTCATGACATTTTTGCTGTAATGAGAAAAGCAGCAGGGAAATTCAGTGCTTCATTAGGACCAATACATCACCCTGAGTTATTGATGTATAGTAATGATAGAAATATATGAGGTGCTTTGCCCCGAATGAAAGATGAAAGTAAACAATTCTGAATTCCTTAAAATATAACCGGGGTGTTAACTTTCAAACCCCCTACAAGTCAGCACAGACATTCTTATTTTATCTACTCCATCCGGCCTCTCACATTATAGTTTTCAATTTTCTTTTTTTTTTTTTTATATTAACGAGTAAGAAGGGGCTGAAGCTTTGATTGTGGGATCGAAAGGGTAAATCTTTTCCATGTGATACTCCACGTTCAGGTTAATATGTTGCATTTGGGGTAGCAATTTAATTTTGTAATTTGCAATCATGATCATAAATCCCGATGGAGCATTGGTTCTTTATCTATGGGGTAAAGGAGTTAGTGATTTTATTCATGGCGTCTTCCTTGCATGTTTATACTACCAATTGGGCTAGGTTATGGAGTATAGTTGCAATTGTTAAGTATATAAACTACATCCTGCCATGATAAGAATTCCAGCACCGAACTAATCCAGTTTGGGGTTTGATTGGCGACTTTGCTACATTCTGAAGTATGGACCCGCCATTGAACCCATTGAAATAACAAGTTTTGCAGTGTATTTATTACCCAATCTCCAGTCATGGAGGTTCCTATTCATCTTATCATGAAACACATTTTTAATTTGCCCCTTCCTGGGTTTGATTATTCAACACCGAGTTCATTATGGAAGTTTGTGTTAATTTTGTATTTCATAAATAAAGTTGGAAAATGAAATGATGGCGGTAATATTATGTATTTACCAGGTTACAGGTCGTGGATTTGTTTCTAGTTATAACCTTATGAAAACACAGCTTTGATATTGAAAATTTCCTGTCTCTATTCTTGAATTTGGCCGCGGTCACTTTGCCCTATCATTCCATTGCACCCACAAAGTGTCTGTTGGATACTAGCATAAAATTTACTCCCCTATTATTTTTTGAGGTAGTCCTGGAAGAAGTGGACTTGCCATATGAATTTTGTTTCTTCTGTCGTTTTTGTGTATTTCGTGTAACCAACAACTTTCTTGAAGTTCTAGTCAAATATTTCTACGTTTTTCAAACCTTTCCTTTTTGGTTCCTTGTTCCTTTTTTTTTTTTTGCAGAAGTTAAACTTCAAGATACGTGGAGAGTTGGTGCCGGTGAAAATAGCAAAGAGGTTGATGTCCAGAAAAACAGAAACCGCAGGGAAAAAGAAACTATATATAAGATTGTCCAAGAGGTACCTTCTAACCCCAAGGAGCCGTGGGACCTCGAAATGGACTATGATGACACTTTGACACTGGAAATTCCCATTGAGCAGCTACCAGACGGTGATGGTGCAGAAATAGCAGTTGCCCCCAACCAGGTTGCAACTCATATTGTTCAGGGGGTGGCCTCCACATCTACAGCTACTGCTGAACCTGATTTAGAATTGCTTGCCGTACTGCTAAAAAATCCGGAGTTGGTGTTTGCCTTAACTTCTGGACAATCTGGTAGCATACCAAGTGATGAAACCGTGAAGCTGCTTGACATGATCAAGAGAGGAGGATTGAACTTGGGTTTAAGTGAAAATACAAATGGCAATTATGGAATGAGTGTAAAGGCTCCGGAGAAGGTGGAAGTTTCTCTCCCATCGCCAACTCCTTTAAGCGATCCAAGAACGGTGCGTGATTTGAGTTCATACTACAACTATTTGTCAAAGATCTTATCATCATGTCTGATGTCTCACTTTAGCCACGTCGGCTTATACGTGTTGACAGGGGAGAGCATATAGCGCTCTAGTATTGGGTGTTGGGGTAAATGGGTTTTCAATGGTGGCCCAAATTGAGATCGAAAAGAATTAATTTATAAGTCCTCTTTTTTAGTGTGTTTTTTCTTGGACAAGATTTAGCGCGGTCAAGTTCTTGGATGCCATGTAAAACGTATTCCATATTAGCAAACGGCCAATTTGGGGAAATCAATAGGCCTAATCTCACAAGCTTTCGCACTGCTAATAGGGATCCCATTGAGTAGTTCTACTTGTATCGAGAATAGCTAATTGGTTTGATGCTTGTCTCTTTGTTTACGATTTTGAGATCCCTGGTCTGATCAAGAATGCATGAAGGGCCCCTCGCTATTTTCTAACAATTATCAACGTGCTAAAAATTTTGAAATCATTATTAATATAATCATGAATTATATTAAAAATATTTTGGTTACTGCACTAACAGATGGCTTCCCATTTTATGCATTTTTCAGAGTGGATGGAGCACAGCAGCATCAAAAAATCCTTTTTCACGGCGACCTGATAGATTTATCCAGAGCCCTGCTGCAGTGGCAACAACCAACTCATTATCTCAGATTCCGATAACTGGCACTACAGTAAGGCAACAGCCAACAGTTGCGGCTCCATCATTGAGGCAGCTCACCACCTCATCGGTTTCTCCATATTCACTGCCTCAGGCAACTAATATTGTTCCTGAAAAGCAACCATCACTCGCTCATTCATCTGTGCATATGCAAACACCGTCCTCAGATATAGGTTTAACCATGAAGAAGAACTTAATCACTGCAAATGCATCTTCAGTTAACTTACCTGGCACACATTCATCTCTAGCAATGCGAGCTGATGGCACGAATTACTTAAAACCTGTTCCTAATTTGAGTGTACAACAAGAGGGTTTGTCTAATTCATTCTCGCAACCCTTTATGTTACCCTCACCAACGCCACCATCACATTCAGCCACACCGCAACGAAGACATCCACAATTGGTTCCGGAAGCTCATTACACTGAACCTTCCTATCGTAACTCTGTCAATTCCTACCCACCACAAACCGAAAAATCAGGTCACGTGTCAGATATGTGGAGAATTAGACAGGATATTTCATCCAGTTATCATTCTCAACGAAATCATAACAACTATAACACAATGGTTGGGGGATCCATGCAATCCGGTTCTTGGGATAGAAATAATCATGGAAGGGAAGAATTTGAATCATGGAGTCCGGAGAATAGTCCAACTAGAAATCCTAGGTATGTTCCTGGTAGAAATTTCCCAGAGTCCAGAATGAATCACGCCAGAAATCATAGACCTGAATGGTCAAGGCAGCGGGGTTCTTCTGGACACTGGGACCCTGGTAGACAGGGGAACAGAAGGTGGCATGATCAGAGACGATAGATTTTATGTTCAGATTGGTTTGGTCTAAACGCATTTTACCTGATTTATTGATTTTCTGGAGGATGTATAGAGTTGGATTCTGATAGCAATGGTATTCCTTTTAGTGATTGGAGAGTGGAGATGGGATCTAAACCCCCGTATGAAGTGATTGTAGGAAAAATGGATAATAGTTCAGCTAGCACCGTTGCAGTGTCTGGAATGTCATGAGTTTGACTAGTTTGTCAATTGTAAAAAAAAAAAAAAAAAATCTAAATTTTGCCTGAAAAAGGATTGATTTTGCTTCCTTATTGGCATCTTTTATGTGGCTTTTAGAAAGAGGAACTAATTCCATTCATTTTCATTGAAAGTTTTATGACGAAATCTAATAATGGGAAGTTTTTTATATTAAAATCTTGAAAATTAATTAAAATTAAGCAAAAGATTTAATTTACTCAAATGGGTATGATTGACACTGGTATAAATTACTGACACACGGTTGTTTTATTGATCGAGTCTTGGATTGGAGTATTTACAAGTACACTAGCGTTGAAATAGAGAAAAAGAAAAAAACTTGGGAGATTATCAACCAAAATAATTGAATGTATAATGTGTATTTGAATACGAGGGTCCAAGACCAAAATGAGTATCATAGGCAAAAAAATGTAAACTATATTTTATTTAAATTCATAATTTTAAAGTAATTCATGTTTCCGCTTGTTGTGTAAAAGCACAGATCGGTGTCCGGTTTGGATCAGACCCTTTTTTGATATTAACTTTAAAAAAAACTTCAACTTTCCATTAGGAAGAAATTCATCCCTATAATCTCCAAAATTTTTCTCGACACTCTTTGGAACTACTCTAGTCAACTTCTTTGCATATATAATTTTAATTAATATAAATAAATAGTGTTCATAAATTTAAAATGCTATTTTATATTATTTTTAAATTAACAGTTGTGATTGTTGACATTTATATATTTTTTAACAAGACTATTAATCCTACAATTTATAATATAAAATAACAGTGATAATTATTCTAAATAACATACAATATCTTTTTAATTTACAAGACACTAAAGTAATTACCTAAATTAATATGTATATAAGTATATTTTATTATAAATTGTGAAATATGTATAAATTGTGATCCATTGAACTCAAATTAAAGTTTAGATGAAAGAGACACAACGTAAACCACTACAATACTGTTTATTATTTTTTATAGGAAATTATTACTTATTACTTATTATTAGTATAATAATATTTATTTTAATATATATATTATTTATCTATTTTTAATTTAACCAACTGAACCAGTATTTTGATGGAGTCATTAGCGAGTTTGAATTTAATAAAATTTGTCTTCAAATTGTGATTGATGCCAAATTTAGTCAAATTTCTTTGAACTTGACGTAAGAACGGAACCAACCCGACTGAGAGTCCAACAAATACTGTATATGATGCAACTAATTCTGTACCCTATGCAGGGGGCGTTCTTCGGTTGCTATGGCTACGAAACTCTATTTTTTATGAGGTGGCTTCTATGTAAAAAAATTAAAATTACAATTATTAACAGAAAAAATATTGTTTAAATAGTTGTTAGAATAATCAAATTCAATGAAAACATTTATATGAGATCATATTGTTGAATGATAATTAACTAAATCAAAACACTTTAATGTGACAAATTATATTTTTTTTTTGTTATAATATCGTAAAATTATAAATAATTATTTGAAAAATCAATTTAAAATAACCTTAACGATTCAAGATGCGTTACCTTTTTTAAAATTAATTGCAAATTAAATCGAGCACTAAAAGACGTCTAAATATTGAAAAAAACAAAAAGGAAAAGGAATGGTTTCTTGCAATTTGGATGAGAGAGCCACTGATCAGATAATTGTAGTCTGATTATTTATAATTGACACTGATGAATTCTTCGGAGGAGGATATGATCACCTCAATAGCTATTTCTATTCTATTGAGTAGCCCTATCTTTCTTATTCTTCACCTTGAATTTCAAAAATTCAAAAGAATAGTACAGTTGTTTTAGATGTATAATTTGTCTGGCATCTATCAAACAATCAAATAACCAAATTATAAATAGTTAAAAGGCTCAGAAGGATCCATTGGTAGTTTTATAATCACAAAGGGACAACTTTTCATTCCCTCATAAAATAGGTAGTTTTCAAGATCATCGCCTTCAAAGAAACACCACACAATAGAAGAAAATGTAAAAAAGGTAGTTGCCAACGCGAAGAGTTGAGGAAGCAGAGAACGGTGAAGAAATGGTGATTTCGCATGTTCAATAACGAAACTACACTTCATTTTTGTGCAAATGGACCTTTAAAAAGTTAATTTGGGCCTCTCTCTATTGTCAAGCCCATTAACTAAATGACATTATGTTAAGGAAATTTCTTTTTTACACTTTTTTTTTATAATTTTAATTCTATTTTTTTGGAAATTTAATTTTGAAAGTTATTTATAAATTATTTTTTTAAAATTAGATTTCTGAAATGTGTTGTTTTCTTTTGAAAGTTCTATATTTTTAAAATAACAAAAATCAATATATGAAAAGGGGCATTAAAAAAAATGGGGATGCAAAAGAATGGACCTATTTTCAATTGTTTGTAACCAATCTATGACTTGGTCTGGCATGTATTTTTCTTTTTGAAACCTGAAAAAAGATAAGGTAAAAATGCTGGTCAAATGTTTTATAAATTCAATTCTACACTGAGAATGTGATAGTCCTAAATCAAGTTTTATTTTGTTTTTTTCCCCTTTTCATGAACATATTTCCAGTAGATAAGACAATTTGAGTCAATTTATCAGCTTGAGCTTAAATAATGATTCAAAAGGTAAACGCAGTATTGAAATTGGCTACTGTTTCGTATCTAGTTCTAACCATTTAAACCTTCCACACTTTCCTGGTCAAATTCTGTGTAACTAGAATCATAGGCTTTCCAATTTCTAATTTGACAAACTCAATTAAAAGGAACATGGTTTGTATCCATTCTCAAACATCCCAAATGGGTTCCTCCATAGCTGAATCCTCATGTGGAAGATGGTGATGAAAGTGGTTCATAATTTCTGACCTCTGGTGACTCAATGCTTCCAATCTTTGTTGTTGTTGTTCATGCAAATTCACAGCTCTTGAAGTTGACCCTCCAATGCCCAAGAAATCATGAACCGTTGTCATGTCATTCCCTCCAAACCTTGATGCCTGCATTGGGTTACCTTTAGTTCCATCTCTTCCACGGATCAAGCTCGAACCATTACAACTCTCTTGTTCCACATTATTCATCAACCCTTGGTTGTGCCCACTTCCCATTGACATTTGGTTAAACATTCCTACATCATTGATTGTAGACCCAGTAGTGTTAGTATCAAAAAGTTGTGAAATTTCTTCTTGTCCTTTATGAAACAATTGGTTGGTGAATGCTCCTCCACCACTCACCCCAGCAATGTTAGACAAATCAGGCTGAGAAGGGAAGTGATCAAATGAAGGGTTATGCTGAAGAATAGGAGCAGAAAATTGTGGTCTAGCGGAAGAAACTTGATCAGGACCGGCCATGCTACTAACATAGCCTTTTTGCATCATTGGGGAGTTAATGCTATTGCTTGCAGTGGCACCCATTTGTGCTGCTTTTTGTAATAAAGCTGTTGCTGACATCTGAGCTGAGGCAGAAACTAGTGCTCCGTTTTTGTTGTCTTGCAAGTAATTGAAGGTTGATGATGAGGTATTGGAACTAAGCTGAAGGGTGGAAGAAGAGGGAGACATGCTTTTTGGGGCACCAAAAAGTGGACCTGCATTGGTGGAGAACATGCCTCCACCCTTGAATGGTATTGGGACAAGTTCTTGGGGAAGTGATTTTAGAGGGTTCTTAGGGTCATAGTCCCTCAATTCGGATGCTGTATTGGAACAAGTGTTTAGAGGCATGGTAGACATAAGATCCGGCATTTGATTTTGCAAGTTTGGTGGCATGCCACTTGTTAATCCCTGGTTCACTCTATTGTTTTCTTCAGTTAATGCGTCACAGAAAGCTCTGTGGGTGATAAAACTATCTCTCCTGCACCATGTAGAGAAAAATGTTCACATGTAATAAGACTTTTGGGTCTTGGTAAGAAACTAATTAAGAAAACAATCAATAAATAAATTTATGAAAGATTATGTTAGCTCTATATTAAAAATCACAATAAAAGAGTTCAATAAAAAAAATTAAATTTTTAATACTTTTTACGAAAAATTTAAGGAAAACTTCATGTAGAGTCATTCCAATTCAATGGTGCCGTGTGCATTGAAAATGTAAGAATTGTACCTGGAAAATATGGTTCCACAATCACATTTGTATTCCCTAGTACCACATGTTTTCTGGTGGGCCTTCCAATCAGATTGGACTGCATATCTTTTAGAGCACTTGTCACACTTCCATTTTTTCTCACCATGTTTGCGGCTATAATGTTTTTTTATGCCAGTGAGGTCTCCTAATGCACGAGCTGGGTTATGATGGACACATGATGGCTCAGGACACACATAGACCCGTTTCTTCACCTCAGTGCTTGTTCTTTGCCTTAGTTTCCATGGAAGATTGTGACCTCTGCGGTGCAACTGAAGGTTTTGGTCCCTTTGAAAACCTTTGCTGCAAATCTCACAGACGAATCTATTTGTTGCCATCAATGTGGTTGGTGATAAAGCAACAACTTCAGCATTAGGATCTATTTCACAAAAAACACCCTTTATTATCTGGAAAATATAAAGCATATTGAATACTATTTTATTTAGTAATTAGGATCATTTAGAATTATATTTTAGCATAACTTCGGCAAATAATAATAATATGCTAGCCATCATAAAAGGATTAATCTCTCTTCTGAAAAGTAAAAACTATAAAGACTGAGCAGATTAACCATTTCATAATAATAACAGTTTGCATACGTAGAATTCGAATCAGGGAACATACTGTCAATTCATGATTCTTTACTTTTACCTTGGATAGTTTGATAGTCAGAATCAGAAGTAAAGATATTAATAAAGTAATAGCTTTTTACAGTTACTTTTTATCACTACATATCACACCTTCTGCAATACTAGAGCTTGACCAATAGAACAACAATTATACATCATAATCATTTCAAAGCAAAATTCAATTTCTCAAACATGAAATCCTCATTTGTTAGGCTGTAATTACATGCAGCAACAAAAATTGAAGTGAAGGGTATTTGAGTATTTGCCTGGTGTTCCAGGAAGGTTTCTTTTCTTCTTGGTTTGTTGTTCATTAATGGAGCCATTGCTATTGCTAGCACTGGATGGTCCTGAACTTGAGTCATGAAGGTGCTTTTGTAGCTGTGGCTGCTGGCTTTCTTGATGAACCTCTTCTCCATTGTGTCCTGAGGAGAAACTTCCTTCATCACCTGAAATATTTGACATTTGAACAGAAGTAGTAAATGTTAATGTTAATAGAAGCTTCTGTCTGTCCTCTCTAATCTCTCTTTCTTTTCTTTTCTTGTTTTTTTTTTTTTTGTTGTTGTAGGTGATGGACCTCACTAAAAGCTATGGCTTGTTTTTTTGGTGCAATCTAAACAAGAATCCACTCTCACTCTAGAGGAAGACAAAAACTTTCACCTTGGTTTCTGTTGAGGAAATAGAAAGCAATTGATGCCATTATACCAACATTGGAAGCTGGTCTTCTTTGGCCTTATATAATTATATATAATGCTCATATGAAGACAACTAGTAGGAAGGTGCCCCCTAATTAACTTGCTGGTATTATTGTAATATCTTAAACAACAATTAATTTCTCTCCTTTCCATTTAATTCTTAGTTCACACGTATCCTCAGATTGTTTGACCCATTTATATGCATAAAGTTGAATATTTGTGTCAAAAAGTCTTCTGCTTTTAATTTTCATCAGACTTCAGCATGATTTTACCTTTGTACTACAAACATATTATACTATACTAGATAAAACAAGTAACTGGATAAGGGTCTTTCTGAGCCATAAAGTACGGGTGACAGTCACTGGTAATATTCCAAAAAATAATTTCAGGTTATTGATATATGATAGAGTTTAGCTAGTTAATTTCAGAGTATACAAATGAAACAGCCCTACGTAGCTAGGCTCATAAATTTCATAATGATTTTGATTATTTTATGTTTACTTTCTCTTGCATTTACTTTTTTAATTACATCATTTATCACTATATCTTTTATTTTTATCTTTCTTTATTCTTTACTAATTTCGCACGTCTTCACAGGGTAGTGTAAACTAAATAAATATTATTCCTTTCATAATTGTCTTTGGCTTTTAATTACTACCCTCCTCATTATTATATAAAAAAAAAACTGTGGATCAAAATTCAAGTTAAGAAATATATTTTCTTGGGTGTAATTTCAATAATGATCTCCACCACTATACTAGGACTATGAAGAAGTCAGACATTGATTTCTTACACTAGCATGATAGACATATTTAATATCTCCTTTTCCTTCTCTTTAGAAGAAACATAAATACATGTTCAAATCTTAGCGTTGTCTTCTATCTGGAATTGGAAGTTTGTTTTATTTCATAATTTTTTTCTGTTCAACTTGCCCAAATGTGTTTAATTGCGGCCTTCATGGGAGTGATATTCAACTTAATTATACTTATAAACAAGGCACTGAATATTTTCATATAAAAAAAAGGGTATAGTAGCAACCAATGACATAAAAGAGGGTTGAATCCGAGTAAACCTAGATTGAAGCTTACCGTAAGGGGCTAAGGGCAACGGCATTAACTAAGAGTATTATTCTAAGGCTTACTAAATATTCCATTGCGTTTAAATAAGAAAATAATACTTTGTTAGTGATCTTTTCAAGATTAGTTAAATTTTAATTTCAGTAGAAGCTTGTTTCATGTTAAATATTATTGTAATGATTGTTTTGTTTACGGTGTTATGCACTTCATGAGAATATTAAGATTGCGTGGAAGGTCTCTCTAGTCATATTTTATCCACATTTTTTTTTAAGGTAATTACTAATAAATACCGTCCTTTCTTTATGTTGAATTTTACAGCTCCCTCACACTTATTGTGAAATTAACAAGAAAAAAACAAGGGGACAGAAACCAGAATATCAAACATGCACTAAGCTTCAAATTTTCAGTCAATTTAATTTTGAATATTGACCTTATTTTTTTAAGTGTATGAGGTGGAAAGATGAGAAAACAAAAGACAAGGAAAATAAAAAATGTATTGTGATAAGAAAAATATGACATAAAAAGTTACTTTTTAACATTTATTTTTATGGTTAAGTTTTTATTTTAAAAATTTATCACATTTAAGATATAAAAGTGTACTAATTTTTTTAAAAAGTTGAAGTTAACAAAATTGAAAATAAAATAAAACAAATAACAATATTATATGAATGTACATGATATATTGTTTAATCTTATAGAAACGATGAAAAAGACACCGTAGAAATTATCGACATAGAGATCGATAAAATTGATGAAGGTTGCAAAGTTGCAACAAAGTAAGGACAAAAGCTTGTTAACATTGATATGGGTTATACTACAGAATTTTGGTTTCATAATTATTAATTGATGTGGTTGCTAAATGACATACACAAGGGAGCTATACAGGTAAAACCAACATAGAAGACAACGGAGAATTATGCTTTCCTATGGACATGTCTTGTAGTTCTATGAAAGTTTGTTCATGTTTTATCCCAGATTAAAACGCATGTTGTTGACATCGGCACAAAAAAATTTATAATTTATTTTTTATCATTAAAAATATGTTAATAACATTAAATGAGACCCACTAAAACGTTAAAAAAACTAAAATGTAATTGTCAATTGTAAGAATTAATAAATAAGTGTCAAATTTTCAAGATTTTAAAAGACTAAAAGTTATATCTTTAATTCAATTTATATCTAAGTATAGTTTCATGTTTAAATATAGTGAGTTTTCTTTTAAGATATTTCTTTTTAAAAACATTTTATTAAAATTAATATATAATAAAAATATGAATATTCATATTTTATTATTTATTTAAATTTATGATAAAATATTTATTGATTTAAGTTTTTAGAATTGAATTTTTTTAATCTTGTATTTAAAACATGCATAATTATTTCCTAATAAAAAATTTATTTTATTTTATAGAATTGTATTAATCTTAATTTTTAAAGTTGAGTTTAAACCTTTAAAAGTAAGAATTTTTTAATTAAAAAATAATGCATAAATGATATTAAAGTTATAAAAGTAAAAATAAATACTTTTTATTTAATTTTTATAAAATATTTAATAAATATTTTTTATAAGAAACAAATTACTATTTTTATATATAAAATTACACTAAATATAATTTTGCTTAAATATATATGTTTTAGTCTCTTAAACTTTTATAAATTTTTTATTTAATGCCTCAGTTTATTTTTTAAAATAATTTTATAATTTATTTTTATTATTTATTATAATATACATTTAATTTTTGTAATAGACATTTATTTACAAATTAGTTTGATATTTATATTTTATATTTTAATTATTTTTGTATAACGCTGTTAATATAAATTTAATAATAAAAACTAATTCAAAAAAATATTTACTCATATAAGAATTAAATTGTAACTTTTTTATATATAAATAATAAATTAAAAAAAAAGACATCAAGTATAAAAATTAAATTTATAATTTAACTCCCGATAAATAATTATTAAAGATTTTCATTTTTAAGTATTTAGTCGTTTATCAAGCTGCGTGGAGTTTTCAGGGTTGGGAAATTGATGTCAATGATTCTATATATTATCTTAACCTGAATATTAAATAATTGATTTTAATTATTTAATGAGCAGGTAGACATCGATCTTGTGTCACGATTACGCAGTTCTTGAATTAAAGATTTATAGTCTAGATTAAGATGACACAATAGTGAATATATTTTGTGTGACCATAATGTTTATAAACATAATCAAATAAAAACTGATAAAAATTAATTAAGTCGAATTAAAATTTGTAAGATCTAAGGAGCTAACTCTGAAATTCAAGATCTGAACTTGACCTCATTTATATAGTATTGGACATTTTTTTAAGTTTTGATTTAACCCTTTTTAAAATATGACATAACTTGTAAGCATATTTAAGATCTACATTAAAATAAGATATTTTAAATGTGTCAAAAAATTACCTTAAAACTCTAGACTCAAAAGACTTTTTGAATAATTTAAAGCTTATCTTTTTAACTAAATAAATTTTTAAAAATTATTACCATGATCTATTTAATAATTAAGCTTGACTTAGTCTAAAATTGATGTAAATTAGATCATAGACCTAATAAAGGACTCACCCTCTTTTCCTACATATAATAAACTTTGCACTAAATTTATTTTAATTTTATTTGAAAAGTTTAATTGGTTATTTCTATAAATATAGTGCTCGATAATTAAGCTCTGATCGTTAAAAATGATTTGTTAGGTAGAAAAAAATTAGTCGTGCAATTAAAATCTATTTTACTTATATCATATTTTTATGGTGCTAAAGAAATATGAAATAAAACATATGGTTTCTTGTACCTTTAATGAATGCGGTTGTGAGATTCCATAATTTAAAATAAATTAAAAAAAAAGTTCACTAACTTGATTTTTTTTAATTTTAAATTGAGTTGGGGAAACTTGATTAAGGCGTTAAAGGCTCTATAAGTTTTTACTTTTTGATTTTGCTAATCTTATTTTTTAAGATTAAATGTAAATATTAAAAGTAATATTTTTTACATTTTTAATATAATAAATACTTTTTAATAAAAAAATTGTCACTTTGATTATTTAAAATAAATCTTAAAAATTAGGTTAACAATCTTATTTTTTTCATTCATATGACTCAAAATAAGACCTTGCAAAAGAATCAAATTCTTCATTAGTTGCACCAATAAGCATCGATAGCTCTTTTACATTCTATTTATATTGGCGCTCGTTATAATAGCGTTTTGTGTCTTATTTTGAGGGGTCATTTTCCATTGTAGCGGTAATAATAGTAGAGAGAGTATGATATACTCATAAAAATATTCTAGAATTGAAGTTAGTCATGGTAATAAAAAAAAGTGATAAAGAATTAAAGGTTTAAATAATTTTTTGTTCCTCTAAAAAATTGTAATTTTTTTAATTCACTTTCTTAAAAAACATTTTTTATTTTTTTATTTGTTTCCTGTGGAACATGACACATAAGAGATATGATATTAGTAACATTATTTTTTTTTTCAGTGAAGCTTTAGGTAATAAGATTAAAATTTTATGGATTTAAGCATTTTAAAATTGTAATTTCAATACTAATTAGAAAAAAAATTAAATATCATAATTAAAATTATAAGGTGCAATTTTAATTTCAAGCACCAATTTCATAAGCCAAATGAACACTTACAATTTAAACTTCAAAGAATCTTGATAAAATTTTATAACAATTTGGATTAAAAATAACAATTGGATATCAATTTTGCATAAATATTTGAGACGAGAAGGGGCTTATGTTCATAAAATTATCATCATCTTTTCTTAGTGAGACATGTACAATGGATCATACGAAATTTTAGCCTCTCACCATATTAAAACTCAGGCACATGAGATTCTTAATAACATCTAGCTTGCAACCAGTTTAGGTTTAAGATAGGAAGTGTTTATTGTTACTTTCATTTGTCTATTGTCACTCCTATTTAATACATTTTTATTTACAATACTGTTGTTATTAATATAGTTATTGGAATACATTATATTTAGACAAAAATCACTTAAATAAGAGTGATATAATAGATAGGAGTAATAATAAATATGCCTTTTAAGATATATTGTATCAACGTATTAAAGTAGGTTTTAGATGCAGTCTTCAATCATGCCTAAATGAAATACCAAAAGCCTAACATGTTCTATTCACTATTGACATTGTGCCACTAATAAAGAGAAAATCTATGGTAGTTACGAATCCAACATAATTAATACTCATTGGTTGGCAGCTTACAATGCCTGAGTTACAGAAACTAATTTATGAAGTGATCATCTGAGACACAAACGTGCTTATGGAGATGACTGCTACAATTGTGTTCTCATCAAAGCATGGTTTATAGTCCTGCAGTCTGATATAAAACAGAAACCACCACTTAGGTTGATTCCTGCTGAAGAGAACGGCTTTGATCTCAGAACTTCAACACCAATGGTACTTCATCTTTAAATCATTAATCATGAGATAAACTCTTATTTTATTCTATTATTCTATCAGTCACATTCTGAAAAAACAAAAAAGAGTTAAGTGAATATGGACTGATAGCTTTGATGTTCATGTATAGTTGTGATGTATGGATACGTTTGAAACAATGAAATTATATGCAGTTTAGCCTCAACACTCGAAATATTTATGAACTTGATGCCCCCTCAAAGAAGAAATAACCCAACTTTTCACAAATTATAGTGAGCCTCTCTATTCAGATTGATGCTACAGCTATATGCCTGGATTACATTCTCCTCCTCTGCTCTTGTATCAGCCATAGAATTGCCGATGTCATTATCACAAGGAGCACCAATAATTGTCTCACTACTTACACGTAAACATTTGGGCTTTGAATTATTGTCTGAAGATTCTGTGTTCTTTCTCTTCCTCTTTGAGTTGAGAAATCTGTACTCAAGAGCTTCCAATGCTTTTGTGGTCAATGGCCGGTTCCTTGTGCTTTGGCGACGATTGTTATTGATCGATTGCTGCTCCTTATTACCATCAGGAAACTCCTGGGTCACATTGAACTGGGTTCTCTCAGATGGAGAAGACAATGCATTTGCACATTGGTTGTCATTTTGCAGTATGACCACAGAGGATGGTATTTCCATTTCAATTCCTAACTCAGGTGAAACTTGTGGAAAATTCAAGTCAATCAACATCCTGGTTTGGGAATTTTCTGCAGAAACTTCTCCAGATAGGTGGTTCTCAGTGTCGGTGACCCTGCCTTCATCACTCAAGTTTGGACTCCCTTTAGCCAGATAACTTGAGAAAGACACATTTTCTAAACCCATTGACAAGACCATGCCCTCAGATGCTTCATGCAGATTTGACGGTGAGATTGGCTCATTTAAATCAAACTTTCTATTCACAGAAGTACTTTCAGTGCAGTGGCTAAATTCTCCATGGTTACAAGCTCTTAACTTCGTCATTTCCATGATGCAGGGCAACGTGCAATCAGATGTCATCTTTTGAATCAAGTGATGCTCATTGATCTCCCTTGAATTCTCATCAGCATGCAGATCAGAATAAAATTTATGGTTTTCTACTTCTTCTTTGGTGGTGTTGAGTATATCAGGAGCAGGAGCCCGCGTACAATCTGAAGAGTCTGTGCTCAACCTCTTATCAGAGAATTCTTCAGTAGGGTTTGATGAATTAGCTTCTTCAACCAGATCTTCAATAGGATAGGAAGAAATAGCTTGTCCAACCTGATCTTCAGTAGGGCTGGAAGCATTAGATTGCTCAACCTGATCTTCCAAGTCTTCAGATGTATCTTGCTCAGATTCACTAGAGCAGCTTGAGATGGGGGATATGTTCATAGTTTGAAAAGGTAAGCTTCTCATCTGTCTCACTTTACGTTGATTCTTATCATGAACCATGCTGGTATCTACAATTGTAAATTTCATGAGATCTTGATTGCACTTTGAACTATGAGACTGAAGGTAACAGAATTGTTGCCTATTTGACACGCCCTCTAGGTCTTGTTTGTCTTGTCTGTTTTCCCTATCTACACTGCCCTCAGTTGCTTGATTTTCAGTCTCAAGAAGCCCAGGGTCAGATCCTACTTTATTCAATACATCACTTATAGAATCAAAGTAGTGGTTACCTTTTACCAGTTTCCTTCTTGAAAATTTCTTAACACCAGGTACAAGAAAAACCAAAGATTGCTTTGACCCAGAAACAATTTGATCCATAGGCTGTTCAGAATGCCAACCTTTTGCTAAAAGACGAGGCCAAACAGCTTCCCAGAAGAGATCACTGGATCGAGCTTTACTCAACCTAAAATCTCCTGTGAGAAACTTGATTATATCTGCAGATGTAAGAGAGGAGCAAGCTTTGCCAATTGGTATTTCAGGGCGAACAGAGAAGGTGTGATTGGTCTTTGTTGGCTCAACAGCAATGCCAGTGAGATCCTGCTTCCCTTTTCCAATACCTACTGCAGCTATTAGCAAGTCAACACCCACTGCATCCTTTAAAGCAAATACATATTCTTCAAAAGGAATCTTTCCCTCCCCAAAATTCCTTGAAATCTGCAGTAATATTAACATGAATTAAGGATACATTGTTTTTCTGGTTTGAAACTGCTCTTTGTTTTCCCCATTTCTAAGATTGTTACATTTATATTTATCTGAACAAAGTATGTGGATTTTCATACAGCTCAGCTTAGCACCATATTATGCAATGGCAAGGTAGTGAACTATGGATACAGTTAGAAGGAAGTGTCTATACTACCACTTGAGAAATGAAAATGTTCAGAAAGCAATGTCGATAAGACAAATACATGACCATATAAATTATGTCTCATGAGACTTAAAAGAATGTAAATGAAGAAACACATCATTTGTAATTTATTCTAGTGAATATTCTCCCAGTTGAGAAGCTAATAGACTTATCTCAACAACAGATGTAAGGAAAGAGGTTCATAATAGAAACCATAAATATATTTCATTTAAGGACCTATCTACTTGCATATCCAGTCCTTTTCACTTCAAAACAGAACCATTAAATGAGATCTAAGCAAATTCTGCATCTAAATTACTGCTAAACAGTTCAATTTTTCAATGGGTAATAAAGAAGGGATCTTGCATTTTTGTCAATTGTATTCTGCACTCTTCTTGGAAAGTAAAGTAGATAGCCCTAAATACCTGTAACAGAACAGGTATTATTCTTAAAGGAGTTGGTCAGTAGGATAGAAGTATAAGAGAGGAGGTATGCTGGAGTCTTTGGATATATTTCTAAAATCAACTACAAATTTTCCATGGGAATAGAAAGCATTTGTATTTAAGGTCCTTGTCTTGAAAAAACAGAGAATGACAATGCCAACTTCTACAACGTCCAGACAAATGTTGCAAACTCAGCCTTAAAAACAGAATCAAATTATTCAAATGAAGAGAGACTCAAGGAGCAAGGAAAATTTGTCAAACAAAGGAGAGTATGAAACTCTTCTACTTTAGTGTAATGATACCAATTTGCTGGTGTCATTTTTTTGTTAATTTTTTTCCATTAATTACCATATCTATTCATAGTGCAGCTTTCATGACCAATGTAGCAGCCAATAATTGCTGAAATTTCTGTAACATTGCTACATTGCTGATAGTCAATAATTATAATGATAATCCACATATAAAGCAGAAATACTTCATGAATGGATGGTACTTATTTTAAATCAATTTCCTTCATTGCAAGTTCACATATTAGCATTACCTCAGTCCACGTCATGCAAAACTATTTCACAAGATAGCCAGAATGTCCAAAACAATTTTCCAGTCTATCAGAAAATTCTTTTCTTAAGAGACAATGACCTATCCCTCAATAATCAAGATAAAACAGTGCACAAATGTGTGTATGACGTGAGTATAAGACCAAGGATCCTTTGAGTTGGTGCACAAACAGAATTTGGTGAAACTATCCTTTTCAATTTTTTCTTACCAGGACAAAAAAAGCTCAAACTTGCTGGTGGTTAATTGGTTAGTGCTTGAACTCCAACCAAAATCATCATTTAACTAATGAACCTTGTAAACAAATATATTTAAGCAAGCAACACTGACAAAAGGAATTTTTCTTAATCACTGTTCATTATCGTTGGATGCCAGCACAGCTTGCAATGCCAATAAATCTCTACAATGTTTAAATCCTAAAAGAACATTACTTAACCAGGGGAATATTTATATGGAAATTCCCTTTCATCCAGATTATGTGTGATAGTGACTAGTATACACTGAAATATGACAAGAGAGATACCTCAATCAATTTAGTTTGACACTCCCTTGGCACATGGGAAAATAATCTTGACAGCAATTCGTGTTGCCTCCATCCTGTGAATATTTTCTGGCCAAATATACACCGCTTAGTTCTCATCTTTCGGCACTCTGACCATCGGCAATATTCTTTAGATCTAAAAAACTTTCCATAATAGAAAGACAATATGTCTCCCATATTTTTACTCCCAACAAATCTCTTTAAATAGTTAAGGTTCTTCCCAAATACAAAGAGGCCAAGAAGAAAACTGTTATATTCAATATCTGTCCAAGATTGATCATCCAACAATCCAGGGAGAAGATACTTGCCTTGTGGTTGATCCTTCTCATCATCACTTCTAGAAGATGATTCCAAATTTGAGAACCCTCCGACATGTTTTCCTTCAACATGCGAAGCAGTAAGACCTTCCAGTTTAATTTTTGGACATTCGTTCTTAGAAATCACTAGCCCCTCTCCACTTGTGACCGATTCTAAAGTCCCACAACCACAGCTGCTTTCAAATTTGCAATGTGCCCACATAAGAGGAATGGGCAATCCTAGTGAAATAGAAGACTTTGGCACCTTGACCATGATTTCTGAATCTCTTTTCTTCTTTACAAGCTGAGAAAGATAAGGTGCTGCAATTAATGAAGGAATTTCTGCCTGGTACTGGTCTCCAACACGAGGGAACACTTCTGGATCTCCAAATCCTTCTTCATATTTCACTTCAATATCTTCTTTGTTGTCATCAAAGCAAAGAGAATCCATCTGCTAATATTGGATTGTAAGTTGAATAAAGAATAATATATTATGATTTCTCTATTGCTAAAACATCAAGTTCTAGCACCTCACTGCAATTGCTCCTCGTGATGAAACAGTAAAGTTAGGAGAACAATCTCATTACTAAAGCATTAAGCCAAACAACTCAATCATTCACACATTAAGTGAATTGGTAACCAACTTGATATTCAAGAATAAAACTGATGCAAAACATTATGTTAAATCTTCATACCTTTATAAACACCAAATTATAAATCCCATTAGCAAAAAGAAAAATTTGCAATAATTTCTGTATCATATCAGAAAATACATACATACTACAGAAAATACAATTCTGCCATAGTTCCTATATGTTTTACTAATCCGTTGCTAGAACGAAACAACTATAAACAAAAATTAAAAAAGTGATGTGAAAATCAATGCACAGAAAAACACTCTCAAGTTTTCTTAAAATCTAATCGCCCACAACGCCCACTAGATATATCCAAATCCAATTCCAAACCCAGATCAACGCTCCACGTTGTAAGACATGTTTAAATAGAGATTAAACACTAAACAAATAAACAATTAAGAAATTGCAAAATCGAAAAAAACCATATACGAAATAACCAACTACGCCGTTTTTTTCCCTTAAAAAAAGGAATGAGAAAAAAAACTACCTTTATAATTATAAGAACCAAACAATCTGCAGCCAAGTGGAAATGATTGAACCAATCACAATGGGCTTGTTACGATAATTCAAAGATAATAAAACCATCAAAATTAACAGAAGTAAATAACCGCGTAGAATCTAAGAGAACACTATAAAATCAAAAAGGCACAGAAAATATTTAGAGAGAGAAAAATGCAAAGCATGCAAAGTAATGATGAGAAATAAGTAAGAGAGGTAAATGTTTTGAGGGGTTGAAGACCCACGTGTGAAAATCGACCTGGGAAAATGGGTCTTTTGAATAAACCTCGATTGTCAACGTGTGTGTTGTTTCCTTGGTTTGCTTGTAATTAGAACTGAAAATAATAATAACAATAATAATAACAGAGACATTAACAAGTGAATTATGAGCAGTAGAAAGAGGTTTCGTAGATTACCTCGTATTATATCACTCACATAGCTCAACTTTCATGACAGCAAACTTGTGTTCCGTACCTAGAGAGAGAGGACCAAGCAAACGAGAAATCAAAAGAATAAAGAACGGAAATTCTCTCAGGTTAAAACTTGGAACCAAGCAAAGTTTTATAATCTATAGTCTGCGGATTTATTATTAATAATATAATTGTTTAATATTACTAATTAGCAATTGATTCTAATTTTTTTTCCCACTGTTATCAGATCGTACCTTAATATATATGATTGGAGAATAACATTATACGCACACAACTTTCTTTTGTATTTCTATAAATTTTTATTATTTGATATAACTAGTTTTATTCCAAATTCCAATTCTCTAGACCAGTGTTTTTCTTCCATGTGGCGTAAAATGAAATAGCATTTTAAAAAATGATAAAACATATATTTGACAGTAATTGGGATTAAAAATAAGATCAAAGGTATAGAAATTAGTAATTGATGCAGAGTAATTGAATCGGCCTAACCAGCATGGATATGATACCAACGTAAATTTATTAAATGATTTTTCTAACATGTAAGCATTAAAAGCTATATATAAGTAAACTTTTATATAAATTATAATATTTGATATTATTAATGTGTTGAATTATATTAAATTTTATAATTTTAACCAAAAACTTGTCATATATAATTTAAAAACATTCATACTCATGTTTGTTCTAGTTGTTTAATGATAATGAAACGATATTATATTTATAGAAATTAAGTCATTTAATAGGATTGCCCATTCCTCTTAAAAAAATTAAAATATACAAATTTTGCATATATTTATATTTATTTTTATTATACATAGTGTATTTTTGATATGGTAATCATGTACTTTTCAATATATTTTTAATACAAATTCTTGTTGAGTTTGTATTAATTCTTTACCTCAGCAAGTGGGTAATCATGTACTTTTTAATATGTTTTTTGATATGTTTATTATTAGATTAATTTTTACATGTTTTTTAATTTTATTTTAAATTTTTAAAACTAAAATTATTACTTAATTTTTTACTACCTTATATATTTATAATTTTTTTCATAAATATTTATCTTTACATTTATAAATTTTATTATTATCTTATATTTCATAGTTATAGAGTTAGTTAAAGATAATTTTACTATATATGATTATTTTAAAAACTTATAATAGTATATTACATATATATATATATATATATATATATATATATATAGTTATATAGTTATAGATTTTTTAAAAGAATTTTAAAAACTGATTATTTCACACTCAAGACAGAATACAGAAAAAAAAATTAGTTTTTTATAGATAAATTGAAAATAAAATTTCCATTAAAAAATATTAAAATTCTACAAGACCACAACTAAATATAAATCTTTAGATAAAAAAGATGACAGCGCATTCCACTTTTTTCATTTTTAACAATAAAGGTTTTTTTACCTATTATCTTAAGGATAATAGTAAAAGAAAATAAGTATAATTTTTATAAAATTATATTTATAATATTTTTTAATCATTATTTTAAAGGTAATTGCTAACAAATTTGTAATAAGAATTGGTAAAGGCAACAGTGAAAAGAAAGCCACGGGACAAACTCGTGTTGTTTGCGTATTCTTATGAATCATTCTAAATTTGAAGAAGGAAGGGTGGATGTAGATATATTTTCGTGTATGTTATTCAGGGAAAAAAATATTATTTATTTATTTTTACGTATTTTAAATCAACATGCTCTAATACATACTTAATAATGCATTAAAGGATTTATGTATTACTTTCTGAAAATTACAAATTTGTTTTATGTAGAAATCTCGTTGAGTAATTTTTCTTAACTTTAAAAAATTATGTTAAAATTTTTATAATCATAATTTTTTATTTATTTAAATATAAATTTTGTTTTAAACTCATTCATACGTGAATCTAAGCGTTCTCTATTTGCTTTTAGCCTTTGGGTTGAAACCTTGGGCCCTACAAATTTGGACTGCAAATACTTAAGTATGTATGGTCAATTTAAATGCATAAAGAATGAAGTAGGACCCTAAGAAAAAAAGAAGCCCAAAAGAAAATTTAGGATACCCACTGTTTTGCCATTAATTGTCTGTTTCTGCAGTGTGAATAGTTGCATATCAATTGTTTTGTTAAGATTATGGTAAAGTTGGCATTTGGCAGTGCCATTTTTCATCAAATAAGGGAGGGGAGCACCTATTCATCAAGACACACGCATAAGATGAGTCAATGGAGTGATAAACATGGAGGATCTAGAAAACACTCACAGATGGAGTTGAAACTTGAAACTGAACAAATTTTAATATATATCAACACTTAATGACTGATATTACAAAATCCTTGCGTTAATTACTAATGAACAATTATAATCTACACATAATTTTAAAAGAAATTAACAACAAACTCTTTTTAAAAAGTCAAAATAACAATTAAAAATTATTAATATACCAAGCAAATGCCTTACCTTCTTAAAATATGAATCATAAAATATATTCAAAAGTAGGGATGACAATGAGTAAAGTACACGATAGACACCCACAATATTTATCCACAATAGGTAGGGTATTTACTCGCTACATGGGTACGAGTATGGGTGTAGGTAAAAACTCACAAATTTTAATGGGAATGGATACCGGTATAAATATCTAAGTACCCATCCTGCCCCATACCTGCATAATATGCTTGAACTTTGTTCTACAATTATGTATTAAATTTTTGTATTATTATACTACTTATGTGAAGTTATATAAGATTAATATAAAAATATATTTAATAATAAAGTAAACCAAAAAAATTTATTTTGGTTTATATTTTTAATAGAAAAATTTATTTACTATTTTATATCGTTTAGTTAGGCTAATACAATTTAATTATTACATAGTTGATATGGGATTGACTTTTTTAAAAAATGTTATTTATATATGACACATATAAAATATTTGTCACACAAATATTTTTGTTAATAAAATTATATTGGTATTTAAATTATAAAGTGAATGATAAATAATAAACATATTATAAATATTTTATAAATTTTACAATCACCTACTATTATCGTAAACTTATTACTTATTGATAATATTTAAATTTTATTTTTTTATATTTTAATTTAAAATAATATTTTTCTATGCAACATATGCATTACAAGTACAACCATAATATATTAAATCTAAATAATATTATTCTTACTATTTATTTACATTCAAAGAAGTTTTTGAAAAAATATAAAATATAAAATTATTGTTAATTTTTTCTTCAGAAAAAAAAAGTATAATTTTTTTATATACACATATATTTCTTTATTATAAAATTTCATTGTGACTATTTATCTTTTATTTAAATTCTTTCTTTTAAAATTTATATACATTATAAATATTTATATTTTTGATAAAATACTTTCGTATAGTATATGAGTTAAAAATACTAGTATTAATATATATATTATTTTAATTAAATCTATTATTTTTCTTACAATTTCAAATTCAAAAGTTAAAAAAAAATAATTTATATATCTACTTTTCGTTATTAGTACTTGAACTTCTTTGTCCTAACTCTACTCTCATTCTTAATGTTTGTCTCATTAAAACCTAACAAATATAAACGTTATTCATTAGAGTTTATTGTCAATACCGTCACAAGAGGTCACTAAGTGATCCCACACGAATGACCACCCATTGTGCAGATCTATTTCGTTGTTGCTTTGACATTGTCGATCGATCGAATCTCACATAAGATAGGGTTATCGTCGATAAATAACTTGTGTGTTTAATTTCACTTATTATTTCTAAGAATTTTAATTTAGAAAATTATTGTATTAAGATACATTTAGCTTTTAAATATTTATTTTTTATCTATATTTGTACCTTATTCGGCAACTGCATATTGAATTTTTGTATTATTATACTATTTATGTGAAGTTATATAAACATATTTTTTTATAAATATATTTTTCTCAAATAAGCGCAGGTAATGGATACAAGATGGATATATGAGTACCCAAAAAATACAGGTACGGAGATTAATGTTCATATCCACGCGGGTATAGAGTTAGGTATGTGTATTTTTTTAAAACGTAGGTATAGGAATGAGTACTATAGTACCTTACCTATACCTTACCGATTGTCATACCTATTAGAAAGAGTGTTTTGTTAATTTTTTATCAAATACTACTTTATCCTCAAGACATTAATTAAAGATTTTTTGTTGTTGTTAGAAACATAACAAATACAGTGTAACATAAATTTTAATAAAAACTTACCCGTTTTTATGGTAACCAGTGTCATTAAGACAATTAAGAAATTAAAAATAAAAATATTTTATTAAAAAACATAATAAATATACTTGTAGTTTTTAATTCACACCAACATAAATTTTAATAAAAATTGATCATTTTCATTTGATTAAGCGCACTTGATAGCATAAACCCTATATTTTTTGTTTATTTTTTCATTAAATTTGAGCAAATAGGCGATGAAATCTATGCTTGCCCGTTTTCTCCATGGCAAGGCCAAGGATGAGGGAAACCTACTAACAAAAGCGACAACAATGATTATCCTTTGAGCGAAAATACACGTCTTCAAGTAGCTGATAATGAATTTTATACTTGTTTTTTCTTTCGAATTGTATGTGATTAATTGTACTTTTATGCATTCGCACTTGCTTATAAGTGTTGATACTGTTACTTTTATTATACGTAATCTGTGAATAAAATTATGAACGGATGAGAGAAGGTTTATTAATTACCAACTCTCATCATGAAATGATTAGTCAAGACCAATGAATCAATATTTAATTAAATTGCTGTATCAACTAAATTTTGTTCAAATTAAGATGTGTCATTAAAATGTAATTTAAATATGGACAAATATATATAACAGCTTACAGAATTAACAATTTAATTTGTGTAGAAATAGATAACAACAGAAGGCATCATGAACAACACAATGACCTTTCTTTTTTCTACAATTTTGATTGAAAAAGCACACTAGAACTTCTTTCTTTAAAGTTCGTAGGTCATTCCCACTTTGACCATACGCTTGTGTGGAATATCAAATATTTTGTCACTCTGTCTCAAGTTTTTCTTCAAGAAATTGTAGGCATAATCTATCAAAATCTTCTTCCCAATGTTAGCTCCTTTGATGGCAATCACCTCATTTTCACCAATCAAGTGAACAACACCTGCTCGTGATGCTTTCTCAACTTCCTCAATCTCTCTTTCAATTGCCTCTTGTACTCTCTCATCATCACTAATTTCTTGTGCTCCATTAACTTTATCATCATCAACGTTGTAGTTTTCATCAGTTTGACCATTCTTAAGCACTTTTTGTGACAACAAAAATTCCTCAGCAATATATTCCTTTAACCTTTCAACCAACAACTTCTCAAAAGGTTCTTGCTCATTGCGCACATCAGTGTATCCATATCTAACAACACATCGAAATACATTGAGGTTTTTAGGCTGTACTTGTCTAAAAAGGAACCTTTCTTCCATTGGAACTTTGCTAATAGGCAATGATTTGATTGAAACAAAGACAAGGACTGAATGCAGTGCTGGCACATTTGCCACATAATGCTTGAAAATTGGTGGGATACCTTGAACAAGCTCAGAGTAAAACAATGCAAGACCTGGCATTCTACAAAAATTTGTGTTAGCAGCAATCTCTCTAACCTTCTCTGGAGAAACCTTATGATCTAGTTCATAATAGTACTTCCTTCGGTACACATTATTCCAAACATACATGATGATCATTAGCACTGCAGCAAATGCAAGAGGAAGATACCCTCCTTGGTCAAATTTATATAAAACTGAGCTTAAATAAGTAAGCTCCACAGAACCAATAATGAGCACATAACCAATAACCAATAGCATGTTGGTCTTCCATATCATGATCATGATTAGCACAAGCAAAGCAGATGTAAGTGTCATTACAAACACCACTGCTATCCCTGCATTGTACAAATATATACATTAACAACTTTCATTGTCCATAATATTTTACTACGTGGGCTGAAGTGCAAAAATTAAGGTTCTAAGAGAATGAGTTACCATAAGCATTGCCAATTTTGGTGGTGGTTTTGAACCCAACAGTGATGGCAATACATGCAATCATGAGGATGTAGTTAACCTCTGGGATATAAACTTGTCCTTCATACTTGGTTGATGTATGTACAATTCTCACACGAGGAAAACATCCCAGCGATAGGGATTGTTGAATTATAGAGAAAGTACCAGAGATCATGGCTTGAGAAGCTATAATTGCTGCCAAAACAGCAATCACAAACATTGGCCAATATAGAGAGTCTGCAACATATGTAACCATGATTAGTCATTTCTTATAATACATTTTGTTTTTAATTTGTAATAAACTAACAATTGAATTGGTTATTTCCATGGTTTTCAATTTTAAGTGGTTACACAAAATTACCTGGTATGGACTTGTAGAATGTGTCACTAACAAGATTGTTATGTTTACGAAGAAAGGATGCTTGTCCAGCATAAGCCAATATGAGAGCAGGGTAAGTGACAGAACACATACTTATTTGTATGGACCGAACTGTGAAATGTCCAACATCAGCAAATAGTGCTTCAGTTCCTACAATAAGGTAAAAATCACATTCGCATCAAACCTAATGTTATGGTCAGCACGTGATTAAGAATGATTAGTTGTATACAAAAGTGAAAGTGAATATGAACCTGTTATGGCCAGAACAACACCACCAAGAGAAATCCAAGCATCTTTCTTGTTTCTGCTGAAGTAATCTACTATGTATTTTGGATTTATTGATTTTATAACCGATGGATCATGCTTGATGAAATTGTACACGCCAATACCTCCAATGAAGGTGAACCATATACAGATAATGGGAGCAAAAGTGTAACCTACCTTATCTGTTCCAAATCTCTGAACCATGAAAAGACCGACCAAGATTGCTACAGATATCAAAACAATTTGATCTGTGCACAAGCAATAGAAATTGCGTTAATTGTTATCATGAACAGTACCTTTTACTAAACTAAATTTAGTGTTTTGTATCACAACCATTAAATGATAATAATTTGAAAAACTTTTACACAAAAACAGTCAAGAGACTTATAAATAAGTCGATCTCCTTATGAAATCATAATTTTTTTTTTATCATAAAAAATAAGATTATGCAAGAATGAGTTTTCCTTGTTAATTCTTTAATGATTATCATTATTTTTTGTGGCATCCACACCAGCATGAAAAAATTGAAAATTATTTTTAAAGGTCTAAATGTACGTTTAAAATTAAACACGCTAAAAAATATGAAAATATAGATTTAAAGTAGAATTTATGATTAATAATATTTAAAATAAACGCAAATTTAAAGTAATGCAAACTTAAATTTAAACATACTATAAGTTATTTAAAAAAAAATTGTCACTGTGATAAAATCAAAAGAATATATCAAAATTAAAAAAAAAAAAAAAAGGTATTTACCGTCAGTTATTTGGTTAGCAGCTTGCTTAATCCCTCCCACAGCAGACAAAACTGCAACAAAATTAAACCTTATTTCGTATGTTTGTCTCATGGTGAAAATACAAAAAGAAAAATCATAATTTATATAGATATTTTTATAATAAAAGAAACAACATGCATTGCATAAACAAAGAAGAAAAATTATCAGAGGACTAACCAGAAATGCAAGGGGTGAGAACACCATCACCAATGACCATGGAAGTGCCAAGCATGGTAGCAAATAACAGGAAGAGCTTCATAAAGTGGCTGTTCTCAAGATTAGACTTAAGCTTTGATGCTCTCCTCTCACGATTGTTTGGTGATTGTAGCTGGTAATTAGACACTTCTGCATCCTCAAGTTGTTGATTTGGAATGAGTCCCACTTTGGCATAACGGCATATCAGGGAGTACATAGCAAAAGTCCCTCCTACAAAATGTCCATACACATGCATATATTAAAAAAATGCATTCACAGGGTTATAAGCATTCCCTTGTGAAAAATTATATGTTAAGTGACAATAAATGCAAGATAACAATAGTATACGCACCATTGCCATTGTCGTTGGCCCGTAAAACGACGAAGACATACTTTAGAAGTGGGATGAGAGTGATTGTATAAAAGATCAAAGAAAGAACTCCTAATATGTCATCGTTGTGCTTTATGCCATCCGTGAAAGTGCTTGAATACACATACAACGGCGATGTTCCGATGTCTCCGTACACTATTCCAATACTTTGAAACGCAAGTTGCAGAATCACCGTCATTGCTGTCCCCTAATATCATCAAACAGTTGACCAAAAAACAAACCAACGTAGTGGTCAATTAAAGTACCTTTCTTGGCCCACGTAATATTAAAGAAAAACAAACTGATATTGAGAAAAAAATAGTTTTCTTAAACGAATTTAATTAAATTAAATTACAAAAAAAGTGTAAATAATATCAAATAAATATTTAAAAGAACTTTAAATTGACAAAACCATGTTTAATTTTTCCATTTTCCACGTAAATTGGAAGACACTGTGTTTGATTTTATACTTTTATAATTTATAATAATTTATGAGTCAATAAAAGAGATTAACTCGAAAGAGTACGTTAAAAGAGATTATTTTTATTTGAACAGTACAATCAAGGTTTATAGATTAATGAAAGAGGACAAATATGGCACATACTGTAGACGCATGGCTGTGGGAGGTGGGAAAGCTGCGAGATTCCATTTCAAGAGAATCATTTCTTCGCAACTTTTGGAAGGAAAGCTTCTTTCCTTTGAGCCCGGGTTGCTGGTGATTTTGCTCTATACTTTCATTGTTAGCAATGTTCTCCATGTCTACAACTACTGTTTCTTCTACAGACATTTTAATGTTTTGACAATAGTGTTCTACAAATTTGCTCGAAGAACCAACTGATAAGCTAGACTTTCTCCTCTCACAAATAACTTAACACTATCTTTCTTGAATTACGTTGGTCACACCCATTTAAACAAAAGGGAAAAGTTGTGATCATTGATCACACAGAAATAAGAGAGGTACTCTCTCTACTTTGGTTCGTGAAGGGTTGTTTATATAGAGAAATAATAAAAGAAGAAGGCATAAAAAATTCAACTTCCAAGTTCCAACCATGTTGTAAGAAGCTGCAAACGTCGGAGTCAAGATCCTGATTGGCGCCCACTATTTAGAAGTAATGTTAACTCGTGACAAAAGCAACAGTAACAATTGCACTTTTTCAAAATAGTGTAAGTAGAGAAATTGCATTTATTTAGTTTTTTATTCGATAAAGGGAGATGAAGAAAAGGGTCAGAGAAAAGTGTAATTAAAATAATTAATGAGATGAAAAGAAATTAAGGGAAAAATATATTGTAGAAGAGTATTGTATAAATGATATCACGTGTAATTATTTCAAAAGTTTGTGGAGAAAGTAACGTTGAGATTTTCTGCTTTGAACAAGTGGGAAAAAGAGATACCGTAACGTGAACAAAGTCCTCGTTACAAGCTTTTTCTACGTCTTCGCATAACGTAAATGATAATATCTCAGACACGGTTAGGCATGGAAATTGGACGCATATTTGAAATTTGTGTCTTCACCATCACTAATGTGAAAATGAATTTCCCAATAGAAAACTTGTTCTCATATTCATTTCATTATATATTGTTTTTTTAAAAATTAATAAAGCATTAGTTATCTTTTAATGTTATTCTTTTATCATTTTAGCATTTCATTAAATAAAAAAGAAGACTTAATGGAACACAGTGGAATTAATATAATAAAAAATTACTATAACAAATATTTTAACAAAAAAATGATAATATCTTACATGTCGCATTCTATAAAATACAAATGTTATAAAAGAGCTTGTAGGGTTGAATATGGCGTTGATGTTGAAAATTTGATGTCCATATTTCAAACTATTCCAATTTCCAAGCACGCTTTATCCGCAGCCTCGTCCAAGTTTTCGTGCGATAGATAGGAGACGACCGTGAGAAATTAAGGATAAGAATCGAGTGTTTTGAATAACTTACGAAAATAATTTATAATTTTTCAAATTATTTTAACATAATAAATTTTTATGTTATAAAAAACTGTTGAATAAAAAGTTAAATAAAATTTGAATTTTACCAGTTCACATGAGACTGTTCAATTGGGATGTTAACATGTCTTTAAAATTGTTAGGTTTGGTGATTTGTCACACGATGAACCATATTCCTACATCTAAGACCAACCCATTTCTCCAATAGAAGAGGGAGCAACCACGGTCACCTTGAGACTTGTATAAATAAATTTTAAATAATATTTACATTTTCTTATATTCTTATTTATTTGTCAAGAAACCACATAGACTAAATGGTTTAACTATTTTATTGAAATTATTTGATTATTTTTCAATTTATCTTTTATTAGTGATTTTTTTTCTAAATTTTTAATCTACTGTAGTTAGAATTTTTATATGAAAAAAACAGTATTAAGAGAAAAATGATAATTAATATCATTTTGAGTTTTTATATATTCACTTATATAAACAGGAATCTACATGCATTTCACTATCATCTCTAATTTTATGGTGTATTTTAAAGTAAAGTCCATATTTAGTTTTATTGTAGTTATTTTGCAACCTTGTCTTTGTATCTATACTGATTGATTTAAATCCAACTTGTATCCCATCATTTCATGATTTCATCGTCCATAAGAATATATAAGCTTCCAAGTTCCAAAATAGTCAAAGTCAATAGTCACGTGATTAATCTTACAGCTTTCTGTACTGTGTAGGGTTCCCTTCGCAGTTGCTATCAAATTGCAATTTGCAAGCAAATACCCTTTTAACTCTGCGGCCCCGTCCGAAAAGAAAGACGTAATTTTCAAAAGTTATCCAAATATTGGTTTTTATGCTTATTTTTTAATTATTAAATAATTTTTAAAATAATATATATATATATTACTTAATAATTACTTTCTTAAATAAGTAAAAATAATTAAAAAAATCATCAGATATTAATTCGACTAGCAAGCAATTTGATATTATTTAAATAAAATTTTGAATATTATTTAGGCATGGTTAGAGATTTGAATTTTTGTATATAAAAAAAATTTCAATGTTAGACTCACTTAAATTGAATAAAAAAATAATTAAAATATTTTGAAAAATTATATAATAAAATATATATATATATATATATATATATATATATATATATATATAAAGGTTATCCCGTTGTCAATCTCAATCGGGGATGGGCAACACGTCCCCCGTCAACTTATTCCTTAGTCGATGTCTCATAATATGTCTATTAGATCATAGAATAATTGTTATTTTAATGATAAGTAAAAAAAAAAAAATGAAGTAGTATTAAGTTAAATGAGGTTGCTAACTTTTATTCTACTGTTTTTGTCAGGTTTCGTAATTTTTATTTGTATGAACTTTAGTAAAGTCTGAGTGTAGAATAGGGCATTTGTACAGTAAAAATTTAGTGCAGATGTATATTTTACCAACATGATGAGGTCTGTGAAGAAAAATTACAATTTTTAAATTCAATTATATTTTGACTATTAAGTTCTTAAAAGTAAACATTAATATGGAAACAATTTTTTAATTCCCAAATCTAATGTTAGCAAAGACTGCTTGGTATTGAAAAATATTCATAATATTATTATTTAATTTTGAAAATTTAATGACACATTATCTCAATTTTGTTAGCTAAAGAGGTTGGGTATAAGGATCAATATCAATTCTCAAAGATATATCTACCTAATAATTGTGCTACCATAATGCTAAAAAATATCTGAGTAGCAACTAGGGTTGTTTTCTCATAATGTAAAGAAATAAAATGTATTTTATCTTAAAAATTATGCAAAGATTATCAGCTGAAATAATTGACGGGAGAAGATATTTGTGCTACAAATATCTAAGAACCATGGCCACAGCACCAACTCTACTTTAGTTTTCACATATGATGACGATAGTTAAGTAGAAGTCAACAGTGGAAATCACCTAGGTGGTACTGGGTGATTTAATTTATAATACAATAAAAAACCATACATTAATATTATTAACATTAAACTAAATTTGATAAAATTAAACTTTTACATATTTAATAAACTAATTACTTTTGTTATTTTCTTAATTCTATTATAAATAATATTGAGTTGACTTCATATTTAATTTAGAGTTATTTTGTTTTATTTTTCTATTTTTAAAAGTCTTACAAACTAATTGTTGTATTAACTTTTTGTTAGAAGTGAACCAAATATAATTAATTTTTTTTACATTAACTAAAAAAATGAAAAAAAAAATCTCATTGAAATATCTTACTTATTTATCTTTTTATATTATGTCCCTTTAATGTCAATTAAAAATAAAACATTTGAATTCTAACAGTTTTGACCAAAAAAGATAATTAATATTTAAGAGAAGAATATTTCTCTATAAAAAGGGTGCCGAAAAAAACAAGATTTAAAACTGAATTCAAGTTAGATTATTAAAATAAATATTATGAAGTCAAATATGAAATAACTCAACATTGTTATTTATCAAGTTAAGTGAAATTAACAAAAATGAGCAATTTATTGGTTCTGTAAAAATAAAGAACTAAAAATAAAATAATTAAAAGTGAACAGATCAAACTAAAAATAAATAAATTAGAATATCAAAAATACATGCTTTAAAGAGAAGGGAAGTACTGAAACATTCCTTACTTTTCCACATTGTTTGCTTGTGATGGGAGGCTGACATCGTTGACAAGAATAAGCACAAACGCATTCTCTTGGCGGCTTGGCTGGACCATCCATCTCTCATTCCTTACTCCTTCCGTCTCTTTCTTTCGCTCCACACCCCACCAACAAAGAACAACAACCCCTATTTCTCCTGCTCAACTTAGGGTATGTTTAGATTTTTAAAAAATGGTTAAATGTGCACTTGGTATCACGCATTTTTAATTTAATTCTTATAATAAAAATTTAGTTTAACCCACAATCTTGAAAAAAACAAATGAGTAGTCTATAATGTTTTGGTAGGATTTCTTACTAATGACAGATTACAGGACTCTGCTCTTTTCTTCTTTTTGTGGAGGATCCGGATTGAGTGTAGTTCTTATAAATTGACTATTCCTTGCTAAGATTATCTATAACGCTTTTCTGTTGAGTTTAGGCTCCTTTTGTTAAAAATTTGAAAAAGGAAATTACTGAGTCTTTTTTTTTTTTTAATACAACTGAAAGCAATTTTTTTAATACAAAAAGGCCCTTTTTCGGAGAAAAAAATAAGATAAAATAAAAGTATTCAAAGATCAAACTGAAAAATATTAAATCAAAAACTAAAATAGTAATTTTACCTACATATACGTATGATTCAGCCCTTCCTATAATCTTTGCCCTGAATGAGGTAAAAAAATGCAGCAGAAATAACCAAAATTTTTATTTTAAGGGCCCCTCTTTGCCAAATGCCTTTTGCACAGTGATACATTACTATTTATAACAGAACTGATTGGACCAATGCATTTACAATATTGGCACCATGCTCGACAAAAAAAATGGTGCATATATATCCAAAATAGACATTTCACAAAATTGGCCATGATATAATGAAGACAGGCCATACATAAATGACGATCCAACCCAAAAACAAAAAAAAAATCGTGGTTTTTCAATTTTTCGCAGTTCTTTGGGCCCTGTAAAATATTGGATTCTCTAATAGCTCTCTAGCAGAAGGCCGCTTAACCGGATCAGGGTCTATCATGACCTGAATGAATCACAAAAAAATCATATAATTCAACCAAATCAACCATGCATATTTGCCTAATAAAAAAGAACAAAACAAATAATACCAGGCAGAGTTTTACTCCATAATACATGGATGATAATAATAATAACAGCGGTTTTGCAAGTAACTTAGATTTTACGCGATTGAAACTGAACCAATCATATCAATTCATATAACTTTCACAAAATTATCATCGTGCAAATCAATATTTTCCAATTTTAGATGACGTAATGGTTGGATGACTCAATAAATACCAAAGCTTCAGGACAACGAACTTAACTTGAAATCGTAAAAATGGTAAAATATGTATTAGGGCAAAACGAGTGTATAATACCACTAGTAGCTTACACACTTTAATAATGTTCCAAGCCAAAAAAGGACGAACCGAATTATGATATTCCTTCATATGTGTGCATGTCTAGTTTCTTAAACGAAGTACACCACAGACCATACATTGGACTTCCCATTGGAGCAAATTGTAGTATTTTAAAATTTCATTGATATTTTAAACCACCACCACGTTGAAACTTGGAAGGTAACATGAAAACATAGGTAACAGATATTCATTGATATTTTAAAAAATTTTAAACCAAAACACAAGGCCAACTAGATTTCAGGTAAGAGAACAATGTATGGTACCTTGAGCAAGTTTTGAAGCTGCAGTGAATGACCAGGCAAGAGTGGCAACTTCCCCTCTTTAAGATTGAAAAACTGAGATCCTGACTCTGGCAAAGGCAACCTCCTAATCAGTTCAAAAATAGAAGCTCCCAAAGAGAAGATATCCACCTTGTCAAGGTGATCATAATTCTCATTAAGGATCTCCTGGGGCATATAACGTGCGTCGCCCTCCTCAATTGACAGGCTATTATCAAGTAGAGTTGCACATCCAAAATCACCAAGCTTATAAACACCATTTTTAACATAAATATTATCAGGTTTAACATCTAGATGAGCAATTCCCTTCTCGTGTATAAATAGCAGTGCATTGGCAACCTGACCAAATTTTCATGTCAAATTAAAATATGAATAAGAACAACGGATTGGTAAAAACTTGTGTAGGACTGTAAAAGGATAAGGCTGTCATAACTCTCAGATGCCATGCAATGACGCATGACAGCAAGATCTATTTAAAAATGCTCATGAAAGGAAGTTCACCTGAAATAAAACCTCAAGCACCTGTCCTTCTGTAAATAATGCAGAGCATTTTCTTATGGATAAACTGTGATCACATAGCTCCAACTGAATGTAGAGCTGTTCGTTTTCAAACCATGAAGAATAATACCCCACAATGTTCTCATGCGCACCTAAAAGGGCAAAATGGTTAATGAAATTAAGAAAATTAAATTTGGTACAAAAACAATTACGCAGAATAATAGAACAGAAGGTGAAAATATAAAATAAAAACCTAAGGCTGCCAAAGCTTGAACTTCCATCAAAGCTTTTCTCCTTTCAGTTTCCTGGTGTAATTGTCTGATGCTGCGTTTTACAGCATACAAGCAGCCATCTATTCGTTTTAATGCTTTGAAAACACTACTAAAGTTCCCTCTTCCAATTTGCTGGCAAGATAAGGAAAAGTTACACTTCAAACCAGAAAATTGAATGGCGACAAGGTAATACTATTTCAAAACAATCTATGACAATTTCAATATCTTTTGAAACATAATACCTCAATTTCATGAAAGTCAGTGCGATAGCGTGAAAGCCCATCACCACCAGTAATTGCAGGGAAGAGACCTGCAATTCTATCATTATACACTTAGAAAATTGCAATAAGTGTGAACGAAGTTCCAACTTCCAACAGATATAATACAGTGCATGTTGTGTAAACTTATCCACAATTCTTGAAAATGGCTAGCGAAGGAACTGAGTAAAACTATACCTGCACATTTTGATCTTTGGTTTCCAAAAGGATCTGTCTCTTTTTCTGAAACATCTTTCAAATAGGGGTTCCTAATGCAAGGAGGAGGCATAACCCTGCAACGCAATGCAATTGCTGAATGTGACACATAATTTTGTGCTACTGTTTTCTCAACGGCTACTTCTTCTGCAACAAAATCCTTTCCAAGCTCCACAACTGGTTGATGATCACCAGAAAAGGTAGGACTGAGAGGGATTCCTGAGATGGAATATACGACAAATATACATGTTGATTAGAGAATATAGGCTTTTAATAAATGTAGTTGCGTGAGAAAAGTGAAAAAAACAAAAACATACTGAACTATTAGTTTTAACACGGTTTAAATCTATGCGGCAAATAATGTATCAAAATACCCGAGTGAAGAGTGATAGAGAACAAGACAAACTGTAATAACATCCGACAATTTTCCTACACTTTTCCCAGCGATGTTCGAACTTGACTTCAAAACCTCAGTATAGACAATTCACAGTAGGTTCCACTCTCTCATTACACATGCATAGCCTAGATATCTTCCGTTAAAAGCGACAAGATCGGGGGTTTTCAGTAATTTTGTTTCTGGAATATCTTAAATTACAGCCATGTAATGAAGAATTGGAAAACTACATCGTTGAGTTTCAATAGATGTTAGAGGCGTTATGACAGCCGCATTTGGGATCATTGCAAGGTCGCTGGAGAACAATATCAGAATAAATAATTCAGGAAGTCGATCACATTCACTAATTCCTTTCTTGAATGCAGAGTGAGAGATACACTTCCCTTATACTTATAACGGTTTCGCCACTACATTCCTTTCCATAATGCAACCCCAATGGAATCACCTGACTTTAAAGTTATAATAAGGTATATTCTATCAAGTGAACATGTCTGAAAAATTGGTTTTTACCGAGCCCAGGGACATTATATGATCCATATAGCCAACTTCATCCAATAAGATAAAGCTTTTTTGTTATTTGTTTGTTTGTAATGCATTCAAGTTATCCATGTTAAGACTGTTAAATCTCAATGAACATACCAATTTAGTCAATGAAATTTAATCCTAGTGTAATGAGTTAAGCCGAAGAAGCTGTTTAGCTAACAGCACAATCACTCGAACAGTAGTATCATGCAAGCAGCCAAGAAATATTAATGAGTTCCGAAAGCTACAACCCGCACGAGCCTAAATCAACTATAGACATCAGTTTGTATACTCGTCACGAAGATGCAATTTCAACTCCGGAGTAACAAGATGCAACTAGTCTTACCCAGTCGGCACCTCTTGCTTTTTGTAGTGTTCAATTTCTCGGGTGATTTGGGGCAAGGAGTATCTTCCTGCAGGAAAAAAAAAACCTAAAAATCTGCTTCTCATTTTCGATAAAATCACCCCAAGCATCATCAATGCGATATTCATTACCTTGTCACAATCGAAGCCATTCAAAACATTCTGATTATCAGGGGTTATGTAATCGGGAGTGCTGACAAGACAAACAAAGAACAAGGTGAATGAAAGAGAAAAGGTAAATCGCGATTCTTTAAAACGACGACTAGGAAAAAGAGCGTTACCAGAAGATGTCCTGGCTGAGAATGAAGTCTTTGTCGTCCGCGGCAGCGGCAGCATCGTCGTTAACCGGCACGCGAGAGGAAGCAACGTCGTTAACTTCAGAATCGAGAAGGTTCTGGAAGCGAGAACCGGAAGTAGAAGATGGTTGGTGGAGGGGAAGGAGGGAGAATTGACCAAGCTGAAGCTGTAAGTGCCCACTGCTATTGCCACACAACGTGCCTTTCATCTTCCTCCTCTCTACCTCTCCATTCCTATTGCTTTTCCTCTTCATCTTCACCATAGATCTTCAATCAGTGACAGTGACGATGAAATACACTGTGACAGTGATGAGCTGAGTATATAAATATATAAACAAATGATTTTACAGAAAATTAAAAAATAAATAGGAATACGAAGAAGCTGAATAATTCAAAATCGCGCGGGTTACTTTCGATTTTATAGGTGGTTGGGTTAGATGTAGGTAATTCTATTGTATAGGTTTTTGTTCTTTCATCTTGGCCGTTGATTGAAGTGTGTGGTTTGATTAACGCTCGGATTTGGGTTTGAATGAAGGAGCTCTTTTAGAGGGCACGTATTGTGTTGGAGTACTGGGTAAGCTGATTTCATTTTTCGCTCATTTTTTTAATAAAATATTGATGGAAATTGAAGCATAGCGGGTGCGCAATGCGCATATTCGGTCTCTTAAGCCAACCGATGTGTTCATGTAATGAGACGGATTAAGATCTTTTTATGTCAAGAAATAACGTGATATTATTATCTTGAGATATTTTTAATTATTTGTTTTTAAGAAATTTAAATTAATGATTGAGATTATAATATTTTCTTTCTCTTTTAAAAAAACTCACAGTTTTAATTATTATTTTTTTCTTTTATTTTAACTAGAGAGTCAAACCCACCAAATTATGATGGTGTCAATAAAGTTCTTTGTTCTTAATTTATCTTTCAAGTTCACGTGTCTTTTTACCATGTAATACCAATCAATACTTTCTATAAAATGGAAGACCGCGTAGATGTTTACATGACAGTTTTTGTATACTTATCTTCCTCTGTTGTTGATTTGATTATTATTTTACTAAACTAAATAAATGATATCATTAAATAACATTAATATATATAGCCAGCATTCATTCACCATATAAATCACTTTTATGCTTTCAAACTGCGAAACTCTCTTTCTATTTTATGAAATTTTATTTAATCTAAACCAAACGTATGAGAAGAGATATAGAATGATAGTTGTTTGTTGGAATTGACGAGAGAATTTTAAATGCATGCTCATTGAGTTATGCGTCTTTACTATTTTAAGTAGGAAGATTAATATTTTGAAATTGAGTTCATAAACTTTGTAATTTGAAGTTATTTTTCAATTCTTTGTGTTCATTGTTGGTTTTGGGCTTACATTTTTAAATTAGGTGTCTCTGTATTTATTTTTTTTCAAATTAAATGGGAGTGTAGTTTGTTTCTTATTTCATGTCTTAAAGCTTTATGGATTCATGTAACTATGTAGGTATTTTTATTTTGATGTTACTGTGTTTTTTTTGTTATTATTCTATTAATCAACAAGGAAAAACATTGAGGCAGTGCACCCTTTTGTTATCAACAAGTTTAGGTCTTTTTTTGTATGAATTCCATTTTCTTCACTTCTTCTCATCTTATTAAGCACATTCTTAGTTTAAGTTGCTAGAATTTTAATACATTATTGTTGCTTAGTATCCTTGATTAGGAAAATAGTTAAGAAATTAAAAATAATTTTTTTATGAAGACTTATATTACATAAAAAATTACCAAAAAATATAATTTTTTAATAAAAAACTTTATCTTAAATTTTTAACTAGTACTTTGACAACCACGTCGTAATGATTTTAAACAAAATTATATTTCTCAATTAATTTTGCAATATAGGAAACAAACCTAAGTTATTTCACAAGGACACAAATTCATTATGTTTTTAATTTTAAACATGCAAGCGTAGTTAAATTGGGGGGAGTTTTGTGATTTTTAAGAATTTAAACAAAACGTAAACCCTAAAATTGGAATCGGAATTGAAATTGAAATGCATTAATGTGAATAAATAATGATGAAAACTATAAATATGAATTATCAACATAAAAATGAAAATGAAAAAAATTTAAACTCAGAAAAATGAAATGAATTTAAACCCAAAAAAATGAAAAAAAATTAAACCCAAAAACACAAAATGAATTTAAATAAAAAATAAAAGCAATTATAAAATGAATGCAATCAAAACAAATGCAGATTAAAACGAACGAACGTAATTTAAAATGAAAATGAATTAAAGTAATTATGAATTAAAACAATTAAAACGAACACGAATTAAAACTACGAATCACAGACATAAACTAGGATTACTCTATCAAATTTGTCTAAATCTCAAATGCAAAAGAAATCAATCGATCAATCTTACATTCAAAATTAAAAATTAAATTCAATCAAATTATGCATGCACAAATCTTAATCAAGAATTGCGAGAAAGTAAAAAAGTAAACTCATAGCGATCAATTGATCTTGTAATCCACGCTTTAGACAAGATGATTAACGAGAAAAGAATAATTAAGAATTGTAGCGGAATCAAAAATTAAATCTTTACAAAATCTGAAAAGAGGCAAGTACACAATAACGAAAAAGGTTTTCTCTCAAAAACGAGAAAAGTCTTACAAAATCCAAAATTATAAAAAGGAGAGGTCCGAAGTCAACCTTTTGACCTTTATATATACTGGTATTAAAGGAAAACGAAAATAAATGAGGCAAGATTACCACAAGTAATTATAATAAAAGCTCTAAATAAGAACTCTAAATATAAAATGTATGTTTTAAGTCTGAACTTAAAAAATTAATAGAAAATAGCTACAAACTTCAAACAATACGATCTATATGTCTAAATTGAAGCCAGGAAGTCAGGAATCTATTGCAAAAAGAACTAGCCAAAAAAGATATTTACAGAAAAAATTATAGTCAAAATAATGGACAAAGGTCAAAGTAGAGAAAATATGAAATATAAAGTAAAGATAACAAGTATTTATGAAAATTCTAATTTAATGCAAGAAATGCAAAAACATATTAAATGAAATGGAAAAACTATAAATGTGAGTAAAAAATATAAATTATCACTCTTAAAGCATTGGTTAGCATTTGTCATATTAATAAAAAAAATGAGATAGCCTTTTTAGTGGTTTGTTTGGCTCTAAAACTAAAAGTATGCAACACAATAATCTTTTGCTGAACCGACCATATTTGAAGCATGCAAACATGTGTCATTTGTAAGTCTTTTGAATATTATCTATTTTGTTTAGATGAAAAACTAGCTGAAAACAAATTGTTGTGGTCAAGTGTAGGTTTTAAATTTATATTTCAACGGTATCCAACTCGACTACGATACGTATTTAAACACAAGTCATTTTACAAGTGTGTGTATTGTGCACTTGCAAACCTATCATGTTTGACTGGCCTTAAATATTTATATTTTAATCAATAAATTGTGACGAACTTAAATAAGAATCTAAATATCAGTATAAATATAAAGACATATAAAAAATTTGTTATCCATATAAATATATAAACAAATACATATAATTTTTTAAAATACGAAACATATGATATACTATGGCACTCTACCTGACTTTATCGACAGTGATTCCTAATAATAATAAAAACCGCAATAACACTCCATAACGCTATTGTAAACATATCAATCAATTCGGGGTGTAACTAGGCCAAGAACTGTAAATTCAGCTTCAAGGATGCAAGTGTCGTCCACCAAAAACCCTTTGTCTGGGTCTTTCAGTTTAGCCAAGGCCACAAGCTGTCTTGAACCCCACGTCGATTTCGAGTTCGAGAACTTACGACAAACTACAAGATAAACCAAGTTAATATCACGAACTCGAAATGTAACACCTCGTTATCTTTGATAACTACTCTTTAAGATAACAGTCAAATTAAGAGTTGAGAATATAATTTTTTGTTAGAAAATATCATATTTCTCAACCAAAAATATTATATTTATTGAGTTTTTTTACCGTTGTTTTTAAGTGCACTGTTACTTGTTAGAGGAGTTGATGAGATTGTAGTTAAGAAGGTAAATATGGCCTTACATTTTTGTTGAGCATGTTGCCCACTGATTTGATCTTTTGCACGTACAATGCAATCCGCAATCAATTTAGTGTTAGGGGGAAGTGTTGAGACTTCCAAAACTAAAAATAAGGATATACTGTTGCCCTTTCCCTCAACGACTCCATCAGGGTATAAAAGGAGCTTCCTGGGGGGAAAAAATAGATTTGCCAAAGATAAACATTAATCTAGTTTTTCAATACATATTTGGACATCTAATCTTTAAATTTGTGATTATTTTCTTCTATAAATTACTTTGATGAACCAGCTAAATTACTTTGATCATTTATTCATACAACAAATCAGTGATAAGAAAGTAAAAAGCGTTTGTGTATACCATTTATAGTTTCCACCAGCAAACGGTTCAGATTCGTACTTGTCTAATTTTGCGATGGAAAAGTTGTTGAATTTCCAAGTGTAGGAAAAAGTGGCAGGTCCATGAATCATTGATAAACAATCGCCTTTGTTCGTGGTCTTGACAACGAAAACCTCAGCTCCAAACACACAGGTATCGTTCATCAAATATCCATTTGAAGGGTCGTTAAATGTGTCAATGTCAATGAAATTTGGGATACCCCACTCAGTTTTCAGGACATGAAAACGCCTTACATCTGCATCTGCATGAATTTCAATTTGTTAACATTTAAGTTAAGATTAAGATATAAAAAAAATTGATAATATCCTTTAAAATAGTTTCACCCGTTTGATCGTAAGCATGGCACGTGACCTGAGAGAGAGAGATGGAGAGAGGTTTGTACAATACTAGAAATCACCAAGATATATATAGAGAAATTTTTATATGGTTAAGAATGACATGATCTTCATTGATCATATTATAGTACATAAGTTTTATAATTTATAAAAACAAATAATATATATCCCAATGTGAATAATTAGAATTATATCGTATCGTCTTGGACCATCTGAAAAATTCTTCACATAAACTAACTATAATGTAATAATAATAAAAATGTTATTATAAAAAAAATACACTTTTTAATCAATTTATTTTAATATATTTTAGTTATTAGTTAAAATTTAATAGAAATTATAAAAAAAATAAAAACATATTAAATTAAAAGTAAAATTTATATGTTTTAATAAATTTTATTCAATAATAAATATGTTAAAAAAATAAATTAAAATAACATATGATCAAGATTTTTCAAAATAATAATAATAACAACTCTTTGTTGCTAGTGTAATAATGTTGATCATAAGTTAGAAATTACTCAACTCCGACTGTACCTTGTGTTGTTACATACTCATCATTCATAAAATTATATGCAGAAAAATTTACGATGGCGTTGACCTCCCAATCAACAGGTAACAAACTTGGGTCCATGAGCACCAAATAAATAGAAACATGGCCTTCCCCACCTCCTTTTGAGTTCCCATTTGGATAAATCGACAGGCTCCTGCATGTACATCCATTGAGAATCGATTGAATATATATAGAAGATGAAAAGGCATAAACGAAGACCAAAGCAAGATCAATGATGTTATCGTTGTTGTGAAGCTGCAGTTTTGAATGTTGTAATTAACTTGTAAGTTTCAACTACTTATATATGTGAGTAAAAGTAGAGGTATCGTTTGAAGGCAAAAGGAGTACGCATACCATTTGTGACCTCCTGCTTCAAACTCTTCCGAGGAAAATTTTTGTACTGAGGCCTTGGAAAGCCATGAGAAGGAGATTATTTTGAATGTGTATTGACTTGGTGGAGCTTTTCTTCCTAAGAGATGTAGCCAAAAGATAGAGTTATTTAATTGGGTATGGAATAGATTTATCCACCTTCTTTTATATATATATATATATATATATATATATATATATATATGTGTGTGTGTGAAGGGAATGGGAGAAAAGAAGCAACACCTTTCATGGGTGTGACAGAAAATAATGGATTAGCAGTTTTGATCTCCATGATGATTGATGCAGGCAATTAAGTGGCAAGGACTACAAGGAAGCTTAATTTGGATTTTGGAGTTCCTCAAAATTATAACTTTCGTGTGCAGGTGCAGATCTATTACCGGTTCCATATGATATTTTAATTAAATGCTTCAACAAGCAAAGGATTGTTTAAGAGTTATGCATTTGGTTAATACCTAGCTAGGGCGATGCTTACACGTTAAGCAGCATTTTCATACGCAAATAAGAGGATCCATCACCTTTGGTATAACCCAATACACACACACACACAATCCTTTCCTTGTTGTACTAGAAACGTGAAGAAATTGTATTGAACAACCCAGTGATTGGATTTCAAGACCCTCGTCAATGACTCGGTTTCTTTAAAAAAAAATTAAATAACTAAAACAAATTACTGCCAGTCTAGTTTTTTGTGGTTACGGCCCTAATATTTTGTGCTTTTATATTTTCAAACATTTTTCCCGTTATCTTTACAAGTTTTAATATCAAAATTTAACAATACTTTTTTATTTTTTAAAATATGCTATTGATAGAGAAAATGGATCATAAAGAGAAAGAAAGAAAACGGTGGAAAGAAAATTAAGATGAACTGAGAGGAAAAAATTCAAGTTGGAACAAGAAGGAAAATAAAAGAAGTGTTAAGAGTTCGCAAAGGAGAATTGGAGGGAGGGGAAGAAAAATTAAATAATTAGGGTTAGGACTTTACTCATATGACCGACCCAATTTTAACTATTTCTAGCTAGAAGTAAGATTTTTTTAGAGTTAGAGTAGATATAGAACTTTCTTTTTTAGTGGTGGAGGGGGAAAAAAGGGGATGTGTTATCATTTTTTTATATTATATTGATTTAGTTGGTTTATTTCTTGAATTTATTGTTTTAAATATATAATTTTTTATTTTTGTGTCAAACAATAAATTTTGACAAAGAATAGATAAACAATATATAAAATAAGTAGTGAATCTACTTTTTTAAGAAACATAGCATTTTGTTTATTGTGTCGTTGAATTTCATGTAATGTATATAATATACATTTTTAGGTGATTTTAAGGTGTGGTTTATAATTTGAATTTATTGTAACTCGTGATGGGGTTAATGCCTTGGATAAGTTTTTTTTTATATATATATTTATTATATATATACTATTTTATTCAATATGTGAATTTGAAAAAATAATAAAAAAGGTGAATAGTCAATTTAATTCGAACAGTAAAAGATTAATTACATTTAATAAGCATTCATATCAGATTTAGTTAAAACTACATGTTTTACATTCAAATTTCACAGCTTTTAATTAAAATGGTTTCGAATTCAATTGCAAATATTATTAAAAAAGGTGTTTTAGGAGTGTTAAAAATGACTCGAGTTATAGAGTACAGATTCAGAAATAGTAGCAATAACAGCAATGTTTGGTATTGAAGATTGATTATGAAGAATGATTTATCTTCATTTATATATTCTGTCAATAGCGTAAATAATAAAAGGCCCCATAGTAAAATGCTCCACCCTTGTATCCTTGTGCAATGTATTTGAGGATGAAACGTTACTAAATGGAAGTCATTTCATACCCCCAAAGAGCATTAAAATGAACTTTTTAAAAGCATTTTCCTCACACATGCATGGGTCAAATTAAAATAATCAACTTTGGTTTTCTTTCTTGGAAAAAAAAAACTGTGATAATGGTAAATTACTTTTGAATTTAATTTATTTTTCTGTTAAAAGTCATATATTATACAAATATCACCTTAAAACCATATATAATATATTTTTAAAGATAGCTTATCTAATGAATTTTGACAATTTAAACAAAATTTTAATTAAATATAATAAAAGTCGAACTTTTAGTTCTAAAATATTAAGGCCTTTTACAGCATCAAGTCGTTGTAGTATAGTGGTGAGTATTCCCGCCTGTCACGCGGGTGACCCGGGTTCGATCCCCGGCAACGGCGTTTTAAATTTTTTTCTCCTTTAATTTTTAAAATATGCGTGTTCCTTAATTAACGTACTTGATTAAACCAGTAATCTCACACTTAATTTAATTAATACAAATTACTGAGAGCAGTGACTGATAAGGTTGCGTGCTTAGCGGGAAAGAGAAGCTGAGAATAATTTTCAATCCTTCAAACACCAAAAGTATTATTCTTCTCACTTCAATCAATGGCCACCCTCTCCGCTTGCGCTTCACCACCTTGGCCAAACCCTAACCCTACGCCCAATTCAAATCCAAACCCTGATTTTCTTCCCGACCAATCCCAAACACTCGATTTCGATTCCCTTATGCCTCCCCAACCTCAATCCCCACTCAATCACTCCCCCACTGCCTCGCCGGAATCTTCCCCCCCTCCGCTGCCGCTGCCATCGCTCCTTCATCTCTCCTTCAACCAAGACCATGCTTGCTTCGCCGCTGCCACTGACAACGGCTTCCGCATCTACAACTGTGACCCGTTCCGGGAGCTCTTCCGCCGCGAGTTCGACGGCGGGGGAATCGGCCACGTGGAGATGCTCTTCCGGTGCAACATATTGGCACTCGTCGGCGGCGGGTCCCACCCTCAGTACCCTCCCAACAAGGTCATGATCTGGGACGATCACCAGGGCAGGTGCATTGGGGAGTTATCGTTTCGCGCTGCCGTTCGCGGCGTTCGGCTCCGGCGAGACCGAATAATCGTGGTGGTGGAGCAGAAGATATTCGTGTACAACTTCGCTGACCTTAAGCTCTTGCACCAAATTGAGACCGTTGCGAACCCTAAGGGGCTCTGCGTGGTTTCGCAATTGTCAGATTCTCTTGTCCTAGCGTGCCCTGGTTTGCATAAGGGTCAGATTCGCATTGAGCACTATGCGCAGAAGAAGACCAAGTTCATCTCGGCGCATGATTCCAGAATTGCATGTTTCGCACTCACTCTTGATGGGCAGTTAATCGCCACTGCCAGCACCAAGGGTACGCTGATTCGGGTTTTCGATACGGATCATGGCACGCTACTTCAGGAAGTATGTGTTGTTTTCTGTTTCTAGTTTCTCAATTCTGTTATTACTTTGGTGTTTGGTTTTGGATGGCATCTGTAGTTTCTATGCTTTTCGCATGCGTTGCTAGTTACGTGGTTGGTTGTGAATTAGTGTACGTTCTTTCTCAGAATTGTTGAACCGCGTTATGCTGTGGTTCGAATCAATACTATCACTCTCTTTGAAACCTCAGCTGGAAGCTAAATTGGGTTAGGTACAAAATATCTATTATAGTTTGGCGTGAAGGTGACGAGATAGTGTAGATACTCAGTTAATTGAGTATAGATGAATCAATTTGGTGAGTTCCCTCTTCTCTGTGTTGACCAGTTTGATAAATTATGGTGCAGATTTGGAATGATACTATTTCATCCCCTTCAATTAATGGTTGTTCCATGGAATACAGCAAACTAGTTGGTGCTTTTTTTAGTATATTGGGAAATAAACTAAAACCTAGTTTATTAAATTACTGTATTGTTAGCTATAATTATTCAAGGTGTAATGTCTATCTTTGTTATCCTTGTTTATGTTGTATGCCTTGAAGCGTTAATTTACTGTGTCTCCATTTTGAACATTTTGGTCCTCTAATATAAATTTATTGGGTGTAACAATTAGGTGAGAAGAGGTGCAAATGCAGCAGAGATATATAGTTTGGCATTCTCTTCTACTGCTCAGTGGTTAGCAGTTTCAAGTGACAAGGGTACTGTCCATGTTTTCAGCCTTAAGGTTAATTCTTGTGTCCCTGAGCATGAAAAGTCACAAAGTTCATCCAATTCTGATGCTGCCATTACCCCATCTAACTCGTCCCGCTCCTTCATTAAATTTAAAGGTAATTATTTTATTGTATTGTTTCTTTCCATTTTCTCACTAGTATACTGTGTTGGAAATTTTGTTAAATATCAACTAAGATCCTTTCTGCCATCTTATGGCCTATTCTATTTGTCGAGCCTGTGTAGAAGTTTGAATGCTAACATAATTAACGGATGATAGAATATCATAATAAATTAGTGGCATTGAGCCTGCTTTGTATTTTGGGATTGGTCTGAAGTGGCAGATTTTGAATAGAATTGGTTTTATGTTTGCTTGCTCTATATGCAAAGTGCTGTGAGTGAAATTGATTTCATTTAGGTATGTTTGGTAAATCACTATTTTAAGTAAAATTTACCTAAAGGGTATTAGAAATATGTTAATTCAAATGATCATTGGTAATAAATGGTAACAGGAAAATTCATATTTACATGACTGATAAGGACATTTATTTCATTTAGTGTTCAATATCAGATTTTGCTAATAGAAGCAAATCCTTGTTCTTTACCTATTTAGGAGAAGTATTCCTTTTTATTTTATGGATTTTTTATTTTGGCTTCAAGAGGTGCTTCTCTCCCCATTGAAGCATATACTTGTGGGGCTTAGACATTGGTCGCACTGATTTTCTCCGATTAATGTAAGTCATGTGAAATTAGGGAATAATTGATTTCACCTATTGTCAGTAGAATATTTTAAATGATAAGCAGTGCTTTGATTTCAAAAACAAGGGAGGGGAGGACATATTTTTTAATTTTAAATTAAAAATATATATATCATTTGTGATGATAAATGTATGATTAATAAATTAAGTTTATGTTAATATATCAATTTATATATTTTATTTTGAAAAATATTAATTTTAGATATATTTATTTAAAATACAAAATTTGTTTTCCCTTCTCTTCTCCCCTAAAACCCGCTTCCCAAATAACTCGTAAAGTATCTCCTTGTTTTCTCAAGATTGAATTATTTCAGACTGGACGTTGATTGTCTATGGAGTGCTTTATGGTTTCTGGCTGTTTGTCTATTTAATTATTTTGCATTTTCAGAAAAAATTTCAGTTACGAAGGGTAATGATAATCAATTTCCTTTGCCCCTTGTTGATTCTGTATTACTTTTTGCTTGCAGGAGTGTTGCCCAAATATTTCAATTCTGAGTGGTCAGTTGCTCAGTTTCACTTACAAGAAGGTTCTCATTACACAGTTGCATTTGGTCTCCAAAAGAATACAGTCATAATTCTTGGCATGGATGGAAGGTATGACTTGAGGAAATGACGAAATGATTATGTTCATATTAATGCTGTAGATTCTATTGTAATATGTAAAACAAGTTAATAACAATTCAGTCTGCACTCTAAAGAACTGAGTTGGCGTTTTGAAGAACAACTTGAACCTTGTCTTGAACTTAAGAATTCTAAGTTTGCTACCATCGCTTCAAACTTTTTATTTGTAAGATTAGATGAAGGCCTTCAATTGAGAAAATAGCTGGAAGCACTCGGTCTTATACATATAATTTTGTTCATACGTGATGCCTTCCCATATATCTCTCTATTCACTTTTTTTGGGTATGCTTAAATCTGAAATGCTTCTTGTTTAGTGAACCTTTTGGTATGCCAAAATGAGGCGGACACTTGTGTTATATGATGTTGATGAATTGCAGTTGATTGTTTTATGCAGCTTTTATCGATGCCAATTTGATCCAGGGCATGGAGGGGAGATGACTCAACTGGAATATCATAACTTTCTAAAGCCAGAAACAGTCTTGTGAGACGCCAAGAAATGAAATCCTGTAGCGGTTGGCGTTTCAGCATGTAGTTAGGGTTGTTCTAAAGCGATGTGCATCGCGTAGAAGTAAATATATGGAAAATGAAGTGACACTGACCCCATTGTTACTGACTGAGGGTCGACCTCGTTGCTTCCATTGTAATATTGTAATTATATAGTTTACAAATTTTTTAGTGATAAATATCGAAAGCTATGGTAAAACTTGCAATCTCTTTCCTTAATCTGGGTTCTGTACGGGTAGTATCACGTGCATGAGAGCTGTGGCATTTTACATATCATAACAAATAATTTCCAAGATGAAAGAAAAATTTGTTAACATCAGCTTTTCACGATAACTTTAAGTAACTAAAAATAAGGTTTTGTTAATAAAAACATTTATTATATTTTCAATAAATAAATTTTATTTTTTAACAGAATTGTATTACTTTTAAATGTTTTAAATTTAACATGTCAAAAATAAAAATATTGCGGGTTACAGGTATTTTGATAGATGTTAAAAAAAACTACATCCCGGTGTAAACTTTAAGTTATTGCGGGTTAAGAGTAGAATATCCCTGTCCAAATGATCCTAAGTCATGCTGCTAATGCCTTATTTGATCAAAAGACACCACACTGCAGAAAGCGCACATATCCGGGTGGATCTGTAGGTCCTTCAAGAAATGCAGTATATTGATTATCGCCTAAACTGTTAAACTATATACATCATGTAGAATGATGGTAACATATTTTTACCAGAAATGACGAGTTGAAATTGTGATGATGGTCTGTAAACTAATTCTGGCTCACTGACATCAAGGGCAATTTTCAGGATGCTCAATAGGGAACACTGACCATGTATAATTACTTTCCCAGTGAACGATAACAAACCCAATCAATGTATCACCATTCACCACCAGCAATGTAGTCTATTACACAATACAAGCATCCTGACTCACTTAAAATCAAGAAATATGCGTTGTAGCACAGTAGGCCTAAACAGAAGTAATAGCTAACTTGATGTTCTTTGTTGTGTGTATCTCTCCCTGTCTCAATATCCTTGAACGCCAATTTAGAGGATGTGATATCTTAAGTTGCATGAAAATACTAAGAGGGTAGTACTATGCCAAATGTTCACCAACATGCCCTCGGTGTTTAACCTCCACAGAACTACAGCCCAAGTCCTTGTTCAATTGTCTATCTTTCATCATTCCCCTTACTTTCTCAACATCGCTCCATCTTCCCATTGCCGCATACAGGTTTGACAAATGAACATAATAAGCAGGGTTATTCGGCTCCAATTCAATAAGCTTTCTAGCTGCCAACTCCCCCAATTCCAAGTAACCCTGAGCTTTGGAACAAACCAACAAGGAACCCCACATAACTTTGGTCGCTTCAAAAGGCATTCGTCCCATGAACTCAATAGCCTCTTGCAAACGACCCGAACGTGCTAACATGTCAACCATACAAGCGTAGTGTTTGACATTGGGATAAAATCCATACTTCCCATCAACCAACAAACCGAAAATCTCTCGACCCTTTTCCACCAAACCCGAGTGACTACACGCAGAAAGAACAGCAACCAAGGTCACTTCATCAACTCTAACTCCCTCCTTCTCCATTCTATTAAACCACATAATCGCCTCGTCCCCACTCTTAGCCAAAGCCAGCCCTTTAATAACCGCATTCCAAGTAAACACATTCCTTTCCTTCATGCTACAAAAAACTCTCAACCCCTCTTCCACTCTTCCACACGTTGCATACATCTCAATCAACGCTGTCCCCAGTACCACATCCAATCCCCATCCATTCCTCCTCACAAAATCATGTATCCACGTCCCCATTTCAACAGCTCCAGATTTAGCACAAGCAGCCAAAGCATTTATCATAGTGACCCTATTAGGCACCACACCCGCATATTGCATCTGCTCAAACACAAGCAAAGCATCATCATAGCACCCAACATTACGGTACCCCGTGATCAACACACTCCACGAAACAACATCCCTCTCATGCATTTCATCAAACACGCGTCGACAAAGTGCCACATGGCCACACGAAGCGAACACGTCAAGAAGGGAGTTTTGTACGTAAATATTATGCTGATGACCGAGTTTGATGACATGGGTATTAACGCATTGGGCTTGAAAGAAGTGGCGAGAGTCAGAGAGGGACTTGAAGAGGGAAGGGAAGGTGTAATGGTCGGGGAGAATGGAGTTACGGTGCATGCGGGAGTAGATAAAGAGAGGGGTTTGAGGGATTTGGGAGTAGGAGAAGGCTCTGATGAGGTGGTTGAAGATGAAGACATTTGGGTGTGGGTAGTGATTTGAGGGAAGGAATGTGGTGTAGAGGAGAAGAGCGGAATTGAGAAGGTTGTGAGATTGGCATGCGATGATGAATCGGAAAGCAATGGAGGTGTTGGAATGCAGGTTTTGAAGGATCAGTTGCGCTAGAATCTGCTTAACCTGAATCCTACTATGGCAGAAATCCTTCAGTAGTAGATCAATTGCTCTCGCTGTGAGTCCACCCTTCATTCTACCTCAGTGTCTCCGAGGCCACCATCTGGAAATAAACATTAGCAGTCATTAAACCCTCTTTTACAAGGATGTTTGGTTCACATCTAAATACGTTAATTCCGTTATTTTAACACATTATATGGTTTTGTATACCAAAAGGTATCTCCTCCTAACATTATATTAAACATTGTTATTCTTTTTTAGATTTTAACTATATTTACGTTAAAAAAGTATTATATATATATATATATATATATATATAATAATCTATAATACAAATTCTTTCTAATTTAAATGAAAATTTATTTTAATATTTTATATTATAAATATCAATAACTTAAAAAAAAACATGATAATAATATTTGATTTAAATAATAATAATAATAAAGAAATTAAAGTTAAAATTTTATAAAATGGGAGAAAGATATTTGAATTTTAATAAAATTAGAGATAAAAATGCGCATCCGGGGAATCGAACCCCGGTCAGTACCGTGGGAGGGTACTATGATACCACTACACCAGATGCGCTTGACGGACGGAAGCCTTCAAATAAAAGAGGAAAAACCTTTCTAATAACTAAATTAAAAGAGGATTGAGCTTAGTAGTTGGCCGTGCTCGAGGGAATGAGGATCGTTGGACTGACGGGTGGAATCGCGTCTGGGAAGAGCACCGTTTCGAATCTCTTCAAATCGCATGGCATTCCCGTTGTCGACGCTGACGTCGTCGCTCGTGTAAGTTGTTTTCGAGCTTTTGCGTTTCAATTTTAATAAAACTCTCCTCATTATCCGAATTTGCAGGAAGCGTTGAGGAGAGGAAGTGGTGGATGGAAAAAAGTCGTTGAAGCGTTTGGGGACGAAATTCTTCTCGACAATGGAGAAGTCAACAGGCCGAGGCTAGGCCAAATCGTTTTCTCCGATCCAGATAAACGTCAATTTCTCAATCGGTATTCTTAATTTTTCTATTATTTACAAATTTTGTTGAATTTGCATGAATTGTACTGTTTGAGTTTCGGTTACATTACGAAGTTGTTTTAGGTTACTGGCACCTTATATATCCTCTGGGATCTTTTGGGAAGTTGTGAAACTGTGGTTAAAAGGTTATCAGGTTATTATTCTTGATGTGCCGTTGTTATTTGAGGCTAAGATGGATAAGTTCACCAAGCCCGTTGTTGTTGTTTGGGTTGATCCTGAGACACAGATTCAGCGACTCTTGGCGAGAGATAGGTCTAGTGAGGAGGATGCTAGGAACAGGGTTAATGCTCAGATGCCATTGGATGTTAAGAGGGGTAAAGCAGATATTGTGATTGACAACAATGGTTCTTTAGATGAGTTGAATAAACAGTTTCAGAAAGTTTTGGTTGAGGTCTCAAAACCCCTGACATGGATTGAGTTTTGGCGTTGCAGGCAGGGAGTCTCCATCATTCTTGCTTCTGTTGCCTCAGGTGTTGTTGTTTTGTTTGTCAAGGCATTTAATAACCACACTTCATAGCCACTTATCTCGTTTTCTTTCTTTTTCTTTTGGTTGTTGAATGCTTCTGAACACGTGTTTGATAAATTTTGAAAATTTTAACTATATATCATGTTTCTGAAGGCTTTGATTACCCTATAGTGGGTTGAAATAAAGGGGAACTTGTTTGTGTTCTGCCTTTTTGAATGGGTTCTGCTTCCATTTCGTGACCTTGAGAAGGGCATTTGCAATGCATCTACAATTTGTTTGTTTATCAATGTATTGTCGTGGAGCCAGAACTTTTTCTGGCCACATATATGCATGTTAACCATGTGCAGAAAACATTGTATCAGTATTACATATGGGTTGCAAATTTTTTGGTGGAGGAACTTTGGTTGTTAATGTTGGCTTTTACGCTCTGATTGGTCAGAGGCCTGATAAAACTCAGTCAACTAAGTGAAGATAAAAGAGGAATGGATGAAATTTGAAAATCTCTTCAAGGATTATAACCTTATGTCATGACACTCTCATTTTGACTAAACTTTTAAACCATCTTTAGCTGCAGAAATTTTTTAAGGCTTTGTGGCTTAGTAAGTAGAGGTTAAGTTGCACACTTTCATTGAATGTTGACTACATCATAACTTTCTTTGATGAGGATGACTGCTGCCTTTTTCTTTGCTTGTTAGATTGTATCCCGATTAATATCCTTGTTTATATCAAAATCATTGTTATTTTTTGTACTATGACTTCTACAACTATCTCTCTCTTTAATGATTAGTGTTTAGTGTATTTAAGAATTAAGTAAAAATAAGGATATAATTATAAAAGTAATCATTAATATTGTCTTAAAATTTTAATTAGAGAGATAAATAGAAACAAAAAATGAACAGATAAATAAAAATAACAAAGGGAGTAGATGAGATTGGAAATATTGCTAATGGTAATCCTAGGTCACTTTTCCAAAAGCCTGCCAAAACCATTACCTAACAAAGTGGTGGAAGATAACCTAGTGTCCATTATGATATCATGCTGTACTGATATGGATGTTTTTGGTCTTATATCGAATACTATGGCTATATCATTTACCAAAAGACTGCGTAGCATCTAATATTCTATTTCTAATGATTAATGGTTTGACGTGGAACTCCTGCACTACAGCGATAATTCATTTGTTTTTCATTTTCTTTTTACTAATTTTTGCTTGAGGCAGCAATATCTATATTACAATTTGCTTTCACTTTTTATTTCTAAGATAAGATCTATGACAAGCGTGCATACACCAGCTAGCTTCTGGGTTGGGTTTCCTCTTTTAATTAGATATTTATGAATTATGATGTGTACCTGCTTTTTGCCATGTCATGGAGATAAGTAGCTTACGACCTACTACTTTATCATTCCATCTTTCCACTGGTTGACTTTTCTTTCCATCCATGGGGCAAGAATATAACAAGGCACGCCATGGGCCTAAGGGACGTTGTGCTGGTCATAAAATTACTCTTGTTACTATTTGAACGTTCGAAATTTGCCTTTTGGTAACCTTGTATTCAAGGATTTGTAGTATGCTATTGGTATAAGTTGCTATTTACAGCTTATTGCTTGACAGTTTCCAAGAACCTTTGGACTTCTAAGATGCATTATTTATTTTATCCATATTCCGTTGTCTGATTGCGTGAAATTGTATTAAAGAATCAATTCCTCGTTAGTCGATTGGGGACGTTGGGCGATGGTTTGTAATTCACCAGAGTAGCCGCTGATGTTCAGAGTTTCATGTTGAAAACAGTTCTTCCTGGCACTTGGATTAGTCTTGGCACCACCACAATCACAATTGTAGAGTCACGAAAATGACAGCCACCTTTTGCATTGCAAATTCTTTTGGTCTTTGACAGCCAAGTGGGTATGGGTCACAGGCCACTTTTAATACAACAAACCACTACTGGGTACTTGTTGCATATTACCCATTAAATTAATGTTCTGTAAAAATAGTGGGTTCAAGTAATTATGCGCTTTTCTTGAACAAAAAAAGGTAATTGTGCGTTTATTTGATGTCACGTGATAAATTGGTGGGAAAAATTATTGGATGCCATTGGTTAATATGATCTGAATACAAAAGTTACAGCGCAAGGCTGCCCCTTCAGAGTCTTGTTCTGATGCTTATAAGTCATCAACCCCAGCGAGCTAAACACTCTAAACTGTAAAGCAAGAATGGGCATGTTATGACGAAAACGTACGATTTGGTGATTGGCTTATTAAATAGTCGATGGCTTTAATTATTGGTACATGCAATTATAAAAGGTTTAAACCTCAAGAGAATTGCATGTAGTTATCATGTCAAACCAACTATTACATCGTCTGTCACAGATTACCTTTTGTTCTAACTTCTAACCCGTGTTACTTAAATCGTAATCTTGATTAGCCAGGGCATGTTTGGCTATATGAACCTTCTAGCATCCAGACAATGCATTCATGGGTTGTGGACCCATGATCGTGTGGATTGTAGTCCCATGAAGCTCAGCTATTGGAGTCAGAAAATGAGTGTACTAAAAGTGATGAAGGCCTTAAAACCGTCTGATATGATAGATAAGATGTCACAAACGTTTATGCAAAGGACCACCTAGACCCCACATCTGCTTTTCACATTCTACGGAACTAAAAACGTAACAGGGGACCTTAATCCTATCATAAAATATTGTAGAACTTGAAATCTTGCCTCATCTGAAGGTACTTTTACCACATGAACGCATGCTTCTCCCAACTGAATATTCTCCTTCCGCATCACGTGACCTTACCGATGTGTCATAAGCATAATGGTGAATGCGGGTTCAATTAAAGGTGATGTGGCATCTGCACCAAACGAGTGACTTGGTTTCTCTTTTCCTTAAAAAAATGAGTATTTGACACTATTTTTTCAACACTTCTATTAATGATTACAATTTTAGATTAGATTCACTAATTAACCAAATTCAGTTTTAATTAATCGCAGTCCCTTAATATTTAGCCCAAAAGGAAAATGTATATTAATAATTAAAAAAAGCATCGCGGTCAAGTGTAAATTAATTAGTCGAAAATATTTTAACTTAACCCGAGTCTTATCTTCAAAACCTTAAAAGGACAATTTTAATAAAAATTTGAGAGGAGGGAGTCTTATTATTTATAGAGGTTTTTGTTTTACACGCAAAACAGAAGTTATACGATTTTCAATGCATAATTTTTTGTTGTAATTTTAAAAAAAAATCAAAGCAACGGAGGTTGAAAAGGAAAAGCAAACAAATTTATTATAATGCTAATCAATATATATTAATAATAAAAGGTAGTATAATATTTAGGCACCAAAAATCTTAGACGATTAAATAGTGTCAAAATATGGAGCTATGAATGTTTTTCCCCCTTTCAAATACTGTCCCTCATGGACCATTTATTTATTTAACTCCCCCTTACTCCATGTCTTCCTTACTTTGAAACATTTGGGAACCAACAAACACACTCACACACACTGAGATCAACTTTCCTCGTCCCTTACTTTCTACTCCATCAAGGTACCAACCAAACTACCAAATGGCAGCCAAGCCAACTGAAGAAGCTCTTCATGGAGAAACCCTCAAGTACCAGGTGATCAACAAATTAAAACACATTTTTCCTTGCTCTCTCAACTCCACTTATTTATTTATTTTGCATGTGTATTTAATTATTTCTTTCCATCTATTAAATTTTCATTCTGATCAACTTCACTCTAATTAGCAATTAATCCATTCATTCTACACAGACCTGGGTTTTGAAAGTATTGATCCACTGCGATGGCTGCAAGAAGAGAGTCAAGAAAATTCTTCAAGGAATAGATGGTACCTTTTTTATTTTATATTTTTATTTTTGTTGCATATGATGGTATCCATTTTATATATAGATGTATCTCAACTTCAAACCTTCCAGGTCTTTGTGATATTCATTATATAAATATCTTAACATAGAAGTAACTAATGATATGTTTGTCCATGATGAAAATAACAAAGAAAAAACAGAAATACTAATCATATGTTTGTCATCATTATAGGAGTTTATACAACAGAGGTTGATTCTCGGCAGAACAAGGTTACGGTCACTGGTAACGTGGATGCTGAAACTCTCATCAAGAAGCTTTCAAGATCAGGGAAGCTAGTGGAGCTTTGGCCAGAAAAACCTGCAGAGAAAAAGGATAATAAGAAGTCTGGAAAATCCAAAGGTGGTGGTGATGTTAATAAGGACAAGGAAGACCAAAAGAATAGTGAACCAGTTCCCGATGGTGGTTTCAATGAGGATTGTGTAGACGCAGCTGGTGAAGATTCAGACAAAGAAGGTGGATGTGAGGAAGGGAATGGTGGTGGTGAAGGTGGCCAAAAGAAGAAAAAGAAGAAAAAGAAGAAGAAGAAGGTGGAAAATGGTGTTTCTGCACCTAATAATGGAGGAGGAGAAGAAGTTAGTAAAGTTGATGCGTTAGTCCCTTCAAATTTGGCCTCTTCCTTGGCTCCTAAGGATCTTATTAGCCCTCCAATTCAGCATGCTTACCCTTATCCACCTGTGTATTATTCAACTCCTCCTGCATATGGTTTAAGCTATAACACAGCATATCCTATCTCTAGTGCTTCATATTATGTTGGTGCCCCCACCATGCCTATGCATGGTTACACTACTGCATACTCTAGAATGCCGCCACCTCCTCCACCGTCTGATCCAATCAAGCTCTATGGTGATGATGAGGATGAGTACGAAGGTGGATATTGCTCCATTATGTGACAAACCACAACAAAATGGAGGATGATGTACTAGCTAGCTTATTACTTGTTAGTGCTAATACTCGGGAAGTGGGGATTTAAATTTTGTAATATGGGCTACGAAATTAGAAATTAACTAGTTGAAAAAAATAATGGGGACAAAAAATAAAAAGAGGGTATTTGCAGGTATGGAGGGTCTTCAATGCTTTGTCTTTGTTTCGCTCTCTCTCTCTCTCTCTTTTCTCCCTTGTTAAAAGTACGGCTTTTGGGGTTTGCTAAAGAAAGGCCAATCTCCTTGTAATGCAGTGCAATTTGTAGGTCCGGAAATCCTCCTTTTCCTCTCTATCTTATGTGTAAAGTATATTTTTCTGTACAAGCTTTCTTTTTCTCTTTTCATATATAATTGCTAGTTACAAGCTGGTAAATGGTTTTGCTAATTCTCATGCATGCAAGTCAGCTTGTCAGCCAACTAGTCTTAGCTTACTAAAGAGTAAATCATATGTGTAAATAATTCCTTCCTATGGAAAATGCTTGATCATCTTTTGCATTTAAAGTAACCTACTTGTTTGTTAAGCATATATATCTATTTTACTTTAAGATATTTTAAGGGATAGTATGATAGTAGTATCTCACTTTCAAGTGATCGAAAGCTTGTTGGTGCATAGCTGTTGCTAGCTGCTACCTTTTATTACTTCTTTCTGAATCTAAAGGAGTCAGCACCGAGACCAATAACAATAGAAGGACAGACCTCAATTCCTAGTCTTTTGTATTGCTTTTTTTTTTTTTGCTAGCTTTGGCTAAAACCCATGTTTTCAGTATTTCATTTGTGCAGGTTTTACCTTGGATATGGAGAGACCAGAATTGCATCAGTTGAACAGAAGATCAATATAGTTGAAGTGGGCCATTACTCTTCAATGAGTTAATTAACTCAGAAGAAAAAGAACAAATTAAGAAAAAGTGGTATCTTATGATCTCAGCCATGAATTCATTAGTTTCAATTTGTGCTCGTTGGACCCATTTGAGTTATAGCCTGCACTAAAAGTATAGTTTTTGTTGGGCAAATTAAGATTACATTCACTGATTATTAGCAATATTATATCTAATAGTGCCCTCTTTAATTTCTAATTTTACACAAATCGTTATTTATAACAACACTGTATTCATGGAAGATCCATGCTAAAAGAGACACAGGATTATTTTGATATATATGAAAAAAAAATTGGAATGTGTAGGGTTAAAAAAGAATAATATTGGTCCAAATTCTTGTCATTTTATTAAAAATATTTACGCAGATTACTTATTTAATTAATTTACACAAAAAATTACATTAAATGGTTTAAAATGTTACATAAAATAACTTAATATTTGTTTTAAAACGACATGGAGATAAAATTTATCAACAAACGTGATAGTTATAATTATTAGTTATGATATTTTAAGTTTTCGAATCAGTCCACTTGATTATCAAAATCTCTTTTTACTTCAATACTATTAACTAATCTTCCTGTTTTATTGAATTACTTAGGCTAATACCTTAATCCTGACACATTTTATCAGTCCTACTCAGTTACTTTACAAAGCCAACAAAATACGATTCTCAAGATACAAACTAATATTTTATCCAAGAGTAGAATATTCATACACAAAAATACCTCTACTCTCGTTCTGATCTCATATAAAAAAGTATGTGTGGTTGTGTGTGCCTACATACAACATATCTTCTTCACAATGTCACCATATCTTCAACATTAAGCATTGCAGGCCCATATATCCCCCTCGAAAGAAAATCTAGAAAGTCCTGTAAGACTAAGTATTAGGTCAAAGAAAGACTATTTAATATTAGACTATTTAATATATGAATATTAAATAGCAAATGTATGAGAGTTAACTCTGTTTGGATTTTCTTTGTTTTGGTGGATCTGTTGTTTGGATTAATCATTACAACAAAACATCATATCGAAAAGTCCTCATCTGTAGACTTTAGGTGCAAAGATATATGGAGTGACATGATTTCTTGGGTCCCTCTTGCCTGACTTTGATTTATTTCGAATCTAGAAAATTCCCTTTTTTGTCTACATTTTTTTCTTTTTAATACTTTATTTTTTCTTCACACCACTCTCATGCACTGTAATTAAATAATTTAGACCTATACACGTTTTTAAGTATTATTTATTTAACATTCTTTATTCCTTTTATTTATTTTATTTATTTTTTTCACCTCATGTTTATTATTTTTCTATATTCTCTTCTTATTTGTCTCTCTACATATCTACACCTCAAAAGTAATCTAACAAATATTTTCTATAATAAAAATGTGAAAATAGAAAAAAAAATACAATTTTTACACACCTTTATAGTCATGGAAAAAAAAAAGACTTCACCTTGGAAATAACATTCAATAAAGATAAATCAGTAAGATATGGATGTAATAATTAGTAGGGGTGTTTCATAACTTATATCATCTTACACTAATCACGTGTGCCTCAATGTTAATTATAACATACTTATGTTTTACATATTAGACCTAATATTGAAGATAAATATAAATTTTATTTAAAATTATTCAACTCAATCCAGTGATTTACATTCTTTTAAAATTATATTTTGAATAATTATATATGAATAATAAGATTTTTTTCTTTAGTGGATAATAATTTTCAAACTATAATATTATATTTATATAAATAAATAACACAATAATAAAGTATACCTTAAATTTGGTTCTATACTTATAATATTTTATATTTTTTTGGTACATTTGTCAAAATTGATCTGTTATGTCAATAAATCAAGTTAGTGTAATTTTTTTTATTGTCGAATTTTGATTGAGTTGGATATAGGTCTCAATATATTATTTTATCAAAATTAAGGTAAGAATCAAAATAGACCCATCTCATCAACCGTCCTAATAATTAATGTTATAAAAAATGGTGAGATAATATATTTTTATATTTAAAACCATTTTAGAACATTAAGATATTTTATAAAAATAATTTAATTAATAAGATTTTATATAAAAAAATATATCAAATTTTAATTATAAAATTGATGAAATATATTATGAAAGACGTATAAAAATGTATAAATTACCTTTATAAATTCAATAAATTTTTACAAATTCTTCCAAATAATATTTTAATGATAAAAATTAACTCTGTCGACTTAATGGTTTCAGAAAATCCATGTCATAATGGGATACATGATTGCTATATATTCTCCTGTGAAAACATATAAGGACACAATGAAGCAACTCCTTGCTTTAAGTAAATAATTTCAAAATTTTGAAACTACAGAATGACAAAATTAAAGTAAACTATTCATTGAATATGCAATGCTAAGATAATGACTTCTTAATTGGCGTTTAACGCTATTTGTTTTCCAGGTTCTTAATTTCTACTTCATGAATAGAGAAGTTTATAATAATTGTATGTTGAACATTTTGGGGAAAAAATGGTCGAAAGGACAGCATAAGAGACAGTATTGCAGAAAAAAAAAACTGGATTGAAATGAAATACATATTTAATTTTATCCTTAAAAATAATATTTTTTATATTTATTTTTATGAAGACATTTGTGTGTACAATTTAGTCCTTGATTAATGTACTAACTTCTTTATGTTTATATCGTGTTATATATGATTGTTAAAGCAAGCGTAATAAAATCATAACAATTCGATGTTATTTTTTATACTATAATTGTTGACTTTATATTGCATATCAATGGATCTTATATATGAATTACACAAATTAATATCTAAAAATGATAATTTATTTAACTTTGGTCCTTAAACGTATAGGTGTGAACGATTATGCTGTATAAACATCATTGGGTACAACTCAACACACATGAGGTTACTCTTAAAACTCATGCATGTAACAAACTGGATATGCTTCCAACCCAGTTGATGGTAGTTTACAATGTTGATGATTCTATTGATGAAGGAAGGGAACTGGAAGGTTGAGAAGGAGTGTTCATGGACTCCTTAAGCATATATATGAATCACATAGTTTTTTAACAATCTTTTTTGGTCCATCAGCATTGTTACATTTAATTATGGGAGATTCTATTTGCTTAGGTTGTTACTTGGGACAAAAAATTATAGAGTTATGGATTAAGCATGACTCCATTATAGCTGTTCCTTTTTTCATGACCAAAATATGCACCATGCCTCATCCATATTTAATTATATGACATTTAATAGTGTACACGTATAATTTGTGTATATCAGTAAATTTATTATACTTTATTAAAGACTGTTATTAAAAAGATAAATTTGCAAATAAATTAATACATTTAAAGACAAAAATATACACAACAATACATTCGAAGGAGATATTCCTTTCATAACTAATAAAAAGACAACAATTAAGGATAAGAGCATTCATTGAATACGCAATGCTGAGATAATAATGACTTCTTAATTGGGGTTTAATCACAATTTGTTTTGCAGGGTTATTTCTACTTGATGACTAGGAATTTATAATAATTATAGGTTGAATATTTTCGAAAAAATAAATGGTTGAAAGGACAACATAAAGATAGTGCTGCGAAAATAAGAAAGGATAAAGTTACCCATTTGGGATGGGATGTGTCGGACAGTTCATCGGAAAGAAAAACATCAAAAACCTTTCTTATTATCTGTGGATTCAAATGCCATAATGCTTTAGTTAAATAATTTAGCATTACATTGTAGGCTTATAAATACACCACTAAAACGTCAAGAATATACTTTTTAATCATTAATTAAAATTATTAAAATATAAGATATTACCATTTAATTAAAATAAAAATATGTAATTCATACAATTTTTAAAAAAATCTTATAAATAATTTAAAATGTGTTATAAGAGTACTGTTAACATTTCTTTCTATACGATATTGCTAATATATATTCTAGTAACATGCGTTGTCTTTTTCTCCTCTTTAGATCTTTCATTAAAAAAATAACTACAATTTTTTAGATAAAGTTCTCTCAAAAAGAGTAAAATTAAGCAATTTGTTTTAAAAAAAGATATACTTTTTCATAAAAAGTACTCAGACTATTCTCTTTTGTATAACGGGATGGAAGGAAGGTGAAAAATGGAAAAATAAAAAAAAATATTGTAAAAAACTATTTTTTATTTTGATTTTTTTCTCTTTTCTTGTATATTTTGTTCAATTAAACAAAAAAATATGTATTGTTATTCATGTTCTTCTTCCTTATTTTTAACCAAACAAAGCATTCGGGTAAGACAGTGCAAAACTAAAAGTGTATTATAATTTTCTTTTCCTTAGAGAAAAACAAAAGGCCAAGAAAGTAGCTTGAATGCAACACTGACCAAAGTTGGTGGATGTTAAAGACCTCCACATACTGACAGTTCAACCAAATCAACCATAATATCGAAAGTAAAGAAGAAAAAAAAGCATCCTGAGATTGAAAGATAAACATATATTGGGTTGGGATATTCTTATACACGTTTTTATTTGACCATTTTTTTATAAGATTATTTATTTTATATGAATTTTATGAAAATATGATAATATGTAAGATAGAATTGAAATAATTAAATCATCTGATTAAAAATATGAAACAAAAATTTATTTCTCAATTATATAATTGAGAATACATATTATTAATACAAATATAATGTTATGTAGAAATACCATTTATTAAGTTAATTTTTTATTAATACATAATTATTAAAACATGTATATTTTAAAAGAATATGGAACACAACATTAGATTAAGATAACTAAAAATGTAAATTTAACATGTTTTCAAAACATGCTTATCTAATTTCTAACTCATGAAAATTAATATGGGGTGGTGGAATAAGAAAAGTTTCTAACTCATCATTGGGTATGCGTGCAACTGTTTATGGGATGGGTTAGGAAGAATTACATTTATTCATTTAATCTTAAATTTTGACTTAGTTTTTAAACCCAAATTAATCTCTAAACTCAAAGAAACTCTATAACATGGGTTTAATTAAGACTAAACATAAGTAGTATAAGATTGAATTGGCCCAAATTAAGAATTTTTAAAAAAAATTACACCTGTCTCGCTTAAACTTTCAAATATAGATTAATAATGCAGCTAATTTGAACATTAAAAGTTGATAAAAATATGATCATAAAGCAACTCATAATCAAGTCTTTCTCAATATTTGACAGAAAAGGTCATAAAAAATCACTAAGTCTATCGAGGCCATCTACGAGGAGAACAAGAAAAGAGAAGGCATACAATATGAAGAGGAGTAGGAAGAAAATAAAGAAAATAGTTAATAAAAATATCAATTTTACTGTATTTGATGAGTGAATAGAAAATGATCAGTAAACACTACTTTGCAAAGTAATTTAAAAATATATGTTATTTGTGAGTCTGGCAAGGTGACTCAAGTATTTATCCCATCTATTCTTTTTTTTTTTTTTAAAGGACAATGAACATGATCATGAAGATTCAAACTTTTAAAAAAACAAAACAAAACAAAAAGGTGGTCATGAAGATCCAGTGGGTCTTGGCCCATTATTTTGTAAGCTGGATTAACAAAAATAAAGGTCTCTTTTAAATTTCTCTTTAGTCTTCAGCACGTTTTATCTGGTGTGATTGGAGATAAGTTGTTTCTTGACGTTTTATAGCTTATCTAAATAATTCATACGGTTTTGCTTTCATTTCACACATCAAAAGTGACATCTTCATATGCGTCCATAATATTGACAAGTTACCGTTTGATTTTTCCTCACTTTTTTGCCATCTTTTCCAATTACCTGAACATATTCTGCATGTTGTTCACTCTTTTTTTTATCATAAATATTTTTTAAAAAATTATTTTCCTTTAGTCCAAATAGAACCAACATCAACGATAAAATTCTTCTTGTTTAATTTCACTCCAAGATAATATAAGCCTATAAGTTGAATCTCCTTTTTTTTCTCTCAGTACATTTTTTATGTTATTTTCTTCTTCTTCTAATTTTAAAGTAGACAATTCTGTTAAATATAAAACAAAAAAATGTATACAACTAGTCACAAAATCAAATTTAAATATTCAATAGTAGATCGTGAACAAATTTCATAAATACTAAGATATGTGTCTGTTTTAATGAAACGTGGATTGGAATGTAAAAGTAGGAATATAATTGAAAAAAGAAAGACATAAGAGACAAACAAACAAGAATCTAATACACTAGCTCTTTTTCCCCTTTTGAAAAGCAGAAACACCCATGAACGACAAAAAAAGACTACCACGATAAATTCAAATTATTTTAATTAACCAAAGGACAAAAAGAAGTAATAATTATTTCAAGTATTTATACACTAAAAATTAACATTGTAAATTAGTATTGATTATTGAAGTTTAAGCACTTTTAAATATGTATAACCTTTTAATTGAATAGAATTTTTTGAGGGAAAGAAATGATATTGCAGAAGAATATTATAAAGTGCCTAACGTTCACATCTCACGATGGCGTTAGTGGTAAGATGTGACCCCACCTCATCTAAACCCAATCTGTCATCCAACACAAGAAGTGGTCCATTCCATACTTTGATGCCTTTAGCTATAATTTTTATAAAAATTATAACATTTATCTCAGAAAAATGAATTATTTTTCAAAAATCATCTTTACTTCTTAAAAATTATATTATTAATATTTATGAAATTATTTTTCTATATATATGTCTACTACTCCGTCCTCCAAGTTCTACTAATATCCCACCTTTGAAAACACAGTTAGAATGAAACCTCACGTCTCCAGTGAAAGCTCTTTGGGCAACGAGTCGAGCAGATCCGTCGGAGAGAAGCTCCACCAGGTTTGTAAGGCAGCGACGGTGGCTATAACCACCGATGCCTCTAAGCAGCGCAGGTTTCGAAGGTGGAGCCACCATGCAGAAGACCCTATTAGAACCTTAATGTTCTTGGGTTCTTGGAGTCACACATAGACTCATGAGAGAGCCATATATGCTGGGAGGAAAAAAATTGAATGATAAATCTATGACAAGGAAAATAATTCACTCATATTGTCACATATATCTATGATTAAAAAAATACCTTGCCTACATCTGTGTATATATATGCACACCCTGTAATAATGTTTTGCTGTGCAACTTACTCATTTGGATTGTTAAATTTTGATATTACTTGTATTTATATGCATAATAAGCATCTTCAAATATATATTTTTGGAAATCAAGGTTGATTATATGTCCAAATAACTAAAATTTGTGACTCAGGTCATCGAATCTGACTCAGAAGTTATCTTATTTGTTTAATTTTCTTATAAATAACCATGTGAAATTTAATGTATGATAATCCAACTACAGTGGAACATAATCAAATTGGCTCGATATATTATCTAACTCAAACTTTATTTAGTTTGGAATTTTTCTTTCAACTTACTTGCAATCTTAAACGAACTTCTTTTATATTTGAGAGCGAATTTATTATAAAGAAAGTAAGAGCACATAAAAGCCTTCAATTTACACTCTTAAAGACATGTTTTAAGATTCAAAAAGTATTATTTACTGATGAAGTCTTTACGTTAGTAGTTTAATTTGAACTCATATTCTTATAAGATACGAATTTAATTATTATAAATTGAATCGTTAATTTGTAAGAATGTATAACCTTGTTGGAATTTGTTTAAACATAACATTTAAATCACAATCTTGGATATAAAAAGAAGGCAAGAAGGACTTGCAATTGAAAGGAAAGTCAAAGTGTAGCAATTATTGTTGGTCTTCTAAATCTTGCTTGTTGCAGAATGCTAAGTTTCAAATTCACCGTTTCTTTTGTTCTTTGATTATGAGTTAATTATATAAAATGATCTACGATATAAACTTTTTATTTAAATTAAATCTAAAATAATAAATTATAATATACCGACAACTTTTGTTTAATGAAAAGCTTAGAATTTTTAATTATAAAAAAGTTATATTCTCCAAAAATTTTATAAACGTAGTTATTTGAGTTTCTTTAAATTATTTTTTTAATTAACCTTTATTTATTTTCTTCTGTGTTATTTTAATTTTTTTCTTCAAAATTTTAAACAAAAACTTTGCGATCGATATATTTTAAAGAGTGACTTTATTATTTATACTCCACAAATTTGTACTTTCTATTTATTTTTTTGTTATTAAAAAAAGATTTTTTAATTTAACAAGATACAGATGCAACATAATAATTACAAGAAATCAGAAAGATAAAATGAAATAAAAAAGAACAAGATAAAGTAAAATAAAAAAAACTTCTATTTTTTATGCAAAAGAATAAATTTAAATGTTGCTTGAATTGACTCCTTCGAAGAAAATGGTAAAGCTCCAAAGAATTGAAGAGAATGAGACATGGTCATAAAAATTATGTTATAAGTGAGTGATTAAGAAAAAAAAAATTACAATAATAATATTTTAAAAATTATTATAAATATATAAAATAATATATTTTATAATAAAAAATATAAAACGTGATGTGATTAAGCGAGTGAAATTGTAATTTGCAAGTCGTTCGGTACGTCACACTGAGATAATTCTATAAGGGATAAAGTAGAAGACACTCTCACCGTCACCGCCTCACAAATCACTCTCCGATCAAATGGCCACTGTAATCGATGGCAAAGCCGTTGCACAAACCATCCGATCTGAAATCGCAGAGGAGGTGATGCTGCTATCTCAAAAATACGGCAAGGTAAGCGCTTATTTTCCTTTCTCCAGAACGAAACAAATCGCGATTTTCCAACGTATAAAAATTGGCGAGGTTGTATGTGTAAATGTGGCAGGTTCCAGGACTGGCAGTGGTGATAGTAGGGAACAGAAAGGACTCTCAAAGCTATGTTGGAATGAAGAGAAAAGCGTGCGCTGAATTAGGAATCAAATCCTTCGACGTTGACCTTCCTGAGCAAGTATCCGAAGCTGAAGTTATAAAGCAGGTTCACGAGTTGAATGCTAACCCTGATGTGCACGGTTGGTCAGTTTTTTCTATTATTTGTTATTCCTTTTAATTTTCATCTTAGTTGTTATGAAATTACCTGAAATTTTTGTGGTGATGAGTTGAGAATGCCTCAATTGTTTTACAGGCCTAAATACATAATGCATGTGATTGCTATTCTAATATGTGAAATGCTATTTTAGTGCTTTTGTTTAAGGGTTTGGTTTGTTTATATCGATAGGTATCTTGGTTCAACTTCCGTTGCCTAAGCACATAAATGAAGAGAAAGTTTTGACTGAAATCAGCCTTGAGAAGGATGTAGATGGTTTTCATCCTTTGAACATAGGCAAACTTGCAATGAAAGGCAGAGATCCACTATTCCTTCCCTGCACTCCGAAGGCAAATGCTCTTTAATCTGAATGTTATTTTAATAAACTCAATTATTATGTGAACGATTGAATGTGTTTGGTCTTCCTATTTCATTTCTATTTAATATAGGATGTTTTCTTTTACTTACAATTCATTGAGACATTGATATTTGATGGAACATTTTTATACTATATTGCTTTGGAGTGTGGAGCGGTGATAAACTGCCAAGAGTGATTCATATATGAAATATTTGAGGAACAATTGTGTTGGATATATTCTTCGTTATTCCTAAAAGTAAAAAGGCTTTTTATACTCGTTACCATAACCTTTGTGATCCTGCTAAACCTGTGGGAAGGTTGTTCTAATTTATGCTTTTTTCTTGTTTTGATTTGAACAGCTCTTGCTGATAAAAAAAAATGTTAAATTACAAGCTAGCTTTTGAAATACTTTCTTGGAATCATAATTAGTTCATTTACATTTGTTGCTTGTATGCAGGCATGTCTTGAACTATTACAACGAAGTGGTGTGAGTATAAAGGGAAAGAAGGCAGTTGTAGTTGGTAGAAGCAACATAGTTGGATTACCAGCTTCATTGCTGCTTTTGAAAGCAGATGCTACAGTTACTATTGTCCATTCACACACAAACCAACCAGAAAATATCATACGTGAAGCAGATATTGTTATTGCAGCAGCAGGACAGCCAATGATGGTAACTAGCAAAATATATCTGCATCTGTATTCTTAGTACTTGCACTGTTCTTATGGAGTTCCAAATTTAGCGCTTAGAACATGAGTTTCTTTATCTAAAATCACGGGTGTTTGGTAACATAAAGTACATATTGAATGCATTAAGAGTTAGCTTGCTGCAAGTTTCTCCCATGCAACCGCTCATCCTTTGCACTTTTCACGTGCAACTGGTACTGTTTTATAACATTTGTTAACCTTAAGTTGATCTTCCTTTCATGAAATTGGTAAGACCATTCTGTCTGTACGAAAAGAATCAGACAGTTTTGGAAAATTATGGTTTCGAGTCTTGCATCCCATCGAGTTTTTAACTATTTGTTAATCTTCTTCCTAATGGAAAGTTCATTCATGCATAGTGAAATTCTTTGCGTTTTAGATCAAGGGCAGTTGGATCAAACCTGGAGCTGCAGTGATAGATGTTGGCACAAATGCTGTTGATGACCCAACTAAGAAGTCAGGTTACAGGCTTGTCGGAGATGTAGATTTTGCAGAAGTATCTAAAGTTGCTGGTTGGATTACTCCTGTTCCTGGTGGTGTAGGTCCCATGACAGTCACAATGTTGCTGAAGAATACTTTGGATGGTGGCAAGCGCTACATTGAGCGGAATAATTGATCTTCCTTCAGTTCGAATAAAAAAGGTGTTTACCATTGTATGTGAAAAGTTCTTTGAGAATCTGTTCTATCCACAGTGTGGTTTCTGCTAAAGTAGATGAATGTACTTTAAAAAATCGCAAGGATGAGTTTTGATAATAGATAAGCAGAATTGGTTCAATCGAAACTATATATCTGCTCTTTCACTATCTTCCGCTTCCTCCTATCCCGCGTATTATCTTAGAAGAAGCATTCTCGATGTGGGTGCTGAACATATTTTAGACTGTATGTACTGCCATTTTAATTTCCTTCTTAAGGCTGGTGCCAAGGTTTAAGGCAGCATAATCTCAAGTTTGTGGGAAAGGCCAATGCTTTTAGTCGATTAATGCAATTAATGATCTCAAGTTACCAGTAATCTTTTAGAAAATCCCGTTATTTATTGTCATGAGAAAAGTAATTTAATATGTAAAAAATATCATTTAAGTATAAATTTCTAATAATGATCTTTCATATATTATATTTTCTGAATATATTTTATAATTACTCGTTTAAAAAGGGTGAATTTAAATTTTATTGTAATAATAGATTTTAGTAATATACGGAAGTTAGAAAAAAAATATACATCTATACTGTTTGGAGAAAAAACTTCATGACACGTACTTAAAATTAACTAAATAATAATAATAATAATAATATAGTTTATGTTACTGAATAATAATATCAAATTAATTATAAAAATTATTATTATTATTATTTTATATAATAATATATAAGCATTATTATTACAATACTGAAGGCAAAAATAAAATAATTTCAGCTGGAATGACGTTGAATTATTAATATGTGTATGTATGTATCATACGAAAGGCATGCCGGGCTGCGATTACTACACTATGATGTAAGGTTGCAACCCACAAACATGTGGCACACTTTCAGAATCAGAAGCGGGTCTATCGTATGAATGTTGGCCGCTGAAGATTGGACAAACTTAAAGAAAGTGGCGTGTTTTACGAATCTGGGAACCATTAACAATCATGGATTATATGAAATATATCCTTCATTATCCACAAGGGGAAAACTAATGTTAATAATATGTTATCGAGCAAAAGTAGTTGTACCAAAACACTGTTTGTATGTCATATCAGCGCCTCTGTTCATATGTTTCAGATGCTTCATGAATCTATTGGTGACGTTCTCGTTATTGACCAAGGCAGTAGAATTCTTTTCCTATGAAGTTCTTTAAAACCATAAGATATTCCTTTTAGAAGTATGATTAATTTCGTATGAACTCAAGTTTTATGTTAACTTACTTAAGGTGATGGTTGGTAAGTCAGAATGTATTTGCTTTATTTGTTTTATTTTTTTGTGAATGGACAACATAAATGTCAGAAACACCTTCAATTATGAAGAAAATTTAAATAGTCTGAGATTATGTGATTTTGATTACTCACATTAAGTTATATATATATATATTTTTTATTTTATTTTCATAAATTATAAAATTTATACACATAATATAATAAAATTGATTGGAACCACATGGTCTTGGCCCATGCAATACTTTTTTTTTTAAGAATTCATTTAATTTTACTCAAATAAATTTTGTATTCTCCTTTCAGCTATTTTCCTTTCCCTCTTCCATGCTTGCAATTTCAACATTTAAAAAAGAAACAATGGGTTAGCAACTTATATTTTTAGAATTTATTTAGAAGCATGTTAAAAAATACATAAACATAAATTTGATGCAAAAATCAAAATTAGTAGTCTTAAAATGCATGTTTACTTTTGCCATAACTATTTTTACACGCTCGTGTTAACCGCAAAAACAACTTTATGATGTGTGGATCTAGATTTGTGTTCAAGCAAAATTAATGTGGTTTCAAACACGCACAAGATAACACAAATTTATAACTATTCATACGTCAATTCAAATAGCTACAAGTGATTTCAGATTAGTAAACGTGGTGTACTTTTTAGTAATTAAATTTCATCCATGCCCACTTTCGAACGAATTGAATGGAAAGAAAATGTTTTTCCCACTACCAAAATTAAAGACTTTTCTATTATCCAATTTTAATTTACAAAAACATTTTTGTTATCCTAAATTATATATGTCAGTGTCACATATGAGGAGGCAGAGGTAAGTAGTAGTTAAGACGGGGGTTTAACTGAGAGTATAGCCGTCCCTTGTCCTTTGGAACATCTTAATGGGTTTTGCATTTGCCCAAGTATCCCCTGTCGCTTATATTAAGATGCATTCCCCACTCATATACACCACTAAGAGGAAGAAGTTGTGTGTTTCTGCTGCGAAACTCAACGCCGACAATGATCCATTACTCCTTGCTGCCACTGCTTCTGCTTCTCTTCGTTACCAAGAAACCCTTCGACCAGGCATATTAACCTATCTCTTTTAGACATTTTATCGAGCATTTCAAGGATGATGTTCAATAATAGTTGAGTTTTCTTGCTTCAAAATTCGAACTTATCTTTATCCACAATAATTCAAGAAATGGTAGGAGCATCATGGTTCTCAATGCTGGCGTTTTATTGTCGCCATTCTGACGTAGATTATGTTGAGTCCACTGAAATATAACATTTTTGGAAGCAAAAATAAAGCAATACTATTTATGTGCCTCATTTTGTGATGTCATGTGATCAACACGTCTCATAGTATTCTCTGCAAATGCAGAGCCTCTGTTCATAGATCCATATGCTGGTTGTTTAATCCCTCCTAATATTCCCAAGGATGTGATTCAAGACTTGCACCCGTATTGTCTTGCAACCAAGTTCATTGATGACAAGTTGCTTCGTACAGTGAACCGTTTTGATGGGGTTAAGCAGGTACCTGCTGAGCGTATGTATGTTTATGAGAATAATTCTTTATCCTCTTAAATTCTATTTTCCATTTAATAATTTATATTTGATTAAATAGAAGGTTGTTTGGGGGATATTGCATAGTTTAATAAGGTTTTTCCTCTTAATCGCAGCTAGTTTTGCTGACTGATGGCATGGATACACGGCCATACAGACTTAATTGGCCAGCTTCAACCATAATTTTTGAGATATCCCCCGAAAGAGTATTTAAAACTGCAGCTGAGAAGCTTAAAGGTGACCTAACTTAACTGGATTTAACGAACAGCGACCTTTTAAGCATATACTATTGCCAAAACAAAGTATCATTTTGATAAAGTTGATCATTGTCACAATAGTGTGAGTGGAAAAATTGGTAATTGCAACGTGCAAACTAGATGTCACAAGGGTCCCAAAATTTGTTATGCAATATCTGTGTCTATTTCTCTCGCATGACCCTGCATGGGAAAAGCTTAGGAAATTATCCAATCAACTAGGCAATTGTTCTATAAACTACAATATTATTAGTTATAAATTCAACAAAACCAGGGTGCTGCATGGGTGAAAGAGTTATACCTCGCCAGATTCTGTAAGTAAGGCTTGCAGCATGTTTTCATGATTTTTTTAATTGTTTTCATGATTTCATCACACCATTCTTCACCCTGCATTTCCTTTTTATCTCCTTTTATGTTTGTATTGAGCGTTTACTAAGAAGAAAACATCTAATTGTATCTTTTTTAAAGCTTCAGATGTTGGGGTTAAGATTCCGAAACGTTGCATATTCTATCATATTCCATTGGAATCATCTGACGTAGAGCAGAGTTTGCAATTTAAAGGCTATAATGGTAATAGGCCAAGTATATGGGCCTTACAGGTAGGTAGTAATTATATCATTTTTCTTCCAATTAGTAAATGCTTGAAATCACTAGCAAAGTTAGTGTTGGGGGAAGAGGGACTCTTTGCTTGAGAAGTTAGTCACATGGGTTTATTCCTGTCCAGGGCTTTCCTGTGATGACACTGCCAATTTTCGAGGAGGTTTTGTCAATGATAAGCAGTTTGGCCATGAAGGGATCCCTTTTTGTTGGAGAGCTTCCTGCTTGGTTGGTTGAGACAGACATAGAAATCAAGGTTAGTATGCAATGAATGTATTTAATTAATTCAAATAATTTTCTTTTCTAACATAAAGAAAGGAAAAAGAAGATCTTTTCTGGTCCCTTGCACAGTCCTATACAAAGCAATGGATGGATAAACTATTTTTGAGCAAGGGCTTTCGGGTGGAAATGATTAACTATGAAGGGGTTGCAGAGAGTTTTGGTAAATATTTTGCTACAGAACACTACAATAATATACTGTTTGTTGCAGAACAGTTGCGACATTCAGATGACCAGGTGAGGCACTTTGTATTCAGATTGACATGATAATGCATTGTAGGGTTTGGACAGCATAACCAAGGCATTGATATTCTGGCAGATGGAATCATGGAGACGAGAATTTCAAAGGATAGAGGATGAAGGAGATGAAGAAAGTTTTGAAGAGTTATAGAAGAGCATATAAGCTTCACCTCACCCTGCTTAACCTTAAAAGGAGATACCTCCCTGTTGCTACAAGGGTCTAAACTTCGAAGCATTTGTATACATTTCTTCAGTGACATGAGAATGAGCACATTCATAATTGGTTGCATAATATTCTCTTTCCCTAAAACGATAAGTTAGTGCAATTTATTGATGCCTTTTATTCTGCATTTTCCTCTATACAATTGATAGTATGCTTGTGCATCTTTGAAGGATTGTTCATTTATGAATTGAAGTGCTATATAATTTAGCCATGCACCCTTTTTGATGTCCCTTCATATCCTTCATATGTATATCTCAGAAGAAGCATTCTCGATGTAGGTGCTGCACATATTTTAGATTGGATTTACTGCCATGAAAATTTCCTTGTTGAAGATGGTAGTGAGGTTTAAGGCATCATAATCTCAAATTAGCGGGAAAGGCGAATTCTTTGAGCCGACTAATCCAATTAATGGTCTTGTGGGTTTTGAATGGAAGGGGCTTGGATCCCTTAGGATAATGGTCGAGTTCAATCCAGAAATGCATTGTAAAGAAACAACACTATCAAGACCGGCCTATGCTTTAACGTGATATTCAGGGAAACAAAAAAGCCCTACTGAAGTTGAATGGTTGGTTGGTTGACAACGAATCAAATAAAAAGGAACATGAAAAGTTACTTTTTGCAAGCATTTTACACTGCCGAAATTAAAGAGCTAAAAAAAACATTGCCACTTGTCATTGTCAGATCCACGTACAAATATAAGGTTTCTTAGGGAAAAATCACTGCAATTATTTCTTCAAGAAGCTATTTCTTTAAGATTTTTTTACCATGAAAAAATATTTTTTTTATAACTAATCACCCCTCTTATTCGGTTAAGATTTTAAAAAAAGATAGGAAGCTAAAAATAATCTGATTTTAGTGTTTTAGAGAAATTGTTTTGAATAACTTCCAAAAAAATTGAAATTATAATTACTTGTTAAACTAAAAAATATTTTTGTATAATTATAATAAACTAAAATTAACTTTTAGTTTTATAAAATTTCTAAAATAAATATTTTTTTATATATTTTAAATACTACTTTTTAAAAAGGCCCCATTAATATTTTTTTTTTACTTTTTATATGCCTCGAAAATCACTTTTTATTCAATTTTAAATCAAATATACACTTATTTTAATCTTTTTGATTTTATTTGACACTGTTAATTTGCTTAAAATGACTTAAAATAAATAATATAATATAAATTAAGAATTTTTTTTTAATTTTAAAAAACAAAATATCTAATTAATGAACCTTAACTCCATAGAAGATTAATAAGATGATTTGCTCTTTCCTTATTGGCTGTAGTGGGAGAAGCTGATAGCCATTACCGTGAACTGAAGCGACGTCGTAGCAAATAGAATCAGGGAGCGCTGTACTTTAAGAATAAAATCCTCACCGTTCGTTTCTACAATTGTCAGAGACTGAAGGTTTAGATTGTGACTGGTTTGGATAACACATTAATAGCGGTAATGATAACAGTAACTTCAGACATGAAACTTGACAATGGCGGTGGTTGCAGTGCAGCAATTCCTCTGTTTCTCAGAATCAAATTGGAGAAACATTACGAGGCCATGCTTCCCCCCTCGCAGCTCCATTCTTCTACGTTCACGCAAAAAGATTCATTTTTCACTCATTTCATGTTCTTCATCGCAGACCCCAGAAGCTGATACTGAAACTGCTGAATCTTGCGTCAATTTGGGTCTTCAGCTTTTCAAAAAAGGACGGGTATTATCTTCACTCCTTTGTTTTCTTCTATAGCAGAACCATTTAGTTTAAATGGGGCCTTAAAAAGTTCCAATTTTTTTTATGGATTCTTCAGGTTAAAGATGCTTTAACCCAGTTTGAAACAGCACTTACCTTGAATCCTAATCCTGTGGAGGCCCAAGCTGCTTTCTATAACAAAGCTTGCTGCCATGCATACAGGTAGTGGATGGACATTGATTACTCTATTTTCAATATGTAATTATTTCTAATTGTGGATGGACATTGAAACTAATTGTGGCCTGAGTTCATGAGAAGAGATTATGTCTATGGGCATGGTGTTTAGTTAATGTAATTTGCTAGTGTTACTATATGGTAGTAGTTCTTATTCCTTCTGATTAAACCCACTACTTGAGTTATGTGACTTGTATATGTGAAATGGTAAGGCAAAGTATCTACTTGCCATCACCGGATGATGTCCTTGGTGAGTTTTGATACATAATCTTTGGGTTCTTAGGCTTTTGGAAACCGAATGGCTGAGCAAATGGGCATCTCTAAAATTATTAAATTTCATCGGTTCCTTGCATTTTCAAGTATAATAAATGATCTATGTATATAAAAAATCAATTGATTTGAACAGCACGTTGCTTAGCTAATAGTTCTTCTTTTATAACATTCTAATCTGGATGTTGTTTGGTCATTATTTTCATGAAGAGGAGAAGGAAAGAAAGCAGCTGATTGTCTCCGTACTGCTTTGAGGGAATACAACCTAAAATTTGGTACAATTCTCAATGATCCTGACTTAGCCTCCTTCAGAGCTTTACCTGAATTCAAAGAACTACAAGAAGAGGTTTTCTAATTAGTTCTCAAGGATTTGTGATTCTATGTTGTCTAATGTTTATGTGCTTTAATGTAGCTGTCAATGACTAGTTTCCTAAAAGTTTAAGCTGTTAGATTTTGTGAATGACTTAATATATGTCTCTGACTGTAGCATAGCTGAATATTATTATATTCTGTAAAATCGTTGACCAAAAAGTCTTGGCCCTTATGTTTCGTCCCATTACTTCTGTTGCCTAAAGTACAAGAGGATATCATTTAGATCTAAAACTCATGACAGTCTGAGGGGAAAAATCATTTGAAAGGAACTCATGATCCTTGTTATAATTCTGTCTAATTGAGTGTTAAATATTTTACCATTGATTGCTAATACTTTTCTACCACGCAACCAGGCCAGGCTGGGTGGGGAAGATATTGGCTACAGTTTTCGAAGAGATCTAAAACTTATTAGTGAAGTTCAAGCACCATTTCGTGGGGTTAGGAGATTCTTTTATGTAGCACTGACAGCAGCTGCAGGAATATCTTTATTTTTTACTGTGCCTAGGCTATTTCGTGCAATTAATGGTGGAGATGGTGCTCCTGATCTCTTGGAAACTGCTGGGAATGGTGCCATTAACATTGGAGGTGAATAGTGATCTATTTAACTTTTTGATAAAAACAATTCAGATCCAATTTACACCTGCTAAACTTAGTGTGTTACTGTGTGTGTGTGTGTTTTCATTCAAGATAATTGCAGAGTGTAACATCTGACAAAATACTTTTTCATTGCTTCATTAAATGACTAAGCACTGGAATCAGCAATGTGCAGGTATTGTTGTTCTTGTGGCATTATTCTTTTGGGACAATAAAAAAGAGGAGGAACAGCTTGCACAAATATCTCGAGATGAGACACTATCAAGGTTGCCTTTGCGCCTTTCAACTAACCGTGTAGTTGAACTTGTGCAGCTACGGGACACAGTTAGGCCAGTCAGTATATGTGTTCTTTTTACCACCCCTCTAGATGTGTGTGTGTACTTGTTTGTGTTTTTTGTTTTATTTATTTATTTCTGGGAGGAGGGGGTTCTTGCAGTAGCTGCAACATTTAAATACTTAAACTCTTAAATAGCTAACTGGGTAATAAATTATTATTATTATTATTAGTTCTGAATGTAATCTGTTGGGGAGACATATTTGTCAGCGTTTCTTCTATTGTTTATCATGTTGTGAGTCATTTTTATCACAAGTTACAATAATATCAAACACTACTAGTCTACTACTTCTCATTGACAGCATTATCTCCTTTCTTTATAATATTGGGCTTCTGAAGTAGTACTTTCATCTAGAAATTCATAGATAAATGAGTCATACTGGTAACTTGAAGTTGATTTGTAAAATGATCACGACATTTGACATGCTTGAGGCATCAATCAAGTTGACTTCACTCGCCCTATTATCTCCTTTCAGTAATTATGTCATCTACTAATAACTATTTAGTGACAGACTAATATGATTACCCAATTATGACTTATGACAGTTCGTTCTTTCTCTTTGTAAAATTATTTTTATGCTTTCTCCTTATTTGTTCCCTTCTGTCCTTTTCATTTTCAACACGAACATTTCATGCTTTAACTGAAGCTTGGGTTTTAGGTTATAGTAGCAGGAAAAAAGGAAACAGTATCTTTGGCAATGCAAAGAGCAGAGAGATTTCGGACTGAGCTCCTTAGACGTGGTGTTCTGTTAGTTCCTGTAATCTGGGGAGAAGGTAGGGAGATAAAAATTGAGAAGAAAGGTTTTGGTGTTCAGCCAAAGGCTGCTGAAGCTCTTCCATCTATTGGGGTAAGGCTTGATATAACCATGTGCCTTTGTGAATCCAGCTCTTCATCCGTAGCTTTTGTTTCTTTGATGAGGTGACACTAACCCATAAAACTTTGCTAGGAAGATTTTGAGAAGAAAACACAGTCCATAACTGCAAAATCAAAGTTGAAAGCTGAAATTAGGTTCAAGGCTGAGATTGTATCACCAGCGGAATGGGAACAGTAATATGCTTTGCTATCTTGCCTATAATTATATTGTTGACTTGGCTGCCATTTAATCTATTTCTTTATTAAATGAAGCGGAAATTAGATCAATATAGGTAATCAAGGGGTGGATTGATGTCAACTAAGTGCATGAGAGACATAGAGAGAGAGAGAGAGAGAGAGAAAAGAGTTGCTAATAGTTTTCATGCTAACTTAACTAGGTGGATAAGAGATCAGCAGAACTCCGAAGGAGTTGTACTTGGTGAAGATGTATACATAATACTACGCTTGGATGGGCGGGTTCGAAGATCAGGAACAGTAAGTTCCATTTCAGAGCAAATTTGTTTATGCTTTTCGTCCCATTGCTGTATGTCATAAAAAAACTATGGCGTCATTATTCTTGATTTGCAATCCTAATCTGGTCTTAATACTGTCTCATAAATAAGCATGATTTAAAAGGAGTTGGATTTTAAGAATACTGTTAAAACCAAATGATAATTTGGAATGCCTTTCTTTATGTGACTTGTTTGTAAAGCTTGAAAATCATGCAAAAATTGCTTTACTCCAAATTCATTTTACTTCTAAGTTGTACGCCATTGGGAAAATTTTCATTTGACTAACTGAAATTGCAGTAAGGGATAATATTATTGATTAATACATCTTGTTTCTCAACTATGAACTGTCAACAAAGCAGTTTGATTAAAGGGAAACCGTGTGATGAAATCTTAGGTTCTTAAAGAAATTCACTACAAGGTTTCTGTTTTTTTTACTCTCATAATTGCAGTATACTATTTCTCATACTCTGCCACTGTTGGTAATACAAGTGCTAATGCATTTACAGGGTATGCCTGACTGGCAGCAAATTGTGAAGGAGCTGCCACCAATGGAAGCAATTTTAAGCAAGCTTGAAAGATGAGAAGGTTTACATTGCCTACTTTTCTTCCTGAATCTGGAGGGTGCAATTTTATATAAATTTTTTCCTTCATCAATTGCAAAGTATAAAAAGAAAGATTAACATTGATGAAATAGTTTGTTAACAAATTTATATTGTACTTGTATATTTTTCTACTACACAGATTGACTAGTGAATGAATCTGAATTACGCAGCCTGCTCACAGTGAGTTGCGCTTAGTTATAATCATGCAATTTGAAAGGCTTGATTTTAGATTTGTTGGTTAGTATTCTTGAAATAAGCCCGTGGTTTCTATAGTTATGCACATAATGGACTAATAATATTTCTTTCAAATGCATAATTCAAATTTACCCTCTCTGGGATTCCTTCAACTGTCCAAATGTATCCTAGAGGATATTTTAATATTCTGTATTTTTCATTTTTCCTTTTTGAGATAGTGGCTGGTTGGTAAGAAGAAATATTTATTTTAATATTTGCATTTTTTCTAACAAGAAGCTAACCATGTTTTAGAAATAATATAAAAAGATGTATTGTTCTTTTGTTTGACAGAAGTCTGTAAGAATTGTATCGATGATAAGAGGTTAATAGTAATCAATTAATTTTATCTTCAAAGGGAAGTTATTGTGTGATGATAAATAATTTAGAAACAAACAAATGCATTTGAAATTAAAAAGAAGAAGAAGCAACTGTATTCTATTCTAATAATTAGATAATGAGTTAATCGTACATTAGTTACTGGGCCATTTCATGTAATCACAAAAAAATAACATTATCTTTTTCTGACCATATTCTTTTATACTTATTTTCTTTCTACTCTGTTTTTTTTTTATTTCATCCTAACATAGCATTGGTGTTATTATTAGTGTAAGACATCAGCAGGAGTCATGCTATTAACATAAGACCTTAGTTATAAATTAGGATATTTTTTGTGATACAAAACACAACGCAACAATATCTTATTAAACTTTTTATCAAAAATTTTTTAAACAAAAATAATTATTTCTCAAGAAGAATTAATTTCCAAACATCCGCTGACAATGTCAAGAATGCATTCTCACTTTGGATTAGTGTGTTTGGAAATTATCACAGAGAGTAAGGAGTATTGCTATCACTAAACCGACCCTTGGGCTACACTCGTTTGATTTAAAAACAAGTGATCAATGGCGACTGTTAAGATAAGCACAAGAGTTTCCGTCCAGAAGAAGTTGGTCCTCAATGTCAATTAGCCAACGGAAATTTACTTGTAGTGGCCTGTCGTGGACAACATGATTTCAAACCCAACATCGATTAAGGGCTAAGACTCAAAACAGTGTTGAATTAGCCATTTGCGTAATCCACACATTTTAGGCCCAATACTTGGCCTTAGTGTTAATTAGTTAGTGCTTTGAATCTAAACCTAGTATCATCGATGCCCTTTCATTCTTAATATCCTTTTCTTGGTAGGTTTTGAATGCCTATATTTATCGTGTACCCAACTTTCTTCTTAGCAATTGAAACACATTTGAACTTGAAAATCACTAGAAGGGTATAAACCATCTACTTGTTGTGCTTCAATTTTCTTCACTTGTGGGTGTTAGGTTATTACTAATATATTATTATTATTAGTATTATTGTTTTTGTTATTTTTAGTATTCTAAGATTAATTATCATTTTTTTATTTTCATTTTTTTTGTCACAATATCTATCACTTTTATTTTCTTTCTCTCTCTTCTCTTCACTCGATCAACGTCCATTTTGTGGTAGTCAAATAATTATTTTCATTCTTAGATTGAGAGAATCAAACTACTGAATATTGATTATTTTTAATCTCATGAAAATGAAAATTGACATTTCCTTAAAATTGTCCCTTGTTATACAACTGAAATCCTTGTAAAACAAGTTGTTTACCCGCTCTTACCCTCCAAGTAAGCTTCTTCTATAAAATGGTAGAAAAGAAAGAATAAAACACTTGAAACTGAAACAAGAACAAGACCACCCCCACCACCACCACCTTCACTACAAAACAATGTCCAGTACATTTTTTTCCTTACTCCTAGCCTTGCACTTGTTCATGGTGGCCATGTCCATGGTGGGTGCAATAGGTGAGCACCCCCTAAGGTGGGTGCCCAAAACAACAACACCCTGCGAAGGCTCCATAGAAGAGTGCATAGCAGATGGTGTGTTTGGAATGGAATCAGAGTCCCACAGGCGCATCCTAGCAACCTCACAGTATATAAGCTACAAAGCGCTGCAGCGGAACACGGTGCCATGTTCTAGGAGGGGTGCATCTTACTACAACTGCAAGCCAGGTGCAAATGCTAATCCTTACACTCGTGGATGCCCCGCCATCACTCGTTGCCGTAATTCTTAGAAGAATGTGAACCTTCTTTCTACTCTTTCTTTTGTTGAATATGCTTTCTAGTTGTGTTCATCACGCTTGTTTATGTTTTGCTTTGAATGGTGTTCTCTCCTCTTCGTTTTCGTAATTTTATGTAAATTAAGCTTAACATGTGTGACTACAGTAAAATATATGCTGCTTATTCCGCTTTAACCATTATTTTTCGTCGGAAAAGGGAGGGGCAGTGTAAGATGAATGGTAGAAATATGATGTTTACGTACAATTGATGCATAGATAGGCAATCCGTTATTACACTTAATTTTATACTTTAAGAGGTTGTAAAAGTCGTCAATTCGAGGGTGCTGTGTCTTAAATACAGATTTGCAAATAACAAAATCTTGTACATAGATAGGCAACTATTGGGAACTGTAAGTCAATAGTGGTCAAATCAAATGTTTTGTCCATGTTTATGGTTATCTTTGGTAATCCATACGAACCTACAACACTGTTCATCTGGGACTCTCGGATGTAATAGCTACAGTAGTTACTGAAGCTCATATGCAAATAATAGTAGTTTAAAAATATGAGAATAAAATATATCTATTATTTATTTATTAGATCAAACATCGACATAAAACGGCTTCTGAAAAATATATTGACGTAAATTGACCATTACTTGCAAAAAAAATACACCTTTTTCTTACCAAAATTTAGGTTAGACTACTTTTCGTGTCGGACACTGTTGGACCTGCTACATGAACTAGGGCCCTATTCGGATGAGTCAAACTTGTACGAGCACTATTACAAGAAACTAAACATTGGGCTGTAACGCACATAGAAGGGTGAATACCTTGGGTGATTGATTTCTCTCGCCAGCATGAGTAGAGGATGTGAAATTCCTTTTCTGGTGAGAGGATGAGATTGAAAAGCAATAAAAGGTTTTCCACATTTGACTCTGCGTTGCTATCTCCTGAACACTTGTAATTTTAGAACTACAGAGTAGCTCATTAGATCAGAACCTTAGTTTATACTTTATAGCGTTAAAAATGCACGACCAAATATGTACTTGATCTTTTTTATATTCCAGGATATATATTCGAATTACAGCGGTGCACAATATTAGAATATAGTGCACCCGAAAGTGCTAAATAGTACGAAAACAAGTGTACAAAAGAGTAGCGAAACCAATTGACCAATCACATCTTAAATAACCATACACGGATGCCAATATCACAATACACCGATGGTTGCTTGTTTTTTTGATAAAACTGCCATATATCATTTCGCACTAGTACAATCAGAAAACTAATAAGCGGTAACAACCCAGAAAATGCAAAGGGGAAAGAAGGAAACAACACGGAAGTAAATGTAGCACCTAATCTAGTCATCTCGAATTAGAAAGAAAAGGCAGACCATTAGTCGCAGCAGTGCACATACTTCTTTTTTTTTTTTTTTTTGAACAGTTAAGACAGATTAAGGTACAAAAGAGAAAGTGCACTGATGGGTACATGCCAAATAACTGGACTCTGAACTGCTGAACAAAACCCTGATGTATTACTAGACAATTAAAAAAAAAATGCAGTTGCACACGAAACATTACTTAAGCGGAACCCTCTTCTTTTTTCGACTCTTCTTCCTTTGGCTTAGCAGGGGCCGCAGGTGATGGAGTGCTCTCCACTCCCATCTCTGCTCTTAGGTCATTGATGCTTTGCTCCAACTCATTTATACGGTTTCCCATCTCATCAAGTGCATTGACGTCAAGGAAAAACTTTACTCAAGCAATTTCATGGGCAAATCAATAATAACCATGTAATAGAATTTAGATCATAGCCCATCTCCTGGCTTCAGCCAACATACACGACACCACAGATACCCATATATAAATTGCATTAAGTCAAGAGTCACAACTGTGTGCACATTTGCAAGGGTGGAAGTATTGAGTTTATAAAGAAAAAGCTCAAAATGCAGCTGTCTCCAGAAATAATTTATCTCCTGTCATCTGACTTCTTTGAATCGTATCTTATTTCAAGGGGAAAAATCACTATAAGGAATTACCATTTTTATGAAACTAGTTTCCATGCAAATTCTAAGATTAACTTACTTTATGGACTAGAAGAGTGTCTGAAAAGGATATTCTTTGTAATTATGGAGTCAGACATTGTCTGGAATCTAACTTGCTGCAAACAATATTCTTGTTAGCAACAGTGAAATAATACTGCAAAATCAGCAACGCAGCTCTTCGAGCCTAAAGTATACAACTCACCATCTGCTGAAGAAGAGTTTGCACCTGAAGAGAGAGAAAGGGGGCAAACAAAGGTCAAACGTGATTGACACACACAAGAGCAGCATTTAGTTAATTAAATAGCAGATGCATCAATTCACTAGTCCCACTCATCGTGGAGTTTGGGACAACCAATCAGCAGAAATGGCTCAAAACATAAACTAGTAAGAAGCTAAAATATTTCTCAAACGTTCAGGTACACTGATTTGCATATTATCCCACTCTCGTAGAGTCATAGTAAACATTGGTATCCTGGTGAACTAGCCAGATTGACAATATGATCATAAACGCATTCAAAAACGAAATCACAAGCATTGTTAACAAAAACGCATGCAAGCACAATCGTACAGAACAAAACCATCAACTCTTCAAGATGCTTAACAACTTACAAAAGCTGTCATATCAGCAGTGCTTTGCTTTGGGTCTTCTGAATCATGCCCGTCCTGTCATCAAAAGGCAATATAAACATTATAAATTAAAAGGAACCACATGATGAACCAAAAGTTAACAAATGAAATGAAATTCAAATGACAAATAAACCATACAATGCAATGCAATCAGGCAGCAGAAACTTGAAATTGAAAGTGAATAGGTAACTGACACAAGAAAATATCGAGAATGAACATGTCTGCGAGGATTAACAAGCAAATCTAAGCCCGTTTTTGGTATTGGATTTTGGAAACCCTAATCGTTAAATATTCAATTTGAGATTCACGAATGAGAAGTCGAGTGTGGGAATAAAGCCCCGCAAAGATGATATAATAATAAAAGGAAAACAGAGAGAGAACCTAACCATGATCTGAACAACTCTGCAGCGGCAACTTCTTCAACACGTTTCAAAGCCTAAAATGCGCGACCAAACAAACAAGGGACTCAGACTCAGGACCAATCGTCCCTACAATTATATTCATTCAATGGGTTAAAAATGTAATTACAGAATTAACCCTCCCTTTAATAAAACCCGGAAATAAAAAAATAAAATAAATAAAATAAAAAAACTAGAAATTTTGTAACGCATATCTCAAATTTAGGGTTAATGGCCTATGCTTGTTAAATTTTACCTGACAGTACAGCCTTATGTGTGTTTGAATTTACTATATTTTCTTATAAAATATCAAAAGGTATTTTCGTCATTTCGAATCGGCAAAATGGAAGAGCCTTTCAGCGGCTTCCCATTTATCTACTGTTACGCGCATCCATTTGAACTCTGCGGGATCGTCAATTATGCCATTTCACTCCACTTCTAATAGGAGTTTTATCATCCGTTTACATAAAGGTTAGCAGGATAATGAAGAAAAAACAAAGTTTATTATTATTAATAAAACTGTCACTGATTATACGCATAAAATTAATAAAAAAATTAATACTACAAGTGTTCTTAAAACATTAGATCATAATTCACAGTAAAAACAATTATAAAAATAACCAATGCCTGTAGTGTTCTTAAGATTATTAATATGACCCATTTAAAAATTAATCACACAATATATTAATCTTCAATTGAGAAAATAGAGCATAAGCAAACCGATTCCTACATTTGGAAAAAAAAAGAACAGGGGAAAATCATAATGAAATAAATAAGATGTTACTAAGAATAATTTACCAATGTTTTTCTTTTTGAATAACTTATTTAGGCTTTTTTATTTTAAAAAATGTTTTTAGAAACAACTTTACCCTAAAAAAGAAGGCATCCAAAAAGTAATTTACCGGTCTAGATTGTTTTTGACCACAAGTATAATAATTTTTGTTCATGACAAGAGTAAAATAATTTAAAATATATAATTTTTTTTTATACAGAGTGTATTTATAATTGACGAGAGTTTCTCATGTTGACATATGACATACATGCAAAGAATGTCAGCAAAAGAATAGTTGAAACTTACTAATAAAAAGAAAAAAAGAGGAAAAAACATACTACCGGCCACCCAATTGATATATAGAAAAGTTTTCAATAAATATCATTCAATTATTAAGCAAAATTGATAAATAAATAATTCATCCAGACCATGAACGAAACTGTTTTTTTTTTTAAAATGATTGACTAGTGGTTTATCATAGCTAAACATTCACAAAATTCAATATTTGCTCTTGCTTATCATCAAGAATTTAAAATAAACAAATCTATAAAACGCTAACCCCCCCGTCAGTTTTGGTTAAAGATGCACTGACAGTTTTATATTACTTTTGACTTTACCCATATTTTAGTAGAACTAAATAAATTCGGATATTAAAAAGTGGACAATTCTTGTCGGTAGAAATAAAAAGTTTAGGATGAGAAAAGGTTGACTGCACAAAAGAAAAGTTCCAGCCAAAACACGTTATTTGGTAAAAAAAAAAAACCACTTATTCAAGCAAAAAAATAATTCTCATTTCCCTCTTCAAAGCGTAAAATATCAACAGATTATTTTTCCTCAATATTAATTAAATATCGATAATTCCCTCAAATACATTCAGCAAGTTATCAATAGAATTGAAAATAAAAAACCTTAACAACTGAGGGTACCGAGATCTAATGTTGCTCCTATATTCTGTTTTACATCCATGTTAGTAATCCTTACTCCTTAGGCTTGCTCAAAGACACATCACAAACATCTACAACAAAAGGGAAGGCGTGATAAGTAAAAAAAAACCAGTTGTCCAAAGTCACCCCTTTTCCTCTACAGAAAAGAGGAAGAGGAACCTTTGAACTTCTATTTGTCTTTGTGAGAGGATGGTTTACTTTGTGCATAAGGATACTCAGGCGGAGCAGACCACAAACCCCAGAAAATAATTAAGTGAAGGCAGAGAAGAAGCACTGATGAAAGGTTGTTTGAAGGATAGATATTCCAGCATAGCTCCACTCCCACGAACAAAATCAAACTGCTTGCTCCACATGAAGAAACGGATCATTTATGAATTGAATAGAAGATAAAATCATTTTTAAAAATTAAAAATTAAAGCAAAGCATGGGATGTTGGTTAACATACCGCAGCAATGTCGGGTATTGCGTTCTCCACAACAAGTAAGGTAAGCTATAGAAATACCTGTGCCAGAAGCCAAATCACAACAAGAGTAAGAACCTTTGCATTTGTTAGAATACAAAACCACAAACGTGAAACAACCGTTTCATTCTGTGCATAATATTTGTCTAACAGAACTAGTTTAAGAAGGTTCAGCATAAAGAAGGTAGATAATACACCAGAAAACTAGATCCAGTCAAGTCAATAAGAGAATCGATATCATTGACCATCAATGCAAAAATATGGTTCACACATTACTCGTCTGCTAGAAGGAATATAAAAGGAGAGAGAGGAAAGGCTGGCTGATAAAATTACATCGAAAGCTAATTTCTATTCTCAAAAAAAGAAAGAAATTATAAAAAAAAATGCAAAATTATCTAGTAGATGGCAATGACAGGAAAATTATTTCTATGAAAAATGTCTTTCCCATAGTCACTGGGAAGCAGTCAGACTGTGTCCTAGATAAAACTCAATCTTATTATAATGTAGATAACCCAGCAGATTTGCTTATGGCAGGGTGTTTTATTTTTATTTTTCCTTTTCTTTTCTTGTATTGTTTGATAAGCAAAATTAAACCAAGCAACTTTTGCATCCAAATCATTAACAGAAAAGGACAGTCCGAGCAGACTTACCATGAATAGAACTGATAGTGCAATGACCGAGCACATATAATGCCAATGAAATTTCCAACAAACATAGTTGTCACAATATCTGAAAGAAAGTCAAGACTTTTACAAACTTATCGCAAAAAGTTGATGTTATGTTATGCTCTTAAATCCTACATAAGACTAATTTTACTCACGTTCTTCAGTAAGTATCTTGATGGATGATGAACTACTCTTGCCAAAATTCTTAGGAGAGGAGGAGAAGAAGAGTGCAAGCTTCAGCCTCATAAAGACATATCTGGAACGTAGAAAGTTGCAAAGGCCTCCTTCATGTCTGTAACCAATTAAATAAGTAAACACACATAATCCAGCTGCATCAATATTTCAATCCAAAGTACAGCAGAATCCTATACATGCCAGATTCCCAATAATCATAGAAACTCTTGGGACGTAGATCCACAACATGACCAACATTAAAATATTAGGACCTGTTTAGTATGATTTCTTTTCTGTTTTCATTTTCAGCTTTCACTTTTAATTGCAAAAATATTTTTTATTATTTTCATTGTTTTTCATTCAATTTTTTTAAAACAAAATAAAAAAAAAAAAACAAACATTTTCTCAAAATAATCAAGGCCATTAGTCATACAACAAAAACAATAACAAAAGCCATTTCCCACAAAAAGTGGGATCCACATCGATCAAACAATGCCATCGTGTTATGCCAAAGAAAACCAGGTTTTTGGAGAAATCATTTAGATCTAAGTCCTTTTTTAAGGTTTCACTTAGGATATGTTCAAGGATGAGGTTTCAGAAGGAAATGGAAGGAAGCATTTATGTAACATTCATAAAAATATAAGAATATATATATATATATATAATATTAAGCATATACTAATCTATTATTTTATATATATTATTTTATTTTACTCATTTAAAAAACTATCAAATTAGAAAATATTTATTAGAAACGAAAACTTCATCCTCCCTTCTTTTTCACAATGAAAACTCAACTCTCAAACACATCGTAGAGTATTTCTTACGTAAAGTTTGGATTAGCATCTAGCTTATAAGAGCTTTTCAATTGCTAACCCTCCTGTTACGAATTTTCTAAAGCAAGAATGCCAAACTTATTAAGTTTATAGTTGCATATGTAGAAGTTAATTTTAACTTAATCAAGAAGCTTGATCATATCACCTTATTTATTTATTTTATTTTCCTATAAGTACTTATTGAGTTGGCTCTTAGTCTTCTTCTACCTCTAACTACAAGGCAATCCTCTATCTAATAGACTCTTCTTTTCTAAATGGGCCATATATTGGTCTTCTCACATGGCAAACCATCTTAGACATAATTCTACCATCTTTTCCTCCATAATAGTTACTCTTACTTTCTTTCTAATATATTTATTCCGAATGTTATCTACTCTAGTATGTCCACTCATCATCACAACATTCTTATCTCTAGAACATTGTGTTTATGCTCTTGTTGACACTTCGTTGACTGGTTCACATTGTTTATTGCATCAAAACAGAAGACAAATAACTTATCATATATATAACTTGACAAGAACAATTAATAAAAAAATTGGTTAATAATGCAATTCACCCCCTCCTATATAGGTTAGGTTAATTGCAGAAAACCCTCAAATTAGTAACTTCTGCCAAGTAGAGCAAACTGTAAATTTAAACCCTCATGCATGTGTAGAAAGCTTCCTGGGAGTCAAAAAACTTTAGTTGGCTAATTTCTAGAAGGAAAATTGCCGAGTTCTAAACCTGGGAAATGGGATGTCAGCAATTGACCTATAGTTAAAGAAAGTTCCTTGCATTACAGAAAAAGTTTTATAACAATCATTTCTGTATGTAAAATTAAAAAGAAGAATAGTAAAATAAACCTTTATACCTACTTGCACCATCTATAATGCGCAAATACAGCAAGTAATATGAGGTGAGCAGCCAACAAAAAGATTGCAAATCCCTTGGATACAAATACTGGTTCAGGGATGAATTTGAAGTTAACAGACCTGGTAACAAGCAATTGAAATAATGTATCAGGAAAACCTAACTGGACCTATTAAAACAGGGCAAAATAAACTTGCACCCCTAAACTAAAGGGCACCACAAACTCGACGCACTAACTTCATGATCCTACATTAACCCCCTTGATGTTAGGACTTAGGACTGAAGTGAAACCGTTTGTATCTCTATTAAGTTAAACAGTACAGATAATGTGTTACACGCGACCATTCATTGAAATATCACACTAACCCTCCCAACTCCACAATCAACAAAACCAGTCCTTAATTGTAAAATCCCCAGCATCATAATTCTCCCCTTCAATCTAATACATGTGAATGATATTTTAAACACCAAACACAATTTTAATTTTATGCACTTGTCATAAGCTTTAACCTGAAAATTACAAGCAGCTTCTCCAATCACACCACCACACATGACACCATATCTTCAGCAGCTTATTTGGCTTATGTATTGCATCTGGAGGCACCTGTCTAATTATGTTCCTTGGTGCCAAAGCGTTGCAGATGATCTTTACATGGAATAAAACTTAGATGCCTCTATTTGAGTTATTTCCCTTATGGCCTTATCTAATTTATCATTATTTTACCAACAAAAAATAGCTTTCAAATTATATCAAAGACACTAATGTTTGCAGTTATTTCCCTTATCTCATGTATCATTGTTTGCAGTTCATGGTTATCAAGCATACATCAATATACGAAACTGAAAATATAAGTACCAGAAATGGATGAAGACACGGCCAAGATTGAAAGCTCTTGATAAGTATGCAACTGGATGTGAAACCAGGAAAGGAAGCCCCAATAATATCTGTAGCAGTAGTTAACCATATAGGAGTTAACTAATGTTACAAAAATTGGACATTGCTCACTCTTGAGAACCAATCAATCCTGAAGCCCAAGAAGAGAAACTCACCTGACAATATGGAAAGATTATTTAAGAAAAAAATACAACCACCATCAGGCATCTAAAGATTTGTTCATTCTGTAATAGCATTTTGTATGATGAAAATAACATGTCACGCAGAATAGAGAAAGAAAATACAATTCCAAGCAACATTTTGCAATTATAGCATCACAATTATACTAAGGAAACTGAAAGGTAAGGGACCTGAGCCACTGCTGCGCCAGTTAACGACAATAACACACCGCCAATATCCATAGCCTGCAATACGCAAGAACAAAGCGGGCTACATGAGCACTGTTCCGGTGATTGCCAGGAAACAAAGAATGCAACATACTACTTTAAACATTGAATGTACCTTCAACATGAGGAGCAGCAAAGATGGAGCATAAAGAAGCACATTCATCTTTACCGAAACAGCTCCACTAACAAATAATCACGAAAAACCATGTAAACACCATATCCACATAGAAAGACAAGTGTAGAAAGAGAACCTTTACCTAAACAAAATCAACCCCAGATTCCACCTTCGGTGCATGAGTAAGAGTAATGCAGCATGGAGAAGCGTAATGGCCACACAATCATTAAACAGACGAAGCACAAAGATAGAATGCACTCTTTTGGACAGAGAGAGCAAGCAAAGGGCCCACCACGGAACCTGTTAGACATTCCAATTTTCAAGAACAACGAGAATTAAACATTCATATCAATAACAAATAACCAGAAGAAAAATGTGTTGAATAAAATGAGTTCCTTGCCACATCAGTCTTGACATAGATAGCAAGAACGATTGCGAGATTTATGATATATAACACTCCGAACAAAATCTGCATCGAGAAAAGAGAAAGGAATGAAGTATCAATTGTGAAAAATTGAATAAAACATGAGATGTAGTTGGAAGGCATTATTAACCTGAGCAGGGTAGACTTGTGCAGAAGTAAAATAGTGAAATGCAGAGTAAATGTAAAGAAAGCCAGCAGGGTAAACAAGAGGACCAGTGTCACCCTTCAGATTGCGGTAATCTCTTTCCCCTTCCAGAAACCCGTCAACCTGTGACATGTAAGCGTCCCAATCTATCTTCGTGTCTGAAATTATTGAAGACAAGTCGCATCATATCACATCAGCTTATGCATTCCATTAATTGAATTGAATTGAATTGAATTGAAGAAGAGAGAGGTATGAAATTCAAACTTACAGGGGACAAACGCGATTATGAGAAAGACAAGGACGGCGTCGGCAAACAGCAGAGCAACTGCGAAGGGTATTTTGGGGTTTTCAAATAGAAAGGGGATTGCTCTTGATCTCGGCGGTGGTGACGACTTCGTCACCGATTTAACAGCCATCGTTTCTCTGCTTTTCAGCCTTCTGCCTCCTATTTCCATTTCGATTCGATTAACTGAAACGTCCAAGTTGAACCACTCCTCATTCACTTTAATTTTCGTTTCTGGGCTCAATCCCGTGGCCCATTTAAAGTGTTTCTGACCTGATGACTAAACTTTTCCCTCTAATCCAACCAAAAAAAAAAAATAGACTTCTCCCTCCTCTCTTCGTAACCACACATGTTGATCAATTAAAAAATAAATAACACCCCCCCCCCCCCATATTTGATTAAAATTGTTTCTTTTACTGGATATATATTATGAAGTTTAAAAATATGCAAACAATATTATTATATTTAACTTTTTAGTAATAAAAATAAAGAATTTATATAAAAACATCATATTAATAACTAAAACAATTTTTATTAGAACTATGGAGAAGTTCCTCAAACCTTTAATTTATTGTGTTTTAAAATGGCGGTTGGTGTGTCGGCAAACGCAATTGAGCTGAACAGGTGTTGGGGTAACAGTAGGGGTATGAAGAAGGGAAATTGAGTGTGGATGGGGAGAAGGGTTAAAGACGAAATGGGCATTGGGCACGTGCAGTTTGCAGCTGCTTCCACACCTCTCATCAGACAAACGCATTCGTATCTATCTACGTATGATTTTGTCACTGCCAAGAGTTGTGTCTCTTGCACACGCAGCCAACTCTTTCTATTTACTCCATCAAATCTATCCACGTGTCACTCATTCCCCCAACATGGTTGACGAGAGAAATCCACGCTCTCTCCTTTAAAACCAAAACGCGCCCTTCACTTTCTCCCCCACACTCGCTTCTCTTCTCTTCTCTTCTCTTCTCTTCTTTCCTTTCTTCTTTTCCACTTTCAAACTAACTCTTCCTTCTCCCATGGCTTCCAACGATCTCAAACATCGAATCACACCCAATCCAGGTCCAGACACTATGAACGACAAGAAGAAAAGAAGGGACAAGCGAATGGTGATGGCCAAACGCGGCCTCAGGTCACTCGCCATAGCCGTTTTTCTCCCTCTCTCTCTCACTGTCTTATCAGCTTGCATAGGCTCTTCCATGCACAGCCAGTCACGTGCACATGATGCTGTCACGTGGAGAAAGCCCTTCTGGTTCCCACCCTCGTGGGCTCTGCACCTCACATGCCCGGCTTCCAGCTTCTTGATGGGTCTCTCGGCTTGGATGGTGTGGGCAGATGGGGGATTCCACAGAAACCCCATGGCTCTATTGCTTTACTTCACTCAGCTTCTCTTCACTGTGCTTTGGGATCCCATTGTGTTGGGGGCTGGGGCAACCAGAGTTGGCTTGATGGTGTGTTTTGGATTGTTTCTGAGCCAGGTTGGGTGCATGCGTGTATTTCGCCCCATCAATCCGATCGCCGGTGATTTGATAAAACCTTGTTTGCCATGGATTGCTTTTCTCTTTATTGTAAATCTCAAGCTCCTTTTTGTTTGAACCTTGTAGCAATCTTGTGGTGGAGTGGACTCAAACTAAACACTGTCACGTAGAAATCCTCTGTATACAGCCCGCTTAATCACGGAGTAAACACACGTGCTGTAAATAACATTCCTAGTATTTTGTATCTTGTTTGTTTAGTTGTTAGATGCTTTGTACTTTTCTTTTGTCCAAATATGATTCAACTGTCTTAAATTTGAGTAGCAGTGTAGTCTTTTTTAATTTTTTCCCTTAAACGCTTTTTTCACGGTAAAAAATTACCGTCTGAACTTAGTATTTTGTCACAACTTAGTCTGAACTTAGTTTTTTTTTTTTTTTTTTTTTTTTTGCGCTTAAGAACGCAATATCAAACACTGATATCTAATTTCAGATGCAGTTCAGTATCTGTACCAAGCAAAAAAAGTTATGCAGATAAAAAGCAGTTTTCAGTAACAAAGCAGACAACGGATGGTTTTTCCTGCCTCCATATCTAGAATTTATATTAAATCACAAGAAACCTTGTAAACATGTTTGGGCAGAATTTATAGTAAATTGTCGAGATAAATTTTTTTCATAGAAATTCAAATATGAGAGATTAAAATACAGAAGTCCAAACTCCAAAAACGAAGGAATATAGTATAAAATTAGATTCGGTGGGGACCCCTCTTTCTTGTGAGACCATCAGCCCATAGTCCAAGGAAATTTTAACTGTATAACTACAAACAGAAACTGGTGAAAGCTACAAGGGACCATAGACAACAAATAGTGATTGTATTCCAAGCCACCTTTCCATTACTTCATGCAAATTCGCGTCACAATCCATGGATAGGAATTATTTACAAAGTTAAGAAGCTTAAGACGGAGAGGAGCCAATAATTTACATGTATATGCACCGCTTTCCTGTTTCTCATAATATACCTTCTAACACAAGTAGTCGTGAGGATCTATTTCTGCAACTAAATATGCGAAACATTCCAACAACATGCACAGACTTGACCAGTTTTCTGACTATTTAACCACATAAGAATAAGGGAGGAGCTCAGCTAGATGATGATACCTCCACTGCTTTAAATACCGGATGAAGCAAGCCAAGTTCATCTTTGACCTCAAGAGGATTGCTAGTCTCATTCCTTATTCTATTTACTCTCCTACTAGCCAAGGACTTGTGTGTGAAGCCATAAATCTGTAGTATCTGATTATCCCCAAAATTGAAAGCTCTGTCCATCTGCTTCAAGCATCTCTCAACCGGGTAATCGCCAAACTTTCCACATGGCTTGCAACCCACAAAATGTGTCACCAACGGCCACCTATGGTCACCAAATCCAGGATGGTAATTCTCAATCATCTCCTCATACTTATCAACCAAAATACCCCAATAACCATGCAAGTAATAACCATTCTCAAGATAAACCTTATCACCCCATTTATCCCTCTCTTTTGCCAACAAATATACCATAGCAGATTGATCATCAGCTTCAAAAACTGGCCTGTCCTTGAGCTCACGTGTAAGCACTTTCCCAGCCTCATCTCTAACCTCCCCTTTTGGTCCCATTGGAGCCCAAGCATCAAGAATATCCAAAGACCACTGACAATTTCTCAACAAAAAGCTTCCAGTGTTCAACCCGATCCAATTCTTCTGATCATAAACCATCTCATTCCACCCATGCATTACCAAATTATACTCTTTATACCTCTCCCACGGCACTTCAAACCCCATGTCCGTGAACATGGCATCACTATCCATCCACCACAAGAACTCTACCTCAGGGTGAGACAGAAGAAGTTTCCTAATCAAAGGAAGCTTGGCCCAAAACCCAGCCATTTCAGCATCGAGAAGGGCCATGTTGTAAAACACCTCAATACCATGCAAACGACAATAATCAATCTTGTTCTTTATAGACTTCAACAAGTAATGGTCCCCGACGGGATTCTCACACGGTTTCGGTGACGAACCAGTTACCAAAAGCACACGAGGCTTGTTGGGTCGAAAGAAATTCGAGAAATTGGGGTTTTCGCGAAGCCACCTCGATCTCTGTTCATCCCAATCCGAGATTCTGGGGCCAAGACGATAAGGCTCGTTCGGGTTTCGTTTCTCGCGGTTGCTTTCTTCTTCTTCTTCGTCGCCGACCAATGTGGTGTTAATGTCGAAGGCGTTGTAATTGTTAGCGGAAGTGGAAGTATCGGAATTAGAGGAAGACGAAAACGACATCTTAGAATGAAGCTCCCCGAGAAGGCGATGAGGGTCGGGGAGCTTCCGGGAGTAGAAGCGGTTGCGAATGTCGACGAAATCTTGCTCCGGCGTGCCGAACTTGCCGGCGCCGATGGTGCCTCGCAGGACAACAACGGTGAGGACGAGGCAGAGGATGGTAATCTTGCAATGCCTGAAAGCTCTCTGGAATCTTCTTGCCCTCTGTGCTCCCAAGCACTTATCTAACATTTTTTCTTTTTTTTGGGTACCTCAAGAATCAATTTCAATCTCCGTGTTGGAAGTGCAATGCAACAAGAGAATTTGAGAATGGGAAATGAGTGCGGTTTTTATTAGAATCCAGAAACGCAAATACGGTGCTAGTTTAGGGATATTGTTGGCGTGATTGTGTTGTTGACGAATGCAGAAACGTGTGTTCCTTTGATGCTCGCGAGAGAGAAAACAAAACCAGACAAGCTTTAGCTAAAGACAGCAGATTCTCGTTTTGGAGAGTTGTTGTGATGTTATTAATTTCCCCGAATTCAATTTTAGTTTTCTATTAACGTTTTGATTTCTCTATCTTTTTAAATGTTTAAATGGAGAAATATAAGTAAATATCTTTAAAAAATAATTACGAATTATATTCTATAAAGACCCCAGAAAAAAGTGAAAGGTGGATTCGTGGCAGTCATAGAAAGACAGGAAACTTAAGTTCTTATCATTTTTTAAATTTAATACAATTATTAAAATATTAGTGAAGACAAAGTTAGGCTATTGGACGATGACTGCATCAGTAATTGTTATGCAATAAATTAATATTGATATGCTTTAGTTTTTTGTTATGCAATAAATTTCACCATTTTCTGAATTAAATATGTTATATTTTTACAATAACATATATTTCTTATGTAATTTTAGATTTCAAAGTGCGAGGAAAAATAATTACATGCACCGTATGTTAAACATTAAGATACGATAATGTTTAGATTTAGATATAGTCCAATCAGAAGAAAAGCTAACAGTGTGATTCCATCTCATTTCGTCGTTTAGGCGAATGAAAGACTAAAACTATAAAAACAAAGAAGAGAAGACAAATGAAAAAACTTTTAAGGAAACAAAATATTTTTTTAATATATATATATATATATACTCAGATATATCTTAAAATTTACTAAAATTGAAAATAAGTATCTTAAACTTTGACCTTATTTCAATTTATCCTTCAATTTTACCACTTCTGCAAATAATCCTGTATTGTTATTAAGTTTGGATTAAACGGAAAGAAAAATAAAATTTAATTTTTAATATAACAAGTGATAAATAAATATTATAATAGGATTAGATGTTAAAATTATTTAGAATAATTGAGATTATGAATCAATGACAAAATGTCTCTTTAATTGATGAAACAAAAAAAAAATTAAAAAAAAATTATTACCTTCATTCTATTATCTTTTTAGATTTTTTAACAATGACTTTTAAAAAGTTAAGAGCAAAAATCTCTCTAATTAATAATAAGATAGGTCAAATTTATATACTTAACTCAGTAATAATAATCATATAACTATATCTATTAATAACTGTAAAATTATTATAAATAAGTCTAATAATAATAATTATTTATAAAATAGATTAAACAATATGATTCAATATTTTGATATCAAATTAATTTGAAATTAAATTAATATTATAACAAAAATTAATTTATTTCAATACACACATAAAATATCTAACATAAACTACTAATAAAAAAACTAGTCTGTTTTTATTTATGTTAAATTTTTGTACTGCAATGTGATTTTATAAATATCACAAAGTAATGCATTTTTTAATGCTTGAATTACACAAAAAATATATCATATTTTGAAGTAAGTAATTCATCCTTTCCTCGTCACATGTTTTGAGAGCATTGTATCTTTTTATCATTTGAATTCATCAATTGTTTATTAAGCTTGAAATAATTTGATTGACAATGGACAGGAATTATATTTTTCAAAAGATCAAAACTTTATATCATATTTTATTTGGGGTGTTCTTTTATCGTCCTTAAATACCTGTTTACGGTGAAAAATGACAATTGTAAATAAATAATCCAAAGATCAATCTGGTGACTAGATTTAGATCCTCTTTGGGTTCTTTTAAGTGTGTTATTAACGTAACGGTGAAATGGACGCGTAAATTCAGCAATTTAGCAAGAATAGTGAATATTAAACGTGCAGAATTGACTCAAACGTAGAGGTTCATTTCAGAAAAGTATGAAATAAGAAATGAATTGCAGAAACAAGAACAAAAGCAAACAAACGAAGAAACTTGAATTGAAATGCAGAATGTAAAGGTACAGGAATGTAAATATGCTGAAATGTAAACGTACGACTCCTCACAACGGCGAACAGCGGCCACCGTGGGTCTCCTTGTAGCTGGTGTTTGGCACGGTGCAGGGTTTCAGCGTCTCAGAGAGTTTAGGTGCGGTGTCTGGGTGCAAAAAGTCGCCATTTGTAAAATGGTGCTTTGGAGTATTTATAGACATGAAGATCACCACCGTTTTCCTTCTTTTGCGGACACTTTTTAGTATCTGCCTTCAACTGTTGATGTTCACTATCCACCTTTGCGTAGTGATGAATGTTGATAACTACTAGTAACCGCTTTTGAATTTTTCAAGACTCCTATCTTTCGAGTATTTATGAGAGAAACCTAAGAGACTCTTAATGTTATGGCCTTAGAATAGTTTCTTCTTTACTTCTCTTTTCGAGCCATTCTGGAGTTTTGAGAGTCTGTCTTGGTCTTGTGGACTCAGAACATTTTCTGACTACTTCTTATTTTTCGAGCAATTCTGGAGGAAATCTGGAGCTCGGCTAGGTTTGTGGACTTAAAATATTTTCTGACCACTTCCTGTTTTTCGAGCAGTTTTGGGTGTCAAGGACTTGAAAACTTCTCAAAAACTCCTCGAAAAGCCATCAGTTTTTGTGAACTTAGAATATTTTCCTGTTAATTCTGTTTTTCGAGTAGTTTTGGGTGTTAAGGACTTGAAAACTCCTCAAAAGCTCCTCGAAAGCCATCAGTTTTGTGTTCTATTTTTTTCGAGTAGTTTTGGGTGTCTGTAACTTGAAAACTCCTCAAAAAAATCTTTTAGTTTTGTGGTTTTAGAATATTTTCTTGTCTTTCAAGCAGTTTAGAGAAAAATCAACAATGTGACAAAAATCTCATAAAATAGCTCGAAATGTGTACCTTTTAATTAAAACCAAAGATCTTAGATAATCTTCCAATATTATCTTATGTTCAGACTATCTTTGGCTCCTTCTTGACCTCCCGAAACTTGTTAAAATGTAGTTTCCTTCGAGATGATTTTTAACTTATAAAATTTTCATTATCCCAAACAACACCACACCTTTTTTTTTTTCTTAAAATATTTTGCCATTTGAATACATAAATACAATAATAACTTCACTCATGCCCCAAAATATTTGTTTGAATGGTGACACGTGCCTTCTTGTTATATTTTTTAAAAATAAAAAAAATCGCGTGTTTGTGTTACAGATGCGATTAAAACTTTATTTGATAATTAGTTTTAAAAACTTTCAGTTGACCTTTGTCTTGTCCTGCCGACACAATATTGTTTCTCCCATTTCGTTTTCATCTAAATAAAAATAAGGCTCAGTTGAGGAGTCCTATAAAAAATTATAAAAAAATTAAATGTGTTTTAAGGGCTTGTTTAATTTAACTTTGATTTTTAATTTTTTAAAAATTATATTTTAAAACAATTTTAGAAAGAAAATTTGTTTGATAATTTAGTTTTTAAAACTGTTTAGTTAAACTGTTGTTAGTTTTAGAAAGAAAAACAGAAAAATAAAAATAAAAACACCTAAATAATAAATCTATTTTTCAGTTTTAAAAACTGAAAATAAAAATTATTTTTTAAAACTTATATTAACAAACAAGTTTTTTTATTTTTAAATTTTTAAAACAAAAAAGTTTATTTAAAAAGAGAAAACAAACAAATAGTTTTTTTTTTTTTTTAGTTTTGGTTTTATTTCTTACAATTAACACTTTTAATTTTTCAATAACCTTAAAAGATTATGTGATTAATAAGGAGATAGTTATGCGTCAATCATTTATATGGACATAATAGTAAAAATAATGAAAACACCCGAGTTGCAATTATACAGGGACAATTTCATAAAAACAAAATATAAACATTATTTTATTAATAACAAACGTGTGATCTATGAACACACAGAAGGTTGAAACACAATAAAATGATATTATAAACCTGTTAATTTAAAAAATGACACATTGCACGGACGTAAAATCAATGGTATTATAGTAACTTTATATTACATGTGGGGTAAAAAGAAAAAAAAAAAGTCAATAATATTAATTTATAAATAAAATTGACTTGGTCCAACTTGATGAGTGTTGGCCTTCATGGGAGACTTAACACGTAAATCATCTTATCTCAATTAATTACAAATTAAACTGACTTACAATGGATTGATTAACTCGTAAATCTAAAATTATGCTTATTATTTTTTAAATCTATCCGTACATTCATTAGATTAAAATAAAATTATACTTGTTTAAATAGTAAATTTAAGTGTAAACTAAATAAAAAATATTAAAATTAACTGAATAGTTGGCAGCTGGCACAGAACTGGAGCTAAGGAGTCCCACTCGGACTCACACACGGGGGTAGATGAAAAAATTATTAGATGAATCAATCAAAATTGAAACATTGAATGGATAGAATAAGATGAGAAGTAGGTGCATTCAACTTTATGATATAAAAAGAATAGTCAATAGAATATAACAAATATTATTATTATTGTTATAAAGGTTGGACGTGAAAACAAGTAGGAAACAGGGTTTTGGGGAGGAAGAGAAGCATTGAAGCATCTATCCGGTGAGGGAGAGGATGGAGTTGATGAGTCATTGTTCAAGCTTCCTTCTTCCGCCGGAGAACTGCAACCCCACTTGTTCTATTTCCCTCAACTACGCTCTCGTTGTTCTCAATCAAAGCCTCCCCAGATTCGCTCCTCTGCTTTGGGACCACGGTATTTCTTCCTGCACCACACCCCTTTCTATTTTGTTTCTCTTGAGTTTTGTATTGTTGGTTCATGCATTGCTGTTTGTGTTGTTGGTTGCAACAGCACAACTACGGGTGTGCGCAGATGGAGGTGCCAACAGGGTGTATGATGAAATGCCTCTTTTCTTCCCTCAGCAACAACCTTCCCATGTTCGCACTAGGTTCCTACTTCAACACCTTTCTTCCCACTGAAAATCCAAAGGGCTTTTTTTTAAAAAAAATAATAATAATAATTAGTTCTAAAATTTGTTTCTCTCTTTAGCTTACTTCAGTGTGCGTGACTGTTTGCTTGTCGTTGGTTGTTTTGCGATATTGGGTACTACGTAAAGTTATGATTTCTGACTTTCTTAGGTTCTGTGGTTTGGTGGTCCATGATTAATGGCCAGGTGTTTTAATAAAGCAATGGTTTGAAGTGGTTTCCCTTTTCTTTTAACATAATAAAAACTGGGCACAGGATCACCAAATCCTCACGTTTGTGATTGTTGAAGCTGCTATTTTTTGCAACTTCTATATTACGTATTTTTTGTGAGGGGGGTGGCTTAAAATTCTCAGTGGCTGTCAGTTGTAGAATCAGATGAGGAAATGGCCAAATAGGATTCAACACAATAGTAATTAATGTGAGTTCGTGTATGTTACATCAATTAGATTCTGTGAAGAGCTTTGCTATATTCTCCTACTACTTTGTAAAGTGAGTATTAAATGAAAATATTCATTTATTATTATGTTTAAAACATAAAACACATTAAATACTTTCTTCATTTAGTAATTGGGAGGATTTGTAGGAATAAAGAGTAGGAGGATTTAGAATTATTCTTCTGTCAATCATTTTTTCGTATTGTCGTGCTAAAGAAACTGATCCATGTTATCATTAATGCTTACTGCTTGTTAATTTCTTCCCATGGTGGCATTGCCTATGCGCGTATTTGATACGATCAAATTTAAAAATATTCAACCATGTTATATTTCCTATTGATGTTTTCACTTATATGTATTGGGCTGGAGTTGTTAGTTTTTCGTATATTGAATGTAATTGTGGTTAGTATTTATTCATGGAGTATATGTGGAATGTCATATATGAGTAGCAGTCAACAATATCTTTTAATCACAGAGATTACTAATAATTAACAAGTGCTCTTAAGACACTGATAAAATAATCAAAAGTGAAAAAAAAGTTACTAACATACTTCACCATGATTTCTAATGCAACACCGATGTGATTTTTCATTGAAAACTTTCTAGCGGATCAATAGCATTGGCTCCCAAATTAACTTTACTTCCATCTCTAGTCTATGGAGTTCAATTGTGGGAGGACTAGGTTAGACTAAAAAACTCTGCAATTTTACTTTTGCTAGTGATTGAGGATACAGTTTGCCATCTTGAGTGTCTAGTAGCAAATTTTCTCTATCTGACTTCCGATGTTTCTATCAGGTACAAGCCTGATGTAATTAAAGGTGACATGGATTCAATCAGGACAGAAGTACTTGAATTCTATAAAAAGCTGGTATCACATTCTCTGTATTTATGGTTTTGTGTGTCTCAGCACATACATGTGCATGTAATGGAGAATATGAGTTCAAAATTCAACTTTCTGGTTCACTCCAAATTGAGATTTTTTTTATTCCTATATTACTGCTATATATACAATCTTGCTTAAATCATACCAAGGATCTTATGCTAGTTTTCTCCCTGTAGGGAACTCAGATAATTGATGAGTCTCATGATCAGGACACCACAGATTTACACAAATGTGTAACATACATACGTGACCTCACACCAAGTATTGATCAATCAGCAGTGAGTTGTATATCTGGTTATACTTTATATTCAGCAATTTTTTTTGGAGGGAGAAGAGGGGAGTGGACTGATGTCAATTTTAACTGTAGAGTTGGATAATTTTGAAATAATTGAAATGAATTAATTCTGGTGTAGTGTTGTTCCTTAATCATTTTTGTTAGTAAAAAATTGCTGTTGTGCTGTGTGTTATTTAGTTGTACCATTGGCAATAATCTCAGCTTGACACACCCATATCTTCTACTCTTTTTAACATATGGCAGCTATGCATTCTTGTTGCTGGAGCACTTGGTGGGAGATTTGACCATGAGATTGGAAATATTAATGTGCTCTGCCGATTCTCCAACACACGAATTATCCTTCTATCTGATGATTGCCTCATTCACCTTCTCCCAAAGAATCATTGTCATAAGATCCTTATTCAATCTTCTGTTGAGGGTCCACATTGTGGACTAGTTCCCATTGGCATGCCATCTGGAAGTTCTACAACCACAGGACTCAAGTGGGACCTTAGTAAGTACTGTATATCATTCTTTAATAATAATGTTATGTGATTAGTTTAATTCTAAAAATGTAGGTCTTCCTGAGGCTCATTTGAGTAGGATGATAATCACTTCCACTTTAATATGCTATCAGAAACACATTTTATTCTTGTATGGCTGTTATTGATGAGTATATGGGATGCCACACTCATCCGGTGCTTGCTAATAAATAAAATAAACAGTTTAATACCCTAATCAGCAACCTATCAGAAAATAAACACATGACGGTATAAATATAATGCTGCGGGGTGATGGAGAAGAAATCGTTGACTTTTATTGCCTTTTCCCAGTTCTGATCTTGCTTCTCAGTGGAGTCTGATGAATAACATTTTATTTTGACATTTTCAGATGACATGGCGATGAGATTTGGAGGTTTAATAAGCACATCAAATATCGTAAAAGGGGATATAGTTACAGTACAGTCTGATTCAGATCTTCTTTGGACTATTTCTATCAAGAAGCTCTAGGTTTTACATGTTGAATAGTTCAGTGATTTTTCAGATCTACAGTACCTATTTAGATGGGTCTTATTTCATTTTAAGGCCAGAGCTTCTGCTGACCTTTCTTTATGTTTCATTCTTTTAATTTACTATGTGAATTATGGGAGGGCATAGGGGAATTATTCAAATGTCGCAAGTTCTGTTCCTAATAACCAATGAGCCTTGGAAGGTCAGTTTTCAAATAAGTTTTCTACGTTCCCTGGCTCAGTCGTATGGTATTGTAATCCGTAAATTAAATAAGCGGAATAAGATTGCCAAAACAACAGAAATGAGAATGAGAACACTTTGTCTTGTGGACTCTACTTCTTGTCCTTAGGCAATAAGCATACAGAACAGTGACTGTCGACTGAAATATGCTTTCTGTAATATATATAGAGTTTTGTCATATCTCGTTTGTCTTCTTAATAATATTTTTGTTATTTTATAAAATAAGCATTAAATAAAAAATGTATGTATTTATTATTTTAAAATATTACAATATTTAATATTTTTTATGGACTAATTATAATAATTTGTAGGAGTAAAGGAAGAAAGATTTAGAATTATTCTGTAGGGAGTGGATGTCTGGAAATTCAATGGTGTTAATTCGCGTTCTACATTGCCTAATAGAGATGGTAAATGGGTTTCAATGTAGCTTACTCTCTTTTTTTATACTCTAGCAAATTGTTTTGTCATTTTTTATTACTGTTTTACAAAATTATTGAATTATTATTACTTTTTTATAAATTTATTCTTAATTAATGTTTATTTGAGAGATGATAATTAATAAAATAGATGAAGAGATCATTAATATTTTTAGGTCCAAGTTAGGAGTTGAGAGAAAAACAGAAGTTAATTTTGATTCTTAAAGTTGAAGTTAAACAATAAAAAAACAAATTTAAATGGTATTTATTGTATTGAAAAAATATAAAAAAATATAATAATTTTTTAATAAAATGTTGTTATTTCAAAATGTTTAAAATTTAAAAATCGTTTTTAAATAGAACAATGTTAATCAGCATCTTTAAAGCAGTCCTTAAACGTAACAAAAAAAGAATAGTCCTTAAAAAACAATGTTATTCAGAGCCTTAAAGACATTCTTAGGTTTTTTTTTAAAAAAAAATTGTTTTCTTTATAGAAATAAACAATAACAAACATGCGATTGCTACATAAATCAATCAACACGGGTGAACATTACTTTCTCATTCTTTCAAGTTGTATTATTTCTTCAATGATAGACATTAAACAAGTGTAACCTAAAAAATTAACAAAGAAAAATATAAACACATAACTTACAGTTACACATAACCTAATTATATTAGATGAGAGATTTTCACACACACGCAGAGATATATATATATATATTTTCGTGTCATAATAATAATAATGCATTAAAAATATTTAATTAAATTACTTATTAATTGTCATACTTACAGGACATATATTAAAACAATCAAGTCAAACCTTAAAAAATAGCATATATAAAATAAATACATCAGAACAAAAATTATACTTTACAAAACTTAACCTAATTTTACTTATTCTCACGCAGCATTCAAATCCTTGAACAACAACAGCAAGACTGAATATCTGCTTTGCATAAACAAAGGAGGGAAATTAATCAATGAATTAGTTAGTGTTAGTAGAAAGAAAGACAGAGAGGAACAGTGAAAGCAATCATAGAGTGTGAAGAACTTTCTCTCCCTGTTTCCCTCCTCTTCTCTTCCGCCTTCGTTTTCTTTGAAACACAACACACAACATCTTTGATCACTCCACCAATCCTCAACATCAACATGGTAACTACCTCTCTTTCTCCAACCTCATTCTTTTCAAACGCTAATACTTCCTACACCCAAGATCTCTCTTTCTTTCTTTTTCAAGCTTCAATTTTTAAAACCGTTCATAGAATTCGAAACCTTTAAGCTTTCACTCTCTTCTCTGTTAATTTATTTTATGACCTTAGCTTCTCTATTTATTCCTTTTTGCAGCTTCCTCTTTCCCTTCTCAAAACAGCTCAAGGCCACCCTATGGTAATTCACCCCCTTTTCCCTATTCTACTTACTATTTACCTTGTCAATATATTCACTTGTTTTATTCTGTTTGATTTGTAACTTGTGAATTCTGAGTTGCTATATGTTGTGGTAGTTGGTGGAACTGAAGAATGGGGAAACTTATAACGGCCATTTGGTTAACTGTGATACATGGATGAACATCCATCTCCGAGAAGTCATTTGTACCTCTAAAGTAATCTTTTTTTACAACCCCTTTTTGTAATTTTTTATGAATATGGAAGGGTTTGCTGATTGTGTTGAATGAAATTTGCAATATAGGATGGAGATAGGTTTTGGCGGATGCCTGAATGCTACATACGAGGGAATACAATCAAGTACCTTCGAGTTCCTGATGAGGTGTGTGTTGTGGTGATATTTTTGTTCTTAGTTTTAAAATTATTAGAAAATAAGGTTTTAATAAATTGGTTGCAAAGGCGAGTCTTAGCACAATAGTAGAGTTTAAGGCCGGATTGGTGGGAGCCTTGTTGGATTATATACTTTATTGTACTAATCCCTAAGTGAATAGGTTGAGATTTTGTCAATTGATGTCTGAGTTTTACATGCGTTTATTATACTGATCTTGTTTATTGCCATTTATTTTAGGTTATTGACAAAGTTCAAGAAGAAACCAAGAGCCGTGCAGGTAAGCATTGTTTAGACATCTTGTTGGTGTGTTAATGTGTGAGTACAATGTGGATGTGAGTGGAAAAGTCTAACATTGTATCAGAATGGACAAGTTAAAGAACCTATAAAATGAAAAGTTTAGGTGGATAGATGGAGAAGCCCATATGGGTTTAAGTTCCTCAATCTTCTGTAGGTTTGTTGAAACAGATCTACTTGGTGTTTTTCATTGTGCCTAATGAACCCAAAAATCTTCCCTTGATGAATCTGATAAATATGTATCATAATAAATATGTAGATCTACTTGGTAGGTCGCACTGCTTATCATAAAAAATATGTATATCATTCTCTGATCAATGTCCCATTTTTAGATCGCAAACCACCTGGTGTGGGACGTGGAAGGGGAAGAGGCAGAGAAGATGGTGCTGGTGGACGGCAACCAAAAGGAATTGGGCGTGGTCTTGATGATGGTGGTACCAAGGGAGCTGGAGGAGGTCGAGGCAAGGGTGGCCCCGGTGGAAAGCCGGGTGGAAACAGAGGTAAATCATGAATCCACTAATTGTGTGTACTATCCCCTCTTCATAATCATATGTTGCTTTCTATCCTCAAATTCCCCTTGTCACAGTCCGAAGAGTTTGGTGCTATTTTGCTTTATTTTCACCTTGACTTGATGAGCTCCTGAGGAGCAAGAAATTTCTTCACTGTAAAAGTATTAATCTTATTTCAAAGTTTTATTAATATCAGTTCTCAAGGTTGAGTTTAAACATTTAGAAGTAATATATTTTTATTGAAAAAGAGTATCTTTATTGCATTGAAGTTATAGTTATAAAAGTTGATAAATATTTTTTTAAAATAAAAATTTACTATTATTATTAGTTTCATAAACTCAAGGTTAAGGACTAAGGTTAACATTTTCCAGTGCCTTTTTAGTTTTTGAATGGTAGCTTAAAGTCAAATCCTGTGTGAATATCGACGGAGGCATTTGTTTCCTTTGGTAGGTACAGGGCGAGGTAGAGGTTGATTCAAACAAGTGGATATGTGACATGAACTACTTCAGAAGGGGCCAGATTGCTACCTTTAGAGGCATTTGTGCTGTGCTTCTCTTCAATGTGTATCGGTAGCAACTTCACTGCCCGTGTTTCCTGTGCATCCCTGGATTTTAGCTTTCCAATGTTTTTCTTGTGTTTGTGACCACAAAAATGTTGGAGCGATAAATTATATTACTCGAGGAAGGCTTCTCTGCCTGCATCTTTTTCTATTACTTTTCCAACTGCAAACTTGCCTTTATCTTTTTTTTCCCCAACTGAGAAGTAGTGATGGAGCAATGTGTGGTGGTATATTTGGAAATATTCCTTTGACAATTGTACATGAAACGTTCAGGGGTCTTAACCTGAACTCGTGTTCTAGTAATTGCAAAGGCAGTTAGAGATGAACTGTTCTTTTCTTTTATTCCTCATTTTGAATGTTGATTCTCACCATTGTCTTAAGTTATTACAAATTTGGTTCTCTTTATGTTTTAGGTAGGGGGTAACCTGGTTGCTTATGGTTTTATTAGTATATCACAAATGATTTGCAACCTTCGTTATGATTAATTTATGCTTACACATCTGGCCAGAACTGATTAATACTTTTCTTTCGTCCAAGCTCTACAGTTTACCTGTATCTGGCAAAGTTGACCATGCAGTTTTGTTTTGGACAAAATTTAATAACACTTTCAAGTGATTTTAGCGTTGTTGCTCAATTAAAAGGGGTTTACAATGTTAACTAGCACCAACTATTGTTGTGTGAATTATCAAAATAAAATTTAAATTTTGATGAAATAATATTCTCCGCTAAAATTACCTTGACTAGTATAAACTTTTATTGCACGAATTATCAAAATAAAACTGTAATTTTGATTGAAAATTAATATTAAAAACACCTAGTGAATATGCATAAGGTCATCAACTATTTCAAATAAAACCCGGAGGGATTTTACGTAAACGATTGTTTAATTAATTACATAATCATCAAAGCAGTCGACTAAAGGAGTACTAAGTTACTGGTTGCCTGTAGAAGTATGACATAAAAATTTGACATTGATACAAATACAAGATTACAAAATGAATCAAGTGTAGTAGTACGTTTTCGTAAAAAAAGGACTAGGTAAACCGATCCCGTATAAATATTACATGCAGTAACTATATATCTGACAAAAAATACAGTGCTTATATCAAAATCATCACATCTCAAACACAAGTTGTAGTGAAAAATGAGCCTAACTAAATGAAAAAGAAAACAAAAAATGTTCCGTCAGCATTGAGCTATCAAACTTTTTGCTAGTAGGGATGGTGACGATTTTTCTTGCATGTTCTTTCTGGCCTCACAATCAACGTACTTGAAATCCAAGATCGATTTATTTGAGAGGAATCATCAGAGAGCCAACAACAAAGCTGACCATCTTCACCACCAGTCCATCCAAAAATGCCTTGGCTAGGACTATTACTATGAATTCTTGACATGGGTAAAACACTCCTAATAACACTTGTGTGGCCACCCTCTAGAATTGCTTCTGCAGTTCCAATTGTTGCCATTCCATTGTAATTTACAGGAAAGTAGCCCAAAGTACCAGCATTAGTGCCACCAATCACCCATAGTTTTTCAGCTTCAGCAGAGTAGTGACAATCAACGAAATAGTCAACCTGCCAAAGGAAACCATCAATTTGTCAGCTATAAGCATTATGCAACATTTGTGTGCTGGAGCAGTATGCAAGTTCTGCGTTGGAAGCAGTTGCCACCAAATTTGCAAGATCATCTACTCGACCAGTTCAACCAATGTTGCATTTTTATACACAACATGAAATCTAAGATGAGAGATAATATTTTAATACAAGCTTTGCTGCTCCTGGAATTTTCCTCAAACCCAGAGTTCCATTCTAATTAAACGAAGCCTACATGACTCAAAAGTCATCGAAGCAAAGCCTCTAACAAGGAAAGATCCAGAGGATTAAACTTTTAATAGAGCTATACTTCTTTCAACATATAATCCCCCCCTCCCTCCCTCTTTTTCCTTTCGAACAAAAAGCAATGATATATCATCAGCACCTGATGCCTACACATCTTTATTGAGATAAAAACTACAGTTTTCACAAGTCTTCATATAAAAGCACAATGCTATTCCAGTTCAATAAAATAAGCACATTCCATCAAATAGGGAGGAACTCACATGATCCAAACTCCAACTTTCAGAGGCTAAAGTACGAGCATCTGAGAAATTTACTTCATTTGTACCATCTTTCCAGTTCCAGATACTATAAAAGCATAGTACAATGAAATATTAGAATCAAACTTTGAAAAGAGGAAGGAGTTAGTGTACATATGCAAATTCATATAACCCATATTAGGAGCAGAAGAATGGAATTCTTATCATAAACAGACAGTATAGTAGAACTATCTGCACGGCAATATATATTGTATAACAGTCATTTTTTCCCTCAAGAATTTACCTTTCTTTAGCAATAATGATGGCATTGAATGTACGTCACACAACCATATTATGCATCATTGCAGATGAGATAGAGTATGAGTACACTATATCTAACTGTTACGATTGAAAAAAAAAAAAAAAATAACGGAGATAAACTGTACCCTAGGGTTTCAATGTGTGTTAGACACCAAAGCTTCCGGTAACTTTCTCCAAAAATCCCCACCTTTGCAATTGAAGTCCCCACATTAATCACCTACAATTTTGTAAACAAAATATTTATTATTTTGTATGAGAAACTGCAGTTCAAGCATACAAAGGACTCAAAGAATTCTTATATTTTTCAAATGTGAAGCTTGAGCTCTGCTTATGTAAGCCTCACAGTAGTAGATATTGTGATATGATCAATTTCACCATTAATCTTTAGCAATCTAAAGAATTATCATCTGATGGAATGTGAATTAAAGCTCCATACTTACTGATTCTAGATGATCATCGTCATTGATATCTCCAGTGGTATCAAATGTGCAGATCAATCCATCTACTGAAGCAGAAATAAGCTTGTCTTGCTCATCAGGGACAAAATGAACCTAGCCTCAATTATAAATTTTCAACAGATCAGACATGAATCCATGTGCCACATCTAATAATTAATTAATTAATTACATTTTAAGTACTAAAAAGAATCATAACTAGTAAAATTTGCTAAAGCTTTATTTGTTATAATAAAAAGGTTTGAAATTATCATGTTCATCTTATGTACACAACACGTAGCAAATATTTTCATAACCTCATTCTATAACAGGTTACAAGCAGATGAGGCAAGGACCAACAAAAATATAAATGCATTAATTATGATGAACTACAAGGTAGGTTGAGAAACAAGTTGAAACAAACAGAAGCCATCAAGCCATAAAATACATGTGAGGCCTTCATATTCCCAACACCATGCCCATCCCATGAGAAGACTTCCCTTCCACTCATAGAAGGTCAAAGTTAAGACGCAAGATCTAAATAAAAAAATTTCTTTAGTAATCTTACATTACATCAATAACAAATTTTAATTGAATTGATCAAGTAATGCCTAAAGCCATGCTTGAACAAATAAAAATGGCTATAGCCTGAAACAGCCAAATTTCAACCAGTCTGACAAATAATGTCCGAACCAGAATATGAGAAATCGAGGATATTGTTTCATAAATCAGTAAGGAACATCCTCCAATTATTTCTTCATTCATAATAAGACTTCCACTGTTTTTCCTCACAGAAATATTCCAAAACCTTTTTGTTGCCAGTGTAAACTATCCTACAATTTTTATAAGATATTGAATTAGCTGCAGTTTTTGTCATGTCAAAATCCTTCCCGGTGGCATCTCCAAGCAAATCATCTTTTTCCCACAGGGCCACTGCTTTCAACTAATTCATTAGATCAAGTTTTTGATCCAAAGATAAATTGTCGTCACATGTAATTTGAGCAATTTGAAAAGCACAAACCTGAGTGACATCATCCACATGAGAGTCCTCCAGGCATGCAATTTGCTTCTTATTTCTCCAATCCCAGAAGAGTATCTGAGCAAAATTACACATGAGAATAGAGCTCACATAATAGTTTTAAATCATTTCACACAGCATCACTGAAATTGCCACAGCCAAAAGCAAACCTGCGATTTACAACCAGCAGCAATTAAATTTCCACTAGTCCCTCCAACAGAGAAGCTGAAAACCTCTTGAGAAGAACCCGTATTGATGGAAGAAACCTACAATTTGACATTCAAGTAAACAATCAAGCAGCAAATTAGTCACGATGAAAATGACTTAGAACAAACCAAAAATAAACAAATAAAAAAGCAATAAATCAAATCTACCTGCTGAAGTGTTCTAGTGTCCCAAGCTCTAATAGTACCATCAGAAGAACAAGAGCTTAGAACATTGGGATTGGAAGGACCCAAAAACAAAATCTGATTGATTGTTGCAGTGTGACCCTTGCACTCTCCATAATAGTGACCCCCAACCGGCGAATACAGTTTCACTGTGTTTGTCGACAATGACACTGCCATTGAACTCCAATCATCCCTTCCATTCACGAAAATAAGTAGAACCCATGTCACGGATATGAACAAAGAATGAAACTTTACTATTTTTCATTGAGTTTGAGCATAAATTCACAGCTTAAACGGGAAACTAAAAGAACGTACTTTGGGACAATTTGGAAAACATAGTCGTCGCCGAAGTTGGTTTGAATAGAGTTTTTAAGGCCGAAGCGTTTAACGTTGTTGGAGTTGGGTGAAGGTTGTTCCTCCACATCCATGTCTGAACTGGTTTCCATTGTTTGCTTCGGTTTCTATGGATTACAGAAAAGCATTCAAGTTCTTCATAACAGCGAGGGTTTTAGGGCTTCGATCAGCTGGGATAAGGTCCACTGAGGCGATTTCTTGAATAATAATAATATTTTATTTTTATTAATTTTTTTAAAGACTTAAAGAACAAATAATAACAATATTTTTTTAACATCCACCAAATGCAATTTTTATCGAACATTCAAACATGCTTTTAACTTTAACTGATTGTGTTTTCAATAATATTATTAACACCTAGTTCCAAAAAAGTATATTATTTAAATTTTTTTAAACGTCATTCTCCTTACTTTCGTTTAAAATAATAAAACTAAAAAATTTTAAAACAAAACTTAGAAAATTTATTTAACAAAAAATTTAATATGACCCAAAAATCTTACTTTTTGTATATAATAAATCAAGTGATTTATGCACTTTTAAAATAAAATTCAATAATTTAAAATATATAAAAAAAAAACTGATGTTTTATTGAACATTGAGAAAGTAAAGTTATTAGAGTAAGGATTGCAAGAATACGAAAACTAAACGAAAACGATTTTTTTTATCACTTGGACATTTTTATTTTTTTAAAATGGATATATTATTTACAGAATAATATTAAAATTTTTAATAGCTATTATGTCAAAAGAAAGAATTTTTAAATTAATATTAATATTTTTTATTAATAATTTTTATGATACTTTATATATTAAAAAAATACGTAAAATAATTATTACTGTTAATTTTACAATAATAAATAATAAGTTAATAATTTATTTAAAAATATATAAATGCTCTTTTTTAAAAAATCATAACATTAAAGAATGTATGTCTTTTTAAGTTCACGTGTATCTTTGGTGTTAAAAGAAAACTAATGATGATACTTAAAAGAATAATATGTAGTTTTACATTAGAAAAAACCGTCAAAAGTCAAATATTAAATATAAATAATAACAATTTAGCATATTTTAATAATTTTAGATACTTCAAGTTGAAATTTATATACTTAGTCTCCTATGTTAAAACTCTTGAACCAACTTAAAGACTAAATAACTTAAGTTGAAATTTTGAAAATCTTGACGGATATAGTATGACTACCGAAAAGCCGTAGGCACTATGACTCCTACAGGTTTGGGTTCTTGAATGTTGTTGACATTGACAAGTCATTTCAATTATTTTATGATATATTTTATTAATTTATGACTTCTTTTTATATGTTTATTTGAAGTAGTGTTCAAGTTTATACTTTTTCGTATCACGTTAAATACTTTGACAAATTTTTATTTATCTTTAGAATTATCTGTTTATTTTAATAAAAAAAACTTTCATAATATTTCATCATTTATTTCTATTATCATTCTTTCCATTATATTTACCGTTTAATTAACCTTTATGACGATATGTGTGAAAGAAGGAATGAAAAGAAAATAAAGGGACGCAAACTGAGTGATTCCAATGAGCTTTGCAACAAACTGAACAGCTGACACAATTAGAGGAGAAGGAGGGAGTAATACTGAATGAGTTGGGAAAGAGAGGTGCCGAGGGGTGTCTCAGAAAAAAATAGACTTTTTGCATTTGGAAAAGAACTAGGTCTGTAACACCTAGTGATTTTGTACTTCTCTTTCTCTATGAAATATATACGAAGGACAGGAGTCAAATTTCATTATAATCTCTACGGATACCAGTTCCTTACACCTCCAAACAAAATAATAATTTGCAAAATAGCAAAACACTTGTACTGACGTCACATTTTAATTTTACTTTAAATAATTTAAATGATTCAGAACACTTATCACTACTTTTTCATCTTATTTCTGCTGATTTTTTTTATTACTAATGCTTTTGTAGTTTTACCAACAATAATTAGTGTAACTCGATTTAAATTAAAAACCAATTTTTTTTCTAATTGACATAAAAAGGAATCCTGGTACAATGAAAAGACTTTTTGCCCAGACGTCAAAAATTTTTCCCAGCTACAATCGACACACTCCTATGCCTCAAGTCTGTTGACCAAAAGAGAAAAAGGATGCGTAAGTCTAAAATAAATTCATAGCAATTTCGAGGTTTCACTTCACCAGCTGCAGAGACTGCCTAATCAACAATCCAAACATGCTCAAAAACATGGAACATAAAAATGTAGAAATCCAGATACCGCCATTCATGCACGAAAATAAAAATCTCAATTATATAATATCCTAATCCAACTAGAGGGAGGGGGCCTTTTTGGATAAATAATACGTGCTAAATGTTTAGCCAACACAGAAGAGACACATAAATGACTCAAACAACTACCGATCAATGATACAGATAATGAAAACCTCACTCGAGAATTTTCATAAGCATCTTCAGGGTAGCATCCTCAACAGCAAGGGCATCATGTGCTTGGAACTGCTTCTTTTTTCTCTGTCAATGCTTCAGCAGCATCTTTCTTCCCTGTCGATGCTTCACCAGCACTTTCGCCAGCATTTTGTTCTGCAGGCTTCGACACTTCTTGCTCTAAAAGAGTTAGCAAAGTAAAAGTTATTTTGGTTAACTCAGTAAATGAATCTCGAATAAGTCAACAGTGTCAAAATTATAACGGATATCTTAAGAATATATAATATAACCGCAAGATATATTTCCAATCCCACAAGTCAAATTTCATGGACATTTATTGTTCAATGACACAAATTATACGCACATAGCATAGCTAAACCCTATAGCAATATCAAGTGATAGCAAACGAAAACGGGGAATTGCCTAGTAGCAGCATATTAATATTTTAAGGCCAAAGAGAATTGAAGATAAACCATCTTGTTCGGCTTATCCAAGTTGCAATAACCACCAATAATAGCAATTTCTAAAAGAAAGCATTTTGAAGCTATCTGAATTATGTTCAGGATTTCCTATATGGCACCTACAATCGAGGGTCAAAATGGCAAATTTTAAAAGCCTAATAGGGGTACAAGAGAAGAATTGAAGATCTATTCTGACCTTACAACATCCTACGTTTACATATATATGTTCATTTCAAAATAGTTACATTTACAAATTCAGATGCTGCCTAATTACACCACCAGAGGTTATTGATTCCGTATGTGTCAGATTCTAGTTATAGATGGAGCTAATAGCTTTATCAGTTAGTTCCATTATTTAGAAGCTACCCTTCTGATCCTAAGAAAAACCACCAACATCTATACTCAGAAAAATAAACTTACTACAGGACTGGACTCGTCAATCACAGAGCACTGATATCTTACAATCAACATTGATTCTCCACCTTAGTTCTAGCCTGCCCTACCAACTAAGCTCTCTCTTCCTAACTCAACCACCACCCACTTCCATTAAAACCCATATAACTGAAAACAAGAATCCTTAATATTTAATATACCCCCCCCCCCCGGGCAGCTACTCTTAAAGCCATAAGCTGTAACAAACCCTGTGACTCAGCAAGTTTTCTGTGTTCCTATTTATTAAAATGAAAAATTGCCAAGCATGAATCAGCACATTACCATTATTAACATGGAAAAACTAGCAAATCACACACACAACTTGCTTAACTAACATTCCTCACTCACAAAACTATGTATGCTTTATTATAACCATAATCAAAGTTACAATGACAAAAAGAAAAATGACAAGCACAAAATTTGCACACATACCTTCATCATCACTCTCGTCAATGTCATCCATTGCATCATCACCCATCCCACCAAATTTCTGCAGCAACACAAGTAATCAAGACATCACTACATCTATAACATTAATAAAAAAAACAATAAATCCAATGAACACATTACATACAGAGAAATCCATTCCTCCCATTGCATCATCACCCATCCCCCCAAATTTCTGCAAAACAATTAGAAGTATAAAATAATAATTAGAATATGAGATCGGAATAGAAAATCAAATGTACACACTTAAACAGAAAATCAAATGTACACACTGCATACCGAGAAATCCATCCCTCCTAAGTCCAGATCACCTAATCCATAAACAATGAAGCAATTCTATTAGTCTCTGCATAAAATTATACTGTGTTAAAATTTATTTGCAGAAGAGCATGGTTACAGGAGCGCATACCACCATCATCTTCATCCTCATCAACCCATTTATCCCAATCAACTTTCACATAATGTGGAGGCTTGCCTTCTGCACGCAGTAACCTTTTCCACCATCCATTCTCTGCTTTCTGCACTACACAGAATATGCTTCGCACTCCTACATTAATTTTGCTCTCCTGAAAGAAACAGGAAACCCATTAAAAATAAATCAAAACAAATAATTGGCAAGGGAAACTTACACGAAACTTCAACACAAATACACAACTCTCACAAAAATGCTACAAGCAATCAGGCCAGGTCATTATTCAATTCACAGGTAAAAGTAAGAATAATCATTCTTAAAGATAATGTTATGCATAAATTGGGGAAGCCTCCTCACCTCTACGTTAACCTTGTCAAAGAGCTCCAGCTGTAGCTCATACTGACGGTCTTCAGTGCCAGCACTGCCAGAAAAGGTAAATTTACCATCCGGAGTAAGATCCACTTTCGCATTTTTGGAATCCGGCAATTGCACCGTGATATAGACCTTGTCAACTCTCTGAGCCCACTTCACCTCAGGATGACGACTGCATCACAAAACACAATAACAAAGAAATTAGGTGAAAAATCAGAGAGGGTTGAGAAATGCATAAAAAGCAAGGAAAATTAAACAAAAAAGTAGTCGACCTACTGAAAACCCTTATCACTGACAAAAAAGGAATACGAAGAAATGAAATGATAAAGAAATTAAGGTCAAAAGCAAAATAATCAAATGAAACAACACAAAACGAAACTTATAAACAAATATTGGCACCTAATTATCCAAAAGCATTTTTTACAACCAAATCTGCCTCCTACTCCTATCCTAATTGCGTCTCTAATGTATATTTCAATTGGCACTAGCAGTTTGAAAATCCCCCCTTCCCAATCCCATATGTTCCAAATTTATTGTCATTTTATGTGTGTGTGAACAACTCTCCAGTCTTCAATTTCAGGATCACAGATCGGTAACAACTAAACCAAGATCCTAGAATCATTTCACAAGACAACAAAACAGGATAAACAAAAAAAGTTCGATCGATTATGAACCCTAATTATAAAAGTATAAGACACTAGAGAAATCAACTTCAAAATAAGATTATCGAGAAAATCTAGAAAAACGAATAAACAACACACGATATTAAACGAAGAGGTTCCTAACGGATACCCAGCATAGGAAGATGCAGGGTTTATAGTTTGTACCTCATATTTGATCGACGAAGATTGAAGCGAAAAGACAGGTTCTGTAAAACCCTAGTTCCTTAGCAACAGAGAGAGAACCCAAACTATCGCTTTTGAACAAATGCTATTTATAGAGCATAAAAAATGTTGAGTGAACGACACTTCTATACTTCTAGTACCTTCCCTGCGCTCAATCAATTTCTAGTTTCTTCTTTTTCATTTTTTTTGGTCCCGGGCCTAACTGTGATTATATGGGCCCAACTCAACTTTTCCCATACTTTCAATCTTTTATTGGATACCGGATATTGTTGGGCCATGAACCATTGGACTGCTCCGAAGACATGCTAGGCCCACCTTATCATTTCTATCTGATTTATCCTTCTCTTTTTTCTTCAAATGCAAATGCGCCTATAAGGTTGTTTTGCTTTAGGATAAAATTTAGATAGAATTATGTTCGTTAATTAAAATTAGTTTTTTTAATAATATATGTAAATTTTTATTGCATAAATTATTGAACTAAAACTTTAATTTAAATTAAAAATTATATTAAAAACGCTTATGTACCGCATTTAAAAAAAATAAGTAAATTTGATAATAATTATAAAAAAAAGTGTTTGTTTAGTATAATATTTTTATTTAAAAAATCAAATATTTTTAATAATGTATAAAATTTATTTGAAAATAAAATAAAAATTTTCAAGCAGCCCAGAAGACTAGTGTGCCATTATAAATGCCTTGCAAGTACTGAAAACGAAATAGAGGCGAATACATGGGACTTTTCACAAGATCCTCCAATTCCATCACCAACTCACCAATGTCGTCTACCTCTTGCTTTTTTGCTAACTAGACAGCCATGTCGACCTTCATAGATTCAGCTATAAAAGCCGTACCCAAAAATTACCACTTTTTCAATTTTTATGTTTTCGAAAAATCAATAACTAATTGATGGAATTTTGCGATATCTTTTTTGTGCTAATCAGTGAAAGGATTAAACTTGGTTGGATGCTAATTGAAAAAACTTGTATTGGATAGGGACTAACTCAGTCCTACTTGTAAGAAAAGGAAACTGAGTACCTATTCAACTTAGTTTGGCCGAATACTCTTCGTCAGAATTAAGAGGTAATTAAACTTAATTTAAGGTAATAATCAAGATATTATTTATTTTAAATAAAGGACTAAAAATCAATACTAGCTTGACAGGCCCATTAGCCCATTACAATGCCTATATAAAGAAGGTAAAAGTACAGGTAAAGGGTTGACTTTTCATTATTAAATACCATTTATTACTTAGAACTGAATCCTGACTTCAGCATCGGAATGCTTTTTACAGGTATCTTCCCCGGTCAGCGACTATTAGAGATATGTCACCGTTTCAGAGCAAGGACCTGAAGACTAGTATTTCTTTAACAGGAACATTTTGGCGCCTACCGTGGGGCACGATTAGCCTCGTTTTTCAGATTAATCATGGTACTAACGAGAAGCTAGCAAGAAGGACATGTTCAACAGGGAGGAACCTCTCGTCAACAGCTGGAGGGTGTCACACTAGATAAACCAACACCTGAAGTAGTGATGCAAGGAGGAATTGACGAGAGTCTCTTAGCTGTACTAAGACAATTTAAAGCAGAGATGACAGAGATGAAGAGGGAGAGAGAAAAGGATGCACTAGAGCTCTCGGTTCTGAGAAGGAAAAATGCTAACTTGTAGGGATGGCAATGGGTAAAGTACCTGATGGGCACCCGCAAAATTTACCCACAATGGATAGGGTATTTACCCGCTATACGGGTATGAGTAAAAACCCGCAAATTTTAATGGGGATGGGTGCGGGTATGGGTATCTAAGTACCCACTCCACCCCATACCCGCATATATATATATATATATATGTTTGAACTTTATTCTACAATTATGCATTAATTTTTTGTATTATCATATTACTTATGTGAAGTTATATAAGATTAATATAAAAATATATTTAATAATAAAGTAAACCAAAAAATTTATTTTGGTTTATATTTTTAATAGAAAAATTTATTTACTATTTTATATCATTTAATTAGGCTAACACAATTTAATTATTACATAGTTAATATGAGATTGACTTTTTTTAAAATATTATTTATATATGACACACACAAAATATTTTTTACACAAATATTTTTGTTAATAAAATCATATTGATGTTTAAATCATAAAGTAAATGATAAATAATAAATATATTATAAATATTTTATAAATTTTACAATCAACTACTATTACCGTAAATTTATTATTTATTAATAATATTTAAAAAAATTTATATTTTAATTGAAAATAATATTTTTCTATGCAACATATGTATTACAAGCACAACTATAATCTATTGAATCTAAATAATATTATTCTTACTATTTATTCATATTCAAAGAAGTTTTTGAAAAGATATAAATATAAAAAATTATTGTTAATTTTTATTTGTTAATTTTTTTCAAATAAAAAAGTATAATTTTTTTAATATACACGTATAATTCTTTATTATAAAATTTTATTGTAACTATTTATCTTTTATTCAAATTCTTTCTTTTAAAATTTATATACATTATAAATATTTAATTCACTAAAATAATTTTTCAAAAATTTATATTTTTGATAAAATACTTTCGTATAGTATATGAGTTAAAAAATACTAGTATTAATATATATATATATATATATATATATTAATTATATTATATTATTTTAATTAAATCTATTATTTTTCTTACAATTTCAAATTCAAAAGTTAAAAAAAATATTTTATGTATCCACTTTCTATTGTTAGTATTGAACTTTTCTACTCTAACTCTATTTTCATTCTCAATGTCTATCTCACTAAAACTTAACAATTATAAAACGTTATTCATTAGAATTAGTTGTCAATGTCGTCACAAGAAGTTACTAAGTGATACCACACAAAGGGACAACCATTGTACAGATCTATTTCGTTGTCGCTCTGACATTACCAATCAATCAAATCTCACACAAGATAGGATTATCACTGACAAATAACTTGTGTGTTTAGTTTTGCTTATTGTTTCTAAGAATTTTAGTTTAGAAAATTATTATATTAAGATACATTTAACGTTTATGATCTTTGAATATTTGTTTGTTATCTATGTTTGTACCTTGTTCGGCAACTACATATTGAATTTTTGTATTATTATGCTACTTATGTGAAGTTATATAAACATATTTTTTTTTATAAATATTTTTTCTCAAACAAGTGCGGATAATGGGTACAAGACGAGTATGCGGGTACCTAGAGGGTACGGGTACGGGGATTAATGTTCATACCCACGCGGGTATGAGGCCGGATACGGGTATTTTTTTAAAATGCGGGTATGGGGATGGGTACTGTAGTACCCTACCCATACCCTACCCATTGTCATCCTTACTAACTTGAGAGAAGAAATACGAACGCACATCCCTTCCCAGACCACACCCATCGTCCAAGATCAGGGGGAATCATCGGTGTTGCAGGAGAAATCAAAATAGATTTTTCAATCTAAAGCAAAAAATGACCGAGACGATCTCGTGAGTCGAAGCCCATTTGTTCACCACATCCTGGAGGCTAAGCTACTCGACAACTGGAGAGACTTAACAATAGAAAAATATGATGGTACGTCTGATCCAACACTTGGATGTATTTACAACCCAAGTTGGTTTGTATATCGAAAACGATTCTCTATGGTGTAGAATTTTTCCTACTTCACTCCGAGGACCAGCCCTTAGTTGGTTCACACGACTCCCCCTTCATCCATCGACTCTTTTACAACCCTCAGAAGACGGTTCAGCCTGCAGTTCGCCACAAGCCGACCTCATCCATTAACATTCCTTGCAGCAAGAAAAGGGAGAATCCCTTAGGGCATTCATGGAACGTTTCGGCAAAGTGAGCCTCTCAATCCATAACTTAGAACCAGCAGTGGCTATGCACCACCTCACAACGGCTCTTAAGCCAGGACCTTTTGTTAACAACATTTGCAAAAAACCACCTGTTGACCTAGACGAGTTGAGAAGCAGGGCTGCCAAGTATATGCAGATGAAGAAATTGTATGAGTACCGAAACCAGGTACGGATGGACCAGGGGTCCAATTCAAAAAACACAGACAGGAGAGAAACTTTTAAGTCTAGGCAAGAAAATAAGGAGAGAAGAAATGAACCTGAAAGGCTGCCCAGGGGACCCAAATATCTTTCCTACACTACACTCAACACTAATCGGTCTAGAGTACTAGATCAAGCATTGGCCACAGAAATACTAAGAATGCCTAGACATGCCAATACCCCTCCTCGGGCAGATAAAAGCAAGGTTTGCCGATACCATCAGAAAATGGGTCATACCACCGAAGAGTGCATAGTGCTGAAAGATAAAATAGAGGAATTAACAAAAGACGGACATTTAAAAGATTTTGTACAGACAAATCTTGTCGGTCAATCCAATAGAGGAAGAGACCGTTATCCTGAGTCATCAAGGAGATATGATGACAAGAGACTTGAACAACAGAGGAGTAGGTCCAGGAAACCTCTAACTAGACGATACGATGAACGTGAGAAGTATCCTAAAAGGGTCATTAATACCATAGCTAGAGGTTTTGCCGGTGGCGGACCTACTCATTCGGCTAGAAAAAGACATTTGAGGCAAGTCAGAACAGTCAACAATATCACACTCAGTAGCAGGATTCAGATTCTCCCTCTCACATTTACTGATAAAGACTTTCAGGGAGTGGATCTTATACAAGACGACCCCATGGTGATAAGTGTAGATATTCTCAACTGCACTGTCCGAAAAACACTCATAGATCAAGAGAGTTTAGCCGACATCCTCTACTGGAATACTTTCAAGCAATTGGGAATACCAGAAGAGGAACTCACAGAATATCGTGAACCCCTAGTTGGTTTTTCAGGGGAACGGATGGAGACTCGTGGGTGTATTGACCTTTACACCTCATTTGGATCAGAGCATGAAGGAAAACGCATCAAGGTCACATACTTGGTAGTTCACGCAGACATCTCGTACAACATATTACTCGGCAGGCCGTCCCTTAATAAACTTAAAGTTATAGTATCTACTCCCCATTTGGCTATGAAGCTGATGAATAAAATTTTTGAAGGACAAATAGGA